TTCCTTTAATATTTGTCTGGAACAGAGCACAAAGCAGCGTAACACGTACAGAAGAAATGTAGAAACGGCCCGTGCACCGTGCAAAAAAACCCTCAAAATGCACTGTCGCGACGGAATGTCCGCGCACTTTTAAAAAAAACATCAATCAAAATCCGTATAAAAAACATTTTTAGCAGACCCAAACATTCGTTAAAAATGTGGAAAACACTCCAAACCCCTATAAATACTTGTAAAAACATACTGTGTTTGTTCTGCACGTTCGACCCAGACGATTTATTGTACCCCACGCACATTTGGTCAATCGAAAAAATGTATTCGAAAATTTGAATACGTCAACAACCCGTTCCCTATTGAAGTCGGTATCTTGGAACAACAAAAGATTAACATATTTCGGACGATGCGATTTCAAAAGTCTCCAATTTAATCTTTACGTAACTTCGTAGGTCAGTAATCCGAAACGTCAAAAATTACCGTAGCCCTTTATGGAAGAGGAAACCATTCAATTGACAAGAGAAAAATTGTTGAAGAAACACTGAGGCGGAAGTCTTTGGAGTTTAACATTACGAAAACTAAAGATATTGTCGAAAAGCGACAATTGTCAAAAAGTTCAGAGTTTCTCTGAACTTTGCGTACGTGTTATGTCACGACCAGACATCAGCTTCTGTACAATGGAGCTTGTGCTTTACAGAGGAGAAATACACAAAGTTCTCGATGTTCAATGATTAGGATGTGTAGAGTGCAGGACCCTTCCAGTGACAAAAAACGTACCATTTTACATCCAGGAAGTATCAAAAAATGCGGCAAAATACCTCTCTCTCCAAGTGGAAAAACCCCGATTTCAAAAGAGCGCCCGCTCTTGTTGTGAGGAAAAAGGGCGCGCCCTCCAAAACAAAGTTTTTTGACTTGGAGAGGGAAGCGTTTTGCCACATTCTTGACACTTCCCGAATGCAAAATGGTACGTGTTTTGCCACTGGATCAGGTCCCCCACTATATCAATCCCCGAAAAAATTCCTCATACGTTGCAGAGACAGCCGAGATACATATTCAACGCTCTTTCGGATGGGAGCGCACAATATCGAGAAAAACATTCTTTGAGAAGTACTATTATAGTCCTTTCGCAAAGTTGCTGGTGGGATTTTTGGCGCTTGCACTGTGCCTGAAAAGTCACGGTGCAAACGGAAACGTTTGCACGGTTCAAAGTACACTTTTGTTTTCCCACAGTTCGTGTGGCAAATTTGAGTACGGCGACTTTCCGGACGAACTAGTAATACATTAGATTGGTCATAAATTATTTTTTACTAGTAGGGCTACTGTACTGTAAGACCTTGAATCATCGAGCTCATGAAAACGGTAGAGTATTCTTAGAACTTTGCAGCCATCATAACAACCGTCTCCGCCGAGAATTCAGCGTATAAAAAGCACTCGAAATATGAAAACATGCTCCAAGTTTTGCGCCCGCTTTGTGCAGAGCCCAAAAATCAATTTCGGAAAATTTTAGCTCTCGCTTTGCAGGAACAGCCAGATCTGCTACCTTTTGCGACGAGAGAGCGCGCCCAATGCGGAGAACTATCAAAAACCAATCCATTTTCGGCTAGAAAAAATTGTTTTTTCACAGAAACGTCGCAAAAAATTTTTAGAGAAATTATCGGTTGTTTCTGCAAAGCGCAAGATAGCAACTGTTATTGGAAAAGGTTAACCGTAAGTTTAACAGTCTGTCAGGAAAATAATGAGCACAATGTCGCTAGGCAGATCGCGTCGTTGAAGTCAAAAGCAACTTGAATTTGCAGCGGCAAAGTTAATATCCCCGGCCGCGATGCAATGTTTGATGCGGCAAAGTGCTCATTATTTTTCCGGCATACTTATACAAGTTCTATTTAAAATCTGAGCGTTGTTACAATACTTAGAACAGCCCTCTGAACGGCTATAATTTTGTTTACATCTTTACCACCGAATTCTCATCATTCTTGGCATCACCGGTCACCTGAGCCTGACTCCTTCCAACGCCGTTCAAAAGATACGTAATTCCCGAGATTTTTGACCGTAAGACTTTGAACCCGATAAAACAATCTATAATTATTTTATAAATACAAAACGCAAGGGGGTTTAAAAGGTTTTTGTTTTAGAAATTTAAGTGCCAGGCATAGAATTTCGAATGCTGTGTGTTTCGCCGAATAACAAATCTTTTTACATTTGTTTTTTGATCCCTCGTGTTTTCAGCAACAGAAATATCCGGTATAATGAAATTGAAAGGCTGAGAAGGGCATGTGTGACGCAAATTTTTTTCTCATGCTTACATAGTTTATATTGGAAGCACTGCAAGGATAACAGTGCAACGATTCAAGGGTTTCTCGCTTACGGTATTTGAGCTAACTCCGGAAAAAAACTTTCAAAAGTTTCATAAAAAATTCAATATTTTCTTGCTAACAGGAAATGTATTCCAAGTACGACGCTAATATTTTGAAGAAACTTGGGTGGCCAAAACTTGCGGCCCACCACTTTGCGGGCGGCTAGAAGAAAAATGATGATTCTGTAAGCATGTTTGGAAATCAGCCAGCATTTGCTTGCAACATGAAATTCTAACGGCGGGTTGGGCAGTTGGATTCGGCCAATTAAGGTTCCAGGTAGATAGGTCACTTGAAAAGTTACTATAAGGTTAACCAGGCATTTTTAAAGGTTCAGAAACCATTTTTTTGAAAACAAACTCGCATAACTTTGAAAGCAGTGAATGAATTCAACAAATTTGTGTACTTATTGTTACTAGAGAGTTGTCAATGCAAAATTTTAATCATGGTACGTAGACTACGGTAGAAAAATTGTAATATAATATTTTTTATAAATAGTAATGTTTTCATAATAGGGAAGGTACCCCAAGTACGACGCTTAATTTTTGATTAAACTTGGCCTACAATTAGCTAGTGTTTTTTTATGAAATATGAAAGAAATCCTAGCCCGCGCTTTGCAGAAAGGACCGAGATTTTTAGTTTGAGAGATGGCAAAAAGTCGATGTTATTTATCGAATTTTTGCACGAAAAGTTTCATTCATATTTCTACCGTATTCAGAGGATACATTTCTATACAGAGCTCTAAGCATTGTTAAATGGTTTTTTGCCACTTTTTCAATATTCCTGATCAACCTTTACGTTGGATTTTTTGCGCTTTATCTTATGACTTTTGCATATTCTCTTGCATATTCAACTTGTACGAAATTTTCAGTACATTACGTAGGAAATCCCATGAATACCCACACGCATTTGAGGTGGCGAAAAAAACTCGGTTTACCCCCACATGCAAGCACTTCAACCCAGAGATTCAGGGTGCTAATTACTGTATCCGACTACAATTTTGTTATCGAGTTTTGAGACGGAAAATCTACGTCATTGAATAATTTATATCAGTTTCTGGCGAAGAAAACCGACAAGAAGAAGAGGGCTTGTTATGCAGTCTCGGATACTTTGAATTCGGTTTTTATAGTTTCCAGGCAAGCCAGAATTATAGCCAAAAAGTTTGGGCTCAAAAATAATTTCGGAAATGTACGAATTCAACTAGAAATCATGCTGAAACCTTTCACGGATGCTTGAAGGCAAGCGCCAAATTTTTCCAACTTTGCACTTTTCGCACATCCCCTTCGAGCTCGGATCCGTATGATATCCTAAACAATAAGCGTCTGTGTTTTGCTCAGGCCGCTCAGCAGTCTCTGTTACAGCATTAGGACATTATAACATCTCTATTACAGCATTAGGAAATATAAGAGCGAAAACTTCTCAAATCTCCCTGCGGGAGTGGGTGCGCTGACCCGGCAACTTCTAGCAACCGTATGTCCGCAACTTCCGCAGCTAGCAAACAGTTTTTGCATTGAGTATGTTTACATAACGTAGTAATTTCATGTCATGGGTACCTTTTTCCGATAAACGTTCCCAAGCCAAGAAAAAATCGTAGAAAGAAAATGTCCATTTTTTTGAATCACCGTGTTTATTGCTGACTTAAAATCGAGAGAAATATCAAATTTTTAAGGTTTCTGGACCTTAAACCCTCATTTGTTTCAAAAATACAGACGAAATATCGTGAATACCCCTTAGGAAATTAGTTTAGATTTTTTTTTTAATTTCATCAAAATAAAAATTTAAGTCCAGCTTTGCAAACAAAATCAATAAATTCCCCATAAATGTTTCCCGTTAAGAATTCACCAACAATCCCCCCACTTTTTCATCAAAATTTCTCCTCTGCACACTGTTTGCACATCATCGAAAATTTCGACGAGAACCGATTCCAACGGACCTACCGTATTCCGGCCGCTGCAACGCCAAGACATCAGAGATTGGTCCACGTCATCCACGATGAAGACGGACCAAACAGATCGGAATGATACCACGCATCCGTATAAGCTGTATCCGATATGAGAATCGGAGGGGGTTCGGGTCACGACTTTGGAACCACTCGCATATTCCGCATGATATGAAATATCAGAAGAGAAAAAGGCACGTACACAAACAAGGAATGACTTGCCAAGTGCAAAACAGCACAAGACACAATGCACTTGGGTCGGGTCGCGAAATAGCTCAAGAGGAAAAATAAAGGATACTAGAAAGCATAATCATCAAGGGATTTTTTAGAAAAGTTCGTTTTTTGCATTGTTTTATGCAAAAAATGTTGGTAAAAATAAATAAAATAGTGCAGAACAATAATGGTTGTACAATACAACGCCATTTTAACCGTTCCGCATCACTTTTTTGTACGATTCTTTGCAATCAAGACTGCTCATTATCATCAAAAACATTGTCTGCAAATATCACAGCAATTATCGCGAGCTCTTCAAAATATTTTTACATATATATGCTGTCTGCGGGTTATAAGGCAGTTTACACGCCCTTGTTTGATATTTCAACTTCATCCCCCCAGTGAATTACACGATTAGAGCCACAGAGCAACACTTGACCCACTGAGTCAACTCTCCCAATTATTTCATTTTATTTTTATTTTCGCGAAAAAATGTGATTTTCTGCATGAAACGGCCAACACTGACCACAAGATGCCTTGCAAATTTTCTGGAGCACAATATAGCAGCAATATCAACTACCACTGCCTTGACTTCAACAGAAGTGGTCGAAAAAATCTTTGTATGTTCGAAAGTCATGAATAATATCGGTTTAGCTGCTCAACAACAAGTCTTTGAGTCTCCTCCATGCTGAAAGTGACTCGTTGTTCTTGATCCTTCAACGGACTGGGACTGGAATTAAGCTGCGAAATAAATGGACCGTCTATATTGCCTATCATAAACTTCAGAGGTTCCTCTTGATTTCACAGTGTCCAAAAGTGGCTATTCAGTTCGACACCGATGGGTTAGGACATATTGTGTTTCGAAAATCGACTGTCATGCTAGCAAGAGCTTTGAAAGGTAAAATTTTATTGATCTCTTGATTTTTAGGTGGAATGTGTCAAGTGTAACATAATTTAATGGAATTTCTGCAATGCACGGTGAAATAGTCTAATTTTTAGATAATTCATTTATCACTCGGCTCGATCTGAACCTTCTACCAACTTCAATCCGGACAGGAAAGGAGAGATGTCTGGTAAAACAAGTTCTGTCCGAAATTATACATAAGACTCGGGAAATCCGAGGATTTTCAATGGAATTCTTGCCGTTTTTAGACTTCCTAAGTCGGGAAGGACTTGTAAACCTTGAATACTTGGATGTGAGACTTAGCTATTGCTGGAAATGTAAGTTTTTTGATTTCTTGTCTAATTTTAGGTACCTCCCATGTATAAGATAATTATGGCCTTTTATCGCTGATTTTTTCAGATCTCCCTCCATTGCTGACTATACCAATCAACCACCTTCGAATTCAAGGGGACTTTATCAAGTATCTGGCGTATAGTGAAGGGTGAGAGAGGGTTTATATTATTCATGGGGAATGTAAACAAAACTTTTATAACTCTAATATTCTGCAGTCACCAGTTGAATCCACACCTGGAGAAGGTCGAAATTGACAGTACACTGGAATATATTGGAATGCCCGACTTCATAAATGAATTCAAAAGAGCTATGACCAGTTTCGCCAAGGAAATTTCGAGTCGGGAGAGAGTTTTCATCATAAGAGGGCCGAATTTCTACGAATATGGGCCGGTAGGTTTATTTTGATATTGGAATCTTTCTGATTCTTCTTTCTTCTGACTTTTAGGTGGATACTTGGTCTTTTTTACGCAGAAAACCCCAACAAATGCCATGTATAAGCTCTGAAAATCTACAATATTGGCATAAGGTCTAAAAATCCATAATATTGGCTAACATTCTAGATGACAGACCTGTTAGACACTGTCCAAATCAATTTATACCGAGCCAACTCGCTGCTTGAGATCGCCACGGCCATCGATGTGAAAATAGACTCCATTCTAATAATTGGAGCTGCTTCTGTCCAAGATGTAAGGGAATTTCAAAATTTTTGTGCTCTATTCCTACTACAGATAATTACCCTCAAATTTCAGATCATAATAAGTTCGTGGAAGAAGATCGTCAAGGATTATATTAGCTTCAACTTCCTCAAGGTGGAGATGGAGTCCAAAAGTGAAAAAGAAGCGTATTTTACATTGATATCTCATACCGGTACCAAAATCGAGTTTAGAATTAATTGTACAGAAATTGTCGAGCAAGAGGATTGAATAAATTTACACTATATAAATTTATTCGTCGTCCTAACGCAGAATAAACATCAGCTTATTACTATCCTTAATGATGATGAAGATAGTCGGGGTCGTGGCCAATGGCGTACGGATCTAGCAGGTTGTTGTGGCATTCGAATTCGTGCAGATAGACGTCGCGCCAGTAGTATTCGTACCACGGATCGGGGAGCCTTTGGTCTTCCTCATCTATCCACATGACCTTGGACTTGTCATCGCCTTTTTCGGGGTATTGACCGTAGGCATAGCGGCCGCCGAGTACCTAAAACACAATTTCAAAATGCCATTTCTCCCTCAGTATGTCAAAACCGCCTTAACCATCAATCAAAGCCTCTATTTCGGGTCAAATTATATTATCCATCCCCAAACCACCCACCTCCAGCTTCATGACGTTCAAAAAGTGGTTGGCGTCCAAAATTCCGGTGTAAAGTTCGCTGATTTCGTGCGCTGGGACTCCGGGGAAGGCATTGTGACGAGCGCGGTTCTTGGTCGTCACCCATCCACGCCAAATGTTATACCAAATCCCGTCTCTTGGCTGATGCCATTCCTCATGAACCGAGCCTGAATGCCACTCGAAATAGTCGCAATCAACACGCTCAATGTCCTCAACAATAGAGTCCGGGTCTCCGGGCTCGGTCCAATCGTAGGTGAGGATCTTGGAATGCTCTCTGGAAAATAAATTTTTTGTCAATACCTAGTATAATATAAATTAGTCAAAAGAATGGCTAGAAAGAACATAAAAATGAGTCCAATCTACCAAAGAAAGTCTCAAATCACATTTCAAAGTACGACATAATCTAATAAACCTTAATTATGAGTTCAAAATTCATCAAAACATCTTATCCACCTAAAACAATAAGAACAAAAATCTCCGAAAAACATACTTGTATTCCTTTAGAGAGTCTTTGTGGGACTCCTTGATAGTCTGGAGATACTTCTCATCGACCACACCAGCTTCTCCATCTTGATTTCTCTGCTTAATTCGTTGAACCAACTCAGGGATCTCACAATCCAGATAAACAACAATATGGGGCCAATAGCGCAGCTGCGTCAGGGCCATTTTTCGGTTCCAATAGTAAAACTTGAAGTCTAAAATACATTGAAATTAAATTTAGACATCACAGCAACACAAATGCTGGTATATATAAGTCATTTATCTTACACTCAGGACTCAGATGATCCTTGGCTCTCATGGCATTGACTAGCGCAAAATCCGAGTACGGTGAACTCTCCAGAACAACTCCTTGGCCAGTATTGAAGATGTGGGCAAGTGCATTCATATATTGCTCCCATTTACAGTCGAATTTGCGGAAACTGTAGCGCGCGACATTATCATCAGTGGGATTGGAGTAATAAATCTTCTCATCCGGAATTCTGAATGGCTTAGGGAACTAAAAACAGAATGCAAAAGAAAAAGGACACATACACGATCATAAAAAGTCCGGAGATCATTTCCATAGGGGTCGATGAGGATGTCATCCATCCGAAACGCCGACATGTACTTGAATCCGAAGGCATCGGCCAAAGCTGGACCAACACTACTCTGAAAAGCAATTTAATCATAACCGTAAGAAGGAATCTTCTGTAAACGAGCTATAGAAATGATTTTGGTACTAAAGACTAAAGATCCGTGTCCTTTCGAGTTTCTGATCATAATTTAGATCTAAACATCAAGTATAAAATAAAAAACCCCGTTACCTTTCCTGAAGCAATGTTTCCTTCCAACACAATCAACTTAGAGTTCTTATGAAGTCGCTTTTTAGTGTAGTCGCGCAAAAAGTGTTTCTGAAAGTATCCACGCTCCTTGTAAGGCCATGGATCTGGATAGTCGTATGGCAAGTCCAAATATTCTTTGGTCACAATCCCACGACTTTGAGAGGCGGCCAACGTCTTCGGAAGGAGCCGGCTCAACAGGCCGACCCGGACTATGGACGGAGCCATCTGAAATAAGGAAAATTTATATTGCACATGAGGAAAATAGGATGAAATTAAAAGGTCGAGTTAAAACAGTATCTAAAACATTGAAATAGGCACAAAACGGTGGATAAGTTATAGGGGCTACGTAGTGGACAGAAAAATTTTTTGAAAGTAAAAACGATTTTTAAACGTCAAAATAAATTTTTAAGAGCAAGTCTAGTATAATAAAATTAACTGTAAGAAATCCGCATATTAAAAAACTCAAATTTCCCTTACTTTATCGTGACCTACTTGCTCTTTCAAGCTATCTTGCACATGGACAACAAAAATCGGAGAAGAATAAAAATCTCTGGCATTCCGTTGCAAACCAACTGATCCCCGCGAAAAATGCGGGCTTTTTAAACTAAAATTTACGTGAGCGCGCCTACAGACTTCGGAGAGGGCTGGAATTTTGAGCGATTGAACGGAACACCATAAAAGGTGATATTCAACCCTAAAATTTACCAAATTCCCTCAGGGAATTTGAAATTTTCAAAAAATGTAAGGAACTGATTTTGCACTGTGCGTTTTAGGTAAAACCGATTTATTTACAGGCAAAATTTCAAAAACAACAAAAACACTTCGTCTTATTTTTAGTAAGGGAAATAATGAAGATATTTGAGGACCAATTCCTCTGATGCGGCTCGCCGTTGACGCACAACAAGACCTTCAACAAGCCAGATAGGATCTGAAAAAAAAGATTACAAATTGTATCCGATAAAGTCGAAAAAATCGCATATCAAAGCCTCAACGCTCACTTTCCAAGATCTCGACCAACTTGGCGTCTACTGATTTGAGTCTGAACTTTTCTTCGGGGTTTAACTGCCGGTATTTCACCACCCATTTCGGGACTACTTCAACTGCAACTTGAGCCGCTTGGCGCGTTGTCATGTCGTTTACATTGGCATGGAGAAGTCCTTGACGCATGATCTGAAAAGAAATTTTGATAAATTTGAAATTGATGGACTTGTTTTCAAATAATTTTAGAATAATGCCTTAGGGTAATAAGGAAATATCCATGGTTTTTGTATAAAATCTCAAACAAAGACTTACAAAAATTGATATTTGGGCTATTTAGAGAACCTATGCGAAATTTTGAAGAAATTGAAAAGCCATACCAGCATTTACATTGCACTTGACATTAACCTCAACCTACCTCAGTCATCAGCTCAACAAGCCCTTCCGACACCTTGTTCTCTCTCAGAATGTCCCTGGCACTTTGTAAAAGAGTATTTAGAACTTGAGGATCTTCCATGGCTTCCTGAACTTTGGCAACATCCGTCTTATTTGATCGGGCAATGATCATAAGCTTGTTTCTTTGTTGAGGAGTGAAATTCTCGAGAAGTTTGTTCTGGCGGGTGATAAATTTGGCTGAAAGTTTCGTAAAATACGTTTCGCTTATAAATCCTGTTTTATATCCAAAAAATTAAAACTTAATTTTTTGGGATTTTCAATATTTTTCAATTTCATTTTTCATACATATAAGGTAAGGTACCCTCAACGTGACTTGAGATTTCCCTCAAAATTTTGCCTACTTTTTGTAAATAGGCCATCTATAAATTTCTGAAAAATTCAGCTGTCACTTTTCATGGGCAGCCAAGACAAAGATTTCACATTTTTTTTTCCGAGAGACCACGTAAAATGAGGAGCGCCAGCTAGACAAAAAAAAATGTATTTTCATCAATGACTCCTCGGATTTTTTCGTGGAAAATTAATTTCGTTCTTTGTATTATTTAGCATTAAACACACCTTAAAGCAGCTCATGAAAATTTTAAAGCGAAAATTGCAAAAAATATTCTCGATTTTCTCCAAATTGCAAGTTAAAAATCCCAAATATTCTTTCAAAAATCATAATTGAAGTTCATGCCAAATTTCAGAAAAATCGAGAACATTTTTTTGTCAAATCCTCTTCTCCTTACCTTTGAATCCAGGGACTAATTTTTCGAATAAATCACCCTGATCTAAAGTGTCCAAAGAAACGACAGTAACAATCAAGAGTAAAAAAGTAAGCCGAAGTATCATTTTGAACCTTTCTAGACAATGTCCGTAACTTCCGAATGTATACGAAAGGTTTTTGAAATTGGACACACTTCTTTTAGGGTTTTACTTGGAGATTTTATCTGGTTTCGACGGGATAAGAGGCTAACAAAAAGTCAAATCGCTCGAACAAAGGGTAGATGGGATTGAAATCTTAGTTAGTTATGTAACTCGAAGGCAGTCACTCCAAAAGCAAGTTTCAATGGAAAATTTGCGAAAACCACAAAAAACCCATTTTTTGGCGATTACAGTATAATACAGCAATCCAGCATAGTTGTTGTCAATTAATAAATTGTTGAGTATAGACAAGAGCATCCAAAAAGCTCAATTTCGAGAGATTTTTATTACCCTAAACTTGTTTGAGGTCAAATTTTTGATGTAGATGTCATGTATAATATAATTGGCAAAAAATTCTGCAATGCTGTTTCAGAATGAGAAAAAATCTATTTTCTCGGATAGTAAGATTCCTCAGATTTATAGTTTCCAAGGTGTTATGGTACCATGGCAAATTCTTGCACTTTACCACTTCCCATTTTGGGTCCCAACACGAAAAGCCTGCATTCTCAGGGTGGAAGCGGAAACAGTCGAAAAATTAAGAAAAAAATATTTTTTATCGGCTGTCTGCTCGGAATCTATTGTTTTGCAATAAATAGCACGGTTTTAGAGGTAATTACTCACCAGCTCTTGGATAATGAGCCTTTTTATTTAGTACTTTGTTAATTTTAGGTTAAACTAAAGCTTTGCCTTGATTTTGATGGAAAATTGATGTGAAACTGAAATTTTGAAATATTTTTGGAGTTTATGGAGAACGTTTTGCCGATATTTGGCTGTATTTAATTAATTTCTAGAGAAATTTTGATCTTTTTTGGTCAATTAGTTCGTTTGTTGTATTCCCCATGCAAAAATAAAGAAAAAAAACAAAAAAATCGTCAGAAGGCGTTTCTTGAGGTGAATAATGAGTTCGTCATGGATTTTGCTCTTTCTCACAACTTTCTCGACTACATTTCCATATTGCTCATGATGAATATCAATTTATGTGAAATTTTTTATTCACAGTTATTTACAATAAGTTTCTTCTTAAAAATCATGTGGAACATTTTTTGAAAATATTAATTTAGAAGAATCGAACTTAGTTTCTCTTATTTCATCCAAAAAAAAGTTTGGAAATGTACTTAAAATTTTTATTGTTTTAGGTCAGCTGCCTTTGACCTATGATAAGGTACGGTTAGCAGTGGAACGAGGCAGCCAATCTCGGGAGGTGATGCGCCAGTCTCTGGGCGTTTTAATGGACCGTCAGAACGCGCCGAATCCTGCCGAGCGCGCCGATCCGGCAGCCAGTAATGGAGTCGTGCAGCGATTTCCTTTGCCTGAGGTAATGAATTTGATTTATTTGTTTCTTGGTTTTTAGGTAGTGAGATAATGGGATGACCTTCGTGACAGCTCGATTTTCCACCTTTACGACTTTGAATAGACTTGTTTTTAGAGATTTTTGAATTCTGCGGCTAGAGTACTATAAATCCATCAATTAATTGGTTGAAAATTGCTCGAAAGCTGTTCTAGAAGCCGCCAAAAGCCTTGCTAAAAGTCTGGCTTTCTTTTTCTTGAGGTTTCAACTTAATGATTTTATCTTATTTTAGGTCCCAGATCACTACAACACCCCGTTCATCCCGCTGAATGTTCTCATCGATTTCGCAGTCCAACACTGCTTTCATGAGCTCACAGTGCTGGCTGAACTCTTACCAAAGAAGAAGGAGACTGAGCGGAAGATCTCGGTGATTCAATTCGCCCATTCCACTCGATGTATCTTCTTGAAGTTGCTGGCATTAGTAAAGTGGCTTCGACAAACGCGAAAGTTGGATATAACTAAAAATATTTGCTTTCATCTGGATCAAATCTCCTTCGAATTTGTGGAAACGGCAGATATTTTGTGCCATCTTAGAGATGAACTGCTTTCTGCAAGGTAATTTATATTGTACTTGACACCAAAAAATTTTTTATTTGTAGCGTGATTTTATGATATTTTCTAGTCCTCAAAGTAAATTTTTGATGGCTTGAAGACATTTTTGATCCAATGTTTACCTCAGTTTTCTTTCAGAATGCCGATTTTTCAAGTACAACATGCCATGGAAGCGGTTTCAACCGGCCGTTGTATTCGAATACCCCAGTGCATTAGAGTATGTACAATTTTATTGCATTTTTAGTGAGTTTAGAAGCGATATATCCCTGAATTGACACTTAAACCGAAGAAGCAGGCTTTGACCTTATACCGGTTGAATCAGCTGATCCAAAGGCGGCTTGCACTTGAAGCAGCTAATCTCCCCGCCGGCTATAACTCTGTGGAAGTGAGAAATGGCACTGTAAGTTCTTTTTTATTATTTGTTTTTGCTTTTAGACGGCGAATGGAAGGAGTTGCTATATTATCCATGGATGCTGTTCGAAATTTTTGATATAAAAGACGAATTTTATAAAATTGCTTGCTTTTTTTGGTCTCATTTGAGAGAAAAATGTGCAATGAAACAAATTGCAGGCAATTCTCACGGCTTACAATGAGTTCGAAGCCACTGTTTCCCTTCTACCTCCAAGCCCGGGTGCTGAACCTCAATGGCTCCTATTACATCTAAACATACTGGTGGAGGACTACGAAGTCGGTCAAGGAGCACCTCTTGTCCATCCAATGCAAACCAACTACCTCCACGAAATGTGTCAGCACAAAATGAAGGAGGCGGAAAATGTGGGTCTAGTGTAATATAAATAAATATTTTTTTAAGGTTTAATTCACTTTTTTGATTCATTTTTAGCCCCTCACCGCCCTCTACGAAGTCCTGCACAAGTTTTGCATGAAGCTGCAGCTGGATGTTCTATATTGTCAAGGCCTTTATTTGGTCCGATCCATATCCCCGAAATTCTTGGCCATCGAATCCTACGACCCGAGGAAGGAAAGCCTCGTCTTCTCATACTGGTCTCAACGAAAATCTCAGCGCCCAGGAAAGAAAACAACACAATTCGAATCGGACTATAGGATACATATCTGGAGAAATCAAAAAGAGCCCAATTCGATATTACAAATTAGGCATTCGCCGCCCACAAGACCCTTGCCAGGACTGTATAAAGACAATGGAAGGTGAGAAAAAGTTTATTTTTTTATTTGAGGGCGGTTGAATTGGAATTGAAGTGGTAAATTTTTCTTTTCGAAATTTTTTTATGTTGTCCATGACCATTTTTGATGTTTTTGGAAAAAACAAGCAGATTTTTTGATTTTTGTTCGCTTTTTTTGCTATATTCCGAAAATATAGGTACTGTTCATGATGTCAACAATTTTTCCCACGAAAATATTAGTGACTTTGGAGACAGGTTGACTAATTTGCATCTCAAGGTCATCCGCAAAAATAACCCTCTTTTCTTCTTTTTTACTCATGACTCAAATTGTCGACCTTGGCATGAAATGCTTGGTTATTGCCGCTAGTAAAAAATAATCCATTATTTCGCTTGTTTCGGCGATTTTCCACACGAATTTTCGAGTTTTTCATTGTTTTAGAGGTCTTTTTGATGAATAATGTAAATTTTGGTTTTAGTTTAACTTCAATTCATCGGCTGGTCAGTGAAACGGTCCTGCTGAGATGTGGGGAGCGTCTGGATCAGGTTTTCAAATTGCTGAAGTCAATAACGGAGGATGTGAAATCGGAAAAACCGAAAATTCGCATGGTTGGAACGGCCGCGGTCCGATTGTTATTCGACCTTTTGCCCATGGATGACTGTGTCGACGAAGAAGCCCTCCAAATAGCGATGAATGCGTTCACTGGAGAGCTGATTTGCACAGTTCCAGCATTAGCGGCGGGCCGAAGAAATGGAAGGGAAATAAAGGACCTCCCAGAACTGGAAGAGCTCGAAAACAACCTCAAATTGAAAGCTGCGGACAAGAAGAGCGTCAAGAAGGCCCTGCAGAGACTGCAGATCAAACTCCTCAAACAACGATTTGAATGGGTGCCCGCAGTCCACTACAGAAAAGTCTTTGAGCCATTTGTAAATATCACTTGTAAAGGCGCGAAACAGATCCCACAGGAACGAATATGCTTCCAGTTTTGCTCAGAACCAAAGTATTTTTTGGTAAGTAGAAGCGAAGAGTGATTTGAAAGCAGTTGACGCCGGAATTTGAAAAAAATTGACATCAGATGTCATGGATAATATAAATTTTAAAATTTTCTTGAATTTTTAGCTGGTTGGCTTCCAAGAAACGGCCGAGGTGGAGTCGCAGCTTCGATTGTTCCTCTGCAATACGTGTGGAACGAAATTATCCGCAATTGATTTGATGACATGCAATATTGTTGAAGATTTCTCCAAAAAACCGGATGTTTTTGGTAAGAAAATTGAAAAATCTGTTAGAAAAGTGGTAAAGGTGTATGAAATTAAGAGTATTTCAGATAGAAATCTCTATGACCTTGCCCAGAACATCAATGCGAAGATGTTTTTCCGTGCAAACTCGCGCGCAAACCTCTGGCAATCATTGAATCGCCTGTCCGAGAAGTTGCTCATCGAAAGAATGAACGATCAGCTGAGGCAACTGCGAATTAATTCGTCGGTCTGGGACTTTTGTGAATACAGAGGATATAGAGTGGAGTTGTTGGAGTAAGTTTGAGGTTTTTGGGATGGACTTTTTGATGGAAAATTGGCGATATTGTAGGAGGTGGGGAGTTGGTTAAAAAATGAAAATTTTTGGTGAAATTGCTTTTTGAAAAAGGAAAGTTGATTAATAATGGGTGTGTTATGAGGAATTAAAAAGATTACCGTTAAAAATCGACCAGAATATAAAGATTTTTTTCCAAAAAAAATTTTTTTTTTGGCAATGAAAGTACTTCTATGGGATATGGAGTTACAGGTCGAGACATATATCAAAAAAAATCGCAAATTTTTTCTGATTCAGAATGTGTAAAAGTTAGCTGCCTTATTTTGGTTTGTAAAGCTGAAAAATCTTCTGAACTTTTCTCGAACACCACACAAATGCCTCTTTTTTATATTGGAAATACTAATTAAGGTATAATATTAGTCAACTTTGATACTTTAAGGCTTGTCAAGATGCCAAAGTTTAATCAAAACAAAGCTTTTGATTTGGTAAAAACTTGGTCAAAAAGGCATTTGCGTGGTGTTGCGAGAAAATTTCAGAGGATTTTTTTCACCCTTACAAACCAAAATTAGGCCGCTTACTTTTACATATTCTGAATCCGAAAAATTGTGCGATTTTTTCGATATATGTCTTGACCTGTAACTCCATACCTCATAGTAGTACATTCCTTGCAAAAAAAATTTTTTTTTTTGATTTTTGTAATTTTTAATTTTTTTAGTTTCTCCTCGTGCGACCTCCCCAAGGAAGTCACCCAATACGCCCAATCCCTCCATCATTGTCGAATCTCAACGAGCGTCGGCCGTGTCATCCAATGGGTGATCGACATGGCCGTGGAATACCCCGCCACCTCCATCCAACTGCCCTCCAATGCCCTAAAATCTCACAAAGAAGTGGTGATAAGGCACTCGAGAAGATTCCCATTTGTCCAGTATTTGCCTGCCGTCTCGATGATCCAATGCTCATCGGTTTGTCACGCTCTGGCCATCGCAGCAATTGAGAGAATTCGCGTTTGTGCGGTTCTCCATGAGCCAGTCCGAGAGCTGGAATTGGCCGCGGAAGTGAGACGAAATGTGAATATTGTCGATTTTCATCATTACCGGTTGACGATAGCATATGGAGAGGACAGGAGGTTCCTGATGTCCGTGATTTATAAGCCCAAGTTGAGAGGATTCGGCATTGTTTTTACTCAAGCCATGAATGTTCAACGAGATCAACGTGAATTGATGGATTCCGAAGAGAATATGGTCCATATCTCGAAGTATGGAATCGAAAAAATAGCAGATTCGAAGAGTTTCAACGAGAAAGAGACGAAAAATCATGTTAACCATGAGATAGTGGTGAATGGGGAAGAAAAAGAGCTCGTAGATTTGAACGATTACCTATACGGATATCCACAACCCCCAAACCCGAACAAAGACGCCTCCTGGAACGCACATTGCATTGTCGCGCAGCATTTGACCGACGACTTTAACAGGAATAAGGACCTAGTTGGATTGGTCCATTACCTCCAACATTCGTACAAAGTTATGGATGCCCTGAAGTGGATCAGGCCGAAACGACCGCACGTACTGGAGGAATTTGATGAGAAATTGGAACAGAAACCCCCGCTGGAACGGCAGGCATTCGTCAGGGATTTGAAGGTTGGTTTTGGACTACGAATTATGTTGTACTTGGGGTTAAATGGAAGGTTTTATAATTTTTGATGGAAGGTGTTAAAGATCGATGAATCATAGAGTGAATAAGTGGTGTATAGGAAGATAAGATCATTCTTTAGGTGGAAAAGTGACTGTATTTTTTCCAAATTGGTCGAAGGTTAGGTTGAAGAAGCAATTATATATTGCACTTGAGATCATAAGGGAGTTTTGAAGTTTTTGGTCTGGTAGGGGAAGGTAGGCAAAATTCATAATTAGTTAATAGTTTATGAGAAGGCTACGAGATTTTCTGTCAGCTAAATGCCGTTTTTGTATGTTTATAGGCCAAAATTTGAGTATGCGGGGCAATTTTATATTGTACTTGAGGTCAGATCGGACCTTTGGGTTTTTTTAGTCGGGAAGAGGTGAAAATGGATATAAATCGGGATTTTTTTCTGAGGGAAGGGTAGCGATGGGTACGTTCTGATTGTAAAATACGAGATTTTTGGAATTTGGTTGGCAAAAATATTGTTTTATGGATCAAAAAATTTTTAAGACCATTTTGGTCTATTTGGGGAAATTTATGGAAAAATTGGATAAACTTGGAGTTTCCTGGCCTGAAAATAATATACAGGGTGTTCAGAGAATTATGGAAAAAACTATTCATTAATAACTTTGCGCTCGGTGGTCCAATCCGAAAGAATTTTTTTGCATTTTACAGAAAAACCTTGGAGTTTTTAGAATCTAAAAAAAAAATTTTTCTTTTGTCGGCGGAGACTTCCGTAATCCGCGTTGAATTCGGCGCAGTGTTTTTTTCACAAAATAAGGCTGTAAATCGTTTTATGTGTAAACAAAATGGGCGGAAAAGGATTCAGAAGATACAATATGACATTTCTTTCAAATTTCTGTGCTTCGGCGGAGACATTTTTTTACCTCGGCGTACAATTTTTCTTCGAGTTCGGATAGTCAAAATTGGCTAAAACCAAAGCGTATGGTATCTCAAGTGACATGGCGCTGAAAAACGACTCATTGCGTCTTCAGTCGGCAGGCAGATGAAAGAACGGCAATTCGGCGGAGAAATCGGCGAAGAAAAAATGAACGTATTTAAGAACTTACGCAAATTTATCCGCCGAGCATCCGCCAATAAGAAGAATCATACTTTTGGTTGATCAGGGCCGTATAAGACCTACAACTTTAGTTTTCTCATCATAATTTCTTAAATGTGTTAATTTTTTTCTTCGCCGATTTCTCCGCCGAATTGTCTTTTTTTCATCTACCCGCCGGCTGAAGACGTATTAAGCCGTTTTTAGGCTCCATACCACCAGGGATACCACACTCTTTGGTTTTAGCCAATTTTGACTATCCGAACTCGAAGAAAAATCGTCCGCCGAGGTTAAAAAATGTCTCCGCCGAAGCATAGAAATTTGAAAGAAATGTCATATTGTATCTTCTGGATCCTTTTCCGCCCATTTTCTTTACACATACAACGATTTACAGCCTTATTTTGTGAAAAAACACTGCGCCGAATTCAACGCGGATTACGGAAGTCTCCGCCGACAAAAGAAAATTTTTTTTAGATTCTAAAAACTCCAAGGTTTTTCTGTAAAATGCAAAAAAAATTTTTCGGATTGGACCACCGAGCGCAAAGTTATTAATGAATAGTTTTTTCCATAATTCTCTGAACACCCTGTATAATGACATTATTCTTGTTTCAGTTGAACCTGATCACCCTTTCCCAGCACCGCATGAGGCTTGTAATGGGCGTTTGCCACTTGGAATTGCACTTGGTAAAGGACAATCAAGTCGCAATTGAAGGCTCCATCATCACTGATAAGAGGTACCACTTTCAAACAATGGACGAAATGCCCATGTTTGTCGAGTTCTGGAAGTTTTGGAGCGATGGGACGGCCACAGTGATCTTCGATAACAATTCGAATATTTTGGAGGAGGATGGAAATGTAAGCTAATTTTTTAAAATTTTTCGGGATTATTGAGTGTGAAATATGGGTCATTTTTACCGTAAGGAGTCTAAAAATTTTGTTCATGATTGATTTTTAGAACCCCTCACCGGCAACTGCACTTTCTCCGTATACTTCGCATAATGGTCCACCATCAGCTCCGTCAAGGTCGGAGACCACCAGATCCCCACAAAATCGACCGAATTCAGCGGCCGGAGTGTACATGGTGAACTCACCGGGGGTTCAGACAACAAATACGGTAAAAATTTTGGGCATTTTTTGGCTTATTTTGAGATTTTTTGAAGTTTGGAACGATTTATTGGGGGTTCGAAAAAAAGTACATTTTGAGAAATTTTAAAGACCCCCAAAGTTTTGGAATGGTTGTAAAATACGGAGGGATCTACTGTGTCTTCATAGTAATCTTTAATTTGACCATAAAAAAAAGGTATTTATTCCATGATAGTTTTGGTAAAAAATTTGTGATTTTTGGCTTATAATGGATGATTTTTGAACTTTCTGGGCCAAAAATCATCATTTCTTACGACTTTTCACTTGAGGACAATCTTTTCCAACAAAAACTTTTTTTGATTTTTGGGCGAAAATAGGGCGGTCTTGTCCCAAAATCACATTTTGATGAATGATATTTTTGGACAGAACCCTTTGAGTCATGATTTGCAAGGGTCTTTCGTTCTTTTCGAGGTGATAACGGCCGATGGGTTGTTTTTGGAAGATGGGTTTTATATATTTTTTGAGAATTTATAGGGGATTTAAAAAAAAAAAAAATATGAAATTTTGGGTTAATTCTGGGGTTTTTTGTGTGGAAGAGTTGCAATTAGGGGTTTTGGGAGTTTGGCATGATTTTTTTGAGGGAAACCAGAGGTGTTTTTGCGGTTTTGAGAGCAAATTTATATTGTTTTAGACATTATGTTAGTGAAATTTGAAATTTTTAAAATTTTTCCTAATGTTTTTTGTGCTGATGGGTAGATTGAGGCTTCAAAAGGATTATGGACTTATTTTTTAGGCATCGACCTCTCAAAACAGTCAACAGAAGAAGGACGGGCCACCAAAACGGCTCCCGACAGTCATCGTCTCGGCCGATTCCCTCGAAACGGTCCTTTCAAACTACCGCTTCCCTAATCCTGATGATGTATCAGAACCCACACCCCTCGAACAATACCTCTATGCCATCAATGCAGCATTATTTTTGCAGATCCCCTTCCAAGTAAGCGATTTTTATATTATTCATGGGAAAAAGACCTGTTTTTTGGATTTTTTCTCAAATTTTGATTGGTTTTTGGAAATAGGATGGTTTAAAATGTAATTTCAGGACTCGGAAGACCTCAAGAACTCTGTGAAAGGCATTCGCCGACAAATCCGGCCATCCTCATCACCCAAAAATTCGAACGGATCGGCGAAAAATGACTCCCCAGCCCCGCAAAACGGCCGTTCCGAAGTGGAAGTCACATTAGATTAATTGGATTGCATCCCAGAGGACTCGATAAGCTCTTTATCAAGCCTATTTCCACAGAATTTTGGGATATATCAGCGATTTTTGAGGATTTTTGACCATTTTTTGTCATGAATAATATAAAAATGCCAAGAAATGGGCCCCAAAAGTTTCATAATGAAATCCCGCACGGATTTGATTATGAGGAGCTCCAGGATCGCGGTTGAGCTCAATTTTTTTGAAATTTATTCGGGTAGAATTGTAAAATTTTTCAAATTCAAGATTTTTGTTGAAGGTCGTTTTCAAAGTGAAATCACTTCCACAGCCTAATTACTCTTGTTGTCCAGACTTTCGTTTTGTTGCAGGATCTATATTGTGCTTCTGTGGTATTAACACCCATATCATTATTTGAATAAAATGTTACACTTGCTGTTGAAGAGGGAAATTGATGCAATTTATGGTTGAAACCCATGAATATTGATGATTTTTGACTTTTTAAAATTTTTTGGGGGTTTTTTTTCACGTTATCTTGAAGATTCAGGAGATTTTTTGGACTTATTCGAGGAAAAAGTTTTAAAAAAATGGATTTTTTAAAAATTTTTGGCGCAATTTTTGAGTTTTTGTGCTTTTAAAATTTAATTATAGCGAAATAGATTAGCATGGTTGAATTTCACACTATTTTGAGTTGTTGAACACCTTTTTTTGAAGATTTTCTTATCAAATTTATATTATCCATGGCGATTTTTGCATTTTTACTAGTTTTTGTCTGAAATATTTGATTTTTGAGTTTTCAAATGCCGTAAGTAAACAAAGTATGTTTTTGATTTAGTTCTAGACCATTTAGAATGGTTTACCATGCTTTTTTAGACAATTTTTGACCTTATTTTATATTATCCATGATACTTTTTTTTATTTTTTTTTCAAAAAATTTCGAATTTCTATACATTTTTTCTTCAGATGGTCGAAATCGACTGGGCATTCTGCCTCTCCTTCCCATTCGGCGTCCTCAAAACTCTGCATGTCATCGCTCCGTTCGCATTTCTGATCACCGTATACCTGGGGCCATACATTTACAGCGGAGTGGGGTTCACGCTTCTGGTTGGATGGATGTCTTTCACAACAAATACATTCATTTTGATTATGTACTTGCTGGGAATTCATCGAAAGGACTTGGAAACGAACGGCAACAGCATCATGTTTTTCGCGGTCACAATTGCTGTAGGTTGGAGAAGATTGTGGAATATCTCGAGATTGTGTGTAAATCTTGAGCTGAAATTTTCAGGAATCAATTTTCACTGTAGATTTTAGATTTGGGTTGAATTTGAAGAAAATGTAGCCGTCCAACTTTGAGAAATTTTTATATTAATCTAGCTACCCATGTATAACAAAAAAAAATTTTTACGACGAAAATTTGTTGTTTTAAAAGTTTAGTGAGGAGTTTAATGTTAATGTGGCTTCATATTAAGCATTGTGCTTTCCAGGACTTCTTTGCCAACGCCTTATTTGGAGCGTTATTTTTGATTTCAACATTCATCAATGCAATCGCCATGATCAGCGGAATCGAACATCGGTTTTCATTGTTCTTGACATATCTGTTTGCAACGGTAAGCATAAATAAGCTCGGTGAAGGATGCTCAGTAGATTTTTGACTTGATTTGAGAGGAAAAAATCCAATTTTGAGAGAAAAATTCCAATTTTGTCTTATTTTTTATATTGTTTATGACAGTTTTAGCCTAAAACAAGGTGATTTGACCCAAATTTTGATGTTTAAAATACATAACAGGGATTTTAGAATATGTTGAGATCAGTTTTACACAGGATTCTTTCAGATTTTCTGCATAATCTCGACGATTTCGATGATTTATTACGTGATCCGCATCTATCGCGCCTGTCCCAACGGAAACCTCTCAAATCTCAAGTATCTGGTGGTGAATGGCAAAGATATCACACTCAGAGAAGGGTTCGGCTACAGCTCTCAATCCGGTGGGCCAAGACAGTATGCCTAAGGGCATTAACTTGTACCTAACGACGTTTTTTTCGGATCATCTTTTGGTGTCTAAAGTAATGTTTTTTTTTGTCAAATTTAATGTCTAAATTAATGTTTTTGCCTCCGTTTCGGTTATAAAATTTGTTGCTTACTGCTCAAAAGTATATAACAAGGAAAGTACTTCTATGGGGTGTGGAGTTACAGGTCGAGATATATATCAAAAAATTCGCAAAAATTTTCTGATTCAGAATATATAAAAATTAGCTGCCTAATTTTGGTCTATCAACGAGTTTTATCAATAAATGTATTTCTCGAGGAAAAAAATCTGCGGCAACAAAAGCGCGCTCGGCCTCTTCCTTCGGAAGAGAGCGGTGTGGCCGAGTGGTTAGAGCGCTAGATTGGGAATCCGAAGGGAACGGGTTCGATTCGTTTTGCCACACTAGAACCCATTTTTTACATTGGAACTACTTCTAAGGTGTAGTTGTAATCTAATTTGATATTTTAAGGCTTGTCAAGGCCTCAGAATTTATTTTAGCACAAAACAAAAATTTTTTATTGGTAAAAACACGGTCAAAAAGACACTTGCATGGTGTCGCGAGAAAACTTCTGAGGACAAAAACATGTCATTAGACCAAAATTAGGCAGCTAATTTTTATATATTCTGAATCAGAAAATTTTTGCGAATTTTTTGATATATATCTCGACCTGTAACTCCACACCCCATAGAAGTACTTTCCTTGTAAAAACAATCTTTCCCCATTTTTCGATCACTGAGCCGGCTCTAAACCTGTTTTTTCATGATATCCTTTGACTGCATGTATAATATCGGTTTTTTTTTCAATTTTTTCGAAAGTATATTGTCGCATTACCTCCGTCAAACGATAACAACTATAATCGTCTTTGAACTTATTCCGCTATGACGTCATCCCGATTTTAGATTAGTAATTTATTTTCGATTACTCTCCATGGCATTGAATTTTGATTTTTTTTGTAATAAACGGGAAAAGTGGTTGCGAAAATTGAATTGATAGTCGAAAACGGTTTACAATTTTGTGTAAAAACCCTTTGGGAATTTTGTGATTGCATTTGTTGGCAGTGATTTATGGGGTTTTGTAGGCATCGGAAAAGAAATCTGTAGCTGATAAAAGATGGAACCGGTTTGGGTTTCGCATGATGTCAAAGAGCAGTTGCTATGAAAAAAAATGATGAACGAAGTGCAATGAATACAAAAAAATCATGCGAAAATTTCAAAATACAGTGAAGGACCCGATCCAGTGGCAAAAAAACGTATCATTTTGCATCCGGGAAGTATAAAAAATGTGGCAAAATGCTTCCCTCTCCAAGTGAAAAACCCCCGATTTCAAAAGCGCGCCCGCTCTTTTTGTGAGAAAAAAGGCGCGCCCTTCAAAACGAAGTTTTTTCACTTGGAGAGGGAAGCATTTTGCCACATTTTTGATGCCTCCCGGATGCAAAATGATACGTTTTTTGCCACTGGATCGGGTCCTTCTTCCAGAAAAAATATCAGTCTGTCGGGGAAATAACGGCGGGTCGTCGCGCTTTGGAATCGCCCATCATCGCTTTGCGACTGCAAGCCGCGGCTTGGGATTTGATGCGCGATAGCGGCGAGGCGAGACATTTTGATGCGACGATCCGCCGTTATTTTTCCGACAGACTGATATCATGAGCAAAGTGCTCGTAGTTCAAGCTCAGGCCTTCCTTGAATTTTGTACGCAGACACCATACATCGATTAATGCGGATTTTAGCTGGTGCTTTCAAGTTTTTATTTTCCCGACAAACTGATAATGAGGGCGCTACGACCTTTCGGACAACGATAGTTCGGGTCAACGATGCTATGGATTGCCTCGGTTCGTCGTTGTATGCATGGGGAGGCATACAACGGGGAAGGCTTAGTTAGTAGAAATAACAAGATTGATCTGGTCCTCGGACAGCTTGTCACCTATTTTGTGGTATTTTACATGTACTCACATCAATAATATCAAGATAGAAGTTACTGATCTTCGTCTTTTGCCGCAAATTTTGGTTTTTTTATGTTTAAGCCAAGCCTTCGCCAAGCGTCCGCCGACCATCCAACGGCTTTGCCAGGCCTCGTAGGAACTTCCTGCAACCTGTTTTAACGTTAGTAAGAGATGAAATTAGAAAAAGTAGTCATATTTGTAAGCCTTCGCCAAGTCTCCACCGAGCCTTCGCCGAGCGTCCGCCGACCATCCAACGGCTTTGCCAGGCCGTAGGCACTTACTGCAACCTGTCTTTGGGCATCCACCTGCCCTACCCCTGGTATCAATCGATTTTGTGTTAACCAGAACTGTAGTCGGGACGCGATAATGAGCACTCTGCCGCAGCAAACCGGTTTTGCATTCTGCGCAGGTTCCACTGTAAAATTGGGCCTCTATTTATAATCGAAAACGGTCACAAATGAAAAAAAAAACAATTTTTTATTTCCAAACACATTTTTTTACTGAAGAATTATACGGTAGAAAGAATCAACAAAACTGCCGTCAATCTGCTTCAGCTTTTTTTCGCCTTTTACACTTCCCACGAAAATTCCACAAATGAACCCCGGAATTGATTGAAACAAAAGATTCTGGAGAGTAAAAAAACAGCGAACTCTCCAACGAAGAAATGATGGATCCGTTTCTCGTTTTTTGAGGATACCTGTTTCCACGGACGTCGGGAAACGAAACAAAGGGAGTACAGTGGCGATAGGTGTTTATTAAGGCGATGGGCTCATCGCCTCGTATTCTGCTGATTTTGTTGTTGTTGTTTTGCCTTGAGGTTGGTGGTCACGTGGTGCAGATCAAGTTGAGTGCTCGACCACAACTCAATTTTACGAAAGGTAGGGGGTGTGAAACAGCACAGTGCTCAACGTGCAGGTTACAGGTTTTGATGAAACTTGAAGGAAATGAAGACTAGAAGTTTCTGGCATTCATGCGAAACCAGGCGTTGAATATTCTTCTAGTTTTTTAGCACTAGCATTTTAAAACCATCAATAAGTTTTGTCAAGAAAGTTTGAAGAATTATCCAACTTTTTGATAGCATAACCCCCAAGCTTTATATCCAGATTTTTGTTCCGCAAAGGTTTTTGAACTGGCTCGAAAATCAAAGTCATGGCCGGACCCAAAAATTCGTCGGCCTGGCCGGGGCCCGAAAATTTTGGAAGGCTCGGTCTACTTATGAAGCTTGGAGAAACTGCAGGCTTTGCAAATGCTCGTCGAAGGCTTGTCGGAGACTTACAATGTCACCACTTCTTTAATAATTATACCTACAGGTTGCAGAGTGAGGCTTCTTTTGACGAAAAGTTTCACTCTTTTTACAAAGCATCAGCAAAAAACTTAGAATATGTAGAAAATTTCTAGTCTTAATTTGCTCCCAACTTCATCAAAATCCGAGTATCGCACTTTGAGGATTTCTCTACACCATTGATCTACAAATAATCCTATTGGCTCCATATTTTGGAAAACCCTTCAAAACGTTTCAGTAAAACGAACGCCAAGTTTGCCAAAGCCCTCTGCAGATAGCGCAAAGTTGGACGAAAATTTTGTGGAGCGTCTCAACGACCACTCCCTAAAATACACCGGAAAAGTCTCCATCGGAAATCCACCACAAGTTCTGGATGTGGTTTTCGACACTGGCTCTTCAGTGTTGTGGCTTCCGAGGTATGGCTGTCATTACGCGATTCCCGGCAGAGCAATGCATTATGCATTGTATGACAGGACGTTTAATCCGCTGAGGTCGAGGACTTGCGAAGAAACGGAGCTGATTTTTGAAAGCAAATATGCCGTTGGGCATGCGTTGGGAGAGCAGATGAAAGAGTTTGTTTCAGTAAGTGTTGGGATGTGATTTCAGGGCTTCCTTTTTAAGATTGATTATTCTTGGCCCCCTTCCAGATAGGTAACAAAAAAATTGGCCCCGTCCTTCAATACCCATCCAAAGTTCGGATCGGCGTTGCGGACGAGGTCTCCTACACCACTGACGGAATTCTGGGCCTCGGATTTCCCCGCGATTTCACTGAAAGCCGAGGAACTTCTCTAATCTCCGAAGCCGCACGGCTTCAACTCTTCAGCAAGCCGCTTTTCACCACCGTTCTCGTCGAATGCTCCAAGGAGATTTGCGAAAATGGCGGGCATATTACGTTCGGCTCCGAGGACCGGGAACATTGCGAAGAAAGTTTTGGAAGAACGCCAGTAATCCCGCTGCATCCCGCTAAGCCGTTGACGCATTGGGCCTTCGAAGTCAACGAGTTGTCGATGGATGGGAAGAAAATTGAAATGCAAGAGTATTTGGTGGCGGTCTCGGATACCGGAAGCAATACGGTCATGTTACCGGAGTGGCTGTTGAACAAGGTTTTTAGTCGGTAAGTTGAGCAATGTTTTTGGGGGGAAGACTTGACTAATCCCTGAGAAAAACTTGACCCGACAGGCAGCGCAATTTCATGAGACTGGTGTCAAATTGACGTTAAAAATTTCTAACAAAAAAAGTGTCAAGAGCGACGCTTGGATTTTATCTAAAATTTCCCACACGCGTTGTGCCTAACCTGCAATTTTTTAAAGGTTTCTTTATGGATCTCGACAAGTTTAGCTATTACAGTAGGGGACCTGATCCAGTGGCAAAAAACGTATCATTTTCCATCCAGGAAGTATCAAAAAATGTGGCAAAATACCTCCCTCTCCAAGTGAAAAAAGCTTAGATTTCAAAAGTCCGCCCGCTCTTTTTGTGAGGAAAAAAGACGCGCCCTTCAAAATAATTTTATTTCACTTGGAGAGGGAAGCATTTTGCCACATTTTTGATACTTGCTAGATGCAAAATGATATGCTTTTTGCCACTGCATCAGGTCCTTCACTGTTCACTTTAGGTAAGCGCAAGCGCAGTCGAGATATTCAACAATCATCGTCGAGTAGGGAGTTCACAGAGAGCGTAGAGCGGTCATGTGGAAAAGCAATTTTTTGGGCGTATCTTCGCAAATTTCTCGTGTAAAAAACTGTTTTTTTGCAGAGATCTCATTTATGGCTTGGGAATTAACATACGAACTTCCCGCCTTTAGTGAATCAGTCTGTCTGGAAAATAATGAGCACCCTGTCGCATCGAAAATCGCATCGCCGCAGAGATAATGAATTGTTTCGCGACAAAATCAAATCGCTTTTTCACTTCAGCGAAGCGAATTGCGCAGCGATATAGTGCTCATTATTTTCCCGACAGACTTATACCTGCCAAAAAAATTAATTTTTTCCAAATTTTGAGCAAAAAATCTCGGTAGACCCTCCAAAGCGCTTGAGAAAAAATCCGGATTTTCTTATAAAAATCCTAAAAATCGCATTTCTTTAGCATCCCCGGCAAAGACAAGGATATCATCCAACGAGTCGGTGATGGCACCTTTGTCCTCAAAACTCGGTGCAACGCCAACTTCACGCTGACCGTCCACACGAATCACATGGATCTCGAGCTGTCTTCAAGAAGCCTACTGCCAGCCAAACCGTTGAACCCTCAGGGCTTTTGTTACCTCAACCTTTCAAGTTCCAGCTCCTTGAAGGTAATGCTTTTGGGAGCGCCGTTCTTGCGGAATTACTGCGTAATTCACGATTTTGGCAAGAAGGAATTGAGATTTGCTAATTTGAAGATGGAAGACGAATAAAATTTATTTTACAAGTAGTTCTACTATGATCTTTTACAGGGTGTTTCAAGAAATCTTGGACAAATTTTTGACTTATATCTTTGTGCTGTTTGCAGCTATCCAAGAGGTCTCAGTCGTATTTAAAATTCGAAGCCGTGCGTTTTTAGAATATGCAAAAGAATTTTTCCTTGTCTCGGCGAAGAGACCGTTTTTCGGCGGAGACATTTGATGTCTTAAACAATACCCTGTAAAAGTTTTAGGCCTAGAAGTATGATCATGTGATGGAAGCATGATGGAACTTTTTTCACAAAGCACGACCGCAGTAAGTCTCTGTAAGAGTTCCATGCGCCACCGGCGCTTTTCATCACACTAAACATGTACAGTGAGGGACCGGATCCAATGGCCAAAAACGTCTCGTTTTGCATCCCGGAAGGGACCAAAATGTCTCCAAAACCTTCCCTTCTCTAAGCCTAAAAACCCCGCTTTTAAGAGCCCGTTTTGAAGGAAAGGGCGCGCTTTTCAAAGCGGAGTTTTTTAGCTTATAGAAAGGAAGTGTTTGGAGTCATTTTGGTCCCTTTCGGAATGCAAAACGAGACGTTTTTTGCTATTGGATCAGGTCCCTCACTGTAGGGGAAAACTTCCCACAAATGACATTTTTCTGGGACGAAAGTTGGTCATCTTTGAAGCTTTGTAAAAACCGCTATGATAAGCCTGACCACATAAAGAATAAATCCATAAATAGCGTTTTCAACGTACTTTCAGGTGGTATTAGGAGTAGTACCAAAACTTCAATTCTAGCTGTAAATAACGCAAAACTAAAAAATGGCACGGTCATACTTCTACGCCTAAAAGAAAACGGTATGAAACTTGTCATGCTAATATTTACAAAAAAGTATGACATTTTTTCCTTTTGTCAGTGTCATCTTCCAGCACTTCTAGTGTAAGTTTCGGAGCATCGCCATTTCCGTATTTCCTGGTCCTCAAAAATTTCTAGTCTCTAGTGTGAAAAGTTTTGTTCTTTTCCGGTATTTTCACATCTTTTCCCCACCAAATACGTCATTTCACAAATGTGTCAGCTGGTTTCTTTTTTCAAAAATTTATCGAATATCGATGGTAATAAAGCTTTTATGATGCTCCGAGACGGATCCAATGTAAATAAAGGTGAGCGAAAATAGGCGATAAGCCTGAGGGTGGTCATCTCGAGCCGTTTGCCCATCTCGAAGTGAACCGGTGGATCGCGGTCAACTCAAAAAAAAAGAGCTGGAAGCTCAATCTCGTTTGAGTTTCTTCGATAATTACCGAATTTTTGAAGGGGTTTTCTATGGTAATCATTATTATCTTTCCATTTTTTTTTGGATTTTTACGAAACTTGAGGCATATAAGAGCGAAGGAATAAGAATTTTTTCTCGAGCTCGAGAATGGTTGCTGGATTCGCTACCAATTTCAAAAAGTAGCGAAATGATCGATTTGCGACGTGGTCTCGGTAGCGAATCCTTCTTTTCGCGACCTCCGAAAAAAGTCGGTCGCGAATCGGCGTTTTCGCTACCTCCGCGAGAGAGGAGGTAGCAAAACGGCGTTTTTGCGACGGCGCGGAATTGGGAGGTAGCAAATCCGCGGATTTGCGACGTCCCAAATACATATAAACTCCGCCCCCTGAGTTTTGCAGCCAACCACCGCGTTTTGGCCTTTTTTGACAAAAAAATACCATTTATGGTGAAAAATTTTGCTTGTAAATCGTACATTTACGAAATTATGAAAGAAAAAGTCTTCTTCGTTAAAATATTTATTAATAAAAGACGTACATTTTCGTATAAAATATGCGTTTTTTACAACATTGTCCAAGCATTGCCGGAGAGTCGATGGATGAAACTGAAGAACATGTTTTGCCAGATATGGCCGAAGTCGAGGGATGGATCATGGCCGCCAAATTACCTTCCTGGAAATCAAAAGCAATGTAAAATTTCCTTATCATTTTCAGAAAAAAACACCTTCATTTACCTCATATTGCATGTGTCTAATCCGAGCATCGAAATGGGCATAGCTTTGAGCAAAAATATGGCCGACGGGAGTGAAATCGGAATTCCAGGTAATAATTTGTTACCTAAAAACAGAATAAGAATACTTAAATCCAATCTTACCTCCTTTAGCAACTACCACTTGGCCATTCCCTTGTTCGATTTCATTATTTCTGCCGCCTGTGTACGATTTATAAGGCTCTTGCCTAGAAAAAAATTGGAAATCTCGTCTAAAATAAAAAAATAATAAAAAAAAAACAACTTACCATGGAGTCAAAAAGCCTTTTTTGCCCGCCGATTTCGTCCTCGATGTTTATGGCGATCACCTTGAGCCGGTTTGTCTTCTAATTCAGCTTCTCTGCATCTATTTGGCCAATTTCAACAAAAAGAAACATAAGAAAACAGGAAAAAAAGAATTTATGAAGTTGCGAATGTTTTCGCGGCCCGTGAAAACGAAATGCCACGCAGTCCGAGAACGGATTTTAGGTCCAATAACAAGGATGTCCTCGGCGTTATCAATCAAATCAACCGTTTTTAGCCATGGTAAGCTGTTTTGTTATTATTTTTTGACTTTAGACGAGATTTCCAATTTTTTTTATATTGTTCATGGCAAGAGTCTTACAAACCGTTTTCAGGAGGCAGAAACAACGAAATCGGACAAGGGAAAAGCCGTGTGGTAGTTGTTAAAGGAGGTAAGATTTGATTTAAGTATTATTATTCTGTTTTTAGGTAATAAATTGTTGCCTGGAACTCGGTTTCACTCCAGTCGGCCGTATTTTTGCTCAACATTATGTCCGTTTCGATGCTTGGATTAGACACATGAACTATGAGGTAACAGAAGGCTTTTTTTCTAATCAGAAGGAAATTTATATTGATTTCGATTTCCAGAAAGATCTGTAAGCGGCCATGTTCTTCAACCCCATCCATCGACTATTCGGCCGTATTTAGACAATATTGTGGAAACCCCGCATATTTTACATGAAAACGTACGTCTTTTATTAATAAATAATATAACGATGAAGAGGGACGTTTTTATTATTCATAATTTCGTAAATGTACGATTTATCAGCTAAGTTTTTCACCCTAAACGGTGTTTTTCCGTCAAAAAAGCCAAAACGTGATGGCTGAAAAATTGAGGGGGCGGGGCTTTTTTGGGACGTCGCAAATCCATGGATTTGCTACCTGCCAATTTTGCGCCGTCGCAAAAGGGCCGATTTGCTACCTCCCAATTTTGCGCCGTCGCAAAATGGCCGATTTGCTTCCGACGTCTTTTTTGGAGGTTGCAAATTGAGGTTTCCGCTACTTTTCGAAATTGGTAGCGAATCCAGCAAACATTATCGAGCTCGAGAAAAAATTCTTATTCCTTCGCTCTTATATTAAGAGTCATGCATATTTTCGAAGGTCTAGGGGAGCTTTTTACCGTCCTTTGCAACAACTATCAAGATGGAATTTTTGTTGCAAAAAACTGAAATTTTTCGGTACTATTTTGGGCTATCAGTCTGTCGGGAAAATAATGAGTACAATGCCGCTGCGCTGATCGCGCCACTGAAGAAAAAAATTTTTTGATTTTGCCGCGATACATTTCATTTTCTCGGCGGCGATGCGATTTTCAGTGCGACAAAGTCCTCATTATTTTCCCGACAGACTGATAGCTCAAAAAAGTATCGAAAAATTTCAGTTTTTTACAGTGAAAATTTCATATCTTTTTCAACGTGTGAAGTACAACTCCACAAAAATCAATTATTTTTTCCACCAAAAATTCGCAAATACATGGCCAAAAACTTGTTTATTCTCTGACCGACTTTCCTCATTTTCCATAGTCTATTGTCTCCAAGGATTGTTGAATGTTTTGGCTTTCAAAAAAATTTGATGGCGAGAGACTATGAAAAATTATGAGGGATGAAGAGAGAAAAAACGTTTTTCTTTCGTATCTTTGCAAATTTCGCGCGGAAAAAAGTGATTTTTTGTCGAAACATTGTCTTACCCATGTCAAGCAAGATATCCAATTTTTCATCACAACAAGTGGTAAAAAATCGATTTTTTTAGCATTTTTCACAAGAAAAATTTGGTTCTTTCTGCAACATTCGAGCTATAAACCTCAAAAAAAATTTTTTTGAAATTTTACTCCCTCTTTTTACAAAGTTTCATCAACACCTTATCGTCGATTTCGACTGTTCTTTATTTCCATTTTTATCTTCTCCATCCTTCTGAATGCTGAAAATGACATTAAGAAATGGACTGTTTCTTCGGGCAATTTTTTGGTTCGTCTGTTCGAAATCGGGAGAGAAAATGTTTTGGGGGCTGAATCACAGCCATTTTTAGCTGAATTTTCTTCTCCTGACTTTATCTCCAGCAATCGCACTGCGATTTCTGGAGGCGTTTTGGGAGTGTTGGCGTTTTATTCCTTGGGATTTGTACCTTATGATCGCAAATTCAATATATAGAAAATAAAAGGGCGCTTTGTGTAAATCATCGAGTTTTTTAGATCGAAAGTTTAAAAAAATGTGTAACTTTTTGCGAATTTTAGTATGGTAGCGTGGAAAGTTACACACCCATTTCTACTGTAGAGAGCAATGTTTCCGCAAAAACATATTTTTTCACCACGAAACTGTCAAAGATGCAGCCAAAAAGCGTTCTTGTCTCTGACCGCACGCGACGTTTACAGGGGAAGTACTCCAAGTGCGACGCGCAGATTTTGATGAAACTTGGCACAAATTTAGAATAACCTTTTCATGCGAGAATCCTAGCTCGCGCTTTGCAGAAACTACCGAGATTCTTAGATCGAAAGTCGGAGAAAATTTAGGACTTTTTGCCGAATTTCGGCACGAAAAGTTTCATGCCTACTTCAACCGTAAAGGATAATGTTTCTACAAGAAATCAAATTTTTTCGCACGAAACTGCCAAAGTTATGGCCAAAAAGCGCTCTTCTTTCTGACCGCTCTCCACGTTTAACGTGCTCTCTCGACAGCAAAAATCGTTCGATATCTCGGCGGCGCCCGCAAAGCGGGAGCTAAAACTTTCAGGAATTGATATTTGGTCCATACCCGACGTGTGTGCAAAATTTAAAGAAAATCTGAGCGTCGCACTTGGAGTACTTCCCCTGTTAGCAAGCACCTCAAGAGATTCCCTTTTAAAAAAATTTTAGTCCCAAAAACCAGCCAAATGTCAAACCATCAATTTTCAGTCCATCATCTTAATACGACCTTTATTTTCTCGTTCTGAATCTCGATTACTAATCATTTTTCTCTTCATCTATTTTTTGATATACTCTTCTTATTTTTACTATACAATTTGTGGCTTCAGTTTTTCTCGAGCACCATGAACATTCGCCAAAAAAAACTGTCTTGGGAAACTTTCCAATAAATGCGATATGCAAATTTCGGCGCCCATAAAATCCCCACCCTCAAAGTTGAGTCCACTCTTCTCACCGCGTTTTATTTACATAACGGCTTTTCGCAACGAACGCGATGTTTTTACGTGCCATACCTGACGAAGGGATGGGGGTCTAATCTGGAGAGGGGAGATCGGTGCCTTTATTGATACCCAGCCAAATAAATTGGGGTCACACATTTAATGTTTTTGTTCGATCCGCAAGAAAATCTGTTTGCAAAGTGATTTACAAATTTTTTGTTGTTTAGAATACAGTGGAAAGTCTGTACAACGAAACGCAAGGAATCATAAAATATTTGTTATAGAAGGGTATCCTTGTACCGAGTTTCATTTTGCCCTAAAATTGACTCTTGAGACTTCTGAAATTGTTTGTTACAGACAGGCTTCGTTGTACGGAGTTTGCGGCACAGAGAGCTCCTTAAATGAAACTAGCGGGATCTTGGCATTTTATGTACCTACTTGTCCGTTCGTAAAGTCGCTGGAGTAATTATTGTGACATGCACTGTGCGAAAACCAAAGTTTACTTTGCACCACTGACTTTACAATCGGACGAGTAACTAGATAAAATGCCAAGTTTCGGCCGGTTTCATTCAAGGGGCTCTGTGTATAGAAAACTCCCGCGCAACGAAACCTGTCTATAACAAACAATTTCAGAAGTCCCTAGAGTCAATTTTAGGGCAAAATGAAACCCCGAACAAGGCAACCCTTCTATAACAAATATATTTTTTTGAATTCTTCCGATTCGCTGTATAGAGGCTCCACTGTATTTTGACAAATTTCGACAAAACAAAAAATCGATGGCTTCTGCAAAGTGGAGGCCAAATATTTGGCATGTCTTTAAAAATTTTGGGGCTAAGGTAGTACAACCTCCCAGTCCAGTCGAATGAGATGTTACATTCATGATGTTGCTTGTTCTTTGAACACTGTTGCCAATTTCCCGATGGGTCCGTAATCCGCAGAGGACTTCGGTGTATTCTTTGGATGTCTTGGTCCTGGTTATCAAGCGTTTGTTGGTTACTCGATCCTGTTTCTTCCCATCCGAGCTCAAACTTGGGTTAATAAGCCTGTATGCCAAGTTTCATTAAAATCCGCGAATTTTAATTTTCAGACTTGCTCAAACCTTCTCATCCACCGCCATATGAGATTATAAGATTTTCCGCTGTAACTACCGCAACCCTCACCCCCATTATCTCTGTTATCGACCTCCACCTTCCATCTGGCCTCCTCCTCCTCCTCTTATCCCACCGAGAGATCGAGGCGATTCGCAGCGGAATCTTCTCGATCTCTGGCACTTTTCCTTTCGTTTGGCACGGAAACGCGGCGCTCTTCAGCGCCTCTTTTCGTGCGCGTCCATTGCCAACTGCTTTCGAAATACGACCGGCGTTTTTATCGGTAGTGCGGGCAGAAGCGCAGAGGGGATCAATGGCGGCGATCTGGCTGGGGGAATGGGATGTTTTGGGAGGGAAATTCAGCGAAATTTATGGGTGTCCCGAAGAAAGTTGTTTTTTGGGATTTTTGGAAGTAAAATATGCAAAAAATGGGTGTTTTCTAAGATTTACTATCTGAAAAATCTCTGAAAATGAAGTAAAGTTCTTTTTTCCACAGCTTTTGATAATTTGGGCATAAGTTTATACCAAAAATCCCAAAAAAGTGATCATTCCAGCTCATTTTCCCCTCAAAATACCTAAATTTTGCGTGCTAACACACTATTTAGCCGTAAAATTTCTTTAAATCAACTTTTCCCAGCCATAAATCATCTCTTTTTACTCATACTAACCTCGCGCGCCAATAATTTTTTGAATTTCCCCGAAATTTCCCAATTTTTCAAGAATTCCAAAAAATCCGTCATGATGACAAGTTTATGACCCTTTTTTGAGCTTTTCATATATTTTTGCCAAACATGAGAAAGGATTTTAGTGGGCTTTACGTATTTTACAACACGTTTTCTGATCATGACCATTTATTCCTGGTCATTAAAAGCGTCGCGATGACGGATTTTCTGGATTTTCTGGAAATTACCGTCAACGGTTTGGCCGAAATTACAACCAAAATTGGAAAAAAAAGCTCGGATTTTATCGTTTTATACCTAAAAATACGTTTTTTCATGGCCAGACTGACCTTTTTCGTAATTCCCCTTCCGATTGCATAAGGTCCTTTCTATTTTTTTTATTCCACCGCCTTTTTGGAACGGTCCCGACTTGTACTGCAAGTAGAGAGCCTTTCCCCCCTCTTCCTCGCGCTCTCAGGGGTCAAGAGCTCGGCCGGACTGTCCATTTTCGTCGCGCGACGAACGCTTTTCTCTGACCAAATGCGGAGCTTTCCCCGCCAGCCTTCTTCTGTCCAAATCCACCGTTTTGCAAGGAACAGAAGAGTAATTTGGGTGGGAACAAGCTGTAATTAGAGTTAGAGGACTGTTTGAAGAGGGTTTCCACTGTAATTCCTATTGGTTTTTTGATTTTGGGATATAAGTTATATTATTTTAGGTAACAAAGTTGAAATTTTTGGTTTTAAATTTGTTTTTTTTTTGTGGAATAATGGATAGTTAGATTTAAAATTCTATTTAAAAACATTTTTCAACTATTTGACAGCTTTATTTTGCGTTTTGCTTTGGTTTAGACATCAAGTTATATTATTTTAGGTAACAAAATTCAAATTTTGTTATTTTTTTAGATAATAACTGATCTTCGTACAATGCAAGGACTATATATAAATTGTTTATGACTTGCCTGGCCCCTTTTTGCTATTTTTGAGTTATTTTAGGCACAAAATTATGTTATTATACACAGGGGACTCGGATTTACTTATATGTACGCCTTTTTTACTTATATGAAATTGAAGTTTATATAAGTAAATAAACGTACATATAAGTAAATAATCGTACATATAAGTAATTCTGAAATTACTTATATGTAAACTTTATTTTCGGCGCTCCACAAATTTACTTATATTTACAAATAAGGATTTTTTACTTATATTTACCAATAAGGATATTTATGCACAGTGCAGATTATATTATAAACGTTTATTTTGATTCTCAAAAACAACAAATACATGTGGATAACGCATCTTGTGTGCTCCGGGTAGTTTTCTCATCTGTTTTTGTCCTTATGAGGCATCAATTGCTTGCTTTCGAGATCTTCTATGGGGACTTCTGCGTCTGCATTCACTGAAAATAGTAACAAATAAAGAAGATAAGGTCGTTCGACGACATTTACTATAAGCCCTTCTCAATTGTTTGTGCTTCTCCACCCCGAAAAATTAGTTTTCGGTTCACCAAGTTTGTAAATGAAATTTCGAGACACTAAGTTTTTCATGTTGTACTAGGTCCAGGTGAATATTCTCAACATACCTGAATCATCCGAGTGCCATTTTTCCGGGGTCGTGTGTATTGTCCATTTACTACCCTCCACGACCAATTTTTTGATAATCTGAAACCTAGAGGCTTCACCTGGACCTAGTACAACATAGCAAAACTATGTCTGGAAAAATCTTTGGATTTATGAAATGTGAAAGCAGTTTAAAAAAACACCTACCAAGTTTGAGCAAACAATTCTTCATCCAAATTCCTGCCTCATAGTGCTTGTTTATAGATTTTTTGGAACTGCGTGAAGTTTGACGCTCCGTGCTCTGGAAGGTTCTCACGTTCGCGACTTTTGATCTGAGTACTCTGTTCTCCTGTAAAAGAAAAAAAACTGACTACAAGCATCTTACTTTATTCGGTCCGAGGTTGAGATACGTTCTTTGGCGCTCCAAAAACTTAGAATTTTTCCAAGTCCGGCCAACGCGTGCAGAAACCAAAAAGCGTCTTTGACGCTCAAAAGTTTTCTTTTCGAGGCTCATATATGTACATATAAGTAAAAATGAACGAGCTCCGCCGTTTTTTACATATAAGTTCCGCTATTTGTAAATATAAGTAAATAAACGTAAATATAAGTAAAAATAAATAAGCCCCGCCTTTTTTGACTTATATGTAAGTTATTGGTAAATATAAGTAAAAAATTTTACTTATAAGTAAATCCGAGTCCCCTGTGTAGGTAATAAATTAAAACGTTTCCAAATTTTTTCTTTTATTTTTTCTGTAATTTTACATTTCCGACTTGTAACTGCCATTTAGTCTCTGTTGACATCTTTTTACCTTATTTTTTCAGCATTCCACCCCAAGATGTTAGGTATTCCATTCGTGAATACCTACATCAAGAACGTGAAAGTCCAACCCGTTGCGGACTCCGTCGACTGGCTCAACTACTATGTCAGTGCGCTGTTGTTGATTTGCTGTTCATTGGCCATTTCTGCCAAGCAGTATTTCGGCTCGCCGATCCAGTGTTGGGTGCCCATGGAGTTTAAAGGTGGCTGGGAAAAATACGCCGAGGACTATTGTTTCATCGCGAATTCCTACTATGTTCCGATGGACGATGAGATTCCCAAGGACCTGGAGGCTCGTCAAGACCAAATCACGTATTATCGAGTAAGTTTGGGACGTTTTATACGATGAAACATTTCTGGAGGCTAATTTTTGTGATTTTTCTGAAAAAAATCAATTTTTCTCGCAAAAAATTGGTGGAAAAGTTTACACAGAACTTCCTTATTAAATTACCAACTGTAAATTATCTGTTTTCAGTGGGTACCGATCGTTTTGGCCCTTCAATCCATCCTTTTTTGGCTTCCAAACTACTTGTGGAACAACATCCACAAACAAACCGCCATTCATCCGAGAGCACTGGTAGATGATGCTCGGCAAATCGTTATCCTCACTGGGCAGGATCGCGAGAGGGAAATCGACAACTTGGCAAGGTATATTGCCGATGCTTTGAGTGCTTTCGCACCAGCAAATAAAGGGGTAAGTTGATGATTTTTTGGTGGAAAATTGAAGGAAAAATGATGGTTTTAGATATTTTATAGATCTTGGAGACAATTCAGATTAGTTTAAAATATGTTGACGACTTCCTGGTACACCTTTTGACCATTTTTGTCTAGTGTAATATATATATTTTTTTTAAAGAGCTCTAAAATAATCTAATTCATTCTGAATTAGATATACAGTGTTTTATTATGACGTTTTATGATATAAACTTTAAGAAAATCTTTCAATTTGAATCAAAAATAATGTAATTTATCCCATAGCCACCTAAAGTAATATAAAATTTGTAGAAACTTGCCCGTTCCGGATTCAATGCGGCAATTTTGTACTTGCTCATGAAGTTCTTATACGTTGTCAACGCCGTTGGTCAACTCGTGATGCTGAATTATTTCCTCGGAGGAGAATATTTTTCGTGGGGATTCGAGACGATGAAGGATGTGATCCGAGGCGAAGAATGGAAGGAATCCGAGGTGTTTCCTCGAGTTATTATGTGCGATTTCTCGGTAAGTAATTTGGGCTGGATTTTGGGCGAAATGAACGAGTTTTGTGGAAATTTCCAAAAAATCCGTCATCATGACATGTATAATTTTGCAAAATTTGTCATAGTGATTATTGGGAATGAATGAGTGGTGGTAAAATACGTGCTCATAAATTTTTTTGCAAAGAAATTTGCTCATTTATATGGTGTTTGATACCAGGATGACGTATTTTCTGGACTTTTGAAGTTTTGAGATTTTTGGTTTTTTTGGGTGAGATTTGGCCCTCGGGAACTGGGACGATTGGGAAAAAAGACGATTGGGAAACCGAAAAGTGTTATTTTTCTTCGATGCAAGTGCCAAAATTAGGATAAGGGGGTTCGATGGTGCTGCTTTCAAATAAAAAAAAATGAATAAGATTTTCGTAATCAGCAAGGTCGAAGCCCTCAAACCGAGTATTTGCGAAAAAATTCAAAAAAATTACTACTTTACAGTACTACTTAAGGAAAAAAGTAACTATCAAAAAAATGAATGTCATTTTCAAAATCAGAACCCTCGATTATCATAATTTCGGCACTTGCGTCGAAGAAAAACAATACTTTTCGGTTTCCCTAATCGTCTTTTTTCCCAATCGTCCCAGTTCCCGATGGTCAAATCTCACTCAAAAAAACCAAAAATTTCAAAACTTCAAAGTTCCAGAAAATCCGTCATCCTGGTATCAAACACCATATAAATGAGCGAATTTCATAGCATAAAAATTTATGAGCGCGTATTTTACCACCACTCACTCATTCGCAATAATCACTGTGACGAATTTTTCAAAATTAAACATGTCATGATGACGGATTTTTTGGAAATTTCCACAAAATTCGTTCATTCTTCCAACTCCAAACCCTCGAGGGCTTCAAAACAAATTTTGAATTCAGATTCGCCGCTTGGCCAACATTCAACGGCACTCGGTGCAATGCGTGATCATGATGAATATGATCAACGAAAAGCTCTACTTCTTCCTCTACTGGTGGCTCCTGTTCGTCGCCATCGTAACCGCCGTCAACTTCTTCTACTACCTGTTCACAATGCTGTTCCCCTCATGCCGCGTCCGCTTCATCCGCTCCAACATTAACCTCAATGACCTGGCCAACATGGGCCTGGGACGGGGCGATATCGAACGATTTGTGGTCGACTTTTTGCACTGCGACGGAGTACTTGTCTTGCATTTTATTCGCCGACACATTGGCGGCAGAATCACGTATGATCTGATGAACCAGTTGGTCCGAATTTTTTGGCATGAAGCCGGTTCTCAGACCCCCTCCAAAGCCTCGGACCGATCTCATGAACCGTTGTTGAGGGGAAGCGCGTATAGGAGAAATATTGCCGGAGATTATAAGGTAAGCTTTGGGGAATTTGGTTGGTTTTTGAGGTGATTTTTTGACATAAAATTTGGAGATGGTCATGGATAATATAATTTTTTTTTTGTTTTTTTTTTCTTTTTTTTTTTTTTGAATCTGGAAGAGTTTGCTTTTTTGAGTCCAAAAAATTGAAAAAAAAAAGATTTTGTGAGTCTTCCGAATAATTTGCAAAATTTTTTGTTAAATTTTATTTTTTTGAATTTTAAAATATTTTTAAATCTAAATAATTTTTTTATGTCTTCCCAGGTGTAAAAAAAAATTTGGATCAAAAAATTTTTTGGAATTTTTTCGAAAAAAATCACAATTTTTTTCAACTGACGATTTTTCGCTGTTTTAAATTACAATTCCCCCCGTTTTCAGCCCTCCATGTACAGCCCAGCCCACCTCTACCCCAACCCACACGGTCTAAAAACGGCGCCGAAGTTGGACGAGAAGAACCAAACCATTGATTTCATCGACGAAGGCACATTGCCCCTGAGGGATTTGGAGAACACCACTCCCGTCCGCTCCCCGAATCAGAACCAATACTCGTCGAGTCCGGCGCCCGTCACCAAATCCAGCATGAGCTCCGTGTAGAGCATGAAAATTGGACCGAAAAAAAATTGGACCGAAATCATTACGAGTACGACTGCCTTAACTATGATTATTTGTATATTATATGTGCAAATTGTCTCATAACCCAACTCAGGACCTTTGTTAACCTTGATTTTTAGTTTATTTTACAACTTTTACCTTTTTTTAGCTACTAGTTAGTTTTAAATTAACCGTTTTGTTCATAATGTTATCGTTGGTTTTTACGGGACGTAATAAAGTATTCAGAAATTCGAGAATTTTTTTTCATTTGCTTTCTAATTCCTTAGCTAATTAGCTTTCAAATTTGAAAAACCAAGACTATTAGATCGAAATTTGGAGGTAGCCTGATAAATTTTGGTTCAATGATCTTTGCGGCCGAGAGATCACGTGAAACGCGGAGAGCGGTCAGAGAAAAAAACAGAAAAGATTTTTCTTTTGGAACATTGGTCAGAGATTGCCACGGTCAAAATTTTGGCTCCGGCTCTTAGCTCCCAGAGCCGGAGCCGAGGCCAAATTTGCAGCTCCGGCTCTTGGCTCCGTGCAAAATTTAAAAGGCGTCCGGCTCCGAATCCCGGCTCCTATGCAAAATGGTTTTTTTAAAATATTTTTCCAAAAATAAAGTTATTAGTGCCAGAGATCATACAGCCAACGCTTTTGCAGTGAAGTCGCATCCTCCGCAGTGTTTTTCAAGCAATTTGGTTTAACAAGATCACGAAATTTTTACTTTTCTGACCGCTGGGAAGCCTCGCTCCGACTTTGGGCTCGGGAGCCGGAGCCGACCCCAAAATTTCCGGCTCCGGCTCTGCCTCCTGGCTCAGAGCCGGTGCCGCTCAGAGCCGGAGCCAAGAGCCGGAGCCGTGGCAATCTCTGACATTGGTTCTGTGGTAAAAATGGGTATAAAACTTTATACGCCAAATTTCGCAAAAAAGGCTCATGTTTTTGCAAACTTTCGAGCTTAAAAGTTGGGTGGTTTCTGCAAGGCGCGGAACGAATCTAAAATTTCCAAGTTCCTCAAAATCTGAGAGTCGCACTTCTTTTTCTTGCACTTACCCTGTAAAATCACTTCTGAAAAACATTTTTTTTTGTTTTTTAGAAGAGTTTTGTACATTCTCGCTGTTCTTTCAAAATCATTTTTTGGCAACACATTGTCCAATTTGTTTATTTCCCAACATCATGTGAAGAGCCTCCACAAAATGCAGACGCATATAAAGTTTATAAACAGTGTAAACTGGAAGCGAAGGCCCGCATTTTGTTTATAGAATCACTTTTTGAATTCTGAATTGTTGGACCGAATTATTCAAGGGCCGAATGAATATCTTTATTACCGGCGCGAACCGAGGTATTGGATTGGGGCTGGTGCAGCAGTATGTTAAGAATCCCGATGTTAAGCGGATTTTCGCTGCTGTGAGAAAACCGGGAGAGGCGAAGGTGAGTGGAGATTGAGGAAACTTTTGTCATTGTAAAATACGTGCAGAGTAGTGATGACTTTGAAAAGCAATGCAAAGTTAGAGGAATGTTTTTCAATGACATACTGCCAGTCGTTCCAGAAAGAGCGTAGACTTTTTTGGGCTTTTTTTGCACTGTACAGTGCATGTTGCGTGACGCGATCCTTTTCGAAAAATCTTACACTGTGTAAGAAAAGTCAGGGTACGCGGCAGCCCAAAAAAAAGCCTATTTGACGGCGCAAAAAGCGAGAAATTGCACATTGCAAAGAAAACTTTTTTTGCTTACAGTGGTACCTCTTTGGATAAAGCGCAAACTTCAATTTTCGGAATAATTTTTTGCTCGTTTTGGTTTCAAAATCCTGGGTACATTTCCAACGAACAGGACAAGGTTTCCGCAGAAAATCATCCTTTTTCTTTCGAAGCTGACGAAAGCATGGGCAAAAGAACGCTTTTCTCCGTGGCCGATTTCCATACACGCGCTCTGTCTCTCTCTTCATTAAAAAACTGTTGAATACCTTGGCTGACCGCTACAAGGGCAAGCTAAGACTTTTAGAAATTCATATTTAGCCTATGCCCAATATGCATGCAAAATTTAAAGAAAATCTGAGCATCGCATTTGGAGCGCTTCCCTTGTATTTAAGAATCTTTTTCAGGACCTCCACGCCCTAAATGATAAGCGCGTAATCATCATTGAATTCGATGTTCTTGATGACACAAAAATTGAGCATGCTGCCCAATGGTTAACCAATGAGATTGGCGATGAGGGTCTTCACTTGCTTTTCAATAATGCCGGAATCAGCTTGAAAGAAGACTGTCGGATAGAGAATCCATCAAGAAAAACGATTATGGACACTTTTAACACAAATGTAGCTGGTGTTGTGAGGACCACTTCGGTAGGTTAAACAGACAAATTTATTTCGATTTTCCGTCTATTTTGCACCCAGTATGTGCATGCCAATGCTTGAAAACTTTAGCTTTACGATAGCAGGGTAATCCAACATTTTAGAGCTTTTTGCAGACGGCGGACAGCTGTTTTCCGGTACAAAAAAGTTAAAAAGAAAGTAGAAGTAAGTAGTAAGTAGACCTATTTTCGCTGTGGAAAGAGATGTTTCCACAAAAAATCAATTTTTTTCCGCACAAAACTGGCAAAGGTGTGTCCAAAAATGTGTTTCTCTATGACCGCTCTCAGTGTTATGCGTGCTCTCTCGGCCGCAAATTTCATTTGATATAAAACGCTGTAAACCTACGCTTTCAAGCATTGGTATTTGTCTATGAATCGAAGTTTTTGAAATCGAATTTTTTCACTTTTTTCACTTGAGGTGGGAGGTGAGGTATTCTGCTGCATTTTTTGATACATCCCGGATGCAAAATGGTACATTTTTTGCCACTGTATCGGAGCCTCTGCATCAAAGTCTATGCTAAAAAATCTTGCTGTAATCTTAACTTCCAGGCCCTTCTCCCGCTCCTCCAAACCGCCGCGTCTCCAGAGAAACCCTCCAAAATCATCAACGTGAGCTCGGGTTGGGGTTCCATCGAGCTGACGACCGACGCGGAACATGGCGGTAAATTCGGCTATGGTGCGTCGAAAGCGGCGTTGAATCACTACTCAAAACAGCTGGGGACTTCGGAACTTTGCAAAAATATCGTAGTTGTCGCGTTGAGGCCGGGATTTATCAGCACCGCCATCAACGATTACGAGGGTCCGTTGAGTGTGGAAGAGGCTACAACAGACATTGTAAAGATGGTGGAGGGGCTGAAAGTTGAGGACTCTGGGAAGTTTCTAGATCGATTTGGCAAAGAAGAGGCTTGGTAGCCATGTTATATATACCTATATGGCCCTTATATGGCTGTTTATATTGCCTTACATATCAGCATTTTCGAATAAATCAAATTCTCAATGATTTATTATTATGTTAGGTTGGGAAAAATACAAGTATCAGTCGTATGATGAGTTGGCATATCGGCGACACCACACAATCAACAAGATGATGGCCAAGAGTGTGGCTAATGGCACTAGGATGAGGAGAAATTGGGAGGAAAAGGGGAACAGGTCCTGGCCGAGGTCGCGGCTATCCCGAAATGTCGGCGTCAAATGCATACTGGTCGTGTCGTCGGGCTGAAAATGGGATTTTTTGGGGGAAAAAAATATTAATTTTTCAAAAATATTACAATTTAAAAAAATTTTTTTTTTTGATTTTAATATTTTTTGCAAAGAAAAAATTTAGAGACTTGTACTCTTCATATCTCATAAATTTGCGTTCTTATGATGCCATCTCCACTTGAGTAAACACTATAAGTACTTCGCTCTTGACGCCCAATATACTTTATTCTATTCCCCGGCTAAAAGAGTAAACATGAAATAAAAGAAGGGCGAAAATCGCAAAATTTGTGGTTGTCTTGGCGAAAAGAGGTGTAGAAATTGGGCTTACAGTCAAAATATGCAAATTTTTTTCAGTGAAGAAAATGAATATGCAAATTTTGGAAAAAAAATTGAGCTTTGACTTGACTAAAAAATATAAAAATTTTTGAATATGCAAATTTTTTAAACAAAAAAATTTGAATATTCAAATTTAAAAAAAAATTTTTAAAACACGATTTCTGAGTCAGTGAATCAGCCGTGGACATAGAAAAAAATCGATTTTGAGTTTTTGATTTTAAAATGACCGCAGGCATCCAGTAAACATATTCCTGAAGTATTTTTGCCTAGTTCTCTCATTAACCTACTGTAATTTACAATTTAATGTTTTTACAGTAATCGACTATTACAGCATAACTACTCACTAGAAATGGCTGAAATTGAGAGTACTGATGTTTTCGGGCATGCTCGTCATTGTGAATTTAGAATTTCGGCGATCGGATTACTGTAACATACCGCAATGCGGTATCGGCCGAACAAAATCGGCCATAAAAAATTTGTTTCTGAAATGCCGCAGCTGATTTTTACATATGTTAATCAGCGTAAAATTATGCCCTAGAAACATTAAAAAAAAAGTGTATAAAGTCATCACCCCTTTTTCGTGGTGTAGTGGATTTTGGTCAAATTTAGTAATCCGAAGGTCGCGGGTTCGATCCCCGTGGAAGGAAAATGCGTAAAACTGTACAAAACCTCAAAAAATTGGTTGAGGTGGATTGATTACGCATACCGAAAGTATGAAAAATTGTATCAAAGTTGATTTCCGAACTTGAAAGCATTTTTTTGATGATGAAACTTGGATTTTGGTTTCCGTGGATTATGGCGCAAATTTGGTCTAGGAAATGGCTACAGTTGTTTATAATTAGGTTTTTTAGCCTTCTGAGTTCAATGGAGCAGGGTTTTTGGCCATAGGATTACTGTAACATGGACGAAACGGATTTCGGCCGCTTAAAATCGGCCGTAAAACGGTTGTTTCTAAACGTACGCAGCTAATTCTTCAATTTTTAGAATCAGCGCGAAATTTCACACAATTTTCACCTAAACAATGGCTTATTGGTTGAATACTTTGTTTTCAGTGGTGACTTATTTTAAAACTTGGAAATTGTAAATAAAACTATGTTAGCGAAGAATTAGCCAAAAATATTTTGAGGCTAATTTTCATCAACGTATACAAACATTTCTAGACCAAAATCTCAGAATTTTTTTTTTTCGATTTCCACGGATGACTTTTTTGACTGAAAAATTTCTAATCTGCTCAAAAAAAATCCTTGGAATTTGTGCGACCAGTTAGGATATTATATTTAATGTATCTAGAGCAGAATTTCATGCTGATTCCAAAAATTGAAGAATTAGCTGCGTACGTTTAGAAACAACCGTTTTACGGCCGATTTTAAGCGGCCGAAATCCGTTTCGTCCATGTTACAGTAATCCTATGGCCAAAAACCCTGCTCCATTGAACTCAGAAGGCTAAAAAACCTAATTATAAACAACTGTAGCCATTTCCTAGACCAAATTTGCGCCATAATCCACGGAAACCAAAATCCAAGTTTCATCATCAAAAAAATGCTTTCAAGTTCGGAAATCAACTTTGATACAATTTTTCATACTTTCGGTATGCGTAATCAATCCACCTCAACCAATTTTTTGAGGTTTTGTACAGTTTTACGCATTTTCCTTCCACGGGGATCGAACCCGCGACCTTCGGATTACTAAATTTGACCAAAATCCACTACACCACGAAAAAGGGGTGATGACTTTATACACTTTTTTTTAATGTTTCTAGGGCAGAATTTTACGCTGATTAACATATGTAAAAATCAGCTGCGGCATTTCAGAAACAAATTTTTTATGGCCGATTTTGTTCGGCCGATACCGCATTGCGGTATGTTACAGTAATCCGATCGCCGAAATTCTAAATTCACAATGACGAGCATGCCCGAAAACATCAGTACTCTCAATTTCAGCCATTTCTAGTGAGTAGTTATGCTGTAATAGAATGGTGCAGGACCGCACCGAACCCCGGGCTGGGTCCCGCCGCGAAACCTAACGCACCGTTGGAAAGTCAAGGAACGTGAGAGAATGGAATTGAGGGGGGGAGGGATCCGGAGAACCGAGTGGCGGTCGGTTGGATTCGGACAATAGGACAGGTTGACGAACGGCTGGCAAGGATAGTTCCGCCAGCCGACACTTGGTTTTACCTATTTTGACATTTACGTGATTGTATCGACCCTTCCTCTGGATAAACGGGTTTATATTTATTATTGGCGTTCTTTTATTCCTTTGGATAGTTCCGCTGGGATATTTGGGACTTTGGTGTGGCTTTCGGGGACTCCATTGAACTCCTATCAGGGAGGACCTTTGAACCACTTGGCGACCACGCGGCGACCACGCTGCGGGAGACGTAGACCGATAGCGATTGGATTTTTTGGTAAGTTTTTGTTGGTTTTTGTTTGGCTTTTAGGCTTGAAGAGATAGAGAATCTTTTTTGATTCTCTTGAGGGTAAAGCAAGAGTTACCCGAAATCTCGACTCGCGATTTATTCGTGAGGATATCTCGGAGGGATCCTAAGTGCTCCCGAAGAGATCAGAGTGTGACCGAACGTAAGAGAAGGGCACTCTGAGTCGAATTTCGCCTCCGGAAGAGCGGTGAAATCGACGCTGGGGCTCGTTCTTGAGAAACCCGGCCTTGTGTTACCTAAATAATAGTAGGTCAACACAAGCAATTCTGTCTCGAAATAAGATAAGAGCAGAATTGAGAGACAGCTTCCGTCTGAATAAATACCGGAACCTGTTTTGGCAAGAGTAATATTGAACTCCTTAGCCAAGTTGCCGTCTGAGTAACGACTGGACCTGTCCGTAGCAAGTATAATATCGGACCTTTTGTCAAACTTGAATCCATCAACAGATTCAAGATAGAAGAGCTGTATTGAGACCTTTTGAGCAACGAGAAACGAATTTTTCTCGAAAATAATTTGCGAAGTTGCGAGAATTTTGTGATTTGATATTGTTTTAGGTATCAAATCGGAATTGTTTGAGAAAGTTTTTGAAAATTGTATTTGCTTTGAAACTTTGTGTTGTCTTGTCAAGAGTTTCGTGTAGTGCGTGTTCGTATATAAGTTGCGTGATTGCATTCGTGATTTCCGCGAATCCATTGATCTAATTCTACTCTTTGCAGCATCGGAGACTCGAGTTGCCAAGAACCACAATTCCGGCCCAGAACCTCGACAAGTGGAAGTGAAGTGAGTTCTTTTTGAATTAGTGCCTTGTTGTTTAGAAAAAAATGGAGCAAGGGGACAGCAGCGAGGGTAGTAAAGAAGTCTTGGGAGACATATTGCGCTTCATGAAGGAGCAGCGGGAAAAATCTGATAAGACCTTGATCGAGGTACAAAAACAAGCTGAGGAAGATAGAAAGAAAATAGAAGAGTTATCTCAATCTGTTCAAACTTTATTAGCGCAAAGCGAAGTAAAGCAACCGCAGAGCGAGAGTATTTCTTTTGCGCCGCGCCTAGAGAATCCGCCGGCTAGAAGCGCGGGATCCGTCGCGGATCTTATGTTTATAGAGATGCGACTACCAACGTTGACGGGGAAAGAGAAACAAAGCGAAGTAGTCAGTTTTTTCTACAAATTTCGCGCGGGGACTGTAAATCACACCACGCAAGAAAGGAGGGATCTTCTTGAAGCCAAAGTAGCGGGAAAAGCAGCTTGGTTGTGGGAACACACGAGCATGGCTTCGGAGAGTAGTGACTTCGATCAAAATCTAGCTGAATTTGAGAATGAGCTGAAAAGTAGAGCAGCAGATCATAAGGACTGGGCTTCGATTTATCTCAAACCTTTCATCCGTGAGAACAATATGTCTATCCGCGAATATGCTGATCAGATAAGCGACATCACTATCAGAGCATTTGCTGGCGCACCTAAACACATACTCGAAAAGCATTTGATCTCGAAGTTTATGGCTGGGTTAAATCATAGAGAAGCTAGCATCGCACTCGCCGCGGAATTGCATAAAAACCTCCCCTTCGAAGAGATGGTCAAGATTGCCACCAATGTGTATGAATACAACAAAGGAAACTGGTATCAACCCCAGCAAAATCCATCATTTGAAGCTGAGAATTTCTTGAACAGTCATGCTCCAGCGCGTCTAAGTGCCTTTTGGATCGGTCCGTCTCAAAATAATCGACCAATCCCTCAACCAACGGTTGAAAACGTAGGTCCATTTGCAAACCAGCATGAGGATTTTCACCTACCCGGCCTGCAATAAATTCGCGCAAGCCAGAGTCGGGTGAATCCATCAGCAGTTGTAAAGCGCGATTATTTTGTCAGTATTGCAATGGAGGAGAACATTTAGAGAAGGATTGTCACAAACGGAAGGATTATTTGAAACAGCTCAGAGAGAAGGCATTAGCAGCTCGGGTAAATTATAAAGCGAATAGAGGATCTTCAATCAATCCCCAAATCATCTCAGCTGGTCCAGTGGAGCAAGAACCACAGGAGAATTCGGAAGTTAAAATTACGGCAAGCTGCACGATAAACGAAATTGAGAGTCTGAGAGAAAACCCCGAACTGAAATCACGTCAGGAACCTTTTACATGCTCAAATCTTGAGGAATCGAGTACACGTAACGATGAACTCGAATCCGGAGATCTCGAGACATTATTCGCTGAGCCCGAGATTTCACGTCTACCCTCAAAAGTCCACCAACAGACAGACTACACATTGGAGTTGTCAAAATCTGCGTTTATGAGTTGGAAACACGAGAAGAAGGGGATAATTCCGAGTTTTGAGGAGATCCTAGATAATTCAGTATACGAAAAATGGTTTAATACTACGGCCCTTGAGATCAAAGACCCAAAAGTCAATGTTGACATCCCGAAGGAAGATACTTTCGAGAGTTTTGAGAAGAGAAATGAGCTTTCCGCAAAAATTGTGCCAAGGGTTGATCAAAATATTCAAATTCCTGGTAATTGCCTATATGATAATATGTTTCTGAAGTCATTTCTCCCTGCTAAAGGCTGCAAATTTAAGTTCTTGGAGGAAAATCACAGTTTCAATGGTGATTTCGACAAGAACAACTTGATAGAATGGTCGTATTCCTCGCGAATTGAAGGAAAAGGAACCAAGTTTAAATGCTCGGAGGTTTACGTCATCAATGCGACTAACTTGATCGTAAATTGCTATTTTAGTGTGGAAATACCGTATTTTGTTGTAGCGTGTAGTATAATTTTAAAGGTATTTCAATTTTTGATTCGGAAATTCACTATTTACTTATTTTGTTCCGGTAAAACAGCAACTCGTACCTTATTTTTAGATAAATTTCAGGATCCCATAAAATATCCTGAAAACCCGGAACTTGCTTTTTGAAGTCGAGGACGACTTCAGATGTTTAGGGGGGGAGCTTGGGGGTTATTTAGGATATTTTAGGGATTTTTAGGGACTTTTATTCACTTGTAATCACTTTTAATTTCAGACTTCGACTACATTCACCAATACCAAACCAGATCGGACAAGCCCCAGGAGAAACCAATCAACTTCCCCAACGGCGCATCGACTTCACTGACATCGGGGACGATGCCAACTTGGTTAGGGGGCGAATGGTGCAGGACCGCACCGAACCCCGGGCTGGGTCCCGCCGCGAAACCTAACGCACCGTTGGAAAGTCAAGGAACGTGAGAGAATGGAATTGAGGGGGGGAGGGATCCGGAGAACCGAGTGGCGGTCGGTTGGATTCGGACAATAGGACAGGTTGACGAACGGCTGGCAAGGATAGTTCCGCCAGCCGACACTTGGTTTTACCTATTTTGACATTTACGTGATTGTATCGACCCTTCCTCTGGATAAACGGGTTTATATTTATTATTGGCGTTCTTTTATTCCTTTGGATAGTTCCGCTGGGATATTTGGGACTTTGGTGTGGCTTTCGGGGACTCCATTGAACTCCTATCAGGGAGGACCTTTGAACCACTATAGTCGATTACTGTAAAAAACATTAAATTGTAAATTACAGTAGGTTAATGAGAGAACTAGGCAAAAATACTTCAGGAATATGTTTACTGGATGCCTGCGGTCATTTTAAAATCAAAAACTCAAAATCGATTTTTTCCTATGTCCAGGCCTAACTGGCGGCTGATTCACTGACTCAGAAATCGTGTTTTAAGCTTCAACAAGATCCAGTGGCCAAAAAATATAAAAAATCAAAAAAAAAATGAATATGCAAATTTTTAAAATTAAAAAAATTTTACATATTTAGATTTAAAAATCGTCTTTTTGTAAAGGTTCATGCCTCCATAGCTTTTTCTTTATTTAGAAAATGAAGTTTTCAAATTTCAAAAACCCAAAAATTTGAATATTCAAACTTCCCAAAATTCTTTTCAAAACCCACTTTAGAAGGGCATATCCACCGTGGCATCATCAGGTCCTCCACCTCTTGCACAGTGCAGGCGCGCGGACAATTCCGCGCGCATGACTCCGGCGTGCCGAATGTGTGAATCAGCGTCTGCTGCCCGTAAAGGAACTGCTCCACCGGACTCATCTGATCAGTGCCGTCGGGACGAGCGCGCTGTGGAAATGATAACACAGCGCTGGCCGAACTGCATATCTAAAAAATTTGAAGGTTATTTGGGGAAATTCACATATGGAAAAATCGATTTTCATCATGACAACCCAATTTCTCCCCAGCTCACAGTTGCCGCCAGATGCACAAATCGATGACGTTTTTGTGGTCGCATGGCTGGAACGGGTCGCTTTCTCCAGGCCTTACTCAATTTTACGGGAATGTCATTTCGCGGCTGAAACGAAAAAGTATTAAACCCGCTCTTCTTCTCCCTTCAGACATCAGTTCCGCGGCTCGGAAAACATTTTATTTAAAATGGAAAAAAATGAAAATGGCACAAAAATTTGCATAAAAATTGAGAAATTTGGTTACAAAATGAAATTAGCATGTTTAGATTTTAAAAAATTGCCGATGAAAAATAAATTTTTTTTACAGGGGAAGTACTCCAAGTGCGACGCTCAGATTTTCTTTAAATTTAGCACACACATCAGGTATGGGCTAAATATCAATTCCTGAAAGTTTTAGCTCGCGCTTTGCAGGCGCCGCCGAGATATTGAACGATTTTTGCCGCCGAGAGAGCACGCTAAACGCGGAGAGCGGTCAGAGTGAAAAACGCTTTTTGGCTATAACTTTGGCAGTTTCGTGCGAAAAAATTTGATTTTTTGTAGAAACATTATCCTTTACGGTAGAAATAGGCATGAAACTTTTATGCCGAAATTCGGCAAAAAGTCCTAAATTTTTGCCGACTTTTGATCTAAAAATCTCGGCTGTTTCTGTAAAGCGCGAGCTAGGATTTTCGTATATACCTTAGAAAAAATTATTCTAAATTTGCGCCAAGTTTCATCAAAATCTGAGCGTCGCACTTGGAGTACTTCCCCTGTTATTATCCAAAAATGAATGAAAATTTCAATGTTGAATATTCAAATTTTTGAAATAAAATCAGAATAAATAAACATTGAAATTTCTATAAAAATTTAAATCAAAGTAATTAGCAACTGTTTTAAAGCTTTGAATATTTGAAATCTAAACATTTCAAATTAGAATATTCAAATTTTTAAAATTAAAAAAGCACATCAAACTTGACAAAATATATATAAATTTCAAATTACTAAGGATTTAAAATCGCACTTACAAGCAAAAAATATATGAAAAATTTGCATATTATATCTAAAAACTACAAATTTGAATATTCAAAATTTTGTCCAAAAAATTAAATTCAAGTTTAAAATAATGATTTCTGGTTTGTTGCCTTAAAAAAACCATAGAACACCAGGAATTTTCTCTCCCCACACTACTAATTAAAACGCCATTTTCAATGACAGGATTTACTGGAAACAGACGTTGTCATAACAGACGTGCCCCAGACGTTGCCATAAACACGGAGAAGTAAAAATACGAATTCTGAAATTGTCTCATGGCATTAGAGAAGTAGTACAAACGCGTTATAAAAAGAAAGAAATGGGAGTGTAAAATATGGTAAAAGGTGTGACGATATATGCCGCTGGAATACTACAAAAACTGGAAAAGTTAGAGGGTAGTTATTATAACGTAATCTTTTTATATGGCCTCAAAAAAATTGTCCTTGCAAAATTCTAAATTATTTTTTTTTATTTTGCAAAGGACAGTGTGCATAGCAAGGTATGCTATTATATAATCATATCACTATTTATATGTCATAATCATATAAACAGTAATGTGTGGGGCATCTTTGTGGATGCATTTGAATTGGCCATAACTTCTGTATTTTTTGCCAAAAATTCTTTTCTTTTTTGACAAAAGCCTCAGACAGTAATATAATATTTATATAGGGGAAGCACTCCAAGCGCGACGCTCAGATTTTGATGAAACTTGGCGCAAATTTCGAATAATTGTTTCTAAGATATATGCGAGAATCCTTAGCTCGCGCTTTACAGAAACAACCGAGATTTTTAGATCGAAAGTCGGCCAAAATTTAGGACCTTTTGCCGAATTTCGGCACGAAAAGTTTCATGCCTGTTTCAACCGTAAAGGATAATGTTTCTACAAAAAATCAAATTTTTCCGCCCGAAACTCCCTAAGTTATGGCCAAAAAGGTATTTTCTCTCTGACCGCTCTCCACGTTTAGCGTGTTCTCTCGGCGGCAAAAATCGTTCGATATCTCGGCGGCGCCCGCAAAGCGCGAGCTAAAACTTTCAGGAATTGATATTTAGTCCATGCCCGGTGTGTGTGCAAAATTTAAAGAAAATCTGAGCGTCGCACTTGGAGTACTTCCCCTGTTAGTTTTTTTTTTGATTTTTTGCTCTCAAACGATTCTACGTAAAATTTTAAGACTTCTCAGTCCGGGTTTGCCATGACTATCCATGACTATCCTACTGTTCCCGAAATACAACCAATTTTTGACATTTTTTCAAGATTTTTTGATTTTTATCATTATAGAATAAAAATGTATATGGATTGCTATAACATTGTTTATGCTAAACTTTGGGAGAACCTGCGGATTCATGAGAAAAAAGAATCTCTACATTTGGATGAAAAATAAAGAAGCTAGAGCAAATTCAAACCGGACCACAAAGATGCCCCATACAAACAAGAAGTAAATACAAAAACACGACGTCCTATGCGGAATTAATGCAGAATGATGAATACGAGAACACAGGAGAGGCGCTCGAAGTGGGAGGCTCAGATTTAGATGAAGGCAGTGACAACAAAATACCAAGTAAATCGTAATAGTAAGCTATGCCAATGAGCTAAATATTCCAAAGCAACACTAAAACAGGAAAAAAGACGGTAAGGAGATCAAAAAAAATTTGTGGGCAAGAGAAAAAATTAGAGCCAAACTTTAGAAAATAAGGCAAAATACAGAACGTTGGCCAAATTTTTGTGGTCATCAGACTGTCTGAAAAATAATGTGGATTTGTCGCGGCAAAATTTTCACCGGCTCGCAACAATGCCACGCCAAATCTCCAGCCGCCGCAAGCCGTCGAAGGCGTTACCAGGAGATCTTAAGAAGCGACGAATCCACATTATTTTCCCGACAGACTGATATACAAAAAAAGTCCAAGCTATTTTCCCGACAGACTGGTATACAAAAAAGACCACATTATTTTCCCGACGGACCGATATACAAAAAAGTCCACATTATTTTCCCGACGGACCGATATACAAAAAAGTCCACATTATTTTCCCGACAGACCGATATACAATAAAAGACCATATTATTTTTCCGACGGACCGACATACAAAAAAGGCCACATTATTTTCCCGACAGACCGACATACAAAAAAGGCCACATTATTTTCCCGACGGACCGATACACAAAAAACGGCACATTATTTTTCCGACAGGCCGATATACAAAAAAGGCCACATTATTTTCCCGACACCCTGATAAATTATATACAGAAATTTTTCTATTTCCTCAAGCTCATCCCCATTCAAAACCATTACCGCACGCAGCTCGCCCTCTAACCCAATTAACCAAACTTCCGCCTCTCCCCAAATTTAGCATTACAAATAAGCGGCCGCGAGAGACAATAGCCCACTTTGCCGAAAAACAATCTCACTCGTACCGCGAATATAAGCCCCATTTCCGGCATAGTCTTGAGCTTTGTGTCCCCACGCATAATATAGGCCCCACGAATCAAGGTCAGCAAGCGGTAAACAAAATGGGATGAATGTCAGAGTGACGGGTAGCGTGACTTGTGAAGGTCACAAGAAGGCTTGTTAAAGACTTTTGAGTAGGAGTTGTGGCGTAATAAGTTCAACATTGATATTAAAGTGCAGTAAAGTGCTTTGGAGAAATATTTTTTGATGAGGTTTTGGTGAAACTTAAAACGCTTACAATAACAAAAAAGTGTTTTACTTTTTCGGTCGTTTGCAAAAACGGCCGCGATTTTTAGATCGAAAGCTGGAAAAAAATGTGATGCTTTTTTTGCGAGTTTTGCTATCATGCCGTAGGCTAAATCTGGCACTGGCAAAAAGAACAGTTTCAGGGGCTGTCAAGTCATCAACGCAGAGCTGTGTTGATTAAGGGGGATTTCAAACTGGCCTTACGTAGACCACCAACCCACATGAGAAGGTAACCCAAGTGCAACGCTTAAAACTTGATAAAACTTGGCATAGATTTAGAAAAACATTTTCTACGACATATGCGAGACTCCTACCGTGCGCTTTGCAGAAACGACTGATAATATCAGCTCGAAAGATTGGCAAAATCGCAAATTTTTTGCGAATTTTAGCATCAAAAGTTTTATACCTATTCCTGCAGTAGAGAGTAATGTTTCCACAAAAAATCATTTTTTCCGTACGACACTGGCAAAGGTATAGACAAGAGTGTATTTTTCCCTGACCGCTCTCCGCCTTTCGCGTGATCTCGCTGCCACAAAGATCATTGAATATCTCGGCTGCCCTTGCGAAGCGCGAGCTAAAATTTACAAGAGTTGAGATGCGGCCTATGCACCAGGAGTGTGAAAAATTTTAATAAAATCTGAGAGTTGCACTTGAGAAAATTCCCATGTAAGCCTATACAAACCACTGAGAAACTATCTCTACGATCCCCGTTCCTTCCTACATCTTACAAATTCCATATTCCCACCTTTCACGCCGTGTTTCAACTGACGTTTCCTCACTTCTCAACAGTTTCCAGGCGATAAGGCCCATCTCCTTCATCCTGCGTGAAAATTTGCGGGCGAATTCCGACGGCTGGGATGTCCTTTCCGCCCGCCCCGCCCGAAGGGGTCATCCGCGCCGGAAAAGCCGCCGAACTGAGCGGTTTCGAGGACCTGCCCTCAGGGCTTCTTCGTGTATCTTCTTCGGCGGGTTTCGGCTGTCGGAAGAAATTAATTCCCCCACCAAATTAGGCAGTAAAATGGGCTGCCAACGGGCGTGGAATCGAAGGGCCGGAGATGGGTTGGCTGGACCGGGAAGGGCGTAATTACTGGCAGCCCGAGTTGCCCGACAGGTGACGGTACTGGAGAGGTCGAGGAATGGAGAAATGGGAAAAACAGAAAATTGTTTCAAAGGTTTCATCGTCAAACCTTCGAATGGAAGGGATTTTTGACCACGGCCACCTGTGACAAGGGGTCACATCCCTGTCACACGTAAATGCGGACAAAAAACCTTTACCCTCAGAATCAAGGCACCGCGACCCAAATTTTGATGCGTAATTCTACAACAGGGCTTCCACATATAGTAGAATATTAGATGTAATGCAGTTTAAGTAAGAAGAACAGACTTAAAAAAAATTGGCACAAATTTATATAAGAATTTTTTGAAGACATGAGAGATTCCTAACGAGGCATTGCCGATATCTAGTAAGGCATAGCGAGACTTCTAGCTTGAGATTGTTAGTTCAAAAGTTGAAAAAATAAAAAAAATTTTTTTTTGCGAATTTAGGTGTCAAAAGTTTCACACCTATTTCAACGATAGAGAGTAATGTTTCCACAAAAAATCGATTTTTTCCACGCAAAAATAATAGAGTTGTGGCCAAGAAGTATCTTTTCTCTAGCCGTTCTCCGCTTTTGCGTACTCTCTCGGCCACAAAGAACGTTGAATATCTCGGCTTCACCTGCAAAGCGCGAGCTAAAACTTTCAGGAATTAATAAACGACCTATACCAAAAGTGCGTCCAAAATTTGGAGAAAATCCTAGCGTCGCAATTGTCGCCCTTCCTCTATGACGAGAAACCGTAAAAAACGGTTTTCCGCGCCATCTTTGTAATAAAAACATCCCAAATCCCTCGGCAATCTCTTTTCGATCCCAAAACGCCTTTTTATGACCGCTAATGCCCTCGCCCTTTGCAGATTTAATATTCAATTTCTTTGGGCAATTCAGTCGTCATGACATTTCGCCTCTTCCCAGACTATTTTTGGTTCGAAACCGTAAAGTGATTAGACGAAAAACGGTCCAAAAAATACGAATAAAAATTTTGTAAAAATAGTTTTTTCCTTTTTGCGTCATCGGAAATACCTTTTCTTATTCAAAAAGTTTAAAAATTTCGCCTTTTCGAATGGAAGTGCAATCAAATTGCAATTCTTTTATGGAAACTTTGCGACGAAAATTCGATTAGTCGGAGGATTTCCGAAGGAGCAAAGTTTGAAAAAGAGGAAGATTTGAATAGCACTTGGAAGCGTAGACGAAAAAATTGAGCGACCTTTGAGGGCGAGAGACCGTGGAGAAATAGGAGAGACGGTCAGAGAAAAAAAACTCTTGCTTGATTTTCGGCCGTATTTTTTTAAAAATTGTAGCGGAAAGGCATGATGATTCGTAGAAGATTTTTTATTTTTGTCGGACACTTCGCGGACATCTCTATTCGCGGACACCCAACTCGCGGACACGGGTTTCCCTATTCGCGGACGCCCAAGTATTTCCGTCTAATTATTTCTTATTTCTGCGTGTATATTGTTATATTGTTACCAACGCTGTACAATGGATATCACTAACCCTGATGAAGAAGCCTCGTTCAAGCTTGTTGCATTGCCGTCGCAACGTCGAGGGACGTATACGAGGTTTTCGGCGCCCCATCCAGACGACGATGGTTTGGTATATGCATTAACCAATGGTGGAAAAGCTGATAGAAAGGGAATGCTACGATACTTCTTTGCCTACTGCCGTGCCGTGAACGACAAAAACCGGAGGAATAAAGAAGACGTCACATCTTTCCATATAGGGCGTCCGCGAACAGCGTGTCCGCGAACTGGGAATGTCCGCGAATAGGGTGTCCGCGAATAGAGATGTCCGCGAATAGGGTATCACTCTTTTTGGAGACACTATGGAAATTGAGGAGAGACGGTCAGAGAAAAATGGATTTTCCGGCCCGACTGGTGTTATTTTTCGAAATTAGGGGATACCGAAAATTTTCAACTGTAGAGACTACAAAAAAATTAACCATTAGTCTGTCGGGAAAATAATGAGCACTCTGTTGCATCGAAAATCACATCGCCGCCAAGAAAATGAATTGTCTTGTGACAAAATAAAATTGCTTTTTTACAGCGACATGATTGGCGCAGCGACAACGTTCTCATTATTTTCCCGACAGACCGATATGTTTCCAGAGAAGAGATTATGGAAAATGAGGAGAGATGGTCATAAAATAAAAAAATTTTCTGAGAATTTTGTTGCATGACCCAAAATTTTTGCCTTGAAAATCCAAAAAATCAATTTTTCACCAATTTTAGACCTAAAATACCTGGTCACATGTATCTGCAAAGCACAAACTAATCGTCTTGTATATTCCTCGGAAAATTGTATCATCTGTCGGGAAAATAATGAGCCCTCTGTAGCAACGAAAATCGCATCGCCGCCGAGAAAAATCAATTGTTTCGGGGCAAAATCGAATTGCTTTTCACTTCAGCGATACGATCGGAAAGTTTTGACATTGCGCTCATTATTTTCCCGACAGATTTATAATCTAAATTTGCGCCAAATATCATTACAAATTTATAAAAAATAATGATTTTTGGCCAACGACACTACGTACTCTTTAGTAAAATTTTGTTTCCAAAAATTCATTACACAAATCTCCCACTATCTCTCCGCCAAGCTTTATATGTCATTTACACCCCAAAATGAAAGTCAGAGGCAAGAATGGAAGGCTGAAAATTTCCAAAAATATACATCTGGCGGCTTATCCTTCCTGTCCTCACTTGACATCTTCTTGTTTTTTCTCCGCTTTCTTGTTGGCCTAAAAACCGATACTAATCCGGGGAGTTTGAAAAAACAAATTCTTTGGGCTTTGTGGGGGCAATAAACAAATGTAAAACAGTTTGTGAGCTTAAGTAATCTTCAGTTTGCAAATTTGGAAGATTTTTTGAAAATTTGCATAATTTAAAAAATTTGCATAATTTCAAAAAATTTGCATAATTTCGAAAATTTGCATAATTTAAGAAATTTTGCATAATTTCAAAAATTTGAATAATTTCGAAAAGCTGCATTATTTCAAAAATTTTCATAATTTAAAAAATTTGAATAATTTCAGAAATATGCATAATTTCGAAAATTTGCATAATTTAAGAAATTTTGCATAATTTCAAAAAAGGTTGCATAATTTCAAAAATTTGAATAATTTCGAAAAGCTGCATTATTTCAAAAATTTTCATAATTTAAAAAATTTGCATAATTTTAAAAATTTGAATATTTTAGTAAAAAAAGTAAAGCACTATCTGTGTATGCTCCACAAAAAATTTCTATATCAAAATTTAAATATTCAAGCTTTAAAATTTGAATATTCATCAAGACAATCATCTCCCTAAAAATTTGAATATCTCATTCAGCCAAAAGAGATGGCCATTAAATAAGATGGCTTCCAATCCCCTGAGGGTTCCAAATAAAGGTTCGAGTAAATTCAACGAAAATCAAATTTGTAGTGTGTTCTGGGAAGCCATACGAAAACGCAATGGATTACATAGGAAATCGTCTAACGGCTTAAAGCATAGGATTAGCATTGCACTTTTAGCGTTCTTTGGTGACTAAGAACATTAATTGTAAGGTTACAATATTCATTAAAAATAGAAAAATCAAAAAAATAAAAAATTTGGCGGGGAAAAAATAAAATTTTCTTTTCAAAATCCACGCCTTCATGCTTACATATATGTAAATATTACATACATAAAACCCACAATTTCGAAAAATTCCTACTTTCTATTTTTCCGCTATGAATGATAAGTGTCAGTTATATGACGAAAAGGTCCACGGCAATCTTTGGATAGTCAAAACAAGGAAGAATAGAATGAAGGAATATACATATAACATCAAAATATCCTTGGTGGGACATATATGTACATCCGTCCCACGCATACATAATATAAATAGTCAAAGCTTCAAAACTGGAAAAAACATGATATAGCATTCTGTCGGGAAAATTGTGTGATTCGTCGCGCCTTGAAATCGCCGGTCACCGCTTTGCAACGGCTAAAATACTTTCCCGACAAAGTAAAAATCAAAAATCGCATCGCCGCCGAGAAACATGTCGTGGCAAAATTAAGTTGCCTTTTACTTCTGCGACACGATTGGCGCAGAGACATTGTGCGTATTATTTTCCCGACCCGTTATTTTTCAATATAGAAGACGTTTTCCAGCCAGTACTTCTCTTGTTTATGGGATACATTTCTCTCCTTATTAATCACAAAATAGAAATTTTTGCTGCGAGCGGTTGGCTGTATGAGTGAGCACAAAGCGGACAAAAAATAATAATATTGCACTATGCAACAAACGAAGAGCAGACGCCATAGGGCAAAGAAAGAAAACTCTGTAAAGTTGTGGCACAGATTGAAAGAAGAGATTTTCGCGATCACACCAGAATGCTATAGCACTCGCGGGCTCTTGAGTTAAGTTTTTTACAACGTGGAAAGAAAATTTTGTCATCCCGCTTCGTTTTTCGCAAAAAAGTTCATTAAAAGAGCTTCAAATGAAAAGATTTTTTGGGGAATGGGTTAGATTGTTCCATAGTGTTTGTATATGACAAAGTTAAAGGTTCTAGGCCCAGCAGTTTCCCAGATCCAGGTGGAAAGAAAATTTTGTCGACCAGGGGCCGCTATCTAAGTGTTTGCTGAAAATTAGCTGCAAATGGCAGAGCGCAGCTCGGAAAACAACGTTTCGCAGCTCGAAGTTTCAGCTTGTTATCGAGGTGCGCCCAAACCGCGAGCTGCACCCGTGCAAGTTCTCCGAGCTGCGCCCTATAATTTTCAGCAACCTTCCAGGGGCCAATGCGCTATCTGAAAGTTTGCTGAAAATCATAGGGCGCAGCTCGGAGAATTTGCACGGGCGCAGCTCGCGTCTTGGGCGCAACTCGAAAACAAGCCGAAACTTATCTCCGGCGAGCTGCGCCCTACCATTTTCAGCTAACTTTCAGCTAGCGCATTGGCCCCAGATAGCGATTGGCCCCCGGTATGCATAAACCGTTAGCAGAGCCAATGGCGCGATTCCGGCGACATGCACTGTACGAAAACAAAAGTCCACATTACACTGTGCAATTCTCGGCTTTTTTGCATAGTGCAATAGGCTTTTTGGGCTTTTTCTGGGTGTCGTCCCACACCCTGGCTTTTTTGCATATTGCACGTCGCCAAAATCACTGCAGCAACTCTGCGAACGCACCACTAATTCCTGACCTCAAACGTCCACCCGCTCAGAGTTCGCATCACGAGTGCGAGCGCAATCTCTCCGACACCCCGCCCGCAGCATTCCATCTCCTCGGATTCAGTGAGGCGTTTAAAGCCGAAAGTAATCTTCTTCCTTGCCGGAGGCCAAGAACTCAAAAAATTGAATATCTGATGAGGGCCGCCGCCAAAGTCACAATTCATATACGAACAAAAGCGGGGCGCAGAACGAAGAGGAGACCATATAACAAAAGCGCCTTCAAGTGGGAACTGAATACATACTTGATGAGCGGCCGGATAATAACCTCGGGCATGAGCGAGGTCATGGAGAAGAGGAATGGCAATTATTGTGGGAAAAAGAGTCTGACAGACAAATCTGATAATGGGGATGATGACATAAGTGGAGAGTAGTATTTATGAGCAAGCGCTTTTGAAAATTTCGGCGAAACAATATTGTGTCTAGCAATTGTATGTGAGCTACAGTGGGGGCCTGTTCCAGTGGCCAAAAACTTACCATTTTGCATCCAGGAAGCATCAAAGAATGTGGCAAAATACCTCCCTCTCCAAGTGAAAAAACTCCGATTTCAAAAGCGAGTCCGCTCTTTTTGTGAGGAAAAAAGGCGCACTCTTCAAAACTAAGTCTTTTCACCTTGAGAGGGAAGCATTTTGCCACATTTTTGGATACCTTCTGGATGCAAAATGGTACGTTTCGAAAAATGTTTCTCTATATATTTCTTGTCCTCAACTGTCAGCGCACAAGGCAAAAATCTCGATGATTTTTTTGGAGTAGTGTCGCATTTGACGACTTCCCAAAGTTGTCGGCACGATTTTACAAGAGAAGTGGGCTAGGGACGACTCTCAGACGTTCTTAAAATTTTACGTAGAGATGAAGGACCGCTGATACCATATAGACCACATAGAAGCCCACAAGTTCTTGTCTTGAACGTAGAGAGCACTAATGTTTTTTCAAAATTATTTTTTCCGCATAAAAACAGGCAAAATTTAGCCAAAAGTTTATTTCTCTCTGGCCCCTCTTTTATCAGCGTTTCTCGTACTCTCTCGTCAGCAAAGGTCGTTCAATATCTCGGCTGCGCCTGCAAAGCGCGAGCTAATATTTTCAGGAATTGATATGCGGCCTGTACCCGACGTGTGTGCAAAAACTTAAAGCAAATATGAGCGTCGCATATGGACAACTTTCCTTGTAAATTTGAACAAAAATCAGCTCACTTTGCCAAGCGGGTTTTATCGTATACATATTCGGAAAAGTCCTATAAGAACAAAAACATTCAATAATTTTAGCGTCCCAAAATATCCGATAAATTGGTATTTTCCTCCCTCAAAGTGCCAACGAATCCTCAAGAAATCATCCGCGGCAGGGGTGTCTAATTTCGTCCAAGACACGAAAATTGCTCGGAGAAAGCGATAAAAATGCTCGGCCCGAGGGGCGAAGAAAGTCATGACATTTGATATCCATTCGACGGTATATTTTCAGGTTTCCGGCATTAGTGGAGGCCTATCTGGAAGGGGAGAGAATTTTTGGGTATCGGTTATAAAAAGAGGAGAATAGGGAAAACAACTGTGAAGGAGAAAAGAATGGCCAATGAAAACAAAAAAAATGCAAATTTCTCTTTAACAATGGAAGCGCAGAAGCGCTCCAAGTGCAACCCAGATTTTCATTAAACTTGGCAAATTTAGACGATATTTTGTTATTAGTCTGTCTCTGTCGGGAAAGTAATGAGGATAATTTCGCTTCGCCGATCGTGTCGCTGAAGTCAAAGACAATTTGATCTTGCCGCGACACAATTCATTTTCTTGATGCGATTTTTGATGCGACAGAGCGCTCATTATTTTCCCGACAGTCTGATAAGACGCTGGAAAGATTCTTAGCTTGTTCCAGGGGCGAAGCTGACTAAAAATTCACACATGTAAAAAATTACCTTGTCCCCCTTATCATTTTTTTCTTCGACCTAGGCCTGGCGAGTATGTAGAAAATTTACCTTGCCACCCTTTACCACCCCCTAGCTACGCCCTGGCTTGCGCTCTGCGGAGACGACCGAGATTTAGATTTTTTGGCCTAACGTTGGCAAAAATGTGGATTCTTTTTGCGAATTTTCGAATCAAAAGTTTCATGCCTATTTCTACAGTAGAAGGTAAAGTTTCCACAAAAAAAATAATTTTTTCCGCACCAAACTGGCAAAAATATGGCCAAAAAATGCCTTTTTTCTCCAACCGCTCTCCACGTTTTGCGTACTCCCTCGGCGCAAAAGATGGTTGAATATCTCAATATCTCGGCTGGGCTTGCCAAGCGCGAGCTAAAACTTTCAAAAATTGATATGTGGCCTTTGCCCATATTGTGTGCAATATCTTGGACAGCTCTGTGAAGTGCGACCTAAAATTTTTAAAATTTTCAGAAATTGATATTTACCACGCCTAGCCCCGAGGTCTGTACAAGATTTTAAAAAAATATGAGCATCCAACTTGAGACAGTTCCTTGAAAAAAAATAATCTTATTCTTCCATAAAAGACCCTTTCCCTATTCGGATAACCCATCAAAAATGGCCAAGTATGATATTTTGGAGGGCCGAAACACGCATAGGATTAGAGGCTCGATTCTGTGATTTATTCATTTTTTTGGGCCCAAAAAGAAATGAAAAATATGTTTTCGGATTGAAGGAACAGTTTGAAGAGAGGGGCAACTTAATCGGGTGATAAATCAGGCCAACGGGTAATTAATTTTATTTCACTTTAAGATTGCGGATAAAGAGAAGAGTCTAATGGGGAAAAAGGCAAAGAATTATCCAAATTACAAGCCGGCTGTACTCTTTTCGCAATTAGGGGAAGTACAGGGTGGTTCAGCCGAAGCTTCCATTCTTATTTCAAGAATTTCTAGATTTGGTGCCTCGCCGGATTGAAATATGCTTTTTAGGCACTTGCTACTTCTGTGAACCTTACCTTTTTTAAAAATTTTCATCGAATTTGAATTTTAAGCCAAGTCCGAGAAACTCAATTGAAAATCATTCCAAAAATTTTGTAAGTTTCACCGATTTCGGGCTCCAAAATTTGGAATGAAAATGTCAAAGGTCAGTACGGGGGTATCCTTGAACTTGGGCCTGTCATATTTGGTGGACAAAAAAAGGGGAACCTCAGCTTCAATTTGATATAAATTTTATAAAAATTGGTGCATTATCGGCGGAGAAATACTTGAAATAAGGATGGAAGCTTCGGCTGAACCACCCTGTATTTCAGGTGAGGAGAAAATTGATTACAAAGGAAGTGCTCGAAGAACGATGGTGAGATTGTAAGAAATACTGCTCGTCTGTGACTAATACAGTAGAGGACCTGATCCAGTGACAAACAACGCACCATTTTGCAACCGGGAAGTATCAAAAATGTGGCAAAATGCTTCCTCTCCAAGTATAGAAACTCCGATTTCAAAAGCACGCCCGCTCTTTTTGTGAAAGCGCTCTTCAGGACAGAGTCTTTTAACTTGGAGAAGGAGGCATTTTGATACATTTTTTGATGCTTCCCGGATGGAAACGCTTTAGGCCGATTTTTACTGGAGAAGGCAGCGCCCTCACAAAAAAACGTTTTTTTTTGGGCGAGACGGGCAAAAATCACGGTCAAAAAGCGCTTTTTTCTTCGGCCACTCTCTGCACTTTCTATGCTCTATAAAGACTTTTCTTTTCATTTTTCCAATAAAAATGCTCCAAATTCAAAAATTTAACCAAGTTTAATGCTTTTTACACTTTTTTCATCGGGATGCCGATCAAAATACCAGTCAGTTTCGGTGTTGTCATCGACCCACTTCTGGAAGATGACACTGACCGATTGGGCGTAGTAATACGTGTTGAAGATGAGTGAGATCCACCAAATAAAGGCCATTCGGGAGGATTCGAAGGTGCGGCAAAGGTCCTGGTGCATTTGAATGGGGCCTTGGCTGAAAAAATGGGGGATAAAATACGATCAAATTTTTGGTCGTTGCATGCATGAAGAAGGCTGGGAGAAGGCTTAATTAAGAGAAATATTAAGATTGATTGGGTCCTAGGATAGCTTATAACTTATTTCGAGGTATTTTACATATACTCACATCAATAACATCTAGATAAAATGTACGGATCTTCTTTTTTTGCCGCAAATTTAAGTCTTTTTTATGTTACAATAGCTCAAGGGTCAAGCAAAATAAAGTTGCCAACAGCTGAAATTAGAAAAATTGGTCGTATTATAAGCCTCCGCCGAGCCTTCGCCGAGCCTCCGCCGTGTATCCAACGGGTTTGCTAGGCCTCCTAGGGGCTTGCTAAAACCTTTTTTTGGGATCTGTGCCTGTAATGCGCCTTGTATGGCTTGATTTTTGCGTTGATCCGAACTGTCATCGACTCAAAAAGTCAAGACTTGGAAGTTTTCCAAAATAATTTTTTTCCCAAAAAAATGAAAAAATTCCAATTTTTACCTGCAAATTGCATAGACGATCCGGAATTGGAAGAGGATCCAGACGATCAAACAGACAAACTCAATCTGGTCCTCGAACATTTCGCTGGCCGGCTTGGGCAGGCTCCATTCCTGGACTGGACGAAGTCTCCGTCTTCGGATGCCAAACTCCCATTTGCAGATCTCACAGCGCTGAAAAAATCGGATAAAAATTTTCAATTTTGCTATGCAACATTTTGCCATGGGGTTTTTTCCGAGAGTTCGATAAAACTCGTCGCAAATTAAGGCTTCAAAAGGAATGGGTGAGGTGATAACCGCATAAATTTATTTTTTTCTCTGTTCTTTTTGTTATTCAAGCTTAAAATTAGAGTCATCAAATTTGTAGCTTAGCAAAAATAGGGGTCTGGTTCCAGGCTCCGGGATTTTTCACTTTTTGAAAAACCGTTTTTTATTCCTGTTATTTCTGCATAGTGCTAGCTGAAAATTTTGTATGTAGACCATTGAATACAATGGTCTTGATTTACGCCAAGTTTCATTGAATTATAAGCATTGGCTTTTGAGAATTTTGGCTTCAAAATATTCAGAAAAAACTTGAATTTTTCAAATTTTTCGACCTAAAAATCTCCATCGTTCCGGCTAAATGCAAGTTATAAGTTTCACACACACTTTAGAGGGCTCTAATCTAAATTTCCACCAATTTTCATCACAATCCGTGCATCAGACACCGAGCATTTCCCCTTTCCTTTTATCTATCTCACAACAAACCTTACATAATTGGCTTTAATCACCTGTCTTTCCCACAAAAACATAATAAAAATTCGCCCAAAAAAATCTGTTTCAACATCAAAAACATTGCGGCAACGTACCTTCTTCCCCGACGCATTCAGCCACTCTTTCATGCAGCGCCGATGCACCTTGCCTTGGGTCCCACTGCAGCGGCAGGGACGGACCATTTCGGCGGGCCCGTCCTCCTCCAGGCAGATCCGACATACCGGGATCTGCTCGCTGAGCAGGGCCGTTCGTGTGGAGCTCTCCGACTGCATCGCGCTCTTATCAGCGCCCACCGATTTTGCGAACGAAAAAACACAATGAGAAAACACAAATTTTTTGAGAGGAGGGGAATTTTTATTTCCTCCAGAAAACGCATTTTTTCTCATTTTCGGAAAAAACAAACATGATATGATAATTTCGTGTGCTGGGTGGAGTACAATGGGTGTGATTTTGGGGCACAAGAATAGCCCGAACACCGCACAAACTTTCCCGTTTTGGGGGGATTAAGCCGCTTTGTGAGTAAATCAGTGTTTAGCAACGGGACCCAGCGTGGTCGCACCCAAAACATAAAAAAATTGAGGATGAAACTGGGTCAGCGTCGCGAGATTACGAGATGCTGTTGAAAACCATCGAACAGGTGAGGAAATAGAAAAAAAGTCCAGTTTGTTTTCGGAAAAAAAGCAAAATTTTTTCAAAATCTGTTTATCCGATTTTTAATATGTTGACGGTTTATGAGAGCCTATACTTCAAAGTATGCAGTATTCTAAAATAAAGAAAATAGGCTTACAAAAAAGTGACCGGTTTTGCCAAAAAACCGGTTTTGACAAAAATTTTCCCAGTACTTTTACGCCTTTTGAGGACATTCGAAAATAGTGAGGGTTCGGGTGCTTGGAAAAAATTTGTTCACTGAAATAGGTTGTAGGACTTTTTGTCAAAACTAATTGCTAAAGGTATGTGTGTACATACGAAGCTAACCAAACTTTTACATATATAATCAAAGAGACGCATCAATTACTGCAAGCAGAGCCGATATATTTAATGATCTTTGACGCCGCGGGAGTACGTGAAACACATACCGTCAGCGGCCTAATCTAGTGGCAAAAAACGCAACATTTTGCATCCGGGAAGTATCAAAAATGTGGCAAAATGCTTCCCTCTCCAAGTGAAAAAACTTCGCTTTGAAGGGTGCACCCTTACAAAAAGAGCGGGCGCCGGAGTTCTTTTAGAAACCGGAGTTTTTTCACTTACAGATTTTTTGTAGAAACATTATTCTTTACGGTTGAAATAGGCATGAAACTTTTCGTGCCGAAATTCGGCAAAAAGTCCCAAATTTTCGCCGACTTTCGATCTAAAAATCTCGGTTGTTTCTGCAAAGCGCGAGCTAGGATTCCCGCATATATCTTAGAAAAAATTATTCTAAATTTGTGCCAAGTTTCATCAAAATCTGAGCGTCACACTTCAAGTACTTCCCTTGTTAGAAAAGGAAGCATTTTGCTACACTTTTGATACCTCCCGGATGGAAAATGATACGTTTCTGCCATTGGATCAGGCCTCCCACTGTAAGGCTCTCAAGAATTAATATATGGCCTGTTAGTTCAAGGCTGTATTAATACTTTCAATCTGTGCAACACTCCTCCAAAAAGTACATAAATAATTCGAGTTTACTCTCAAGAATACCCATAACATCTAACAACAATCTAAACAAATTGAGAACACATTTCGTATGCTTCTATATACTTTCCGGGTCGGGCAAACAAACAGTCCCATTCTGCGTCCGCTGCCACATCTCGTACAGCCCGTACAGGAAGGAGCCGGCTCCGCAGACGGTCAGAATGTGCATGATCTGATGGGAGTGCCCAAATATGTCGAAATAGCCGGGCTTCCATCGCTCCGGCAGCTGCAGACAGTAGAAAATGAGGCCAGTCCCGCTGAAGAAGAGGTTGGCGAGGAGCCAGAAAAGGCCGGCGTATTGGAACGCGTAGTCCAAGCCGCTTTGGTAGATCACGTGGAGGAGCGGGATGATGACTGGAAAGAGGGGATTTTAGAGGAGAAAAAGTGTGAAACATGATTTTTTTCCAGGATTATAGGCGTATGAAAGAGGAGAACTACTTGTAAAAAGTTACTGCATTATTTATACCAAGGATAGCACAATATTTCTATTAAAAAAATTATTTTTTCCCTGCAAAAATGGCATATCTGTCCCTGACAAAAATATAGTCAAAAAGTCCTTTTTTTCTCTAACCGCTCTCCGCATTTCGCGGACTCTTTCGCCGGAAAAGATGGTTGAAAATCTTGACTGCCCTCGCCAAGATATTCGAAGCGTAAGCTAAAATTTACAGGCCTTGACAAGATGGAACCTCTCTATAACAAACCTCCATACAACGAAAACTCACTATAACGAACATTTTCAATTATCCTAAAATTCAATTTAAGAGCAAAATGAACCCCCGTACAACTTAACCCTTTTATAAAAGACAATTTTTTGATTTTTGGCCTTGAAGTCGTTATACAGAGGTTTCACTATACGTAAATATTCGCCAGTCTTCCTCAATAAAAAATGATTATTTTTAGGCTAGTCTTCAAATATTTTTTTGACTTTTCAAATACCCCTCAACTTACTGCTCAGCCCGAGTCCCGAGAAGACGAGCGCCCGCAACGGCCGGTACTTCGGCGCCGCAAATCGATCCAAAAACGACACAATGAAAGCGCCCATACTCAAAACACCAATTTGTACAATATAGATCCACATGTAGGTTCGTTGACAATAAAACGCGTAATAGGTCCAGGGAATGAACGAGCTGCACATTGAAAGGATTACGCCGCAGTAATCAAGTCTGAAATATGAAATTTAAAAATGGGATTTTTTGGAAAAATAGGCGGAAATATGCAGTTAAAAATTTGGAAAAATAAGAAAAAATATAAAAAAAAAAATTTTTTATTAAATTCGAAAAATCGGAAAAAATCTTTTTAATTAAAAAAAATATTTAAAAAATAACTTTTTTTAAAATCCGAAAAAAATTTTTTTTTTAAATAAAAAAAAATAAAAAAAATGTATTTCATCAACTTACTTAATAACGGTCCGAAAAATCCGCTCGGAATGACAGTGGACGGCATGGAAAACGGTCGAAAACAGGAGACAAGTGATTATACCCACAAAAAATATCATAAAGATCAGCTGATTCTCGAAAGATTGAGTGATTGGTGCACCGAGGAAGACAAACATTGCCGTTATGAACATTAAAGCACCTGAAAATTTGGTAAAAATGTAAAAAAATGGAGAAACAATTTAGAAAATTGTAACAGTTTAAAAAAATTTTTTAATTTTTGGGTAAAAAATTGAAAAAATCAATTTTTAGACTGTTTTTAGCAAAAACCTCGAAAAGTATCCAAAGGTATCCAAAAGTGTCAAAAGGTATCAAAAAGTATCCAAATGTAGCAAAAAGTATCCAAACGTATCCAAAACCGTCAAAAAGTAGCAAAAAGTGTCCAACAGTACCAGAAAGTGTCCAAAAGTATCAAAAAGTATCCAAAAGTATTAAAAATCTCAAGCAAAATTTCACTCACCAACTAAATGCGACCAAATATTCATCGTCTCGGTGTGGAAGCATCCCACACTCCGCAAACATTTTGTCATGCAATATAGAGGAGGTCGATGATTATGAAGCAGGTATTCATTGTCTTTCAGCCATTCCGGCAACTCTTCGTACGAGCAGAGCTGAAAATTCTGGCTCGTCTTGCCGATGAATTTGGTGCTCTCGGATGGCTCTTGGATGGAGACGGTCGGGGTGTAGATACTGCCTCCTTCCTGTAAAAAATGGCCAGTCATTGTTGTTGTTGACGATTTGAGGAAACGACCGAGATTTTTGGTAAGAAATTTAGAAAAATTTTTTTGCGATTTTTTGGCATGAAAAACTTTATAGCTATTTTTTACTGTAGAGGGCAATGATTCCGCAAAAAAGTAATTTTTTGGCATAAAACTGGCAGAGATATAGCAAAAAAGTGTTTTTTTGCCTTTCTTTGGCCGCTCTCCGCGTTTCGCGTACTCTTTCGGTGGTAAAGATCGTTCGATATCTCGGCAGCGCCCGTAAGTTGGAGGCTAAAAATTTTAGGGATTCATAAGTGCTCAAGGAGAAACGGCTGTGCAAAATTAAAAGAAAATCGAAGCCTAGGGTAGCCTAAAAATAACCTTTACAAGACGATAGGTACCCCAAAAATAAGCCATACAAAACGATCACTTTTGAGGATTTTTTTTAATTTCAAGGCAAATTGCAAGGCAAAATATTTAAGAAATCACCTAGCCTTCTAATCATACGAAAAAAACCTGCAAATCAATTTTTAAACTGTTTTTAACAAATGTATCCAAAAGTATCAAAAGGTATCCAAAAGTTTCAAAAAATATCCAAAAATATCAAAAAGCGACCAACGCTATTCAAAAGTACCAAAAAGTGTCCAACATATGTATTTATAAGTCTGTCGGGAAAATAATGAGCACAATTTCGCTTTGCCAATCTTGTCGCTAAAGTGAAAGCAATTTGCTTTTTTCGACGCAATTTATTTTCTCGGCGATCCGATTTTCGATGCGACATTGCGCTCAATAATTCAGACGCTCAATATGACAGCATAATAAATCAAACGTGATCTTTGGTGCCCTCCAAATTCGTAATGCAACCACCCAATTATGCGGATTACTCACGCTTTCCACACTCTCGACCTGACTGAGTCGCTTCAGGCTGTTCGGAACCTCAGTTTCCATCCTCCACTTTCCACCCAAAGCCCGGCCCAAAAAGCCCGAAAAGTCGAGAAGGCCAACTCTCTGAAATCGGGATGGTAAATACACACAGGTACGGTACCTTCTCGGTGCATATTATGGCATTTTCAGGACTTGCACGAACGAGCACGTTGTATGTAAAGGGAGTGTAAAAAACACCGGAAAAACGTATGAGGGCTATTCAGAGGAAGGAGCTATATATATAATGTAATGTAATAGACCAAAAGTTGTTTTTACTCGATTAACAAGGTTCATGTTGAGTTCATACATACACATATATCTACTTCCTCCTAACTAGGGAAGTGTACATACAAACCTCACCAAATGATAAGTGACATACGTCATTGAAGAGCCCTTGAAAAATGGTACAAGGTGTAGTTTTCATTTTTTGCAGAATACCTTTCCGGCGTACTGTAAACTGTTCTATTTTTAGGTCATTTTGAAACAAAAATCCTTCTTTCTTTTGAGCTAGTAAGGCCGCAAATCAATTACTGAAAATTTATCTCGAGCTTTCTCGGGGAAGGCGAGATATTCAACAATCTTTTCCGGTGAGAAAGTACACGAAATGCGGAGAGCGTTCAAAGAGAAAACAGAACCGTTTTTTGATCGTATCTTTGCCAATGTCGCGTTGAAAAACTTGATTTTTTGGTGGAAAAGTCGGCATTACTTATGAATTTGAAATTTCTTCAAGAGAGTTCACTAAATGCAGGGAATAATCATAGAAAAAAATCGTTTTTGGCTATATCTCGGCCAAGCTCAGACTGGAAAAAATGATTTTTTTGAAAGTTAATTATTTATATAGAGATGATGCTGAAAGCTTTTCATCCAAAAGTTTCGAAAAACCGTCGAATTCTCATCCATTTTCAACCAAAAAATCCCGGATGGCTCGACAAATTTTAAGCTCGTTTTTAACAGTTTTACTTGGCAATTCTTTTCTGAGAATTGAAGGAGATTGTAATTGAAAAGAGGCTACAATTTCTCTACTAAATAACCTGATATCTTGAGGGTGTGGGACAAACTTTTTTTTGCTACAAAGCCTTATAATTATCAGCCTGTCGGGAAAGTAATGAGCGCTCAGTGGCATCGAAAATCGCCGCTGAGAAAATGAAAAGTGTTGCGGCAAAATCAAATTGCTTTTCACTTCAGCGACGCCTTTAGCGCTCACTGCTTCCCTGATATTATAAATCTCATCAAAACATGAGTATCGCATTTACAAACCTCTTCTTTAGTCGACTACCCCACTCGAAGGTTCAAAAGTCCTCACAATTTTGATCTCTAAAGAGATATAGTCGTCCACAAAAAACAGTTTTCAATAACAGCCATAAATTTAATCATCTATAGAAACACTTTTTCTAATCTCCGTCCAAGACCACCGAACCAAGAAACTCCCTTCTCAATGGGTGTTAATCCATCCAATTTGACTTCCCAAATGACAAATTATTACAACTTCTCTCCTTCTCCAACAAGGTGTGACCCTAACCTAATTAAAGGCCTCGGGGCAGCAGTTGAGTGCATACGAAAAAGGAAGGGAGACTATAATTTTGGTCGAATCAAAACTTCTCGCTACAAATCTAATTTACAAAGAAATGGGCTCCAAATGCAACGCTTAGGTCTTATTGAAACTGGCTACAAACACGAATTCAATTTTTTTTTGGGCGGTGAGGGGTTTTAAGTTGGCGATTTGCATCCAAAACCATCATTTTTGGGTCAAAAATTTGCGGAAATTTGAACTTTGATTTTTGACAAGAAAAGTTTCAAAAGAAGCATTGCTATTGGATTGGAAATCATCATTCTTTCAAAAAAAACCTAATTTTTCTCCGCGAATTTAGGAAATATACGGCCAAAAAAAGGTTTTTCTTTCTGACCGCTCTCTTCGTTTTGCGTACTCTCTCGTCGGTAAAGCCTGTTGAATATCTCGGCTGTGCCTGCAAAGTGCCAGCTAAAATTTTTGGGGATTGATTTGTGGTAAATAAACACTATCTCAGCCAAATTTCACAAACGTCGAACATCGGGTACCCTCAAAAAAAAATTTTTTTTCTAGACCAGTTTTATGTCATCAAAGCCATTTTTTGCTCAAAAACATTTACGTAAAGCAAACTGAAACCTATCTAAGCTCTCAATGACCACAATCCATACATTTTCAAACACAAAAAATTTGAAATCCGAAATTAAAACCCAAGGTTTCTCTACGAGGAAAAGAACATTCACCAGACACGTAAAGTGTAGTGCCAGACAGCGGGGTAAATAACAAATCGAGAGAGACCTTTGCCGATTCCGTGGAGTCTACGCAATACTTGCTAATGGTAGAAAATAACAATGCGCAGGGGACCAACGCCCATGCTAGTTAGCTCAGGTGGAAAATTAACGATAGTGTTTAACTAAAGGGGTTTTGGATATGGTATAAAAATGGGTTATGATGAGAAGATAAATAGCTATTAATTTATCAAAAGTTTAGCTGTTGAGAAAATAGATAACCGATTTTTTTGCATTGAAGTTTTTTTAAAAATCGTCAAAAATGTCTGGTTTGTAAAGTTGAGGTGTTTTGGGGTACCGTAAATTTCAAATTCCTTTTAATTTTTCACGCCTATTCTTCCTTGGTTACTTATCAATTTCTACAACTTTTAGCTTCTAGTTTACAGGCGCTGCCGAGATATTCAACAAACTTTTTTTGAACCTTACGAGAGAGTATGACAAATGCGGAGAGTCGCAAAAAAATCAAAGACAAAAAATTTTTTTTCATCTCTGGTCTTACATTCCTCATCATCTCGGAGACTCCCTCAAAAAATTGACAGACTTCCTGGACAAGCAAACTAGCTTTTTTCTCTGACCGCTCTCCGCCTTTTACGTACTCTCTCTCACAGCCGTAAAGGTCGTTGAATATCTAGGCTGTCCCTGCAAAGGGTGAGCTAAAATTTTCAGGGATTGTAAAGCAAGCTAGTCAAATTGACCATGCAAAATTTTGAATTAATTTGATGCTTTGACTTTGAAAAATTATCATTACAATATCTGATAGAACCCCAAACAAAAGAGTATTATTTAGACGTATTTTACAATTATGACGTCACTCCACAGTCATCCCAAACCTCACATAATCCTACGAAAATCTCCAAAATCCAAAGTCCCATAAGAATTTCCAGCCCCACCATGACACACAATCACAATCTTATGACACATGAACACCCGCAATATCCCCCCTTCCCCTTTTGAAGATGGCCGCCGATAAAACAAACCGCAGACAGCGCAAAAAACGAAAAACAGGGATTTTGGAGGGTATGCAAACTTCTTCTTCCTCGTCGAATCTTCGTCCACGAAAAAATGTCCCTTTCTGGTCGAACGGCCCGAAAAAAAAACAATTTCCTCTTTGTCTTCGGAGCAAAAAAGGCAGATGAAAACAAAATTGAAAGTAACGGAGACTCCACTGTATATGTGGAGTCTTATTTAAAGGACCACAAAAGGTATTTTTTGAACCGAAATTTGCTCGGCTAAAAAATTGACTATCAGGGATTTTCGCGTCGGGAAAATTCCGAAGAACAAATGTTCTCGATTTTTTTCGGATAAGAAGATTTTCCGATTTTTTGTTCTGACCTCCCTGCAGGGATTCCTGGACGTTAGCTGGCAATGTGATTCGATACAATGGAGGATCATCCCTGATTCTACAGTCTCAATTTCGACCTCCACCTCGAAAACAACATGTAAGTTAATATTTTAGTGTTTTTGGCTATTTTAGGTAATTTTTAAGGTGGTGAAGCACGAAAATGAGTTGAGTTCCAAAATTACCCATCCAGGGGTGCTGTTGGTCGAGTTTTTGAGAAGATAGACTCAAAAATTTTGACCAGGACACCTAGTATAATATCGTTTTTTCCAGGAATTAAATCCAGATGCAGCCAGACGGCTCAAAGTTGCACTACGAGGACATACTGAAGCCTCCGAAGAGATTTTTGACCTGTTTAAAGTAATGGAGATTCAATATTCGACTTGATGTCAAATCAAAAAAGTAAGAGTTTTGCTTTGTTTTGCAGTTTAGGCCTGGAAATGTTTGATTTTTGAGCAAGCCAATGGGGTCAGCTTCCTAGTGATGCTATGTGGAATGCAGTTGCTCCATCTTGCGCCATCACAGACGCCTAACCATCAATGTGTCCAGTGTAATATTATTTTTTCAGGCGAACACGCTCCACGACCGCAAAGCTAGACAGAACGGACAATTGGAAGATCTCATCGATGACAAGGACAGATTCAATTTATTATTTCTTTTAAATAGTAACAAAAATACTCCTCATTGGTAAATAATAAATATAATAACGCAATTGTAGCTGCAGGGACCATTGAATCCATTGCTTTATACAGGTCGAAAATCTCTTCGGAGGCTTCAGTATGTCCTCGTAGTGCAACTTTGAGCCGTCTGGCTGCATCTGGGGTTTAATTCCTGGAAAAACGATATTATACTAGGTGTCCTGATCAAAATTTTTGAGTCTATCTTCTCAAAAACTCGACCAACAGCGCCCCTGGATGGGTAATTTTGGAACTCAACTCATTTTCGTGCTTCACCACCTTAAAAATTACCTAAAATAGCCAAAAACACTAAAATATTAACTTACATGTTGTTTTCGAGGTGGAGGTCGAAATTGAGACTGTAGAATCAGGGATGATCCTGCATTGTATCGAATCACATTGCCAGCTAACGTCCAGGAATCCCTGCAGGGAGGTCAGAACAAAAAATCGGAAAATCTTCTTATCCGAAAAAAATCGAGAACATTTGTTCTTCGGAATTTTCCCGACGCGAAAATCCCTGATAGTCAATTTTTTAGCCGAGCAAATTTCGGTTCAAAAAATACCTTTTGTGGTCCTTTAAGGGTTTAAAATTGCTTGTTATGCAAAGGTTTTGCTGTAAAAATTGAGGTTTTTCAACGAAAATCATCAAAAAATATAACTTTTTTTGGAATTTTTAAGGTAATTCTTGATACGCGAGGTTCAGATTTTGCTGAAACTTGGTGGCAATGTATATTGGACTTTGTTAACATCTTAAAAGAGAATTTTAACGGGCGCTTTGCAAGAATCACCAAGGTTTTCAGGCCAAAAAATTAAGAAAAATTGAAATTTTTTGTGATTTTTCGACGCTCAAATTTTAATCCAAAACTTTTCTTAATTACCAAAAAATTAAGTACACCTGTTAGGCCTAGGCCACATAACAATTGCCAAAAATTTTAGCTCGCGTTTTGCAGAGAACGCCGAGATATTCGACGTTATAGCAAGGGTACTTTGAAAGGATTAAAGAACCACATTTCAATTCGGGGGTTTTTTGGCTTGAAAGACGAAATGTCACCATTTTTTGTGCTCCCACGCCTTTAAACAAAGCTGAAATATGTAATTAAAGAGCGGATGAGGACCTAATTTACAGCCGGGTTGATTATTTCGAACTATTGCCAACTGCATTTTGCGACGAGGGACAGCAAAAGCTCCGTGACATTTCGTCTTGCCGGAAAATTGAGATTCAAATGTACAGTGACGGACCGATCCAGTGGCAAAAAACTTCCCATTTAGCATCCGGGAAGCATTAAAAATACGGCAAAATGCTTCCCTCTCCAAGTGAAAAACTTCCTTTTCCTCACAAAAAGAGCGGGCGCGCCTTTGATATCGGATTTTTTCACTAGGAGACGGAAGCATTTTGCCACATTTTTGACACTTCCCGAATGCAAAATGGCATGTTTTTTGCCACTGTATCAGGTCCCCCGCTGTAGTTGCTATGGTCCTTTAACGGGGGCAAAAATGCAATTTTCATATTCAATAATCCGAAACAGACTCCAACAAAATGAGAAAATAATGTTATCCAGCACCAAAGCCGACGAGATTTGTCCGTTTCAGACAACAACTAATCTGCCAGACAGTGCAGACACGAAGGTTTGACAGGCTGTGTTGAGCAGGAAATTGCCTGTAAAATTATTGTAGGGGACTTTCAAAGGGCAGGAAAAAGCGGGTGCGCTCTCCCAGCAGGATAGGATCTTTGTAGATTTTGTATTTTCACATTTCATTGTCATTCTGTCGAGAAAAGAATAAAGATAATAGAAAAAAGCGACAATGGAAAGAACAGTTTTTTTCATGGTGTGACATTGTAGTCGCGGGAAAGGTTCATTGCTTCAAGGCGCTTCATGTTGCATATAAAGTCAAAATATCAGTTTGTCGGGAAAATAATAAGCGCTCAAAAACCGCATCGCCGAGAAAACGAGTTGTTGTGGCAAAATCAAGTTGCTTTTCACTTTAGCGACACGATTGGCACAGCGACACTGTGCTCATTATTTTACCGGCAGACTGATAATGACACGATTTCAGAAGCTACTAGAGTCAACTTTTAAGTTAAAAAAACGTTCTTCAAGGTAACAACTTTTTCTACCAATGCCGTGACGGCTTCACCTTGACCATTATAAAAAATCCCTTATCTGAGCCTCCAAATAACATTTTAAACGTTTATAAAAAATGTCTCATTGACTCGCAAAGAAATTTCCAGAATTAGCCGCCGCCTTTGAAAGGAGCACAGAATGGTCCGATCAAAACGAAAAATGAAAAAAATCCATTGCCTCCAAAAATAAATTCCGTTCAAGGTCGAGAAATGCGAGCGTCAACGGGAAATGGAGAGGCTCAAGTAGTTTGTGATTTCGTATAAGTATCAAAAAACTTTTTGAAACTTTTTTGATCGAGATAAGGCTCAGTGTGTAACCAACCGTAAAGAGATGAAAGAATCAACTCGTTGTGGGGGGTATGCAGCTGATTTTTTGAGGATAAGTTTTTGAGGTGCGATGAAAAGCCTGCTTTTAAATTTTTAGAGTAATCTAACTGCCTCTTTACAACGAATTCCCGCATAGAAGATCAAGACGGATGCAAGGCTCCTAGCTCGCGCTGTGCAGAAAAGACCGAGATTTTTGTCAAAGATTAGAAGAAATCTGGTAGGTTTTTTGCGAGTTTTATCATGGAAAAGTTGCATTCTACAGTGAGGGACCTGATCCAGTGGAAAAAAACGTACCATTTTGCATCCGGAAAGCATAAAAAATATGGCAAAATGTTTCCCTCTCCAAGCTTTGTCCCTCTAAAAAAAGCGGGCGCGCTTTTGAAATCGGTTTTTTTCACTTGGAGAGGGAAGCATTTTGCCACATTTTTGATACTTCCCGGATGCAAAATGGTACGTTTTTTTGCCACTGAGTCAAATCCCCCACTGTAATTGTCACAGTAACATCTCCGCAAAAAAAATTATTTTTTTATGGCAAGAGCATCCCAAAAAAGTGTTTTTATCTCTTACCGCTTTCGGCGTTTCCCATACTCTCTCCGCGACAAAGATCTTTGGATATCTCGGCTGCGTATGCAATGCGCAAGGTAAAGTTTTGAGGAGCTGATATGTGGCCTATGCTCAAAATGTGTGCAAAGTTTAGAGAAAATCCAAGCGTCGCACTAGGAAACATAGCCTTGTAAATTTGTCCAAAAATTTCATAAGATATTATGTGTCTATCGGGAAAATAATGAGTATAATCTCGCTGCGCTGATGGCGTCGCTGAAGGGAAAAACAAGTTGATTTTGCCGCGACACAGCTCATTTTCCCGGCGGCAGATTTTCGCTGCAACAGAGTGCTCATTATTTCCCCGACAAACTGATAATTATAAGGCTCTGTGTATAAAAATAAAGTTTGTCCCACACCCTCAAGATATTATACAATTTCATAACGAAATTGTAGCCTTTTTCAACTACAATCTCCCCAAATTTTCAGAACGAAATTGCCAAGTAATACTGCAAAAAAGAAATCCAAAACTAACGATTAGGACTACAAACGTCGATTCTGCTGATTTCACCCCCTAAAAGGTTGTTATTATGATAATCAAATTCGGACGAAAAAAATGGAGCAACGGAAACGGATAGCCGTTGTAATATCTGCCGGAAGTAATCAGAAAATATTGAAGCCCTTTTATCTGATTTTAAATTAGTTTAAGTCCATTTTTTTGTCTTGAAAATTATGTCATCTTGTAGGGAACATGAGACAAAAAAAAGAAAAAAATGTGGATTTTGATGGAACTTTTGGGAAAATTTAGAGTTGAATTCAATAAGATATTTACGAGATTGTCAGCAGGCAATTTGCGGGACAAAAAAAAGAGGTTTTGTATGGGGGGAAAATTGGCAAAACGCAAGTTTTTGCCCAAAATTTTGGATTTTTGGCATTATGCACCAAGAGCTGCGAAAAAAGGTATATCTCGGCCGCAAGTGAAAAGCGCAAGCTAAAATTTTCAAGAGCTAAAGTGCATCCTATGTCAGTAATTTGCGCAAAAAATGAGGAAAATACGACTGGTATATTTTAACGATCCTACAATGGAACGCTTACAAGTTTGACGTTCAGATTTTTTTAATTTTTTTTTCAATTTTTTTTCAAACTTGGCACACATGTCACACATAGGCCACGTATCAATTCCTAAAATTTTTAACTCGTGCTTTGCAGGCGCATCTGAGATATTCAATAATCGACGAGAGAGTACGGCAAACGCGGAGAGCAGTCAGAGACACTTATAAACTTTTTGGCCATATCTTTGTTAGTTTCGTGTGGAAAAAAATGATTTTTTGTGGAAACATTACCCTTTACTGTAGAAATAGCCACAAAACTTTTCATGCCAAAATTCGCAAAAAAAATTTCACATTTTTTTCCAACTTTCGATCGAACAGGGGAAGTACTCCAAGTGCGACGCTTAGATTTTGATGAAACTTGGCACAAATTTAGAATAATTTTTTCTAAGATATATGCGACAATCCTGGCTCGCGCTCTGCAGAAATAACCGAGATTTTTAGATCGAAAGACGGCGAAAATTTAGGACTTTTTGCCGAATTTCGTCACGAAGATTTTCATGCCTACTTCTACTGTAAAGGATAATGTTTCTACAAAAAATCAAATTTTTCCGCACGAAACTGCCAAAGTTATGGCCAAAAAGCGTTTTTCTCTCTTACCGCTCTCCGCACATAGCGTTCTCTCTCGGCGGCAAAGATCGTTCAATATCTCGGTGGCGCTTGGAAAGCGCGAGCTAAAACTTTCAGGAATTGATATTTAGTCCATACCCGACGTGTATGCAAAATTTAAAGGAAATCTGAGCGTCGCACTTGGAGTGCTTCCCCTGTAAAAATCTCGGTCATTTCTTCAAAGCGCGAACTATTAGGTTGGACGGAAAGTTCGTACGATTTTTTACCCAACTTTCAATTTAATTTTTTTCGCGCCAAGACCGATTGCCCACCGTAAATACCTAGCATATACAAGAGTACAGTGTGAAGATTTATATGCTACGTGCCAATCGTTAGCTCCGCCAAAACGAGCTTAATTATAAGAGGTTTTCCGCTTTGCGGCTATTTCGGGTAGGGTCCAGAACGCAAACTCTAGTTTCCAGATCGCTTTCGATGAAGCTCTGAAACTTTTTAGGCAATGTCCAGTGGTCTTTCTGACTACGTTAAACACAATTAGAAATCATAAAAAAGCGTGTCGGATAAAATAATAGCAACACTTTCAACCAAGTCTTCAGCAAAGGCCCCCTATGAAAACTTTTTCTTATTATTCCGCGTATTTCTTATTGTCTGTCTCTGCAATAGGGTGCAGTAAGGCACATAGAGAGCCCTTTACGTGCAACATGAGTAAACCGGATCACAGATGCCTCGGGTTATCCGCAAAGAGACAAAATTGCCAAAAATTATAGCTGTAGAGCAATGCGCGTAATTTTGTGACAGTCAACAATGGTAGCCCATTGTTTCACGAGGTAGTAGAGCAATAAAGCGGCTCTATTTTGCACCCAAGAAAGGGAGGAGTGGAAAGATGTTATGAGCTCTTTTTAGAATTGTACGGGATGATCCAACAGTTCACCAACGATTTTTTGAGAAAAGTAATTTAGTTCTATTATGTCGTACGGCAAAACAGTTGGCTATTGAGGAGTAGCTGAGTGTAAGGGATTGTCCTTAGTTTCTGCATATCATAGTTTTACACATAGAAATGCACCGGCAAAGCGGCGGTTGCAGTTATATTCAAACTTGGGGTGGTCCTGCAAAAGTCAAATTTTATGGCTATGTTTTGATTTAGTCCCCGGCGACTTTACGCATATTAAGAGCTACAGAAGAAGGCTTTTTAGCAGTGCCAAAACAATTTCCTGGTAGGCCTTATTAAACAAACCAGCCAAGGATTTGTAATTTTGGACCAAAGATGGGTAAATGTCTAAATTAAGTTCTCAGTTCGTAAATGCTTAAGATGGCTGAAGGTTGTACTGCTAGATAGGGATGCCTGTCCCCTACCGACACCATATATTTGTGTTTGTCTTTTTCCATCAGCGCAAGAAAAAATAGCAGCAGTAAAAAATCGTACGAACTTTCCGTCCAACCTAATATATAAGAGGACCACATATTTCTCAGCAGAAATTATTCTAAATTTGTCCCAATTTCATCAAAATGAAAGCGTCGCACTTTGAGCTTTTCACTCCGAAAAAACAGACCTGTTGGCATTCCCACAGTCTCTTCAACGGCAACAAAATATAAAAGTCCAACAAGAACGCAAAAACTCCCCTTCTTCTTGTTTGATAAAAAGGGACGAATTCCGAGACCTTCATCCCCAAAAGCGGCTTAAACTCTCGACCGCAGGTGAGAAACGTATTTGGTTTCCAGAGATGGCACCTGTCTCACCGTGGGAACCCAAAAAAGGGCAAGAGTCAACAGAAATGCCTGAAGCCAAACCCACTTTTTGATGACGTCAGGCATTTTGGGAGAGTAAAAAAAATTTTTTTAAGGTAAAAAATTGGAATTATGAAAAAAATTTCATTGTATTTTATGAAAAATTTTGATTACCAAAAAAAAAATGAAAAAAATTAAAAGTTTTCAGATTTTGTTCAAACTTTGCATATACAACCTAACTTGTTTCCAGACAAATCCCTGAGATTTTCAGCTCATTCTTTCCAAGGAGAGCCGAGATATTCAACATCCTTGGCGAACGAGAGACTATGGAAAATGAGGAGAGACAGCCACAGAAACCTTCCTTTCCCAGTATCTCCGTAAACTTAATGGCGAAAAAAGTTATTTTTTGCACAATTATCTTCCTCCATACCACAAACACGACTGTGTAATTTCCAACTTTTTAATGAGAAATTTCAATTTGAATATTCAAATATAAATTTCAAAATTTTGTTATTTTTATACTCAAAACGGGAACTGAGGATGCTCTACAACATCCTGTTTATGTTTTTCCATCGTCTATTCCCCCGCAATATCTATTATTTCCGTCAAAATGCCAGACATATCCTACTATTTTGCGTCCCGCCACGAAAACAAAATGCTTGGCATTCTGCATCACCAAAATAATTTTCGCCGCATTTTCGGGGGGATTATCCAAGTCATGATGCACTTTTATCAACGCAACCGCACAAAGCGCGCGTTCATCATCGCGTTTTTTTTTGTCAACAGAATAAATCTTTTCTTTCCAGGGAATGGATCGAGTGTAAGGTGCGGCTTGTGCTAGTTCGTGCGGCATCATGCAGGCCGAGATGCAGGACCGAAATAATTCCACCGGAGAAGAATACTACGATGAGGGCATGTATGCGGAGGTCGAGGAGAGCTACAGCAACAAACATCCGTTGCCGGACGTAAGATTTTTGAATTTTTTGTTTGGATTTTAGGTGAATTTTGATTGTATCTTCATGAAGATAGCTTAAGAAATCCAGAAATAAGGTCTACCAGCTTTACGGCCTCTGTTCTGGGCTCTTTTTGACTTCTGGCAAACAATTTTTGTTGAATTCAGCTAAAGCTATATTGTTTTAGTTGATTTTGTATGAAATTCCCCTCGAATCTTGCTGAATATTAATTTATTAGCTCGGAAATGAAGTAGAAAAGCCTTTTTGCATTGTTACACTCAGGTTTTGCCCAAATTTTCCTAAAATCCAATAGAAATTATATTGCTTTAGGTCCCCGAACATTGTGCTCCCCCTTCAAAGCCATTGTCCTTCATCCTCCAACAAGCCCACGACTGGACGACGCAAGAGCTGACGGGCATATTGGCCCCCAGAAACCCTCCTGTTCCTGCTGGAGAAGTCGGCAAATTCGCGTTTTGTAATAGATGCATCTACGTGAAACTCTACGCAGTTGTGAAATGGCTGAAGTCGTGGCAGAAGATCAGTCATCTCGAAAAGATCAGTTATTATCTCGATCTCCATTCTGAGCAGTTTTGGGAGGCCCATGAAGGTCTGCACGACATCAGCGAGGACGAACTTCCTTTGATTGGGTAAGTTGTTTTGGTTATATTTTTCTTGACTTTTAGGTTGTCAGTTGAGGAAGAGAAGGTTTGGCAAATATTGATAATGGCTCTAAACAAGTTTTGTAAAAATTTTGGGCATTTTTCGCAACAATTTTTTGCGTACTAGTAATTATACTCCCCGCCAAAAGTTTTGACCCCCCTTCTAACTCGGCCCAAGGTGTACCAATTTGGACCAAATTTGGTAAGTAGTTTACTGACAACCCAGTAGTAAAAAATATCATAGTAGGACAAACCATTTAGCTGTATTTCAAAATCCAGAGACAATTTTTTAAAATCACCCCCAAAAAAAGAGGACAAAAGTTTTGACCCCCCTTTAAAAAAAGTTAAATATCGCCACCGGATGTAGCCCGAACCTTTCGCAATCGACGTGCCATAGCTGAATACAAGTTAATAAACGCTTTTCCGTTGAATGCTTCGTTGCATTTGAGGATGCAACGCGTTAAACCCATTTTGATGTAGAGCTGCCCAAAATGGTTAATATCTCGCTCTAGCGCTTTCCAAATGTTCTAAATTGTGTTTATATCATTTGGTTTTGACTTGTAATTACCTGCATTAACCTTCTTCTTTTGAAAAAAGTCCACGATGGGCTAGCGGTATCGATTCGGCCGATATCCAGTTATCACGGTCAGCCTTGGTGAGCCATTTGCTCTTTGACTAAAGGTCTAGATGGGGTCGCTAGGTCCTCAATCTAATCCTGAGACTTGTGTCTACTCTCAAAACAAGAATAAACCCCTGCTGACACGATCTCATATGGTTTGCAGATACAACTTTGCTGATCTGCGCCTTAACGAAAACCCCGCTTTTTTCAAATGGATTTTTTGCAACCAAAAGCGGCTTTCATTTGATGGGCCAGGTAATTTAGGACGCTACAACACCCGCCATACTCATTTGAGACGTATGGAACGCCAAATGGGCGGTGGGGATGGCATCGTACTCGGGGGCATCTATAGTAACGGAAAACTTAAGATTAAGGTGAATGAAACCCATTCCAAAATGTGTCAAATCGAAACCTTTGTCCATGCTGAGAGTAAATAGGAGTCCCAGGAATAGATTGAGGACCTAGCGACCACATCTATACCTTTAGTCAAGGAGCAGATGGCTTACCAAGGCTGACAATGACAACTGGATATCGGCCGAATCGATACCGCTAGGCCATCATGGACTTTTTTCGAAAGAAGAAGGTTAATGCAGGTAATTACAAGTCAAAACCAAATGATATAAACACAATTTAGAACATTTGGAAAGCGCTAGAGCGAGATATTAACCATTTTGGGCAGCTCTACATTAAAATCAGTTTAACGCGCTGCATCCTCAAATGCAACGAAGCATTCAACAAAAAAGCATTTATTAACCCATGTTCAGGTAAGGTACACCGGTTCCAAAAGGTTCTGGTTACCTCCGCTGGCGATATTTCATTTTTTTGCAGGGGGGTCAAAACTTTTGTCCTCTTTTTTTGGGGGTGATTTTAAAAAATTGTCTCTGGATTTTGAAATACAGCTAAATGGTTTGTCCTACTATGATATTTTTTACTACTGGGTTGTCAGTAAACTACTTACCAAATTTGGTCCAAATTGGTACACCTTGGGCCGAGTTAGAAGGGGGGTCAAAACTTTTGGCGGGGAGTATATATTACACTTGAGTTTTTTTTTTTGGTCCTATGAGCAATATCGCCACTTTTTATTGTCTCAGAAGCTCAAACTAGCCTTTTTATAGCGCTAGGATTCAGGAATATGCAAAAGCCATTTATTGGGAGCATCAAAATAAATTATTTTATATTATCCATGACATCCATACAATGTCTTGGCATAAAACTCTTACTTTTAAAGTTCCGACCTGCTCAATTTTAATATCTAGTTGCTCTTAAAACCTTTCTCGACCTTGTTGATAAATTTTTCAACCGTTTTAATATTACTTTTATTACCTTTTCAGCCTTTCACATTTTGATCTCTTGACCGCCATAGAAGTCCTCACAACTCATCATTTCGCCAGAACTCCGCAATGTATTTGGGTAAGTCTTTCTTCATACTATTTATTCTTCATTGTTTAGAAAAGGCATTGCAAGGAGAAGCTCAGCAAGAACAATAAATTGGCCACGATCCAAAGGCTTGGCGATCTGCTCACGAACGCTTTGATCGGCGATAGCGCCAAACTGAACGCCTGGATCAACCATGTCTACATTCAGAATGGAATTGTAAGCTGTGTAGAGTGTTTTTCAATCAAAACATTTTGAATTTATTCTTATTTTCGATGTGAATTTGCAAAATCTTTTTGATGCGTCAAGTGTAATATAATTTTAGCTGCATTTGACCGCCGAAAACGAGTTTTTCCTCCGCATGATTCTCAAAGATGACGGCGAAGGCGCTCGTTGGCAGATTTTGACGATCAAATCGTTGGTGAATGACTATGTGGCGGGCATTGGACACGATCTTACCCATCCCCAGCATGACATGGAAGGGCTCGCTGTGTTGGTGCAAGAAAAAATGGATGAAAAACCGAAAGAGGTGGGGTGAATTGAACCTTATTAGAGATTTTGGCAATAGAGATGGGGAATTTTGAGGCCACAAAAAATAGTTATATTACTTTAGGCCCTCGAGACCATGTACAACATCCTCCACACGTTCAGCCTCCGCCTTCAGCTGGACATTTTGTACACGCGAACTCGCCAATTCATCTATCACAACCCCACGTTCGCTCAGATCAAAGAGTACGACATGAAGAAGGGGCTGTTGGCGTTTTACATCTGGCCGGAGTGCTCCCAAACTTACCTTGTTAAAGTGACCGCGAATCGAAAGAACCGCTTCCTGAAGGTCCAACACTTCCCACACTATCATAATCTACCCGATTTGGATATTGAAAATGGGTAAGGGACTGATTTTTGGGGAATTTTCTGGAAAAAAGTTTGAATTTGAAATTTCCCGCCAAAATTGGCATAGTGTTTTACGGGTTGGAAATGGCGTAGAATGGAAGAATAGGCTGTAGGAGAAGGTTTACAGGGTGTTTTAGTATTTTTTTAATCGTTTTGAGGAGTTTATGGATAGATTATTATATTATCCATGAGGATTTTTGATGACTTTTTTGAAGAAAACAATTTTTGATGTAAAAAATTTGACCCTTTTGTTTGTAGAAATCTGAAATGCGACCAATTCCTGCTGGAGACGGGCTATCATCGCGCCGCAATCCGCATAAAACAGATCAAAGAACTGTTGTCCGGCGTTTGGGAACCGATCCGGTACTTTAAAAAGGTCGGCGACAACCGAATCATGCTGATGTACAGTATTATGCCCTTTCAAAACACCCCCATCAGCGAGAATATCTATATCACGGTGAATGTGCTGAGCGGAAAAATCCAATGCCAAGTTGGTCGCCTACTACACGAAAAAGACGGCCATGCCCTGGTCGAGGAGTTTGCCGCCCTTCTGGAACGCGTTTTGGACGAGAAAATACCATTTGGAGGCATCAGACGCCTGTTGGGAAAGATTCGCCTCAAGATTTTGAAGGAGAAATATCTCGAGGGACTCCAGGGACCTCACACTCACCTTTTGTCCAAGGATAATTATATGCCAAGCGTGTGGGACATTACGGATTTGCCCGAAGAAAAGTTGCTCTTCAATTTCCATCAGGACAACAACTTTTATTTGGTGAGATTTGGGGGTTTCTGGATGTTTTTGGGCTGATTTTTGTCATGGTGAATATAATTTTTGGAAATTTTTTGAGGAAAATTATGTTGGGGTACAAGAGAATTTTATTTTCATGAGGATTATAGCTTTTATGTTGAAGATGGAGGAGGTTTGGAAGTATTTTTTATGTAAGTTTTGTCATGGATAATATAATTTTTGTAAATTTTCTGAGGAAAATGAGGCTTAGTTAAAATTTAATTGGGTGTTTATGATTTTTAGAGCTTTTATGTTGAGGATGGAGAAGGTTTTGGGTGGTTTTTTATTTAAGTTTTGTCATGGATAATATAATGTTTGGAAATTTTTTAAGGAAAATGAGGCTTAGTTAAAATGTAATTGGGTGTTTATTAGGTTTAGACTTTTTATTTTGAGGATTGAGAAGGTTTGGATGGTTTTTTTATGTAAATTTTGTCATGGATAATATAATTTTTGAAAATTTTTTGAGGAAAATGATATTAATTTACAATGTAATTGTATTTTCATGAGGATTATGGCTTTTATTTTGAGCAGTGAGGACGTTTGGATGGGGTTTTTTTTTTGTAAATTTTGTCATGGATAATGTATTTTTTTCACAAGGAAAGTACTTTTATGGGGGCTCCTACTTTTTGACGGGACATATCTCAAAAAATCAGAAAAAATGCGCTGATCAAGGATATATAAATCTTAGCTGCCCATTTTGGGCTTTTAGGGGTGAAAATGCCCAAAAACTGGCTCAATTTCCCTACAAAAGGCGCAGGCATTCGAAACGATAAAAAGCTGAGTCGGTCTCTTCCTTCGGAAGAGAGCGGTGTGGCCGAGTGGTTAGTGCCGTAGTCTGGGAATCAATAGGGAGGACGCCGCACGGGTTCGATTTCCCTTTTGGGCTGAATCAACTTTTTTTGAAGTTGAAGGTCGGAAAAATAAATTTTTGGGCCAAGACTGATTTATTACGTCTTAGAAACTCAATAAACATCATTTTAAGCCAAAATAAAAATTGTAAACCCGTGAAAAATTAGGCGAAAAGGGGTTCATATAGGACTTTAAGTCAACTTCCGATTGAGTTTTCACCCCTAAAAACCTAAAATGGGCAGCTAAGATTTATATATCCTTGATCAGCACATTTTTTCTGATTTTGAGATATGTCCCGTCAAAAAGTAGGAGCCCCCATAAAAGTACTTTCCTTGTCAAAAAATAATTTATTTTAATATTTGTAGCTAGTCACCTTCGAATACGACCAGTTCTACGACTTCAAGGTGGACTTTTACCTCATCGAACGATCTCAACACCGAAAACATATCCAAGAATTGCTGTTCAACGAGGAGTTATGGGAAAGCACTGTACCGGACCTGCAATTTGTTGGATTCAGGGGTAAGTTGGGGGTATTTCAAGGTAATTTTATTGATTTATAGAATCTTTATAGAACAAGGAACAATTTGAGTGGTAAATTTGATGTTGGGTTAGTGAAAATTTGCTAAAAAATTGCGGGTTTCTTATATTATACATCAAATTTTTTGTTGAGTTTGGAAAAATTTGTTTGGAGATGGATAAGATAACTTTTTTGATGGTAGAATTATATATTGAGTGGTTTAGGACTTCTACGACGACCTCGGCACTTGATGGGCAAGCCAACGACCACTTCTTGGCTCACGAAATGCTCACAAATCCGCTCATTTGTGGCGGCATTGGACAGCCGCGTACAAATGGCCAAAATCGAAGAAGCAATCAAACAATTGGGTCTCCAAAGTGACGTCCACAAAGAGGAAGCTGTCGGTGGGGATGTGATTAGCATTACGGAGTAAGTTTGGAAGAGATTTGTAAATTTTTTTGGGTTCATATTGAGATTGGTCATTTTGAGATGTTTAAGGGGAATTTTGATGAAAAAAGTGGGGGAATTTTGGGTTGTAGAGAGTGGTTATAGCATGAATGACAATTTTGGACCTTGTAAGTTGACTGGGGACATTTTATACGATGAAAAATGGTGTGGGTGACATGTTATACGATGAATTTTTCTTTGTGTTTTTGTCGATTTTTTTGTATATAAAGTGGAAAGTAAGGTAATGAAACTTGGTTTAGTTTCCCTAATGGGCCTTGACATAATTGAGAAACATCAGAAATTTGATTTGAGATTTTTAAAAATGAATTTTTTTTTTCATTTTTAGCTTCTCCAAGCCGATCAATTTTGAGGACGCCTACTTCCAGGATCACATTCAAAATGTCAGCCTCAGAATGCATCGTCATGGAATCTTCCATATGGAGATCTGCATCAAAGATCATCCAGTGGAGACGAAAGAACTGAAGAAGGTAAAAAATTATTTTTATTTTGTAGAGCTTTGATAAAAAACGATGATATTTTGATGATTTCAGAGTGAAGTTTTCCGATTTTTTGCTGCAATTCATCATGCTACCATCCCTCCGAACACCAGTTATCATGAGAACTTGAAGAGACATCTGTACGATCAGCTTACGACCTATGGGAAATTGTACAAGGCAACGAGGGAATTGGCCGCCGTTTATGAGCTGGAGATGAAGAATAAAATTAATGTAAGTGCTTAGTGATGGTCAAGAGGGATACTGGGGAATTATCAGGGTTTTTGGTAGGGATTGGAAAGATTTTTTTGGATGAAATTGAGATATTGGGGGTTCAGAACCTAAAATAAGGTAAAAAGTTTAAAATTTGAGGGTATCGTGGCAATGTTTGTTTTTGAAGGAGATTGTGAGGGGGTATTTTGGGATTTGGAGGGCGCTTGGAATGGGTAGGACCGGTTTTTGGGGTAGAAATTGAGATATTTTGAAATTGTGGGGCTCAGAGCCTAAAATAAGGTAAAAAATTTGAATTTTGCGATTCTCATGGCCATCTTAGTGTTTGATGATGATTATGAGGGGGTATTTAGGGATTTGGGAGGGCTTTTGAATGAAGAAAAAACGATCTTTTGAAAAAAATTAGACTTTTTGAAATTGGGGGGCTTGGAGCCGAAAATAAGGTAAAAAATTTAAAATTTGAGGGTATCTTGGCAATGTTTGTGTTTGAAGATGCGTTTGAGGGTGTATTTTAGAATTTGGAAGGCGGATGAAATGGATAAGACCGATTTTTCGGTAGAAATTGAAATGTTTTGAAATTGGGGAGCTTAGAACCTAAAATAAGGTAAAAAGTATAAATTTTGTGGAAGTTAATGTTAGTTCTAGTATTTGGAGACGATTATGAGGGTCTTATTTTGTTATTTAGAGGGAGCTTGAATAAAAAAGAACGATTTTTTGGGAGAAATTGAGATGTTTTGATATTGGGGAGCTCAGAACCTAAAATAAGGTAAAAAACATAAATTTTATGGACGGCAATGTCAATACTGGTGTGCGATGGTGATTATAAAGGCTTTATATTGTATTGCACGTGATAATTTTTCGTTTTTTAGATTGTCTTCTACAATTACTACAAGTTGATCATCACATACTCCAAAGACCGGAATCTAGCGTTGATTGCGTCGTGGAAGATCAACTATGACCAACTGATCGCCAATTTCATACAAGTGAGCACAACAAAGGACGGAAAAGTTGTTATCGCGGACCGCTGGAATCCTCATGTACTGGTCAGCAGCCTGTTAATGGAGCGTTTGAAAGAATCGGATAGCCTTCCGGAATTGGTGAATTATCTGGTCAATACGGAGCGATCCCTCAGCTGCCTCTACTATTTCTCTCAGGTACACTTGAACTCGAAAAGGGCAACGGAACAGATTATTGGAATCGCGTCAGGACCAACCTCGATCAATATTAAGGTGAGAAGGTTGATTTTTGAAGTGGGAGATTTGTTGTTGGACTTTGAAAAGCATGTGGAGGAGAATTCGAGTTTAAAAAGTGGAGGGAATATCGAAAAAATGAAGATTTATGTTATCCATGAGCTAAAAAAAGTGTTGTTGAAAAAGTTTATTTTTCGACCAAAAAATCGATTTGAATTTGGTCGTTTTGAGGGAAATATTGACCTGTAGTTTTTAATTGGTTTGAAAGTTTTTTGAAAAAAAAATTAAAAAATCTGAAATTTTTTTTAATTTTTTTCTGTAAGCTTTTGTATGCCTCTACCGACGCAAATTTTGACGTGAAATTTATCAAATTTACTTTAGAACATTCTGATTCCGGTCACCGAATACCAAATTCGTTTGGTCCATGGATCGGCACACATTGATTTTTACCTCTTGAACAACAACAAAGTCGGAATCAAAGCCACTCAAATCAAGTCGGACGACGAATATCTGAAGGAAAAGGGCCCCAAACTCCAGAAACTCCCCGGATTCTCCCATTTCTGGGGCCAGTTCTGCATGGAGACGAAGCTGGAAACGATTGTCTCCAGAGAAGTGCAGGACTACCCCCGAGACCCGGGAAATCCCTCCAGTGTCCCGCCTCAGGAAACGGAGGACGCCGCCCTCGATTCACATCCAATGTCATGCCCACCGAAGTACGACGAACGCTTCGAGGAGTTTGTGAAGTACGCGGAGAAGCAGGAACGAGACGACTTGCACAAGGTCTTCATCATTGAACCCGATGTCTTCGAAAAGGCCATGGGTGTCCCGGAAGACAAGGAGAAACCATCGTTGAGCAAGAGAAATGTCAAAACAGAGCCAATGAGTAAGTTGGGAAGATTTCTTTGGGTCTTTGATTTTTTGTTTGTGGAAAAATTTGGAGTTTTTGGGATGTCTTGGATTATGATTTTTCGTTTTTTTCTCTTGCTCGGAAAATTTTTTCGGTAAAAAAGTTGGAATTTTGGGGAAAATTTTTGATTTTTTGGTCGAAAGAGTTGGAATTTTTGGAAATTTCTTTTGATTTTTCGGTCGAAAAGGTTGGAATTTTGGGGATTTTTTTTAATTTTTTGGTCGATTTTTGAATTTTTTACTTGAAAATTTTTTTTGAAAAACTTGAAAATTTGTGAATTCATGAAGAGAAATGCATTTTAATAATCGATTTTTGTCAAATTTCATATTGAAAAAATCGAAATTTTTGATTTTTTTTGAACTTTTGTCTAATTTTCCCTATTTCCAGTGCCACCCCAAGTCTCCCCGTTCGAGGGCTACCTGAGAGCCGTCAACTATATCGCCCGTCTGCCACAGACTCTGGAGGCATTCGCCCGCAGCCAGAACCCCCTGCAAGCCCTTCCAATCACGGACTTGAAGCATGATGAATGGTCTGTAACCTTCGATCTTCAAGGAGTTCATGCCTCCACGGTGGCCTACCCCGCATGGACTGTGAAGTTCCGGGTGTTCCTGTGCCCAACCAAGTTTACTGTCAGCATCAAGATGGAGTTTTGTGAGTTTTTTGCGGAATTTTTGGGGGAATGTTGATTTTTTTGGGATTTTTGAATAATTTGTGGTTGGGAATGGAATTTGAAGAATGTTTTTGGTTGTAAAATACGTTGGTTATATTGGAATCTTGATATCAGGATTTTTTTAGTTGAAAAATTGCATTAAAACAGCTTTTTTGGCCAAAAGTATCGAGTAGTGTCATGTATAATATAGAAAATTGGTTGGTAAACAAACTTAATAACTGCTATGGCCTTTAATATAAGAGTATATAGCGTTTTAAGACCTTCCAAGCATTTTTCAACCATGCTTTTTGATCTTCTGGACATTAGAACAGAATTCCAAAAATGGCGGGATTTTTTTCGTTTCAAAAGTTCGAACTGGATTTTTGGATAGAATGGAGAAAGAAGTGTAATAGTCATGACTTATTCTTGGTTTTTCAGCTGGACCCAGTCAAGCCAACGACACGGACATCAAAGTATTCGTGAAATACTTTGAATCCGTGGTTGTCCCCATGGACAACGAATACGCCCTTCATGCATTCTTTTGCATGTGCAGAATCAATGTTAGCGGAGTGTTTTCCGCCTTCGCCAGACTGATGGCTGCGCAAATGGTAAGGAATTTGGAAGAATTTTTTTTGGGTCCAATTTTTCTATGTAATTTGTCGTTTATTTGTTCCAAAAAAGCAATTGGAATCGGTTTTTTTGTGATTTTACTGCCAAAAAAGGGATGAAAAAGGATTTTTTTTTCGGATTTTTGGACCTTATTTTGGGGGAGACACACCGCAAGTTCGAATCCGCAAGTTCGAATGCCTAAAGTTCGAATGACTAAAGTTCGAACGACCTCCAGTTCGAACTACTTAATGTTCGAATGACCGTAACTTTGAATAACCTAAAGTTCGAATGACTAAAGTTCGAAAATGAAAAAAAAGTTAATTAATATTTAGATTATAATTTGCATATAATTATTTTGCAAAATACACTTCCTCTTCAATCATTCATTCATCCTCTACGATGGAGGTTGGTTGTCCGAACACTCTGACCGACAACGAACGCGCTGTTCTTCATGTCGACCTGATCAAGATTCGTCATGGAGCCAATCCAACTGTGTCTTTCTCGGTTTGGGTTTGTCGAACTGGATTAGGTTTGTCGAACTGGAGGTCGTTCGAACTTTAGTCATTCGAACTTTAGGCTTTCGAACTTGCGGATTCGAACTTGCGGTAGGCGTTCGGAGACCCACCGCAAGTTCGATTCTTTTTTTTCATTCTGCATTTTTTATATTTTCATATTTCGAACTTCCGGTTTTCGATCTTTTAGTTTTTCTAATTTGAGGTTTTTCGAACTTCTAGTATTCGAACTTGCGGCATTCGAACTTTTGGTTGTCGAACTTGGGGTTTTTCGAACTTCCGGTAGGCGTTCATTTTGGGTGATCTGACCGGATTCCCCCAAAAAGTTTGATTTGCACAGTGCAGGAGAGATTTTGCACTAAAAATTGGTGTAAAATCTTATGCAAATTTTTTAATTGAGTTTTTTATTTTTATTTTTTTTTGCAAGAAAAGTTGGTATTCTCAATTTCTTAGGACCCAAGCAGTCAACTGAACTATTACTGGATTGTCCACCTCCAACTGGTCAACATCCGAAAGAAAGGCCCCAATGAAAGCTCCTTGCCGGACTTTGTCAGTGGAATTGTCATCAATAAGTCGGATGTCCTCATCACTGTAAGTTATTTTGGATGTTTTTTTATGAGTTTAAAGGGTTGGAAAATTTTTTTTGGGATATTTTTGTTAGCTATATTGCAATTAAAAATTTAGTCTGAAATTTTGAGATTTTTAAAAAGAATATTGATTTTTTTTTTGCTTTTTGGAGCAATCTAGCTCGATTGTGGTTAGTGGTGTTCGATACTGCTATTTTGGATGATATATGAGGTCATTTTTGGGATTAAAAAAGATTTTTTTCATTGAAATTTTTTGGGATTTTTCGAAATTTTGACACGATTTTTGGAGGAAAAATGACTTTATTATAGCGAATAGTATCTTGTATTATAGCTTTTATCTAAAATACGACATGATTTTACGACTATTTTTTCAAATTTTATATTGTTTTAGATCGGTCTGCGCCCATCCAAGAAACGAGAAAAGGACCCGTTCAAAGTCATCAAAATTGCATTTGTCTACAATTTTGACACGTAAGCGGGCTTGTAATTTCATTATTCCATTTTTACATTTGAGTTTTTCATTGAATTTTACCCGAATTTTTGCAGTGAAAACATCCGCTACCAGCCGACCGGCCCCAACGACGAGAACCGCCCCAAAGTCGAAGCCGCCCTCCACAACATGGCCATGGAACCCTCGGAGCCGTGCATCATCTGGCCCTCCATCCGACGTCTCATCGAAAGGTTCCGTTAGAGCTCGGAAACCCACCCGTCGAAACTTGAAAATTCGCATATTTTTTGGGGAAAATGACGTCAAACGTCGAAATTTGATTTTTTGAAACGGGCTCAGGGATCTTTTTGTCTGTAGATAAGTTATAATTTAGCTAATCTAACCTCCGAGGAATAGAAATTGTAAATATCTTTTTTTTGTCTGGGAGAAGTCATGAAAATTTGAATATTTAGTCGAAATTTGATTTCTTTTTTACTTTTTTGTTTAATTTTGTTAACTAATAATTTTTTTAAAAGTAGTAAGGGACTCTAGCTGATAAAGGAGACCAGATTTTTGCCGAAAAAAGCCGATCCAAGTTTGAAAATTCAAATTTCCCGCCATTTTTGGCATTGTGTTTTAATGGTGGATATGGCTGGGAAAGTTGTCTAGACAAGAAGTAGAAGTGATTTCAGAGCTCAGAAAGTAATTTTGAGCTCCAAATTGACATAAATTTTTGGGTTAAAGAAATATTTTTTTATATTACACATGAACTTTTATGATTTTTTTAATGCTTTTCGGTAAAAACTGGCAGTAAGGAGGGATATTATGGGAGTTAATAGTGTTTCAAATGATTGGGGACCTATTTTGTTTCTAGTTTATATAAGAAGTATGTTGGTTTAGATAAAATTTGGTTGAATTTTTAAGTAAAAACTTTAATTTGCCCCACATTTTTAGTAGGTTTTAGAATAAAAATGAGAAATTTGAATTTTGTAAGGGTAGAAGGCAAAATCGATGAAAATGTAAATAAAAAATTTCTCCCCAAATGTCTTGGGATCCGAGCGCTAAAGGAGCCCGTCTAACCCCTTTCCTTTCTAATCCCGTCTTCAGAAACGACTTACAACTTGACTGATGTCTCAAGTCACCCCATCGTCACCCCTAACTATCCTCACATTTTCATAACATCCCATCAATTTTTCATAACAATCTTTTAACCGTATGTTATCGTCATGATTGTCAGTTTCTCACCATGTTTGAATGAATAAATAAATCGAGAAAAATTTTGGTCTAGATCAGCTAAAATAAGGTCAGAATGTCTGAAAAGCACCCGTTTTCGACTACTTTTTGCTGCTAATATGCGATTTTACTGACTTTGAAAAAGTTCTGGCCAAAAATTTGAAGCAAAAAAGTGATTTTTTTGGGATTTCGACTATTTTAGATAGTGTAATATAACGCCCCAAAAGTGACTTTTATGGATTTTCCAGTGTTAAATTGTAACATCTAAACGATTTACAGAACCTTCTTGACACTTTTTTTGGAGTTTCCCGGCGAAAAAATTCAAAAAAATATTTTCCCGCCATTTTTGGCATTCTGTTCGAAGGCCCGAAGCAGCCTCCAAACGCTGCATATAGTCAAATTAGGACAGGTATGGAGTAATAAAGTATATTCACTCATCCTACTGCCTTAAATTGACACTAAAAACCCAATTTTCATATTATCCATGTCAAGTTTCATCTTTTTGCCCAAAACTTTTTATTTCCGTGGATTCAGTTGATGCTTTTACAACCCTTTTACTAGTAAGCCCATCATAAACAACGCTTCCGCATCTTACCCAGCGAGGAATGGGGTTTATGGTCGATCTCCACGTGTTTTCCACCCACTGTTTCATCATCGGAATGGTGTTTATCGATCAAAATCCATCGATAATGTAACTGGATATGTGATATTATTAGATTTGAGAAACCAGACACTCCGAAAATAGATCGAAAAGGAGCGATAACGATGATCGAAGATCAATATGTTATCCATGAGGAAAATGATGACTTTCTGTTAAAAAATCTCGATTTCTACATAGAAATCGGCTGCACTTTAAGTATTGGGGGATCAGAAATTCATTATGCAGGGTTGTTTATCGTATTTTACCCCTCTAGCCATGGTTTGAATTACTGAAAATGCGAAAAATCTCCGTTTCTTTGCGAAAAATCATCATTTTTCTGTTGCTCAAAGCTTCGTATAATATTTTACACTCCGCAGATTGACAGTAAACGGTAGCGGAATTCTATTTACCTTCCCTGTCACAAATATCTCGACCTTACTTCTGCCGCTCATTAGAGTCTGAACTGGCGAATGTTCTGCTCGAAAATGATGGATCATGTTTTGATTTTCATGTCGAAAGAGGGGCAGCGAACAAGTTACCTTCACGTACGCCGGGCGGTTCTACTACCCTAGAAAAAAACGCACAGAAAGAGAGATTAATTGGATTAAGAGTCGCAGGAAGTTTGACAAGGAACACTGTGACAACGACAAGGGTTCCGTGAGATAATTACTCGTTCGAAACAGAAACATACGTCGATTTAGGGGGATAAATCAACTTGAAGGGCACTTGAATGTGTAGTTTATGCAAGGGAAAGCGCAGTTCTAAGAAATTTCGAAGGAACATTCCCGAGCAGCAACCTTCAATTCGTCACGTTTTTCCACATGAACCAAAGATGAAGCTGATAATTTGTTGCTAAATTTGACCGAGTCGTATGCGAAGTTTACTTTATTTAACAGCTGAACTACCAATTTAGCATTGCATAATATCAATAGCTGTCTTGGACCTCAAGGTGACAAAAAAAATCACTGCAAACCGACGTTAAAACAGAAGCCATAAATGTTATTTTCAGGAAAGAGTAGGGACGCTGATGCCGCTGTGAGGTGACTATTTGATACGGAGTATGACCTCGAGTATTCTGGCAAGGTGACTTTTTCCGACATTCGAACCATCAATACGTATACGGTGGATAATATCATCGGCTTTGGACCTCAAGCTGACAAAGGAAGAGCTCGCAAAGTTACACCAATAATCTTTAACTGAGGTCACATATTAGCTGAGGTATTCTTAATCTTTGATGACGAGAGAAAACCCAATGATGAGAACGGTGAGAAACAAAAACTCTTTTCGGCCATCATCCCGCATTCTCTCGTCATCAAAGATCGCTGAATGTGTCAGCTGTTGCTGCAACGCTCTAAAAAAAATTTCAGGAGCTAGTATGTGACCCCAGTTAAAGATTATTAGCGTAGCTTTTTGAGCTCTTCCTTTGTCAACTTGAGGTCCAAAAAAGCCGATGATTTTATCCACCGTATACGTATTGATGGTTCGAATGCCGGAAAAAGCTACCTCGCCTGAATACTCGAGGTCATACTCCGTATTAAATAGTCACCTCTCAGAGGCATCATCATCCTTACTCTTCGCTAAAAATAACATTAATGACTTCTATTTTTAACGTCGGTTTGCAATGATTTCTTTTGTCACATTGAGGTCCAATATAGCTATTGACATTACGCAATGCTAAATTGGCAATTCAGCGGTCAAGTACAGGAAACTTTGCACAAGACTCGAGCAAATTTAGTATCAAATTATCAGCTTCATCTTTGGTTCATGTGGGAAACGTGACGAACTGAAGGTTGCTGTTCGGGAATTTTCCTTCGAAATTTCTGAGTACTGCTCTTTCCTTTGCATAAACTACAAATTCAAGTGCCCTTCAAGTTGATTTATCCCGCTAAATCGACGTATGTTTCTGTTTTTCAGCGAGTAATTATCTCATATATTGATCGTTCGAATATCGGAAAATTCCCGTTGCCACAAGGCCTGATCAAACTGCGTATCAAATAGTCACCTCTCAGAGGCCTCAACACCTCAGCTCTTCGCTAAAAATAACATTTCTGACTTCTGTTTTAACGCCACTTCGCCGTGCTTTGCTACTCCATTAAGGGCGCTCGCCGCGTCCGGAATTCGATTATTTTTTACATTTCGCAAAAATTTTTGCACCAAATTTCGCGTCTCCCTCGTGTTCGGTGTGTTTTCTGCAAATTCCACAGATTTCCACCATCTCCTCCAGGCTCCGCCCACTTTTCGCAAGCCCCTTAAAAAGCCGGTGTTTTCCCAGTGCTGTTCGCAATTCGGGAAAATGCTTTCGAAAGTGATCTATGCCCTGTTTTTCGCCGTTCTTACGGTCCATGTTGTTCGTGGACAACAGTTCGCTGACCAATTCACGCAAGGCACAATCCTAGACTCATGGGGAGGAAATTTGGGTCCGAACAACCCGAACTCCGTGCAAAGCCGGCTGTCTTACCAAAACCCAGGATACTACGGAGGTAGGTTAATAATTTAAAAACGAAAAAAGGAGATCTTGTCAAATTCTACAACGATTTTTGTCAAAAAGTCAAAATTTCACCATGTATAATATAAAAATTTATGGGTTTCTTTAGCGAAATTTAAAATATTTTCACAAGAAAGTCATTTTTAACCCATTCAATGTCTTGTTTTCTCATACCAATCAATTTCCGAGCCAAATCAGCCCTTGCAACAGAATGCCAAAATTTCGCGGCAAAACCTTTTTTGAAAACTTCTTAGCCAAAATTTCCCATAGAACTCGTTAGAAAATAGGTATACAGTCCTAAAATGCCTATTCCAAAATTTTTTATTTATTTTTTCTTCCATTTTAACATCTATCTTACTCTTTTTTCAGCTCGTTACAACTACAACAACTACTACGGCAACGGATTCTTCGGTTAGGCCCGCTGCAACTACCGTAGAAGAGTTAGCTTGAAAAAAAAAGTTTCTCTTTGTACATACCAATCTACTACTCACTTGTTTGTACATAACGTTCTTGAATCTCAAATCCTAATAAAAATCGTTACAAATTATCCCAAAAATGGCATAAAAACTTGATGATAAAAAAATCAAAGTAAGTCTCGGTGGCAACCAAAATCCTCTACGATCCCAAAATCAAAACTTTAAAACAATATTACTTTATTGAGGCATTCAACAGTAGGTAAAATATAATAAAATCAAAAAAGATACCGCTCTACTTACATACAATATAATACTAACCGCCTTATTACTCGCTTCGCTGCTGTACATACCGGGGGGAGAGTTTAAAGCGAAGAAATTCCAACAAAAAACTTCGTTGGGGACATTTTATACGATGAAAAGTGTTTGGGCACTGGGCGACGTACTCGTTTTTCGTATTTACAGCAATAAGTTAGGGGTAGTTGAGGTTGACTAGAGGGAATCCACGTCTTCGAGGACGGTGAGGGTGCGTTTCGAATGGTCGTAGCGTTGTTTGGCCTGGAGGATTCGGTCGGCCAGCTGGCGGGCCACTTCTCGGTCCGAGCAGTAGATATGTGACGGGGAATTTCGGCGTTGCTTGTCTTCGTAGGTGATTTCTGAAACTCAAAAAAAAATCATTTTTTTTCTCTTAGTCCCATAAAAATCCTTTCAAATCGCAAAAAACCTCAAAAAGTATCCATGATCCCATTTTTTTCTCTCAAAAGGTATCCCACAAATCTTCTCTAATAACGTCAAAAACCGCTCATTTAAGCCGCATAATAAGTTATTACTACCCAAAAATCCACATGGATACCTTTTGACACATTTTTTACCCTCCACTTTTAGACCCAAAAACCTCAAAATGACTCACCAACTTTCACTAGACCCGATTGCTGAACCGTAGTGGGTTGGACATTCTTCAATAATCGGTAAACAATTCGCTGAGTGACCGTATTCGGTTGGTCGTTCCGTTGCCTGAGAATGTAGCATTGTTCCGAGCAAATGAGGGCCTTCTGCACCTCTTTCTCGCCTTGCCATATTCGGGAGAAGAATATTACAACATTCAATAGGCTGAAAAATCATTCATAATGCAAAATAAAGTCAAAAAAATCAAAAATGATATTATCCATGACAAAAAATTTCGAAATTTTTCATCAAAAACTTATCCGCAATGGCCTTCAAAAAGGCATCCACAAAATCCACGTGTAATAATTGACACAGAGGCACAAAATACAATACAAAATCAAGGGCCAAACAAAAAAATTCTACCAAAACACAATATTTTCTCAAAAACTCCCCCAAAAAAAATAAAAATTCCAGCTTCAATATCTCCCCAAACCCCCTTCAAACACTCCCTTCTTACATTTCATTGGTCGAATAGCCAGTAATTCTCAGCAATTCCTGCTGCGCTTCAGCCAATTGATCATCATAGCAGGGTAGTAATGACTGAAGATTGGTGCAGACCCTCGGCAATCGGATCCTCCGTTCCGGGAAGTGGGACTTCCTCACCAATGGGCCTCCCACCACTTCCTTCAGCGCCGAGGCGGAGCCCTCAAGGAAGTCAAAGACACCTTGAATCGGCTTGGTTACCGTGTCCACAGCGCCAGTCGTCACTCCGCGGAAAATGCCCTGAAAAATCAAACCTTATTGAAATTGGTAAATGGCTTCATAAAACAATACACACAAAAGCCTACAATACACACAAAACCTTCTATAAACAACTTTAAAACTTCGAAAAAATTCGCGAATTCAATTTTAGCCGCAAAAAACAACAATTTTCTGTAAAAAAATCAAATTTCTGAAAGCTCAACGCGCAGATCACTGTCAAATAATCATAGAGACGTCTAAAAGGAGCTTTATGATAAAAGTGAAATTTCTGGAAGGGTAAAGCTCGGATCTTCCTCCAATTTTGCACATTTGTTCCACCTTTGCTACAATTCAATCACTGAAAATTTTAGCTCATGATTTGCAAGTGGCGCTGAGATATTCAACGATCTTTGCCGACGACAGAGTATGAGGAGACGTGATCAAAGAGAAATAATTTCCGCTATATCTATACAAACTCACTGTGAAAAAATTGATTTTTTACTAACGTCTTACCGACAGTTCCAAAAAATCAACTTTTTCACAGTGAGGCTCGTAAAGATCTAGCCGAAAACATTTCTCTCCGTCTCCTCATTTTTCATACTCTATTGTTGGCAAAGATCGTTGAATATCTCGGTGCCACTTGCAAACTATAAGCTAAAATTTTCAGTGATTGATTTGTGGTGTAGACAAAACAAATGTGCAAAATTGAAAGAAGATCCAAGCCTTACTCTTCCAGAAATTTCACTTTTATCATAAAGCTCCTTTAAGACGTCTCTATAATTATTTGAAGGTGATCTGCACTTTAAGCCTTGAGAAATTTGATTTTTTCGGCAAAGATCGTTGAATATCTCTGAGCCAGTTGCAAATCATGAGCTTAAATTTTCAATGATTGATTCGTGGTCTAGACAGGACAAACGTGCAAAATTTGAAGAAGATCGGAGCTTCACGATTTCAGAAATTTCAATTTTATCATAAAGCTCCCTTTAGACGTCTCTATACTTATTTCAGACGCTCCTGTCTCTCTGAAACTCTCTCAAACCCTCTCAAATCTCTTCCAGACCCTCTCAATTCCCACCAACCCCTCCTCAACCCACCGAAATGCCATCCTCTTGCGTTGCAGTCAGCGTATTCTTCGCCAACGCCGTTAGCCCTCCGAAAACGCCCACTCCGAGGCCTTTGACGCCGCCGTAAAGATGACTGAGTGGAGTGGCGTTGTCCTGTTGACTCTGGCTTCGCAGCATTCGTCTCCTCATCAGTTCATGCTGTTCGTCGAACGTCAACGACCCCACACCATGCGCCATGGAGCTGGCGACCTTGGAAATGGAGTTCGTAACGCCGTAGCCGAGGCCGGAGACAAATCCGCTGACATCTCCTTCGAAAAGGAGGCCTTGGAAGCTCTCTTTGAGGTCGGACGCGAGGCCCTGCGGGTTACCGAACGCGTCCATGGTGACGATCACTTTCATCGTCTGCTTTTGGAACTCGGCCATGTAGAACTTGCTGAGTGATTCGACCAAAAAATTGAGCGTCTCAAAGTAGTGAAGTTGGCGGAAGGCGGGCAGTGAGACTAGGGCGTTCTCGAAGCTCACCAGCTTCACATTGAACTGCTCCTTGAGGGTCCTTAGGTCTCTGGGGAGGCCGTTTTTGGCTACAGTAAGCACAGTTAGGGCTAGATTTCCAATTTCCAGCTCCAACGTTCCAAAATAACATCTTCTCGTGGGGGCGTGGGAATCGGAAATGCTGGCCGGTTCAATGTTTGGAGGCTGGATTAGGGTTTTTGGCTTCACCGATTCAGCAGTTCCGGTTTCTTGGATGAACTGGGCGATCTTCCAGAGCAGGGTTTCGTCCAGGAGGAGGCACATATCGCAGAGTTTGACGCGGAAACACCAAAATAATTTATGTTATTGGTCATCATCAAACTAACAAAAAAATTCAAAAATAAAAAAAAAATTTTCAAAAATTCCAAAAAATCCGTCATAATGACACATTTTTTTACATCTAAAAAACATTTTTTTGCAAATCCCACAACACACAAGTTTTTCCATTGATTTTTCCAAATTCCAAAAAATCCGTCATAATGACACATTTTTTCAAAACCCCCAAAAATCTTCCAAAATCACTTTTTCATAGTCATTAACACCATTTCTCTTCAAAAAACCCCTCAAAAATCTCTTCAACTCACATCAAAAGCGTCATAATGTGTCCTGGGATTGCACGACATTTCCAATTTCAGCGCTGGTTTTGTCAGCCTCATAGCGGGCGGTTCGAATGTGCCGGGTGATTCCGGGGTTTCTCCTTCCGTTTTCAGGGCGTTCACTTCGCAATAAAGGACGGGCCATTTCTCGGCGTACAACAGTTGATTGTCGATTTGGATTACGGAGACTGAGCCGGTCATTTGGTAGGTTGAATCCGTCTTCATTACGGTGAATTCGAGACCCTAAAACGGCAAGAATTGGCAAAAATATCAAAAAAATAGGTCAAGAAATTTGCAAAATTTTGCAAAATTTTGTAAAAATTCCAAAAAAATCAAGAAAAATCCGATATTATGACCTTTTTCATCTAATTTATGGACCTTACACCTAAAACAAGGTCAATTTTTGTCCAAAAATCCATTTTCGTATCCTATACACTATCTAAAAATCCACATTCTTCTCTAAAATCGTCTATTTCATTCATTTTATTACCCAAAATCTCTAATTTCCCCACTTTTCCCCTAAAATTCTCAAAATCCCACCTTAAACAAGGCGTAGATCAATTCCTCGCTCTGATTGTTGACCACGGAAATTCCCAGGCCCGCTGGGACTTCCAGCCTCACTTCCATGGAATACGAAGGCTTTGCCGTCTTCGTGTCGTCATTTCTGGGGGTTAGCGTCCTTCTATTTGCCGAATCTCTCTTCCGATTGCTTTCCGATGGCATTTCCAGATTTACATCGGCGCGATCCGTGATGCGGACCACCAGGGTTGGGCCCACATGCAAGCATTGGACGTCCAGAACGCCGGATCCCGGCTTCTGGCGTTGTTTTTTGAAGCGATGATTCAGCGGGACCTCGTCGGAGTGCTGTTCCTGGACCGGCGACAAAAACAAAGTGGTTCCTTTGGCCTCAACGAAGCGGTCGAGAAGGCCACAACGGAGGCGACCGTCCTGAAAATTTGTAAATTAATCGGTGACCAATATCCAGACAAAAATATTGCACTTTCATCAAACAATATTGCCAGAATGACAATTTTTATAAAAAATTGCTTTTAAAACCGAACAAAATGATCTAAAATGGCATGAAAAACTCATAATTTGCGTTCATTTATCCATGGCAATAACTAAAATGATGAAAATGTTTCCAAAAAAAACCCCCAAAGAATCGCTCATTTTTCATCCAAAAAACCTCATTTTTTCAAAAAAAAATCCGCATTCGAATCCAAGAAAAACGCCTAAAACTTCAGACCAGCTCCATTGTACCACTATATGACCACTACTATTTGCAAAATCAATCATTTTTCCCTAAATCGACCAAAAAAATCAATTTTAATCAATTTTCTTAAAATTTCCTTAAAAAATCTCGTTTTCGCCTCTAAAGAAATTGCAAAACCACTCTCCAATCGCCATTACAAACCTCAATTTATAAAACTGGGGGTAAAAAGAAAATTGGGGGAACTGAAAAGTATTTTTATCAATGTAAGTATCAAAATTAGGATAATCGATGGGGCTAATTTCGAAAACGACATTCATTTTTTTTTAAACTTCTGTTATTCCGAAATTAAAGTTAATGGCTTGCGCAATTGCCCTAAAGTTTTCGGCCAGCACAGAAATTTGCGAAATTTTCTGCTAGCGCAGAAATCAGCGTGGAAAAAGTTTCTGCGCAAATTAACGAGATGGTTTTAGGAAATCTACCTCATTTACAACAGGCGCAGTGGCCGGAAGTGGTTTTTATCTTTTGTCTCGGGTTCAATTTTTTATTTTATTGAATTGGTGGAGTTTTTAAAAGTTAGTGATTAATCAAAAAGGGTTTTTGCTTTCGATTTCCGGTCTTTTTTTTATTTTATACCGTGACTATAGTACTTGAAATACAACCTTACCAATTCGAATTTTAAATTTAATTTTTTCAGCAACTCTCCCTTCAAAATGTCCGCCGCTTCAACCTCCTGCCCAGCCAGCTTTGTTGCCCATAGGGGACTAAAAAGAAAGGCAGATGAGGAGCTTTTGGAAGGCATCAAGAAGAGAAGATTCGAATATCTTCAAGAGATCGAAGAGGAGAAAAGGAAACTCGAGGAACTGGCCGTGATAATGGAGGAGGATGAGGAAGAAGAAGAATGGGAGATCCCCGATTTTACACGATCACTGTGTAAAACCTTCTATGACCACAACTATGAGGATCAAGAGGAGGAAGAGAGGAGACTAGAGGCAAGTAATTTCAAGGTTATTTTGAGGGTCTTTGGGATACTTTTGGATACATTTTGTGGAATTTTCGAGAAACACTTTTACCAAATTCTTATTTTTTGGTCTTCAAATACTTTCTAATCAGATTATGATCTTGGCCTAGCCAATAATTGAGTAGTCAATAATCCTATTTTAACTTACTGATATCTTATTTTCAGGAGCTCCTCAGAGAAATGGCCGAGAGAAAAGAGATGGAGAAGTTGAAACGGGAGGCCGAAGAAGACGCAGACTACTACAGTAGTCTCTATGAAGAACTGTTTGGGGATGACGATGAGGAAGATGGCCAAGAACTGGAGATGGCTGAGGATGAATGGGCGGTAGATTTGGTCGAAGAAGAGTTTGAAGAAGAAAAAGAAGAAGAACATGAGGTGGAGGAAGAAGATGTGGATGAGGATTTTATAGAAGAGCAGTTCGCGGAAGAACAAGAAGGTCAGTGGATGGAAGAAGAAGAACTGGAAGAGCGCTATGAAGAAGAGGACGAAGAAGATCAAGAAATCGATATTATGAATTAATATTTCATCTCTGCTTTTTAATACTTGTTTTATTTATTTTCATAATTTAACCTTCCGGTTCTATTATTATAATATTTACTTATTATACTTTATTTTCTCATTGTTGTTTGTTTATTGCTCATAAATTTTAATTTAAAACTTATTTGGATACTTTGGATTTCTCTTTTCATTACTGCGGGGCGTAATGCGGTTTTCAAAAACCATTTTCATTTTTCTGCCCTTCACTTTTTTTAATTAGTACTGTAAAACAGTAATTTTTTCTTTTATTTTTTTCTGATTTGAAATCTGTACCATCGAAAACCCATAAATCGAGTATTCATGAAAAAATTTAAAAAAACTTTTTACTATTACAGTACTAAGAAATAGGTGACTATCAAAACTGAATGTCATTTTCGAAATCAGCGCCATCGATTATCCTAATTTCGACACTTACAGTGGCGGACCTGATCCAATGGCAAAAAACGTACCATTTTGGCTCCGGGAGGTATCAAAAATGTGGCAAACTGCTTCCCTTCCAAGTGGCAAACCTTCATTTTGAAGGGCCCTTTCCCTCACAAAAAGAGCGGGCGCGCTTTTGAAGTTTTTTTTCACTTGGAGAGGGAAGCATTTCGTCACATTTTTCATACTTCCCGGATGTAAAATGGTACGTTTTTTGGCATTGCACATCAAAGAAAAATAATACTTTAGATTTTCCCCACCCACAAGAACCCCCTTACATTGGTGAATCTCCATTTCTGCGTGGTATTCCTCATGGGATCCCGCTCTCTCATCATCAGCACACTTCCATTGTCCAGGACATCCAACACGAATTTCTTGTCTTTTTGATGTTGCCGATAATTGAAGCCCACATTTTCGAGGCAATTCTCATTCGTGAAGGTCCAGAGTTGGGAATGAGAGCTGTCGTTGAGGTTTTGACGGGTCAATTGGACTTTGCCTTCCTTCCGACAGGTGAAAACGAGCTCCTGATCTTCCAGATTTTGGTTCTGATGGGAGTGAGGGTCCCTGAAATTAAAAAATAAGTAAAAATAAAATGCCTGGAGACTAAATTATCATGCGCAATGTAAAAAAATTCTCCCAAATCACAAAAAAATCACTCTAGAAACATTCCAAACCGCTTAAAAATTACTTCAAAATTTATCTTCACGCTTTTCTGACCCAACAAAATCTAAAAACATCACTTTGACCAAAAAAATTTTACTAAAAATTACCATGTGTAACATCCCAAGCTGCCCAAATCAAGTTAAAAATACTCTCCAAACGTCCCAAATTCCCTAAAGATTCTCTAAACATCATTTTCATACCCCACAATCCTCAAAAATTTCAAATTTGTCAAGTATAATATACGTTACTGACCAAAATTTTTATAAAAAAAAGCTCCAAAGTCTCTCAAAAATATCTTAAATGCCGTCAAATCCCATAAAACGCCCTCAAAAATTATTTCTCAGCCATCTTACCTCTTAAAACTTGGATAGAACTGAATATAAATATGATTTTCATATATCAATGGGGGTCCTTGCGAAGGTCGTGACGGGTCATAGGTGTGGCTTTTATTTTCATACACCTGCAAGGTGAGTAATTTCTGTGCGTACAAGTCGTCCCATGCGTATTCCACGATGCTGTTGGCTTTGCAAATCGTCCTTAGATGATGTTTTCTGGCGGACTCGGTGTGTTGATGGTACAAAACGGGGACCGTCGAGCGATTCTCAATCTGTATCGGGGCCGGGAAGAAAGAGGCGTCGGTGAAGGTGACCCAGAAGGAGGCCGAGTTTAGGGTGACTTCAACTCGGATGAATCTGGGGGTTTCGTCGCGGTCCCTCATCGTCACATGGAACGAGCCCACCTGATCGATTCGGAATGGGCAAGACCAATGGTTCGTGTCCAGACGCTTCGCACATAGCATCCGCTTGTCCTCAAAGCTCTCGTGCCATATTAGGTTGGAGCGGGCGGCGAGGCAAACCTGTTTGCTTGGTTGCTAAAAAAAATCGAATTTTATCATGGGTAGTACAAATAATTTGTTGAAAGAAGTAATAAACCTCTAAAAAATTTAAAATAAAGGGATGTAAATCCCTCCAGGCTCAAATAACTTCAACTTCCCACCTTATAACCCTATCTCAATACCCAAAATAAAACAAAAAATTGAAAAATTCCAAAATTCTAACAATACCTCAAGTGTAACATAAAAAATCTCCATAACTCCCAAAAACCTAGCTCAATTTTAGACCAATCGCATTTCAAACAATTCCCAAGATTTCTAGGTCAGAAAAAATATATAACCTTCACTTACACTGATCTCATCGGGGTGTGAGACATAAATCTCGTGGCTGGACTGGTTATTCAGTCGATACCTCGGAGCTAGCAGTACAACTTGCGTATCCTTGTATCTCCCAGTTCCTTGACGGACTTCCACTCCAATATTATAGATTCTGCAAGCATTTAAGTTAACAAAAGCCACCAAAAAAGATCAAAAATCAAAAAATTTCTGACGTGAGCCTAAAGTAATATAAAAAAGTGTTCAAAAACCTTCAAAATTCAAATAAAAACTCAAAACAAAAAGCTAGAATTTCTTTTCATTTCCTAACACAAAATTTAAAATCATTTTACTTACTGTGTAGCCTCCGTATCATGCGTTAACATCAACTGAAGGGACTGAACTCCGGGTACCAAAGCGAATCTTCTGCTGAATTTCGGTCGGTATTCTCGTTGGAATTCGGTTCCAATTCTCACAACGCACCTGAAAATTCGATATTACTCTTTTATCACCACAAAAATAAAAAAAACCGTCAAAATATCAAAAAAATCCGATGAAATGTCTAAAACAATATAAAAAATCCGCGATTTTTCCCTTAATTCTCAAAAAAATCTTACTGTGACGGGCAATCCGGGTCGCTGAAGGAAAACATCATGGGATTTCGGTCTTTGGCGCTTTCGTGGTCCGACATTTGGCCGGCCGCTTCTTGATCGGCGGCTTCCTGTTTGATGACCAAGGGAATTCCGGACCGATTCACGATCCAAAACGGTACCCACAGAGAAATATGGATTGCGCCTCCGCGGATGATGCTAACCGAGGCGTATACATGCAGTTCTCGTTGGTTTTGATCAAAGAGGCGGATCAGAATTCGACAGGATTCGGTTCCATCTTGGCGTTCGCTGAAAGGGGGATGGAAAAATTGTGAAAAAAGTTAGCCATCATTGTAAAATACGCAGAAGATCGTTTCTGTTGGCTAAATTAAGCTAACATACAGTCTCATTTAGCTTTAGACATCATAAAAATTCAGCAATTATATCAAAAATTACCATAAATTTCATGAATAATATCTACTGAAATCTACTCTAAATCCCAAAAATTTGATCAAACACCACAAAATCCTTCTTCCAAAAGTTCATTTCACTGCTAACTCAGTAATTTAGAGCTCAATAAAGCCTTCATTTCATCAAAATTTTCCAAAACTAACCAACCACCTCATGGATAATATAAAAACCGCCTCCAATCTCTCAAATCACGGTAAAAACCATAATCCAAGCCCTCCAAACTTCATTTTAGTCCTTTCCACTTGCCTCACACTCCTTTGGCCCTTCTAAATTCCCCTCAAAAAATCCAAAATCCCCTTAAAAATCAAAAAGAATCGAAGAATCTAACCTCAAACTAGACCGCTGAATCGTTGCTGGCTTGTCGGTTCGGAACTTATCACTCGCCACCGAAATCAACAGTCGTTTCTCCAGATTGACTGTGGCCGATTGTAAGCGGTCTCCAGCTTGGATCGAGTGGGTTTCTTCGTTGCAAGTGAGTTCAATGTCAGTGGGGAGAAGATTGAGGACATTCAGGGTCGGGATTAGGTAAATTGAGTGACCGCAAAGGCTTTCGGCTTCCGGGTAATGTTCTCTTTTCACTGATACACACATCCTGAAAAACAAAAAAATTTTAATTTTTGAAAAAAAAAAATGATTAAAAATTTAAAAAATTTTCCAAAATAGGGCAAAAAATTTCGATTTTTTATAAAAAAAATATTTGTTCTCATAGCTCGAACCAACGTCTAGATCAAAGAAACGTCTCTACAAAACCATAATCCTCCTTTATCCTATCAATCTCTAGCCTATCCAGACATTTTTTCCTCTATTTTCAATGAAAAATCAAAATTTTCCTCTAAAAATCTCAATTTCCAGCCAAAAATCGGCCATTTTTGTCATAAAAAATCAATTTTTTGCCTGAAAAATTCCATAACCATTCTCTAAACATCCCATTTCTCCAAAAAAATCGCCTTTCCACCTCAAACAAAAAAAAATCAAGCTCCCTCTTCACCTACCAAAACTGATGGACATCCTCCTGTTTGCTGAAACAGATCAGTTTATTCGTCACTTCGCCGGGTTGTTTGGCCCAGCTCCACTTCAACTCCGCGCTCTTCTCGATGTTCGCGCATTTGGGGCGTACCAAAAGCGAGGCTCCCACAAATCGCAGTGGGGCGAACAATTTTTCCCCCGGCAAGACATCACATTCGTAGCGTTCCTTCTGTTGAATGAACGAGAAATGGACGGGATCGGCGAGTTGGTTGACCAACAGGAGGGCCGACCGGACGGTCACCACTTTTCGGCCGTTCGGTTCCATTGAAACGGCGATCACAATGCGGCCATACGTTGACTTGCCGTTCTCGTCGGTCGAGTGGGATAAACGGGCGACTCTGAAGTAAGTGCCGACCGAATCCACGGAAACCGGGCTGATCTCGTCCCAGCCTTCCACTCGGATCACCAGGGAACGGGGGTCGGAGGAGCGGTCGCGCTGAAAGTCCAGTATAGTAAAAATCCAGATGTCTATTTTTTGGTAGAAATTGGTGATTTTGTTGAAGTTTTTGGCGAAAATGCTACAGTGGGGGACCTAATCCAGTGGCAAAAAACGTACCATTTTTCATCCGGGAATTATCAAAAATGTGGCAAAATACCTCCCTCTCTAAGTGAAAAAACTCCTATTTCAAAAGCGCGCCCGCTTTTTTCGTGAGGGAAAGCGCGCTCTTCAAAACGGAGTTTTTTCACTTGGAGAGGGAAGCATTTTGCCACGTTTTTGATGCTTCCCGGATGCAAAATGGTATGTTTTTTGCCATTGAATCGGATCCGTCACTGAAGAAATCGGGGATAAATGGAATTTTGAAGAAATTTTTAGGCCGTTAACGTTATTCCCCCGGACTTTCGAGGCCTTCACAAAAAATAACGCATCATGTACAGTGTCGGACCTGATCCAGTTGCAAAAAACGTACCATTCTGCATCCGGGAAGTATCAAAAATGCAGCAAAATGCCTCCTTCTCCAACTAAAAAAAACTCCGTTTTGAAGGACCCTTTCCCTCACAAAAAGAGCGAGTGCTTTCGAAACTGGAGTCTTTCTACTTGGAGAGGGAGGTATTTTGCCGCATTTTTGATACTTCCTGGATGCAAAATGATACTTTTTTTGGCACTGGATCAGATCCGCCACACTACAGTATGCTAGATTCTCAAAAAATTCCATTCGTCCCTATTTTCATCCTCCCTCTTCAAAAAATTTCAACAAAATCACCACTTTCCCTCAAAAAATCCCGAATAAAAATCGCCTAACGCCTAAAACAAAGCTCTCTTACCACAGTCAACAATTTCGTTGGGAATTCAAAGGTGCAGCTTTTATCCGTGAGGGCTGTGAACCATTTTGCGTTGGGTTTTCTTTGCTCCTTTCTAGCCTTCTGAACTTCATCAATCGCTGTGGTGAAGATCAAGTTAGATCCGGTTTCATTCTTCAAAATGTACGGCAAATGATCGCTTCTCGACCTCACACACATTGTTCTAAATGCATAAATCAAAAATCACAAAAAAAAAAAAACATTTTTTTATTTTAAAATTTTTTACCTCAAATCCGTTTCCAACGCCGTTTTAATCGCTGCCCACTTGGACGAAAAATGCTTGGCCTGTTGAACAAAGCTTTGTGAGAGGTTGAAATTCAATGGGCTTCGAAGAGCGGGCTGTATTTTCAGGGAATTATGGTGAATTCCACAAATAACTTCAATCTTTTCGATCTGCCATGGCTCCAAAAGTGGTTCCCATCCGAAAACTCGTTGATTAAAGTAGTCAACGCTCAGTCGTAGGGCTACATCGAATTTTTCTGAGACATGGAAGAGCTTTAGATCTGAAAACACAAAGATCACGCAAAAAATTAAAAAAATTTTCCAAAAAATTATATTATCCATCACAAAAAAAATTTTTTTAATATTTTTACCTGATGTAACTAGTCGAACCAATGGTAAAGCAACGTTCTGTGAGTCATCCAGAAGCCATACACTCAGATTCGGAGCCGTCAAGTCGATGGATTTTATATAAATCGGAGCTGAAATCAAATATAAATTATCTTACACTGGACCAAAACCACATCTTCTACCCGGTAAATTTAACTTTCATAGGCCGTTACCAACATCTAGCAACATATACTTTCCATTTAAACACCAAACTCCCACTTCCACCCCACCTTTCATCTATTTTTATATTGTACTACCCACCTGGTGTAACTTCCATTGGTAGATTCGTCGGCGACCCGCTTCTCTGATGTCCCGCATTCTTCGGAGGTGCTAGGCGCTCCAATGCTCCCGTTAGGACACTTTGCACCACCAGGATGTCCTTATACGACAGGCGGAAGACCATTTCTCCGAGGCCGAAGCTCAAGCATTGGCGGGTTTTGCCCGTCTCCAGCGAGTCCAATCCCGATAAACGTTTTTTCCTGGTCGACTGAGGTTCTTTGGTCAAGCTGGCGGTTAGATCAAACTCATTCGAAATTTGACAATGAGTCGACGCTTCCGCGGACATCAAACACCAGCTGAGGCCGATATTCTGAACTTCAAAGTTGCCTTCGAAGACTCCGCTTTGATCATGGAGGCCCAAAACCGCCGTCGTATGTCCCACCAGGGCCAACGAATTTGGTCGTGAGCTATTTTCGAGTAGAACCAAATCCGACTCTTTCAACGTGATCTTCAAAGTTATCGTATGTGCGTTAATTTTCGCCGGTTTCTTTTCATTTTGTCCGTTCCTCAACAAAATCCCCTCCTTCGGAATGGCAAATGGGATCCGAACATTTGTTCTGGCGGGCTCGTCGGGCGGCTGGAAGTCCGAGTTTTGGAGGACAAAATCCTTGGCCATATTCAGCCAGTCCAAGATGAGGAGAACGCGGGAGTTCATGAGGACGAGGGTGACCACGGGGGCTTCGTCCTTCTTCATCATGATGTGGGCTTCGGACATGAGGGCCATTGTGTTGCTAAAATCAAATTCGATATGAAAAAAAGGTCAAAAACAACTTTTTGGGGACGAAGTTGATTATTCTTCGGACTTCAAAAAAAGTACAAAAGAAAGGAAAAAAAACACATTTTTCCTCATTTTGCATCCAGGAAGTATCAAAAATGTGGCAAAATACCTCCCTCTCCAAGTGAGAAAACTCCGATTTCAAAAGGGCGCCCGCTCTTTTTGTGAGGGAGCCCCTTCAAAACGAAGTATTTTCACTTGCAGAGGGAAACATTTTACCACATTTTTGATGCCTCCCGGATGCAAAATGGTATGTTTTTTGCCATTGGATCAGGTCCCCCACTGTAAGTGTCGAAATTAGGATAATCGATGGCGCTGATTTCGAAAATGACATTCAGTTTTGATAGCCACATATTTCTTAGTGGGTGCCGCTCGCACCCTGACTTTTTTCGCATAGTGCATGTCGCAAAAATCACTCCAGCGACTTTCCGGAAGGACTCTCCCTTGCTTCCACTCCCAATTCCCTACCCTTCGCTAATTTTCCCCTTCTTTCTTGGCTGGACAATCGTTGTGAAGATGTTCGGACGCTGATTGGCTGGGAAGTCGTCGTATCTTGAGTCGGCCAGCTCGGAGCTTTCGCAGATAATGTCCAGCTCGGACTGATTGTCGATGTAGGCGTCGAATGAGATCCTCGCTTTGTGCAGGAGTACTTTGCCGAACCTCTCAAAGTCTTCTGGGCATCCCTCTTTCGGGTTCAAAAAGTGGAAGGTCACGTTGCGAAAGTCCATGCGATTCGAAAAGGTTGCGTATTTTTGAGCGGTGCAGGCAACTAAGCCTTTATCCGGGCACTGGAGGACTTCGAATGGGATCGTGTCGGGATTTGGGATCAGCTGATCGCCGAGATTTTTCTCCAGGAACCCACGGAGAAGTTTGTAAAAATCGACGGTGAATCGGAGTTCCAGGTCTTCGAAATGGGTGAGGACGGAGAGTTCGGGTACTAAAAAATATTTTTTACAGGAAAAGTACTTCTATGGGGTATGGAGTTACAGGTAGACTTGGCTCTCTGGCCGGCGCGGGCCGAAAATCGCGGCCCGGCCCGGCCCGTTTCAATTTTTCTTCGGCCCGGCCCGGCCCAGCCCGCGGCCCGGCCCTGGCCGGCCCAAAAATTGAGAAAAATTAAAAAACCTTAATCCGCTATCAGATGTGACATATTTTTCTTTACTATAACAACTAACAGTACATTTTTAAAGCAAAAAATTACTTGCCAACGCATTGCCTTTTTAAAATTAATCAAAAGATTCCCGAGATCCGTTTTCAGACTGTTAAAAATTGCCCCAAGATCAATTTTACAGATTCAGCAAAGGTCGAACCACGTTTAACAAGGTTTTCAACTTCAAGATGATAGCGTTGCTTCACACGACTTCTTAATTGTGTTTTTAAGGATGTCGGTTACGTTTATCCCTTACAAACCAAAACTAGGCAGCTAACTTCTACATATTCTGAATCAGAAAAATTTTACGTTTTTTTTTGACATATTCCTCGACCTGTAACTCCATATCCCATAGAAGTACTTTCTTTGTCAAAAAATTCTTGCTAAAATAAAATAAAATGCATCAAAAAGATAAAATTTCTCCAGGAACTCCTCAACTTCCACTTACAATTATGTGAAATAAACGACGACAAGTTTTTGAACACTTCAATGTTCAAATCGAACGGTCTATTCAGGATATTCTCATCCTGAATTTCCAAACAGAAGTCTTCAAAAACTTCTTGGCCAATTCTTCGGTGTTTCTTTTCGACCGGTCGATTCGTGAAGGCGTCCAATCTTTTCCCCGCAAAGACCCGAAGTTTCTCGCATATCAGCGACATTTTATCCAACAAACAATCATAATCATCGTCTCCATGGAGTGTTTCGATGGCGTGTTCTTCCAATTCCTTCGTCTGAGAGCCCAGAAGGAATTCGTTTTTGATGCGAACCGAGTCCATTTCGAGTAAAATTAGATCATCGCTGAACTGATTTAGGGGCAGGACTAGTTGGGTTGGAGAGGCGAGGTCCACTGTCAGCTTGCATCGGGTTTTTTGGCCGTCCACGCACTGAAACAACAAAATAAAAAAAAAAATTTTTTAGGTAATAAATGCAAAAAACCCCAAAATTCTCAAAAATTCGATGGTAAAAATAACGGTCATTTTCCAAAAAAATCCAATTCACGGTCCTTCCAGCTCAAATCAAAGCAATTTCTCGAATTTTCAATCAAAAATATATATTATCCATGAAAAAAACTTTTCATTTTTTGCCTAAAACAATGTCCCAGCTCCATTCTAGATCACCAAACTCCTACAAAAACATTCAAAAAAAATTTTTTTTAGGTAACAATTCCAAAAAAATCCAAAATTCTCAAAAATTCGATGGTAAAAATAACGGTCATTATACAAAAGAATTCGAAAAAAAATCCAATTCACGTTCTTTCCAACTCAAATCCAAGCAATTTACCAAGTTTCCCACCAAAAATTTATATTATCCATGACAAAAATTTTTCATTTTTTGCCTAAAAAAATGTTCCAGGTCCATTCACATCCTTTCCAACTCAAATCCAAGCAATTTCTCCAATTTCCCACCAAAAATTTATATTATCCATGACAAATTTTTTTTTCATTTTTTGCCTAAAACAATGTCCCAGGTCCATTCCAACCCTCAAACTCATATAAAAACTTTCTTCACACTCCAATCTCCACAACTCCCCCATCTTCCCACCAAATTCGACTTTATTTTCACTTACTTGACTAATTTTTTCATTCTTTCTTCTCACTTGATCCCCCAGGTCAGCAAAGTTGAACCAGAAATCCAAAAAGGCACAAAAATACCGATGAGTGTGTATATAAAACAACTCCAGTTCCTTGGGTGTTTTGACGTCCACTTTTATGTCAAATTTTCGCTTCAATTCCGGGTCATCTGTCCGGAATTTCAGGACATCCACCGTAATCTTGTCTTCTTTTTCCAAACTTTTCTGAATTTTCCGTTCAATCGCCACCCGTTGGCCATATTTATCGCTGTAAAATGGGGTCAAATCGCTGAGGGAGAAATCTCCAATGGCCAGTTGGAGTTTCATGGGGTCTTCTGGGTCGTTTAAATTGATTTTCAGGTCCAATTCCGACTCCTCCAGGGCGATTTGACCGAGTTGGGTGCTGTTGGCGGGGTAGTTCATGTTGACGGCCAAGTCCTCAAAGTCCAATTGTAAGCGGAGATTGTAGGCCGAGGCCTTGCGCTTCGCTTCTTCGGCGAGACGTTCGTTCTGAAAAAAATATATTGTTTTAGATGTATTGATTTGAAAATCTCATATCTCTGTGAATTTTTCATCAATTTCCTCGAAATTTTGGTAACAAACCCTACAGTAATTAAGCACAAATTCCTTTTAAAAATTTTCTGTTATTGCAAATTCAAATTTATCGCTCACGCAATGCTCCTAAAATTTTCTGCCAGTACAAAAATAAGCGAAATTTTCCGCTAGCGCAGAAATTAGCGTGGAGAAAAGTTTCTGCGCAAGGTAAACGGAATGGTTTTAGGGAATCTACCTCATTTACAACAGATGCAGTGGTCGGGAGTGGTTTTTAGCTTGGATTTATTAAGGCTCGGGATAAATTTTTTTTTTATTTTACTGAATTGATGGATGGTTTTGAAAAGTTACTGGTTAATCAAGAAGTTTTTGCTTTCGATTTCCGGCCTTTTTTTATTTCATACCGTGACATACCGTATCCGAAATATAATCCTACCAATTTTTGAATTTTAAATTTCTATTTGTTTTTCAGCAACTTTCCTTTAAAACCCTTACAATGTCTGCTGCCTCTTGCCCAGCCAACTTTGTTGCCCTTAGGGGAGTAAAAAGAAAGGCCGATGATGAACTTTTGGATGGAATGAAGAAGAGAAGATTTGAGAATCTTCAAGAGATCGAAGAGGAGAAGAAGCTCCAGGAACTGCCAGTGATAAAGGAAGAGTACGAGGAAGAAGAAGAATGGGAGATCCCCGACTTTGCAAGATCACTTTGCAAAACCTTTTATAACCACAATAATGAGGATCAAGAAGAGGAAGAGATGAGACTCGAGGTAAGTAACTTTGGGGTTATGCTGAGGGTTTTTGGGATACTTTTGGATACTTTTTGTGAAATTTTCGGGATTCTTTTGAATTCTGGGGCTCTTTGAGAGCTGTTAAAATTGAAATACCAAATTTTTATTATTTTTATTCTAAATAACTTGCATTAAAATTGCATTTTGTCTTAGCTCAAAATTGACCAGTATAATCCTATTTTATCTGATTACTTATTTTTTATTTTCAGGAGCTCCTCATTGAAATGGAAGATAGAAAAAAGACGGAGCAGTTGAAGCGTGAGGAAGAAGAAGACGCAGAATACTACAGTCGTCTTTACGAAGAACTGTATGGAGACGACGATGAGGACGATGGCCAAGAATATGGGATGGAAGAGAAAGAATGGGCTGAAGGTGTGGATGAAGAAGAATGAGGAAGAGCGCTTTGAAGAAGAGGAGGAGGAAGAAGAAGAAGCAAATATTATGTATTAATATTTAATATCAGTTTTTTAATATTTCTTTTATTTATTTTCATAATTCAACCGGTTCTTATTATAATATTATACTTGGATATTTGCTCATTGTTGTTTATTTATGGTTAATAAATTTTAGTTAAAAATTTATTTGGATTTTTTTTTTGACTTGAGGCTTCGATAATGTTAGGTTCGAAAATCATTTTCATTTTTTCTGCTCTTGACTTTTTTTAAGTAGTAATTTGAACTTTATGCTACAAATACTCGATCTAAGGTTGATTTCGGGATTTTCGATAGCGTAGATTTTTAAAATAACGCTCATTTTTTCTTAAAATTCTTCATTTAGGGAGTTTCGAGGGTGTTTTTTTTGCGCAGTCCGACCCTTAAACCCAAAATTAGGCTGCAATTTTTTACATATACTCGATCTGCACAATTTTAAGCATCTTTTGAGATATGTCTAGTCTAAAAGTAGGAGTCCTATAATACTCCTTCCTTTGCCAAATTTTGCGCAAAATATGGGAGAAAAAATAATGTAAAACCCTACCTTCGCAATCTCGTCCTCGCTCATTTTCTTGCCATACAACAATGCCTCAAGGATTGGGTCGGACGCGGCTTCACTCGTCGTCGGTAATTCATGCACAAATTGATCTCCATGGCCTGGTTTTTGGCCCAACGCTCCAAAAAAGTTCAACAACATGGTCCAGGTTCGTGCATTCATGCCCACCTCAACCTCACTGAAGTTGGCTTTGACTGTGCAATGCTGTTTTTGGTATGTTTCTTCGAATTTGGGGTGTTTTTCATCCACAAAAATTAGGTTCAGCAATACGCAGCTTTGGTCCCAATGACCAAAATCATTATCCAAGGCGAGGCCGGGTCGTTTCAAGCTCGGCGGGACCGCCGAATTGGGGGATCTGGCCGTTTTGAGGTCGGCTGAGATGGCTAAAATTGAAAAATTCGATGATTTTTTTCAAAAATGGGCATTATTTTACCTGAAATTCCTTTTAATTCTGTTGGTAATGACGATGAAAAGAGGTCCGAGTCGTTTCTGGAGGTCTGTGAATCCGTGAGAGTTGGGAGGGAGAGGGATCGAGTCTTCTGAAATATCAAAATCAACAATTTTTTTCAAATTTTGCCATGTACAGGGTGTTTCAAGAAATTTGACAGAAACTAATTGCGAATATCTTTGAGCTCTTGCTAGTTATCGCAGAAATTCTTTTTGATTCTAAAACTTGATAACGGGCGGTTTTGTACTGAGCAAAAAAAAAATTTTTTCGTCGGCGGAGAGGCCAGTTCTCGGCGGAGACATTTGGGGCCTTTTTTAAAAATCACACCTTATTGTATGGTGGAAGCTCTGTTACAACGGTCAAAATTATGTTTACGTTACACCTCCGTGGATTTTACGGTATGCTTTTTTTGCGTTTTCGATTTTACGCAACATCCGCGGAGGCGCGGCGGAGACCTCAGATTTCGGCGGATTTTGTTTTGGGCCCTCGGTTTTTGCAAATCCATGTTGGAAAAAAGCTTGGGGCGATTTTTTGTTGTCATCCGATGCACAGATGGCAAAAATTTTTTACTTTTTTCCCCCGGCGGAGGATTCGGCGGAGGCTTTATCAAAGGGTCAAAACAAAACTTTGACTCTTTTGATAAAGCCTCCGCCGATGTGTCCGCCGAACCAAAAAATAAGAAAAATGATGTTGCTGTGATGGATTCTTGTAGCTGAGTTTTTTTCCCGGACTCCTAAGACTGTTCTGACCCTTTGATAAAGCCTTCGCCGAATCCTCCGCCGGGAAAGAAAAGTGGGAAATTTTTGCATCTGTGCATCGGATGACAACAAAAAATCACCCCACACTTTTTTCCAACCTGGATTGAATGAACCAAAGAGTCAAAACGACGTCCGCCGAAACCTGAGGTCTCCGCCGTGCCTCCGCGGATGAGCGAAAATCGAAAACAAAAAAAAGCATACCGTAAAATCCACGGAGGTGTAACGTAAACATAATTTTGACCGTTGTAACAGAGCTTCCACCATACAATAAGGTGTGATTTTTAAAAAAGGCCCCAAATGTCTCCGCCGAGAACTGGCCTCTCCGCCGACGAAAAAAATTTTTTTTGCTCAGTGCAAAACCGCCCGTTATCAAGTTTTAGAAACAAAAAGAATTTCTGCGATAACTAGCAAGAGCTCAAAGATATTCGCAATTAGTTTCTGTCCAATTTCTTGAAACACCCTGTATAATATCCGAAAGTCAAAAAAAAATGAAAAAAATCTAAATTTAATTTCAATTCCAACAAAAAAATAAACCCTAATCTAATTATTCACTGCCTAGAGGTCCAACCAAGACCAAAAAATTACAAAAATTTCAATTTTTTGAATTTTCCGCCAAATCTTGGCATTCTGTTGCAAGTTCGAAAAATGCCTAAAACCGCCTGCAAATCACCTAAATCATATCCAAATCTCATTTTCAAGCCTTTTTGGCCCTTCAACCTTTCAATTTTCCCCAAAAAACACCTTAAACCCACCGTTCCAGTGATAGTTCCATTCGGTGGGACCGTCTTCAACAATGGCCAATGCGTTTTTTCGAACAAATCCTTCAGTTCGAACTGATCAAAGCCCAATTTCATGCGGCTGAGGAACTTCTCCGTCCTCACTAGGCCCATACAAACCGAGGTGAGTGTGGCCGAAGCGAAGGGCTGGGAATTTTGGCAGAGCAAAATCTCGTCCGTCGGGGATTTCCGTTTGCTTCGCAGTTCCAGCTGTACCTCCGGGATGTTGACCGTGAAGAATATTTGATTGTCGGGTTCAAACTCCTTCAACGCCGCTTCCTGCTCCTTTTCTTTGGTCTGATCTTGGCTGAAAAAGGCCGAGTCCGTGTCGAACAGGTTCGCGAGGCCGTCCAGCGCGTCCTCGTCGTAGACCACGGCGATTGGGAGGAAACTGGCGCTGATTTCGTGGAAAACGTTGAGACGAGGGGCGAGACGTCGATAGAAAAATCTAAAACCATGACGATTAAAGCATTTTGCATCATAAATTTTTAAAAAATAGCCAAAAAATCCTAATTTTTTTACTAAAAATCCCAAAAAAATTTTTTTTGAAAAAAATGCCAAAAATTTTGCAGTTTTCTTTACTAAAAATCCAAAAAAAAATTTTTTTTTGAAAAATTTTCCAAGATACCTCAAAATTCGCATTCAAAACTCTCCACTTACTGCAACAACGGTTCACATTTCTTCTCACTACTCGATATTGTATTATCAGTTTTATTATCATCCCCTTTCGTTCTCCCAACCGCAAAAAGAACTTCCGTATCCATGGCGGCAACTCCAACGCCGGTCCAAAGGCTGTCTTCGATGTCTTCTTGAAGATCGCTCATCGAGCCCGCTCTGCTGAGTTCGGGGCTTCTTTGTGGGGCTACGCGGAGCCGCTGGACCGACATATCCATCACCGATAAACTGATTTCTGTTCGGTGTTCTCGGGGGGATAAGAGGACCCTGGAGGCGACTGTGGACATGTCTAGGGCTAGGATGCGGGATAGGCCAAGGCATGTTAGCTGAAAAAAAGTCAAATAAAATTTTGATTTTTTTCAAAAGATCAAATTTTTATTGGATTTTTATATTCCAAATAAAGCACGAAAATCATGTAAATTCCTTCAAAAATCTGACAAATATGTGATTTTTCTCATGAAAAATCAAACAGAAATACCCAAAAACACACTCTAGCCTCATGTTTTCTTCATTTTTACATTAAAATCACCTTTCTCCTCCAAAAAAATATCAAAACCCTAAATTTTGATCGAAAACAATATACATTTTTCTATAAAAAATTCAAAGTTTCTTTCCAAAAATTTAAATTCACATCCCTCAAAGTCCCACAAGGCCAAAATCTCCCCATTAACAAACACTAAACCCACCCTTTCATTCCAAAAAACATCAAACTCCCACTTTTCCCCTAAAACAAAATAAAAATCCCTCAAAACTTACTTCATCATCATCCACAAACCGAACAATCATTCTCTCCAGTTGTAATACAACTTCAGCCAACAAATTATCCCTCCTCAGTACTGTGGAATCATCCCAGCTTTCGGATAAAACATCCAGAAGCTCTTCTTCAATCCTTTTCTCCACTCTCCTCAAGTTCGGCGGCAATTCTCTGTTCCCATCCTGAGGCCACATATTCAAGAACGCAGCTTGATTAATATCCTCCTCTTTCGGCTTTTTATTCGGGTCCTCGCCAGCGGTGAACCAGCTGGCTAGCCATCCGTAGAATCCGGGGCCTTGTTCTCCTTGTGGAGCTGGAGTTTGACTTGTATTCGAGGCTTTTCGATCATACATCGAGGACGACATTTGAGCGGACGGTTCCACGGAGGTTTCTCGGGACAAAACATCGTGGGATTTGCTGCGGGAGGGCTCTGAAACGAAAATTTTCAAAAAAATCGGGATTAATATCAAGTACAATATAAATTTCATATGAAATACGTAAAATAAGTCGCTCAAACGTGTCGATCATTAAGAATAAAGCTTCTAATCGGCATATATCAACTTTTTAGCTCACAATTGATAAAAATGAGTAATATTTTTAGCTCGAAAATCGAATATCCAGAAACTTCAAAGCTCACTCAATATCTTGGTTACTATCACATATCGCAAGCTCAAATTTTCTGAAATTAATCCACATTTCACACAGATTACCACAACCAATTTTCAAAGAAATAAATCCCTCGCACTGCGAGCACTTCCCTTCTCAACATTAATACCAAGTGCAATATATTTCCCCTTAAAAATCCATTTCCTACCCGAATCCGGCGATACCACTTCGAACGTCTCGGCAGAGTCACTCTCTTTCAAACCATTTTCTTCGGCTTCAATCTGTTTTAGATACTTTCTGAAGACAATTTCCCTGAATAAATGCAGCTCATTGTAGGTAAACTCCGAGTCATGTTCGATCTGTTTCATGTACGCGGAGTCCTCGGGGCTTATTGCACTAGTCGATGCGACTTTCGAATTAGGGTCTTTTCTAAAAACCGAAACACTAATCTTCAAAATTTCACTTACACTTTGGCCTGTTTCGCCTTTTGATCGGCGACAAATGCTTTGAGCTTTCTCGTGTATGCTTTACAATAATTATTGAGTAATTTGGCACGTTTTAGGACGAATGCAGCTGAAGCCGTCGAGCGTTGCTTCCGATTGTCTTCGGCGATCCGTCCGTAGGCAAATTTCCACCAATCTTTCGCGCTGAAACCAAGTTTTGTCATGGATAATATAAAAATTGCTCAAAAAAATAAAATCCCGCAGTCATATTCGATTCAAACTATTGTCATATGAAAAATCAAGGCTTTTTAATTCTATCCAAAGTTCTAAAAGCCCTTACTTTCCCGTTATTCTTGTCAGCGGTCTCCATTTCCGATGTTGTCTTGCTCTGTCAAATCTCGCCCATTCCGCCGAAAGCACTCGTATTTGGGCAAGTTGCCGTTTCGATAACTCAATTTCGATCCGTTCTGGCCTTAGATCAAACTGAAAAAAAAACCATTTTCATCAGTCTTTTTCCCCAAAAATTACATTACTTTAGGCTACCTTAGTCCAAAAAAATTTCTCACCGTAAACCTCGGGATTGGAGGATTTTGTTTCAATGGAAACTTCGAGGCATTCTTCTCCATTCGAACCGTCATTGAGAACGGTTTCAAAATAAAAGTGTTATTCTTTGAGGTCTCCGGAGCCAGGATCTTTTTTAGTTTCTCGTAGGTGTCAATGTCAACATCCATTTCTTGTGAGCAATTCCAAAACACCGAGAATCCTTTCACATCCAGTTTCTTGAAGGTATTTGTGCCATCTTCCGGTTGGACAAAGCCAGGTTTCTAAATTTCAAATTCAAAAAATCAAAAAATTTTCTCACCCATTGCGAATTCGTCGTTTGGATGCTAATGTTGTGGATTCTGAAGCCGAAATGGAACGGCATCTTGTCCGGCATGGTCTTGTCGTCTTCATAGCGGATGTGAACATTATTTAGGATCAACTAAAATCGGAATATTGAGCAAAATCTAAATAAAAAACGAAAAAATGGGAAAACATACTTGAATATTATTGGAGACGGCTGAAACAAGTGAAGCTCCCCACCATGCATTCTGAATTTCTTCCAGTTGAAGGGTGATAGAGGCTGCATCGAGTAACCGTTGCTGAAATGGGAAAAATCAAAGGTTGAAGCAGAAAGTGAGAAAAAAATTCAGGAAATCTAACATGCTATTGAATATCAACTACATGAATACTGAAAACTGTCTAAGAATGATAACAAATATTATATTAGCTCTTGAATGCTATTTTTTGCAATTTCCTCTCTGTTGATCACCTAAAACGCAAACAAAAAAATCTTATAACCTCTTACTTTATGCAGTTTCTCCAGCTCTTCATACATCTGCTCCTTCTTGGATTGTTCGCTTTCTTCCACCAGGTCCAAATTTGACGATGGATCCGAATTGGGTCCCAATAAAATCAACAAATCGCTCATTTTCAAAACCCATGGTTCCGACTTGATATGAGCAATGGGAACGGACAATGTGAGCTTGCCGATGATCCCGGACCTCACTTCCAATGGGACATCGAACTTTCGGAGCGCCGTTTTCCGCAGTGGAACATTCTCCAATTCCACTTGACCTTGTAGCAAAGCGATGGAGATTTGGTCAGCATTCAGATTCTCGAGGTATTCGCCGACATAATTGTTGAGGACCCAGGTCACCAGACCTTCCAACATTTAGGCTGGAATTTGGTTGGTGACCAATCTTGAAAATATTTACAAAGAGGGTCTGAAATTAAAAGGAAATTCGATTTCGTAGCAGATTAATCACAGAAAGTTGAATGAAACCGCGGTTTGCATATTGTACATGACAGCTGGAACAACAAAAAATCATGTGCAAGATAAAAAATAAAAAAAAATGTTCCAAAAACATTACAAATGTTCTGCTTTTGCATTCTAAAACTATTAAACAGCAAAGATTCACTTCATCCTATCATAATTTTAAAAAACATTATCTTTGATACATCTAAAATAATGTCGGCTATAAAAACTGTAAATCTGAATAAAAACAGACTCTTTTCATCTTCAAATAACCCGCAAACCCCCACTTTGGTTATTTAAAAAATAAAAACCAAAAGCGGCTTTAGGAAATAACAAAAAAACAGAATGATATTCTCCATTGCCAACACCCCAAACTTGGAGCCCCAAAACCCTTCGAAACGCACTTTTGACGTTTCAAAAAGTCAAATGCTTTATTCAAAATCACTCCACACTCTCTGAACTCTGTTCCCAGAGAATTCCTCATAAAAATATAAGACTTCCCGCATTAACCGAGGAAATTCGTCAAATCCGTCGAGTTTTTTTTGAATTCCATTCTAAAAAAATTAAAAAACAAGTAAAAAGCTGCGAACCTCAATGGAAGGACATCATTAATCCCTTGTTCGGCTATCCAGACGTGATTTGCGCGGTGATCTTTATCTAAATCATGAGGAAGAAAGAAAAATTCGGAAGAAAATTAGTAGATGTGTAAGTCAATGAAATTTTGTTACAAAATCGGGTGATATGAGGCAAAAAACAAAAAAGTTACAGATAAAAACTAGTCAAAACACCAGTTTCTTCCTGAAAAAATATTTTTCCATCAATTTTCGTGGATTGGACGAAGTGTCACATGACATCAATTTTTGTTGCGAAGTGTCACAAAATTATTGACTTCCAAATTTCCTCAAATTTCGTGGAAGCTTCTGCAAGAATTTACTCTGTAAGCAATCTATCTGTTATTTTCATTCGGATTTATTACAAAAATCAATGTATAACACCTGAAATAATTGGATAAAATATTATTTATCTAAAATAATGTCGATTTGTGGGTAAAGATCGATGAAAGAAGATGGGAATGTGAGGTGGAAGAGAGCGTTAGAATCTACATAGAGTTTGGTGGTTTATTTCCGGCCGTAGCCGCGTTGATAGGCGGTGTCTTGTTGTTCCGGTATACGTGGCTGGTTGGCCTGTGGGCTGACGAGGATCACAGAGTCGACGTTCTGGCATACGCAGGTCCCGGGCTCGCCTGAAAATCGAATATTGAATATGTGGGTTGCGAAGAATGTGCTTTGTTTTTGGCATACTTTGAAGATTTATGTTATACTAGCTTTTGTCTAGTATAATATAAATTTTTATGAAATCGTTCGAACTTGTTGGTGATGACTTACCAGGTGGTCCTTGAGCTCCTGGAGGTCCTTCTGGACCAGGGTAGCCTGGTTCTCCGCTCTCTCCCGGGTGTCCTGGCCATCCGCGATCTCCTTGCGCTCCGGTCATTCCATTTCGTCCTGGTAGTCCGGGAACTCCTGGTGCTCCAATGGGTCCAATTGGTCCGGCATCTCCAGGTGGGCCTTCTCTCACTTCTCCTTGTGGTGTTTCTCCTTTGTCTCCGGGGGCTCCGGGGCCTCCCTTGAATCCGGGAGGGCCTTGCGGTCCAGTTTCTCCGGGCTGGCCGTCTTCTCCATCGCGGCCTCGAGCTCCATGTGGTCCCATTGGTCCTGGGTCTCCGGGGAATCCGGGCCATCCCTTGATTCCGGGTGGCCCCTTAGGGCAGGGTCGGCATGGTGGAGGCTCTCGTTGCATTTGAATTGGACAGGTTTGGTTGGGCGAAGTTCCGGGGAATCCGGGTTTTCCGGCCGCTCCGGGGATTCCGGGCTTTCCTGGCACTCCGGAAGGCCCTCGTGGTCCTGGTGGGCCAGGAATGCAACAGCCGGGGCATTCGGTTTGAATTGGAGAGCCGGTTACTTCGAAGTTGGGGACCTGGCCTCCATCATTCGCGTATCCACCCAATTCCCCGCCGGATTCTCCGCCATTGTTCTCGTTTTCATAAGCCGAATTGCTGCCGGATGCCTTGTAGTTGCCGTAGACGGTAGAACGAGCGGTTCGGTTTCCTCGAAGGGCTCCACGACCAAGCTCTACTTCTAATAACGCTTCTCGGTTTGAACGCTGTAAACGTTTTTTGATTAGAGGCATATTGAGATCCAAAATATATTGTTTTAGTCTTTTTAGGGCCAAAAATTGGTCCGCGCTTACCTCACAAAATCGCATCTCACTCTCCACATAATCGATGGTTGTCTGGACATTATTGTACAAAATGGGCAGGGTTATACACAAGATCAGCACCGAAATGGAGCTAAAGGCAATCTGCACCCCGGTAACGAACTGATACATTCGTTGGCGCTTCGCCGTCGACATCCTGGCCCTGGGCTTGGTCCAATTCCGGCAAAACTGCGCGTTTCTTTCGGTCGTTCCACAAGCTCTTCCAGAAGCACTTGCACGGCGCGGCGGATTCTCCACCCAGCTGATAGGAGTCGCGTCTTCGGAGGCTTAGCGAGCGAAAAATGCGGCCGAATCGATGTTTGAGGCTTGATTTTTCGAGCACACTGAATTCGTCGAGTTCGGGGGTGGACTGGTTGGGACTAGCGGGGATTGGAGAATATTCGGAGGAGGTTTGACTGTGCTGCAAGGGTAGGGAAGATGGTGGACTGTCAAGGGATTTCAGGACGTTTCCGTTTTGATCAAGGGCCTGTTCAAGGCCTTGATGGGGTGAGGAGGGAAGCTCTGACTGAAAAATGGGGAAAGATTATTATGATTTGGGCAAAAACTTGTGGAAAATAGTAAAGTTCGGGAAAAGTATGGGGGAAGATAAAGTTTTAAGGTCAAGGGAGTGGTTTAGATTGTCAAGGGCGCTAGAAACATTAGAAAGAAAGCTAATTTAAAGGATAAAATGAGATTTTTTGGCCATTAAGACATCGAATTCACTTTCTGAAATATCGAAATTTCCCTAAGATTCCTCCAACTCCCTCATTTCCCCACTGATCCCCTCAATTCGTACGATAAAGCCCCCGAAAACGGGGGTTTCGATAGAAAAAAGCCGGACAATTTCGATCCCGACGCGCGGTTAATGACCTAAACGGGGTTAACCCTGAAGCGCTCCGGTCGGTGATAACCCGCGCCGCCCTGAAAATCAACCGCAAGTTTCTTTTGCGCGCGAAAGATTGCGGGATTTGCGGAGAGCGCGATGACCCGTTGACCGAATGATGGAAGCCGATTGGAATGCACGCCAGGTTTCTCGATGAAACGGGATTATCGATGACAACGAGCAATTTTGCATTAGGAGGATTGGTATTATAGGCGTGAGATTTTTCTACGGTATTCTCCTTACCGTAGAGGGAGCTAAGAGCTTAATAGCGAAAAAAGATACTATACAAATGTTGGCGCTAGACCCCAAATTTGCATAAGTTCGCTCATTCCCTATAAAAGCCACAGATATGGTCAGTTTATAATCACTTTTCCTGCTGTGATGCTAAATAAATACTTCCTTCTTGGTCTTCTCGTCTTCTCCTACCGGTCGCTCTCACATCAAATCCCATTCTCCCCTGGTCAGCCAGTACATGGGGGCTCAGCCAGTACAACAAATTACTGCTTCTTGCACTGTCGTATTTGAGTCAACAAAGAGGTCGAAAAGCGATCAAAGCGGGCGCATATTTGGTATCAAAAAGTATCAAAGAAGCATAAAAAATAAATGAAAGATTGCTTCTTTTGATAAGGTTATTGGAAAGCTTACTTTCGAAAGTATTTTGGAACCTTTTTGGAGTCGCCAATATGATCCCAGAATCTTCGAAATAACCGGCCTTTTTAATGCCTCCAGGATCATTTTCAATATCAACCTTTGCATGCATCTCTTCGGCTTTTTTTGACTGAAACACGACCGGTACAGAAGTCATCCCTAACCGTGGAAATAGGTTAGGAAATCATATTAGCCTTGTATGGAGCAATTCTCACCTTCTTTTCCTCCTCCGTCTCCTTGTCTTTCTGTTCAAGATTCAAATGCAACTGTTTGGTCCTTGGCTTGGGGGTTGGTCTCTTCACCAGCTCGGGAGAGTTGATTTCTTTGTCTTTTGTCAATTCCACAATCTCCAAGTGCTTGAAATCCAATGGGTCAAATGCGGGGAGGTTTGGAGGGGCGGATAGTGGGACTTTGGGTATTGGGTTCTGTAAGGAATAGAGAAGTGGAAGGAATATAAAAGCATTGGGCATTTTGGGGGCAATTTGGGAGTGACAGATCAATCTCATCGCCCGTTGAATTACGGTACCATATGGCAGGTTATAGCCATACAGGTTTTATAACGATTTTAGATACTCGCCAGGAGGATCATAGGAAAGGGTATCCCAAATTCGGCTTTTGTAGGTTGATAAAACTTTTTTACTATTCAAATTCTTTATATAGACACTGTTGTATCTCAAAGTAAAGATACGGCATCCCAACAAACTTGTCTTTCAATAGAGACTTTGTTGTCGTATCTCAAAGCAAAGACCAACTCACTTGGCCACTCATTCGTCGCTGATTTGTTCACTGTTTAATCGGATGATAATGTCTTTGATCACTTTATCGTTTCCCAACTTCTCGGAGCGCTGACCTAAATTTGTATGCATTTGGGAAGAAAGTTTCGGCGGCGGATAAATGAAACGTTTAAATCAAGGTGCAATTGACTAATCGATGAAAGGGAAAGATCCCGATTTGCGATATCAATCTTGCAATAATTTTAAAAATAAAAAAAAATATTTACGAAAATGGAACATAAGAAAATGATGATCAAGTCTTTTTAGTAGACTCGAAAGGAAAAGACCAGAAAAAGAAGAGCAAGAGCGTTCAACACGCATTGCCATTTGCCATAAAGCCCCGATAAAAAATTGCGGTAAATTCGTGGGCCCATTATACGGTTATTGGCCTTGAACAAACAAAGCTTGCTTATTAATTAGCCACGCAGCTGGAAGTCGGGCAAACAAATCAACCGGTCATTCTGATCGGGAAAACTCAAAGCTAGACAGAGAACACGTGATCTCAGGAAAAACACAATAGTGCGGGCTTTTATAATATTTTGAGAAGTTCTCAAAGGGAAACTATAGGATTCTTTTCATAATTTGCGGGGGTGCGCCGAATAATCCCTCAAAATTTTAGCTCTTGCGTCGCAGGGGTTTCCGAAATATTCAACGGTCTTTGATAGACATGGCTCGTCGGCCGGCCCGGCCCGTTTCAAATTTTCCGTCGGCCCGGCCCGTTTTAAATTTCCTTCGGCCCGGGCCGGCCCATTGCAACGAAAGTCTCCCCGAGTCTAACTCCTTATGACCAAATTTTTTTCTATCATCATGTAAATGGATAAATACGGTGTTCCGTAGCTATCTAAAAACAAAAAACCCTTTAAAAAATCAATTGTGTCTTGACATTGCGTTTATTTTCATTATGAAAAACCCAATTTTCACTTCGAGATTCTGGATTTTAAATACTCCGGGCCGGGCCGAAACGCCGGCCCGGCCGACGGGCCGGAAATGGTCCGGCCGGCCCGGCCGATCTGAAATCGGGCCGAAATTTCGGCCCGGCCCGGGAGCCATGTCTAGTCTTTGAACGTGAGAGAGTACAGGAAGTTAAGAGAGGTGAGAAATGGCCTTAATTTTTGAACGAGTATTGCACTTTTGTGAACTTGAAAATTTGAGACAATACATACAAGAAATTTTTTGAAATTTTTTACAGACTATAATCGTCTTGAAAAATCGTCTTCATGAAGAATCTTTTTCCGCATTTTTGAATTAATCACGGCCAATAGAATAATAAACAGTTACGTCATGGGGTTTTGACGTCTTCGAAGATGTTTTTACAGCAGTTTTAGGTCGGATTATAAAATAAAAAAGGGGTAAATCGAGATTTTTACGTCTAATTTGGCCTAATTGTAAGATAAGAATTTTCCAAAATACAAAAATTTTTGATTATAATTTTTTATATAGGATTTTAACTGTATTTGCACTCACAGTTAAACCCACAGTACCTTGCCCCAGAAAAAAAGCAAAAATTTTCGGTTTAAACCTTTCCCCTAGCCCAAATCCGATATCCCGAAACCCCCGTCGCAGGCGTGGGATGCGCGTATAATTTTGCACTGTCATCGGATGGATTTTAGTGTGTATTTTTATTGGGAAAGGTCGCTTAACGGGCGCGAGAGCGGAGAGTTAATCATCCGCGAATATTTTTGCTGAATAATAAGGGACATCGGAAATATATTGTCCATTTTTTTGATCAGAGATTTGAAAATAATGACAGAAAATGGTAACATTATTGCCTGAGGGGGATAATTTATGTGGCAGACCGAAATTTGAGTGAGATGTTGGAAGAAAAATAATACGAATTATGGCACATTCTTTATTAGAACCAACTCTATAACAAGGATAATACAAATCGAAACCAGCTTATTAGTGTACAAAGTAACGGGATGACAGTTTGGAATGTCGGAGAAAAGTCGTATGCTTTGGAGATGTGTAATCAAAAATTCGAGGTGTTTGCGGGGGGACTAGACCATCTAGAATCGTCGTCGATAGCCGGCGGCGGCTGCTTGACTCTCCGCCGGAGGAGCGGCTGGGCCATACGAATCAGCATGGCTGCTGCTGGCAGCTGGCGCATAAGAATTAGAAGCTCCCGAATTTGTCGCAGGACCATACGAATCAGCGGCAGCTCCAGCATTCTCGCTAGCGTAGTCTCGTCCAGCCGGAGCGGGGGCAGGCGCTGGAACAGAACCCTTTTGATCCGCGACAACAACTTCGGTATCTTGGCAAACACAAGTTCCAGGCGTTCCGGCGGGCCCGGGCTCTCCGGAAGGTCCGGCTTGTCCTGGTTGCCCAATTGGTCCTGGCGCTCCTGGTGGTCCGGGCCATCCCTTCTCTCCAGGCGATCCGGGATATCCATCTTCTCCGGGAGTTCCGGGATGCCCTGGAGGGCCCCATGGTCCGGTTTCTCCCGCATCTCCGGGTGGGCCGGGAATAACATGAGCCTCGGGGGTGATACCTTTGTCTCCTTGTGGTCCGGGCAGTCCAGGATGTCCGGGCTCTCCAACCGGCCCGTCTTCTCCCATTTTGCCGGGTTGTCCGTCAAGACCGGGCCGTCCAAGTGGGCCAGGCTCTCCAGTGTCTCCGGGGAAGCCGGGGTGACCTGGTACTCCTCGAGGGCCCTGTGGGCACGGCAAACATGGTGGTGGTTCGAAGACACGCTCTGGGATACACGAAGCATTGGGGGTTGTTCCAGGACGTCCTGGTGCTCCGTCGGGGCCGGGATTTCCGGGCATTCCGGGAAGTCCAGAGTCGCCTGAAGGCCCTCGTTCTCCGGGAACACAGCAGGCCGGACATTCTTGGAAGGTGGGGGCGTTTGGATGAAGTAAGGTGGGGTTATATCCCCCGTAATTGCCTGCGGCACGTTTTGTTCGGTTAACACTGTCAATAGCCATTGATTCCAGCTCAGTTTCCATGTCAATCGTTGTGCTCTGCAAGGAGAAAATTATTGAAAAATTCAAAGCAATAAGTTGGCGTTAGCGTCTTTTAAAGTCAACCCTAGGATCGTTAGGCAATGCTTTCTCACCTCACAGTAAGCGAAATCCCGGCGATTGAAAGCGCCCATCGTATCGACATAATTGTACATAGAAGGCACCACCAAACAGAGGCATAGCATCGAGGCTACTGAGAAGATCCCGCTCACTCCAATTATAAATTGATAGGCTCTTTCTTTGGCTTCATTTATCTCTTCATCGTCATTTTTGCGCAATTTCTGAGGCCACGAAGACTCGTTCGTCTTCATGACGGCCTACTGAACCTGGAAACGGTGTTTTATTTTGGGGGAAAACGATGACTAAACGCGTTTGGGCTCTCGGAAATTATTTTAGAACGCTATTAGGGGTTGATAATCAAAATGAAGGACAAAAAATAGGCAAAAAATAAAAAATGATGACGAAAACCCAAAAATTAAAGCTATAAATCAAAGAAAAGAATATCAAAAGATACGGCACTAGGCTCCGTGATTCTCACAAATCGTAGAGAGCAAGATAAGTCCAGTAATTTAGGAGCAGTTTAGCCCCAATCGCCCCCGGGTTCCCGACCAGCCAAGCAAGAAAAGTGAAAGTGGACTAAACCCGTAAAAAGCCGGGGCGTCGAGGTAATCCCAACGACGAAAGATGTAAAGTGCAATAAAAGTAAAATTGAAGAGAAAAACTTCGGTCCGAACCGCACGAATCGGGGGCATCTGGGTGGGGTTCTGGATCCGGGATAAGAAGTTAGCAGCCCTTCTTATCGCATCACCCAAACCGCAATGCCCTTCGCCCTCTCGCCCGATCTACGAGATCCGCTGTGATGAGGAGACGAGAAGGCTTGCGGAATGTGCGGCTTAAGCATCGAGAAGGAGAAGGCTCTTATGATACATAAAATTATCTTTATCGCGCGAGTGAAGGATGCAACATGATGGAAGTCAAATTGCCGGGGGGAAGTGCTGTACATCGAGTCGCAAGGGACCAAGAAAAGAGAGTCTTAGGAGCTTCAAGCCCCGTTTAGCTTCAGGTCGTTGGTTTTGGGGGCTTGATGACATGTTTATCTGTGTAGCCGGCCTGTTATAAAGCAATGTCATGCATGGAGAATTTGGAGGCCAAAAGTCAAATGGGGAAATTGTATAATACGACTAACAAGAGAAGGCATACAAGTGCGACGCTCATATTTTCTTTCGAATTTTCATACACGTTCTAGACAAACAGACATAGGCCACGGACCAATTCCTAAAAGTTTTAGCTCACTTTTTGCAGGCGCAGCCGAGGTATTGAAAATTGTTTGCCGCCGCGAGAGCACGGCAAATACGGAGAGCGTTCAGAGAAAAACACTACGGCCTAGTCGTCGCCCTTGGAGTAGTTCCCATATAAATTCTAGAGAATGTTTTTTGGTGTATTTCCTAAAACTGAACACAATCCTTAAAAGAGATTCAACCTCACAGAAAGGTTGAACAGAAGCTTTCCGGATGTCGGCGGAGACGCAAGAATGATTGATCTGTCGGATGCCTATGATATAATAAGTCGGAAATCGAAACCGACCACGGTTGGCATTTAGCTTTAATCGGGATGTTCACATTCAATGCTTCCTACAAAAGTTTTCATACATGTTCTTTTTATGCCATGAATAAATGCTGGAAGATTCTAGCTCAAGATTTGCTGGTACAATGAACTCTTTGCCGACCACAGACTACAGACAATGCGATATTAGTCGATCAGGAAAATAATGAGCCCTCTGTCGTATCGAAAAGCGCATCGCTGTCGAGAAAATGAATCGTGTCGCGAAAGAACCAAAGTGCTTTTCACTTCAGCGACGGGATTGTCGCAGCGACATTGCTCTCACTATTTTTCCGACGGACTGATAAAACGCACAAAATATATTGGCACAATTCCGTTACCATTCAGCCTAAAAATATTGGTGGATTCTGGGAAACCCTGACTTTATAAAGTCTTTCTACGTGACTTTAAAGGTTGTAATGTCATTTTTACAAGGTTTCATCAAACCCCATGTGATGGGCTTCAATTACTATGCTTATTTGTCCTTTATGGCCTTTATTGTTATACATTTTCACTGCCCCTTCTCAAGTCCTGGTGGTATAATCTCCTCACTCAACCCAACCATGGATTCTCAAGCCCATCCGACGCTTCTTCCTTCTCTTCCCTTTCGTCATATCACCTGTCGCCGCGATCCGCAGAAAGACGAAACCGCCTGACCTAACCCAAATTCGACGGCGTCAAAAGCTCGACAAATCCCCGGGCGAATTAAGCGACGCCGTTCAAATTAAACAGCATCCTAGACAGGGCTTCGGCTTCTGGAATGCGAAGACGGAAGTCGACCAACGAAAGCTGGATTCCAGTGAAAGTTACGCGTGCACTGGGATTTATTGCCGTTTGGATTTAGAGAGTTCGGGCTGATGAAGACTCAAATGTCACAAAAGAAGCTTCAATTGATGGTTACGTAGGTACAGTGAGGGACCTGATCCATCGGCAAAAAACGTATAATTTTGCATCCGGGAAGCATCAAAAATGTGGCAAAATGCTTCTCTCTCTAAGTGAAAAAACTTCGTTTTGAAGGGCCACCCTTTCCCTCACAAAAAGAGCGGGCGCCCGCGGGCGCGCTTTTGAAATCAGTTTTTCACTTGGAGAGGGAAGCATTTTGCCACATTTTTGATACTTTCCGGATCCAAAATGGTACGTTTTTTGCCAATGGATCAGGTCCGCCACTGTACACCACAAGTCAAGAGAAGGGCCAAACTGGCTTTCCGTCCAAGATTTATCAAAAAAAAAACATTATTTTGAAATTTTCCCTCTAGGTTGTAATGATTGTAATACTGTCTCATTGTCAAAAAAACTCGGTTTTTTGTCAAAATGGTCAAGAAGTCGGGAAAAAGAAGAGAGTAATGTTCCATGAGGGTCCACTAGCCCGGAAAGTTCTTAACTAAAGTAACATACAAACCTTTAAATTTATGTTCATTCTACTGACTCCTTGGCCGTTCTTCTAATTCCAAATTCTATTCCATGAGAAGGCCGACTTCCAAGCTGAATTTACAAGCTTCATACTCTCTCAAATCAGTCAGTATTTATTTTCAACTCAAAGTTTCATCGCTTTTCCCATTTCCTCGTACATTTTGTCGATTTCGTACGCGTACTTCTTGGCCAGCTCGGGTCGTTTGCTCTTCATGGTCGGGGTCAACAGTCCATTCTCGATTGAGAACATCTCCGGTTCCAAATAAATCGCTTTGGCCTGTTCGAACGAATGAAGCGCCGACTCTCGCGCCGTGGCTCGCATATCTCCCATAATCATCTTCTTCACATCCGAGCGTTGACAGAGTTCTTCGATGGTCAAGCCCTGAAGTTTGAGATGCTTTTCGGCGGCCTGACCGAGCGTCTCATGATCCGGGACGATGATGGCGACCAGAGAATTTTGCAGGGAATCACCGTGCACAAAGGCTTGGGCAACGTAGCGGGAACGAGCGTAGACGTTCTCAATCTTCTCCGGAGCAATGTATTCGCCCTGAAAATTGAGGATCAATATCTGGAAAAGAATAGGCGGCGTATTTTACCAAAAAAAAAGAAGATTCTGAAATTGCTCAAAAAATGTTTAAATTTGCCAAAAAATCTGTCAACTTGGGCAACCTGACCGGTCATTTTGGGCAAGCTGACCAGGAAATTTTTAGTATCTCAGCCCACTCTCGGAAAATTCGCATCTCCGTCAAATTTATCAATGGTTAAGTTGATCGGTTTTACCGGTCAAATTGGTCAACTTGGCCGGTCATAATGGGCAAGTTGACCAGGAAATTTTTAGTGTCTCATAATATTTATCTCATATCACGCTTGGAAATTCCGAATCTTTAGACGGACAACCTGACCAATCTGACCGGTCATATTGGTCAACTTGACCGGTCAGATTGGGCAAGTTCAATTTTTAGAATTTCAACATACGTTTGAAAAAGCCATAAATTCAGACTGACAATCTGACCAATCTGGTCGGTCATATTGGTCAACTTGACCGGTCATATTAGGCAAGTTGACCAAACAATTTTTTTTTAAATTTCATTCTACGTTTGAAAAAGCCATAAATTCATAGACAATCTGACCAATCTGACCGGTCATATTGGTCAACTTGACCGGTCAGATTGGGCAAGTTCAATTTTTAGAATTTCAACATACGTTTGAAAAAGCCATAAATTCAGACTGACAATCTGACCAATCTGGTCGGTCATATTGGTCAACTTGACCGGTCATATTAGGCAAGTTGACCAAACAATTTTTTTAGAATTTCATTCTACGTTTGAAAAAGCCATAAATTCAGACTGGTAACCTGACCAATTTGACCGGTCATATTGGTCAACTTGACCTGTTCCATTCCAAAATCTCCCTACCTGTGCCAACTTGAAGATGTGTTTCTTCCGGTCCATAATCTTCAAAGTGCCTTGCTCCTCGAACATTCCAATATCACCGGTGTGAAGCCAACCGTCCTCATCGATCGTCTTCTTCGTCTCCTCCTCGTTCTTGTAGTATCCCGGAGTGACATTGTATCCGCGAATACAAACCTCACCTTTGCCCTCCTTGACGAGGTAATTCAGCTCCGGAGCATCGACTAGTTTGACGGCACAACAAGGAATGGGGATTCCGACATGACCGGGACGGGTGTCGCCGATCGTTCCGACCTGGAAAATGCCGGGTTTTTATAGGTTAAAAAAGGATTTATTTTGCCCAAAAAATGATGACAAAAAATTTTTACAAGATTTTTTTTCGATTTTTTCGGAGAAAATTGCGAATTTTTACGGAAATTTTTGATGTTTTGGTATAAAAATTTCTTGCAAAAACTTAATTTTTTTGGGGTAAAATCGTCAATTTGAGAAATTCCCTTCAAATTTTGCTCACCGTAGCCGCCGCCACGCACTCCGTTTGTCCATAACCTTCAAAAATTTGGCACCCAAAAGCGCATCGGGCAAAGCTGAGGACATTCCGAGAAATTGGAGCTGATCCAGTAATAATCACTCTCATTCTTCCGCCCGTCAACTGTTGAATCTTCTTGAAGACGAGCTTGTCGAAAATGGAATCATTGCGACAAATTCCGCTGAAAATTCCAATGAAAAATTTGAAAAAAAATTTTGCACTGTGCGAAAAAACAAAAAAGTTTTTTTTTTATTTCGCACTGTGCAAACAAAATAAAGAAAAATTTTGCACTGTGCAAATCAAAAATTTTCTTTGCACTGTGCGAAAAACCGAATAAATCTACTTTTTTATTTCGCAATGTCCAAAAAATAAAAAAAATATTGCACTGTGCAAGCCAAAGGAAATTTTTTGCACAGTGCGAAAAATAAAAAACTTTTTTTTTTCATTTCGCACGGTGCTATCAAAAAAAACTCAAATTTTTGCACAGTGCAGCAAAAACAAATACAAAACCAAAACTTACGCCTGGAGTTCCCTCATTTTGTAATCAATCGCCACTTTGAACAGCAATTTTTTGATTGGCGACGAGTTCACTTGAGCCATGACACGGTCGTACATTCGATTCAGGACCCTCGGAACACACGGCATCATCGTTGGCTGCAACGCTTGCAGATCGCTAATCAGTTCGGTGAGTTGTCCATTGTAGAAGCCGACGCGGCTTCCAAGCGAAAACATTGTGTTTTGCAGCATCCGATCGTACATATGGGCCATGGGGAGGAAGGAGAACATCACTTCCTAAAAAATTTTTTTTGTGAGTTTTTTAGCTTGCAAGTTGGAAAAGTTGCGGTATTTCAACCAAAAATCAATTTTTCCCCCAAAAAATTCATTCTTTCCAAAAAAATATTACCAAAAAATAAAAAAAACTCAAAATTCCATCGAGAAACTCACATTTTTCCCCTCAAAAAACCCCTTCAACGGCTTCACACACGTCGTATTTGCCACAATATTGCCGTGAGTCAGCATTACTCCCTTCGGATTGCCCGTGGTGCCACTAGTGTAACAGATCGTCGCCAAAGTCTTCTTTTCCGGCCGACAATGCTCGATCCTCTTCTCCAGCTTTCCCATGTCCAACAGCTCTTGGAAAGTGTACAGATCAATGTGATGGGACTTGAAATAGCTTCGTCTGGCTTCATTTAGGTCCGCAGTGTCACAAACCACGACGTATTTGACTTGAGGGCATTCGATTTTGGCTTCCAAGATCTGGTCGGCTTTCCCCATGTTGTCGCAGATCACAAGCTCGGTGTCGGTCTGGTTGAGAATGTAGGAAGAAGCGCCTGGGCCGAGAGTGTCGTAGAGGGGGACAATAACATTGCTGAAACGAAAAAACATCAAGGAAAACTTGAGATGCACACAAAGAATGACCATTCAACATGCCCAACCTGAGTGGTCGGTCGGGCAAATTGCCCATGCAGTTGTTCCTATGAAATTTAACATTTCCGGGAGTTCAATTTGATACTGAAGAGGGAACAGTCAACATGCCCAATCCGACCGGTCAACTTGCCCAATTTGACCGGTAAGTCGGGCAAGTTGCCCATACAGTTGTTCCTATGAAACTTAATATTTCCTGGAGTAGAATTTGATATTGAAAAATGAACACGCAACATGCCCAATCTAACCGGTCGGGCAAATTGTCTTAACAAAAATGATAAAAAAAAATTTCAGTAAAGAGGACGTGGGAGGTGTTCACAGTTGCCCAGTAAACTTGCCCAATTTGAGCAGTAAGAATGGGCAAGTTGACGGGTCATTTTCTTTAATGCCAAAATTTTTCATCGTTTTTCCAGAAAACTTTAGACACAAAAATTTGGCGACTCTTTGCCTTGCTCACCTAAAATTATACGCGGCATGCTCAGTGATAACCCATTCCGGTCGATTTCGGCAAAAAATGGCGATATTCGTCTTGTCTCCAACTGGAATCCCCAGTCGTCGAAAGGCGTGGGCCAAGTCATCCGCACTGGCCATAACTTCATTGTAGGTGTACCACATGTACGGCTCGGATCCATCTTCTTGCCGGACCCTCCGACCAATCATTGGGCCGTTGTTCGAGGCCACAGCGCCGTTTCGAATGACGTCATAAAGAGTTCGGACATTGGGGAAAGCGTGGTCTTCCAAGGCATCGGATTTGAGGTAAGCGGCGATTCTGGAGCCGTCCTGAAAAATTGGAAATTTTTGATGACTTACCAAAAAAATTTTTAAAAAATAATTTAAAAAAATATTTGTTTTGGACCTTGAAATATACCATAAAGCTCCCATTACTCATAAAAATCCCAAAACTCACCGGCAACGCCCTGGTTTGCTGATTCAAATCCACCACCGTATCGTATTTCCTCGCCGGTAGCCTGATCTTGTACCACCAAAATCCCAGCGCTCCCAGCAACGCAGGCATCCCCACCGTGCTCAGCATCCCCGTATTCACCATTGCTGCAGGCAGCAAGGAGAACACCGCACGATGCAGCAACGATTTTTCGCGGTTTTCCCCATCCGCTTCGCTGATTGGCCCATCCCATCCGATTTTGGGGCGGAGCGAAAGGGAGCGCGGAAACGGCACCACGTTGAAGCGATGCGATAAAAGAGCGGCACGGCGAGCAGCTAACATCCTTTGATAGTCAGTTGAGGTTAGCGGGAGAAATGGGAAATCGACCGGTCGAAAATTCGATCGGTTAAAAGAATAAACCGTTTTTGTAAGGGGAATTTTTTTATTTATTTTTTATGCAAATTAATTTTTGATAGCATCGCTGAGACTTTGCTGTTGAGTGATGAGTTGCTGATCCATTTGTAAAATTGCTTGGAGGTGCATCTGAAAGCATAGTTAAAAATTGTGAGCATAGGTAAATATTTTCTCGTGGTATTGCTAAGATGCTCTGGGGGAAATCTTGATGGAACTTATTGAAGAAATACCAAAATTGTGACCCTCATACTTTGATGAAGCTTGGCACAAATTGATATATTACGTTATTTCTACCATGGAGAGTAATGTTTTTTCGTACAAAAAAATTATAAGTTTTTCCCCTCGAAACTGGCAGATACGGTTGAAACGCGTTTTTTCTGTGACCACTCTCCTCGTTTCGCGCACTCCCTTGGCCACAAAGGTTGTTAATTAATCCCCCTCTCCAATAAAAAAGTCCATTTTCTTTTACAGGGTCTTGACGGTCATCTTTGTATTTATTGTTGTGCCTTACTTACTTTCAACGTTTTATTTGACTCATTCAGCCGCTCATTCTCGTCTTTCATGGTCTGCTCCAGCAATTTCAGCTCTTCAACGCGAACCGTCTTTTCCTCCGCTAACGTCTTCTCTAATTCCGCTATCTGAGATATAAAAATGTTGTTTATACGGTCAAAATACAAGCCTACCCTCTCCGTCAACTTCTGATTCAAAATCTTTTCCTCTGCCAGATTGCGAACAGCTTGATGTTGCTCCTGTTCCACCACAATCGCTTTCCGCACGCCATAGGCTATGGCACTTTCTAAAAGACTTTGATACGACAGGATTGTGAGATGGATCTCGTCTCGCACTCGCAACATCAGCAGTCCTCGTTCAGCGCAGTTGATGGTCACTTGACGGATTAGTTCGTCTAAAAGTTCAATGAAAATTACTATTGAAAACCGTATACCAAACAACTCGTCGTAAATCCTTCGTCTGATTGGGCAGATCCCGAACGCTTTGGCATGCTTGGTTTTCAGTTCATTTTCGAACTTCTCCTGCAGTCCCACCATGTCAAAGCGGGTTGCTGGGACCGTCGATGCTCTCTCCATCCAGCTCTTCCCGTCCATGTCGCGATATCTGAAAACTAGTAAATTATGTCTACATATAATAAATTGAACAGTGTTCAATTTGTACCCTTATACGACAAGTTTTCTGACCAACTATAAAGTGTAGTTGCAACGACAAAATTGAAGACCCTAGTTCAGGTCTGATCATCGTTGAAAGTTATCACAATGGGGTATTTTGGGGGCGTGGCATGATCGGAGACAGCGCTTCTGTTCGAGTGCGTCGAGGACAGAAAACTATCACTCTGTTGGGAAAATAAGGTGGATTTATCGCAACAAGATGCCTCGCAGTCGCCCACCAGATCTCCAGCCTTGGATGCCCGTCGCAAAGCGATGAAAGGCAATTCCAAGGCGGACGCTTCCGCATTATTTTCCCGACATACTGATTTACAGTGATGGACCTGATCCAGTGGCAAATCGCGTTCCATTTTGCTTCCGGGAAGCATCAAAAATGTGGCAAAATGCTTCCCTCTCCAGGTGAAAACACACTTCGTGCACTTTCCCTCACAAAAAAAAGCTGGCGCGCTTTTGAAACCCGAGTTTTTTTGACTTGGCGAGGGCAGCATTTTGCCACATTTTTGATACCTCCTGGATGCAAAATGGTACGTTTTTCGCCACTGGATCAGGTCGCCCACTGTAAGTTCAAGACCATTTTTTTATAGTTGTGATCTGATACCGATCACAATTTTTAGGGTTCTAAAAAAAGCTTTGGATACCTAGGCGGGATAATGCAGTCCATAATGCATCTCAACTGTTTATCCGGCTCTATCGGAGGCAGATCTGAATCGGTAATTTTCTTCAACTCTTCAGCCGGATCAACCCTTTCCTCTTCAGGCGGGGCCTCTTCTGGCAAGTCCATCTTCAACAGTTCTATTCTATCCGAACTTCTCGTCATTTTACTTGCATTCGTTGGCACTCGAGGCAGTTGAATTTCATTTCCATTGGCATCCGGAAAATTCATGGTTGGCGGAGGTAGTGGAATATTGATTGATGGGGTATTGATCGTCGGAATACTGCCGTTAGAAGTCATTTTAGAGAGCAAAAAATAGATGGTTGAGGGTCGAAACACCTAGATTTGAAAGAAAGTTTGAGTTGAAGGGGGTTTTCGAATGGAAATTTGCTTATTTACCCATAAATCCGCTCGGGTTTCTTGGCTTTTTCTTGGCTTTTGGCGGTTTCTAGCTGGGCTCTTGAAGGAAAAACGCTAGATTTTACACCTGCATGACTTTGAAGCCAATTGGCGTTAATTTCCAATTAACTGGCAAGATTTTTTCTTGATTAAATTCACCCAGGAACTAAAACAAATAAAAATTTTTCATAATTATCCGAGCTCTCAAAACCCTTGCTTATCGCATCTCCAAGAACATTGAGTTTAAATATTAAGACTAATTCGGAAAATGGAGATGATCGCGATAAGGAGCGCTTGATAAGTTATCAGTGTTCCAAACGTCTTATGAGAAACCGATTTTTCGCACGCCTGCGAAAACATTGGGCATAATTGGAGTCGGTGCAAGCCAGATAGGGTAGTTCTATTCTTTCTGAGAAGCTCGACATTCTCTGCTCTAAAGTTGCTATAGAGAGCGGTGAAAATGTTGAACCTAACGGACACCGGGTTAACGGTGTTCATCGCTGTGATTATGGTGATCACTGGGGCTTTGAATACGCTAATTGCAAAGTAAGTTGCTGATTAGGCGATTGGGGGATTCGCAGGAAAATATTAGAGAAATTGACAGAAACGTAAAAATTCTGGGACCTATTTTTATTTGGCCTAGAAACTTGTGAAGATCAATGAAATGTCAAGAAAATTGATGATATTCACAGGGGAAGTAGTACTCCAAGTGCGACGCTCAGATTTTGATGAAACTTGGCGCAAATTTAGAGTAATTTTTTTCAAGATATATGCGAGAATCCTAGCTCGCACTTTGCAGAAACAACCGAGATTTTTAGATCGAAAGTCGGCCAAAATTTAGCACTCTTTGCCGAATTTTGGCACAGAAAGTTGCATGCCTATTTCTACCGTAAAGAAATGTTCCTACAAAAAATCAAAATTTTCCGCGCGAGACTGCCAAAGTTATGGCCAAAAAGCGTCTTTCTCTCTGACCGCTCCCCACGTTTAGCGGCAAAAATCGTTCGATATCTCGGCGGCGCCGGCAAAGCGCGAGCTAAAACTTTCAGGAATTGATATTTAGCCCGTATCCGACGTGTGTGCAAAATTTAAAGAAAAGCTGAGCGTCGCACTTGGAGTACTTCCCCTGTCAGCTAGATTAAGATTAGAGTTTATTCTTACACAAAATGTCAGCTATTTTATCGAGTTTCCACCTAGAAATCGATCGACCATTTTGGTAAAAAAATATTCGAGCGGAATCGGAATGCCAAGGATTTTTCATCGCGCCATTTTTTGACGTGCGCCTCAATGAGTCTATTACGGATGTGGTGTTTTGCCGATCGTATTAGGAACGTTATTTATTGGACAACCTATAGAAAACCCTTTAAAAATATTGTGTCAAGAGGTAATATAAAATAATGAGAGACGGGTTGGGAAAAATAGCTTTTATCCTCTTTGTTTGTAGATCTTTCGCTGAAAAGCATGTGTTTTCTTGTTAGATACCTTGAAGATTACATTATAATTCCAATTTATAAGATCTCGGCTCTGAATACTACAGTGACGGACCTGATCCAAGAAAAGTGCCATTTTGCATCCGGGAGGTATCAAAAAATGCAGCAAAATACCTCCCTCTCCATTAGAAAAAACTTCTTTTTGAAGGGCACGCTTTCTTCCTCACAAAAAAAAAGCTGGCGCGCTTTTGAAATCTGATTTTTTCACTTGGAGAGGGAGGTATTTTGCCACATTTTTGATACTTCCTGGATGCAAAATGGTACGTTTTTTGCCACTGGATCAGGTCCCCCGCTGTATGTAAAACCAGATAATTTGGATACAGTCTTATCAAAATAATATACCTAACTTGGCCAACCCTTCTTAAAAAATAAAATCGACATTAGAAGCCATTTTCAGATGGACAGACCGCCTAAAATCCGCCGGAGCTCCGTTTGAACATCCCTTCTTCCAAGCCAACTGCATGTTCGTCGGAGAAGTTGGTTGTGGAATTGTGTTTGCGATAATCTACTACTACCAAAAGCGAAAAAATCAGGCTCCAGTTCTCGTGAAGTTCAATCCATTCCTGTTCGCGCTTCCAGCCGTATGTGATATTACGGGCACGTCGTTGCAGTATATTGGTCTCAACTTGACCACGGCGTCAAGTTATCAGATGTTGAGGGGTGAGTTGGAAGTGGTTTTGATAGGCTTGGAGAGAAAATACGATGTTTAAATCACATTTTTAGAATAAAAAATATTTATTTTTTCTGAGTGATACCCTATTCGCGGACATCTCTATTCGCGGACACCCAGTTCGCGGACATTCCCAACTCGCGGACACCCTATTCGCGGACATTCCCAGTTCGCGGACACCCTGTTCGCGGACGCCCAATTCGCGGGCGTTTTTATAAATATATAAAATAGGCCCTGTATTTAGGCTTGTAGTCAAACCTCGGGCTAATAGTTTTGAAAATTCGTAGTGGAAATTACGTAATAAGTAAATTTCAGAAATTTTGAGTAGATATCTTACATAGGGGTAATCGATAGTGCTGATTTCGAAAATCATACCCATTTTTATTTCATTGTTAGTTCTTTCTTACGTAGTACCGTGTAGTACTTAGTTTTTGAATTTTTCGATGTGCAGGGTTTTATAGCTGACCAATGGAAGAAATTTTTTATCAGACATCATGGATAATATAATTTCAATGTGATACATAGTTTTCTTGTTTTCTTTGCTTTCTGGTGGTAGTTTTATACTTTTCATGCCCTGATTGAGACCTTAGAAAGTTTAGACAGTAGGTCTTCGTGCAATAAATCAGTTTTTACATTTCTGCCGACATCAAAATAACTAAAAAAACAAAGAAAATTATTTTAAATGAATTAAAAGCTGGAGAAATGGATCAATCCATACATCATCTGAATCAGAAGAATTTTTTCAACGTTTTGAGACAATATTTGTGTCTCAGCTCCATCTGAAACTTCAGAAATTACCTAAAACAATATCCGGCTAGCATCAAAAAATCCAAATAAAATCTGTAAAACCTGAAACTTTGTGGCATAAATTATACATATTCTGATTCAGAAATTTCCAGACAACATTTGAGATGCAAAATAAAAAAAATACGATTTTTTGAAATTTATGACAAAAATTTGTAAAATATGACATTGCTGACATAGAGCCCTGAAAGTTTGCACAAACATGTCGTACCACATGCCAAACGACTGTAGAAAATTTCAGAGCTGTACATACAATCCCTCAAAAGTTATGCGCCGTTTTCGGTTCCAAAAACTCTGATTTCCCACTCCAAAAACCGGACTTTTATTGCTATAGTGTTTACTGAACCCTTTCTGGGAACCATAACTTTGGCCAGAAACGACCAAATTTTGATTTTTAAAAAGTAAATCTCCTAATTTGACCCTTGCGATCCTCGTGGTCTTGTTAGTTTACTAAAAAACCTTCAAAGAAAGCCGGAAAATCGTTCCAATACTTCGTTGACATTTCGTCCAGAAAGCCGATATTATTTTGACATTTCGTTCAGTTAGAAAATTTTGGCTTATATACTGCGAATATGAGTAAAGCAATATGTCGACAAGACGCAAAATTTCAGGGCTCTATGTCATCAGTGTCATATTTTAAAAATTTTTGTCATAAATTTCAAAAAACCGTATTTTTTTATTTTGCATCTCAAATGTTGTCTGGAAATTTCTGAACCAGAATATGTATAATTTATGCCACAAAGTTTCAGGTTTTACAGATTTTATTTGGATTTTTTGATGCTAGCCGGATATTGTTTTAGGTAATTTCTGAAGTTTCAGATGGAGCTGAGACACAAATATTGTCTCAAAACGTTGAAAAAATTCTTCTGATCCAGATGACGTATGGATTGATCCCTTTCTCCAGCTTTTTATTCGTTTAAAATAATTTTCTTTGTTTTTTAGTTATTTTGATGTCGGCAGAAATGTAAAAAGTGGTCTATTGCACGAAAACCTACTGTCTAAACTTTCTAAGGTCTCAATCAGGGCATGAAAAGTATAAAAATACCACTAGAAAGCACAGAAAACACCATCGCTTACCCCTGTGTCCGATATACACTCAAAATTTTTAAAACGTTATTTATTACGTAATTGCGGCTATGAATTTTCAAAATTTTCAGCCCGAGGTGTGTCAACCATTCCAAACAGAAATTTATCTAAATGTCCGAACAACATACACCTGGAATCTTTATGTCCGCGAATAGTCTATCTAAATATTTATGTCCGCGAATAGGGTGTCCGCGAGTTGGGCGTCCGCGAATAGGACAACCCGTGTCCGCGAGTTGGGTGTCCGCGAATAGAGATGTCCGCGAAGTGTCCGACACCCATTTTTTCTATATAACGCGAGTAAAAATAGATGAAAAATATAAAAAGTGACTTTTTATAAAACAATTTCTTTCCTTTTCAGGCTCTGTCATCATTTTCACTGGCCTCCTCTCCATGCTCTGCCTTAAAATGCACTTGGCCGGCTTCCGTTGGCTTGGCATGATCCTGGTCACGCTTGGCCTGGCCGTCATCGGACTCTGCGACATGTTGGAAAGTGGAACCAAAGAAAATGGAGAAGAAATTATCTTCGGTGACATGCTGATTGTGGGCTCACAAATCCTTCATGCCGTACAAATGGTGCTGGAACAATCGATTCTCCAGAAATACGACGTTCCTCCGCTTTTGGCGGTAGGCTTGGAAGGGACGTTTGGAATGCTGGTGCTGAGTTCGTTGTTGGTCCCAATGTATTATATTCAAGTGCCGAAGACGTTTTCGCACAATCCGGAGCAGAGAATGGAAGACGTCTTCTTTGCGTTCAGACAGATTCGAGAGCAGCCGTTGATTGCTGTTGGGTTGTCGGCTATGATCATTAGGTAAGTTAAGGACAGACAAGAAATCGGTCAGCCCAAATTTTAGTACATAGGTTGATAGGGAAGCCTTCTAAGTACGACGCTCCGAATTTCTTCAAATTTGGCACAGATGTCCAGCATTACCCACATTTCAATTCTCGGAAATTTTAGCTCGCGCTTTGCAGGGGCTGCCGAGATATGCAACGATCTTTGCCGCCGAGAGAGTACGCGAAACGTGGAGAGCGGTCAGAGAAAACAAACACCTTTTTTATTGGCCATATCTTTGACTGTTTCGTGCGGAAAAATTTGATTTTTTGTAGAAACATTAGGCGGGTTGAGGCAAAAAACACTTTTTGACCACATCTTTACCAGTTTTGTGCTGAAAAAATGATTTTTTGTGGAAACATTACCCTCAGCAATAGAAATAGGCATGAAACTTCAGATGCCAAAATTCACAAGAAAATTTCACATTTGTTTCTACTTTCGATCTAAAAAGCTCGATCGTTTCTGCAACGCGCTAGCTAGAAGTCTCGCATATGCCTTGACAAAAACTGACCTAAATCCCAGCTAAATTTCATCAAGATATCAGTGTTGTGCTTGGAGTGCTTCTACTGTTAGCTGGAGCAAAATTACTATGGTATAATTTTCAGCATTGCCTTTTTCAACTTCTCCGCAGTCACCACAACGAAACGTCTGAGTGCCACCAGTCGAATGGTCCTGGATTCGGTGCGAACCTTGATCATTTGGATGGTGTCGATTCCATTGTTCGGCGAGAAGTTCATTCCTCTGCAGGTAAATACCAAGCCTCTTTTATGGCCTCTCCTTTGTTAAAAAAGTCTACTATAAGTCTTGCAGATCCTCGGATTCCTCTCTCTGATCTTGGGAATGTTTGTTTACAATGACGTTTTCATTGGCCCGAAGATTCGAGAGAAAGTTTTGCCAAATCTCCGTGAATCCGGAAGAACTACATTCTGCGTCAACTTCTGGGGAGCGAATAACCCTAATATCGAAGAGGAAGATGAGTTACTGATTGTTGAGGATGAAACTTTGGCCGGCTCTAGGCACAACCCTGCGTAGTTTTTGTTAACAATGTTCGAAATAGGGAGCCTGAAGAATTCATATATCATTGTTAAAAAATTTTGTTGATATTCTGTTGTCGGGTGGTGAAATAAAGAGATTATTTCTATGAGGATATTGGTTTTAATGTGAAAAAGGAAAAACTCAAAAAAATGGTTATAGGCTGGGCAAGCCACAGGACTATAGAAAATCGTTGTGTTTATGAGAAGCTGCATTTATATGCTGTAAAAAGTTACTATCACCCTGTCGGGGAAATAATGAGCACAATATCGTTTTCTGTAAACGCTTTACTCCTTTGCAATCTCTATGCAACAATTTCAAGCGGTCAAAGATCGATTCGTTATGCAGGAGATTTATTTTTCAAAGGAAATTTGCCCCAAAATTGGCTCTTAACACTTATGGAACAGTCTGTTATGAAAAGCCTTCGTTCTGCGGAAGTTCCGGTGTTTCTGTCAGTTTGTCGGGGAAATCATGAGCAGAATATCCGATTGTGTCGCTGAAATGAAAAGCAATTCAATTTTGCCGCGACACAATTCATTTTCTCGAAAGCGAGGCGAGTTTCGACGCGACAGAGTGCTCATTATTTTCCCGACAGACTAATAATAGATTTTTATTGGCTTACCCTGTCCTTACATACAAACTCTTCCCAGTCTCTGCAACTCATCGGCACCGTTGAACCCATCTTTGCATGCTGGGTTCAAGGGGTTTTGTTTGACTACTTTCCATTCCTTTTACATTGGGTTAACTGTATTTTTCCAGCTTTTTTTCTAAAGAGAACAGAAGTTTAATCCAACTGCTAAAATTTCTCATGTTTTTACTACTCTATTTTTCCAATCACAAAAAAGCTTAACACACAAAAAACGATGAAGAATTGAGGCCCAAGGGCAAGTTCTGATAAGGAACTTTGATAACGAACCCATGTTCAGACAAAAGCCTGTCACGTTTGCGGGTTTCCTTTTTTGATGCCTTTCAAACCCTTGTTGTAATTGTTTGAATAAATTTCAGCCTGGCCATAACTTGCAACTGCCAACAATGGCATCAGAGACCTCGGTTACCGTCCTGATCGCCGTGATCATGGTGATCACGGGCGCAACCAACACGCTTATTGCAAAGTAAGTTCAAGCTTTTTTCTGTATGATTCCACGTTCAGATGGACAGACAAACTTGAGTCGGCCGGCTCCAGATTCGAGCATCCCTTCTTCCAAGCCAACTGCATGTTTGTTGGGGAGTTCTTTTGCTTGGTAATATTCATTTTGCTCTACCTTTACAAAGGAGAAAATGCAGGGCATTTGACGAAGTTCAATCCCTTCTTGTTTGCGCTGCCAACCATTTGCGACATCTCCGGGACGTGCTTGCAATACACAGGGCTGAACTTGACTACCGCGTCGAGCTACCAGATGCTTGGAGGTAAGCGTTGTTGGTTATTTAACTGTATCTTGTCCCGACTTTTCGGGCCAACGACAGTTCGGGTCAACACAAAATCGACAAACACAACGTGTACTTTGAGAAGGCATAGAAAGGTCAATTCAAAATATATATTTTTTTGAAACTCAATCGGTTGAAAATGGCGGGTATCAGTTCCAGAAAATCTAAATTTTAGGAAAATCGGCGGAGTCTCCACGGAGAAATCTAAAGGAAAGGGCTCGGCGGAGACTTGGCGAAGACTTGCAATATATCCATTTTTTCTAAGTTTAGCTATTTATTAACGTTAGTTTTCATTACCTTGAGTTGTTGCGACACATAAAAGAGTAAAATTTGCGGCAAAAAACAAAGATCCGTAACTTTTATCTAGATATTATTGATGTGAATACACTTAAAGTACATCAAAAATAGGCAATAAACTATGCTAGGACCCGATCAATCTTATTATTTCTATTAACTAACAAGGGAAGTCGTTCAGATCGCAAATGAACTATGACATGAGACCTGTGTGGTTTTAGAGTCACATACTCTACTATATCGAATATAAAGGCATTTTTGCGTCTGGGCCACCGCGGCCGAGAAAATCGACTATAAAGTTTCGCAAACCGGGGGGCTGGGTTCGATTCCTTTCACCTGCAATGTAAAGGGTAAGACTACTGTGTACACTACAGTATGCGTAAAAAAAAATTTTTTTTGTGTTTTTCCAATTTTATGTAGATTTGTGCCTTTTCTTGAGACAAAAACAAACAAATTTAGTCGACTTTTCTCCAGACTGTTAAAAATGGCATGACTTGGAATGATAATCGGAGAGCTTACTGCGGCTACGCCTCAAGGCTATCGGAAAGTTGTCGAAAGGAAGTAAAGTGATTTTTTATCACTCTTTGATTTTGTTTGGACATGGGATTGGCGCCTAAAAATGTTGTGGCTCTCCTCTTGGCCGAGTTCGGAACCGGGAACTCCGAAGACGCGACTTACGAGGAGATTCGGATGGCAACCCGACTGAAGATTCTGCTGTCTCAAGCGGCGGAAGACGCGAATATTGAGGTTCAAACGGACGATGAGATTATGGACAACAACAGCAGTGGACTGAACGTCCGGAAGGACGTTCAGTCGATGTGAAAACTATTCCCACCCGCTGTACCTCCTTGATTCAGCCACTTGACCTATTCTTTTTCCGTATCTTCAAAGGATTTGTGAGGCGAATCCATAGTCACGTCCTCGCCAACGATCTAAAATTCCCTTTGTACAAAAGGGAAAACATTTTAATTGTTTTAAATGTTGTCTACTCTCAATTTAAAAATCCAGTCTTTGATAACTCCAGGAAGTATTCGTTTTTCAAAGGAGATTATCTTGACAATAGGCCTCCTTCCTTCAAGACTCCAGTGGAGTATTGTTTCCCCCATGATGTCCACACAGCTTATTCTGCTTCTAGTTGTGACATCTTGTCTTTTGTTTTGTGCTCGTACTGTAATCAAAAACTTTGTTTTCATCATTTTGTTGAATGTGTTCACGACTGTTGTTAAATGATAGTTAAAAAGTTAAATAAAAAAATTAGTAATTTTGTTTGTTTTTGTCTCAAGAAAAGGCACAAATCTACATAAAATTGAAAAAACACAAAAAAAATTTTTTTTTACGCATACTGTAGTGTACACAGTAGTCTTACCCTTTACATTGCAGGTGAAAGGAACCGAACCCAGCCCCCCGACCCAAAAGAAGATTCGTTAGACGAGCGCTCTTTCCACTCGGCCAACTGGGCAGCTGTTTGGGTTTGCTTACGGAGAGAGGACTTTTTCGGCGCTCTCTTCTTGCGAAACTTTATAGTCGATCTTCTCGGCCGCGGAGGCCCAGACGCAAAAATGCCTTTATATTCGATATAGTAGAGTATGTGACTATAAAACCACACAGGTCTCATGTCATAGTTCATTTGCGATCTGAACGACTTCCCTTGTAAGCCTTTTCCTAGCCTCCCCATGCATACAACGATTAACCTACGCAATCTATAGTATGTATCGTTGACCCGAACTGCCGCTGATCCGAAAAGTCGTAACTCCCTTTTGGTTAATTAACGAGATTTGACGACGTATTTACTTACCTATAACAAACAAAACTGTGATATTATAGGCTCTGTTGTGCTGTTCGCTGGTCTGTTGTCCGTGATCTACCTCAAAATGCATTTTGCGGGATACAAATGGCTGGGAATGATCCTCGTAAGCGCTGGCCTCGCCGTTATCGGCCTTTGTGATATGTACTACAACGGGAACACCGAACATGGCAGCGATGTTATCATTGGCGATTTGCTGATTGTCATTGCTCAGATTCTTCATGCCGTTCAAGCCGTGTTGGAGCAGCAGATTCTCCACAAGTACGATGTGGCTCCATTGTTGGCGGTCGGATTGGAAGGCGCTTTTGGGTTCATAATTTTGTCTGCAATGATGGTACCAATGTATTTTATTACTGTGCCAAAGACTTTTTCGCACAATCCTCATCAACGATTGGAGGATATGTTCTTTGCGCTGAAGCAGATCTCGGAAGAACCGTGGATTGCCGTAGGGTTGCTGGGATTGATCATCAGGTAAGATGAAGGCAAAAAACACACGGGGGAAAAAGAGAAGAAGCATTTGCGCAAACCTACCCTTAATTTTTGTAGCTTCGAAGGTCACATCGGGACAGCGAAGATGGACTATCCAAAGTCTGAATATGGCATCAAAAATTTTAAAAAAATCCTTGCTTTTTGGTTACCTAAACGGCTCTTTTATCGGTCTGCCGGGAATATAATGAACTATGTTGCTTCGCAAATCACATCACTGCCGAAAATGAATTGTGTCGGGAAAAAGCAAATTGTTTTTCACTTCAGGGCCACAAATGGCTCAGCAGAATTGCGTTCACTATTTCCCCCACAGACTGATACTATAAGATCCTCAGTCTGTTCTCACTTTTATGTTAAAAAACAACAAAAAGAAAAAACGAATCGCTTCGAAGATGCTTCGCAATCGATTTTCACTTTCTTTTGTGACAGAATGCCAAGTCGTCGCAAGACTCGGTTAAGAACTGCAGATGATGTTGGGACGCATTCAGAAACTTCTCACACCGTTAGGTCCCTTAGAATTTTGCTGGAATAAACAATGTACTGATTTCAGCATTGGCTTCTTCAACTTCGCCTCAATCTCGACTACCAAACGAATGAATGCAACAACTCGGATTATCCTCGAATCCTCGCGAACTTTGATCATTTGGATGGCCTCGATTCCACTGTTTGGCGACAAGTTCATTCCGTTACAGGTAGTTTCAATATTCAAATTTATCACTTTACCGTATTCCTTCAGGTCCTCGGGTTTGTTCTTCTCGTTCTCGGAGTATTTCTCTACAACGACGTGTTGTTTGGGCCAAAAATCCGTCGGAGTATTCTGCCCTACTTTGATGGCACTCGACTGGCTATTTGTTGCAATGGATTTTGGAGAGGGCGGGAGCGGCATGAAGAAGATGAGGACTTGCTGTTCAACGGAGAACAATAAGGTATTTCAAGCGAAATATTTCGAATTGAAAATAAAATTAGACTGTTTTAATAGCATTTTTTATTAATATTATTTACAAAATTTAAATTGAAAAATGGCAAAATTCAAGTATTGCAAGCAGAATTATATACACAAAAATCGATTTTAGCCTTCCAAAATCCATTTTTAAGTTCCTACAAGATAGCACTTCTCCTACAATCGACCGGTAGTTCGCTCAGCCAACCGACTCATCGGTCGGCGCTCTTCATTCTCCCGTAGATGATAAACACCTTCCGTTTGATAGCTACTGTTGGAATAGTTCTCTTCTTCCGTTGCCACCGAATTGAGCCGCATGTTTCGTTGCGAGTTGGCGAATGTGGCGACATTTTCGTCGCGCTCTAGCTCCGGTGAGGTGTAGGTCACCTGAAACAAGGAAGGTCTTGGTTTATCCTGTTTCATGCGAGAAAATGTCATCAATAAGAGTATAACACGTCACCTGTGCATAATTAGTGTCCACAATCATATTCTGCCCATCGCTGGCTGCCCCCAGCTCGGTCCTAGTGATGTCTGTAACCACTTGCCGTTCAATCTCTTCTTTAATTGTATATTGACTTCCATCCGAGCCCAGAGAAGTGACATCGAGTGGAGGCATCAACTTGGCTCGAGGAATCGTCAGACTGTAAATATCCGATCCTTTGTCATTGTAGTGAATAGTATTCCAGTCATTCCACGCCACATTCTTCTTCCAACAACGAGTTCGGGCGAGGAAATAAAATAGACAGCTGAAACAGTGGATTCTCATGTTTTTGGCGGAACTGCGACGATTGGGGAAACGGAAAAGTATTTTTTCTTCGATTCAAGTGTGAAATTATGATTATCAAGGGTGCTGATTTCGAAAATGACATTCTAGATGGCAGTAATGTATAAAATGGTATAATAACTTTTTGAATTTTTTGAATGAATATTTGATTTGGGGGTTTTCAATGGTGCTGCTTTCAAAAAAATTAATAAGATTTTCGAAAGCAGCAAGGTTTTGAAAATCAAACCCCAAAATCGAATATTTGTGAACAAAAATTACAATCATTAACAGTGTTTTTGGAAGCCACGAAAACTACCGTTGGTCCATCAGCTTTGAGCATGGCACAGTGGAGAGAAGCAACATGTTAAGAAGCATGTACGGCTTCATCGGAGACGACACGCTTGCCACATTCCCGGTATTCCTCCGAGATTGGCTGAACAACTTCAACAGTCCTCTAAAAGCACAGATTGAAGTGATTGACAGGGGTCTGGTTACCAGGAACATGCTGTCCACCTTCAACAAACTGCTCTCAGAACAAAACAGAATCTCAGAAGTTCAATTGAACGCTGACTATGAGGGCTATCAACACCACGTGATGAGTTACAACGTAAGTAATACATAACATAAAGCAAGTTTAAAATTAGGGACCCCCGGGGTAGGGAAGATCACCATTATGGTGTTTATTGCGTCCTTCAACTAGGTCGTCCTCCGAAGAACCACTGTGTGCTACAGCACCAGGAACAATGCGGCGCTCGAGATCGCCAAACGAGCTGTCCGCCTTTGCACCGAACTTCAACTCCGTCATTCAGAAATTGTTCCTGAAGGTCCATCTGTAGTTCGATTCCAAATGTCTCATCTACACATCTTTGATACGCGTCAAACTCCAGAAGTATCACCATACGTTTCATTTGGAAAGACGATTCCCACAGTAAGTTGAAGAAAACAATTATTGGCATCTTGGGGTTTCAGGAAATTGGAATAGTGTTCTCCTCTCTCGGAAACCACCCATGCAGTGCCCTTAAGAAGTGGTCACCACAAATGATAATGGTTGACGAAACCACAATGGCAAACCACGAAGGCTTCATCAACATGATGATGCAAGTGAACTGCACCGCCCAGGTCAATCAAAGTGGAAACAATGCGCTTCCAAAAAGGATGATGTTGTTCGGCGACCCCTTCCAGATGAAGTGGCGTTTTCCAGAACCCAGCTATGTTAACGAGGACTTGGTCCACACGACTGGGACCAAGTCTGTTGCTGAACTTCGATCACTACGAGTTTGAGAAAGAAGTCCTCGGTTTGAAAGATGCCTGCAAAGCACCCCAAATCACCGGTTGGTTTATGTGAACCGCAGCTTCGCAGCAACAGCGCTGTCACTGGCGAGAATCATCGCTGCAACGGTTCAAGAAAACGGAATGATGATCCCACCCTCAGATATTGCCATCATTACTCCCTACCGAAGTAAGTTTAAGTTTAATTTTAGATTACTGTTTTTAGTGCAAGAAACCACGCTTCATAGTATGCACCAACAGCACTTTAACGATTTACGAGAACTCGGAATCTACAATATTGATGGAACACCGAGCCTCGAATTTGAGGTAGTCATCCTCGATCTCACTCGTACACTTCCGGGAGGATTTATGGCTGGTAAAATCCACGGCTACCCAAGTCATGACGATTTTGATCGCTTTGTAGTTGGGATCACAAGACCACGCCGAGCCCTGATTGTCTTGGGAGGTGACGATGTGAACCGTCCGGATTTCAACCCCAACCACAACGCCATCGATTATCTGTACCTCCACACTATGGAATTATACAAGAACGAAACGTCCATTACTTCGACTACGAGGTAAGCTGTGTTTGTTAAGGTTATTGTTGTTTTAGGAGACGAACAATGACATCTTAGATCTTGTGTCGACCCCAGAAGAAAGACAACGAGGCCTCGATCGAAGATCGATAACACTGTCGCCCCGAATGAGAAGTCCTCAAAGCCACGCCATCTGCATCGTCATCCTCCTCCTCCTTTTGCATGGATAATAAATGTTCCGCGATTATGGAACGCAGCTTGTCAAAAAATTAATACTTTGCAGTACTACTTAAGGGAAAAAAGTAAAGATAAAAAAGAATGTCATTTTCGAAATCAGCACCATCGAATATCTTAATTTGGACAATTGCATCGAAGAAAAATAATAAGTTCCGGTTTCCCCAATCGTCCAACTCCGGTTACGTTTTTGAGGATATCTATACAGTTTTAGACGCCACAAAACACCTCAATATTAACCTACCATGCCGCCAGCACCAAAAACAACGACGCGATGATAATAAACAAGAAGTACGGGATTGGCGAAGGCGGTTTTTCGCAATGCTCTCCACTGTACCCTCCACTACATTGGCAATAAACATTTCCCGACAAATGGTCCGTAATACAGTCTCCATGTCCATTGCATTCATCACACAAAAGTGCGGCACATTGTCTGCCCGGCAAGTTCAAATTCCCGTCGATGTACCCGTCAGGACAACTGCAACTGTAGCCAAACGGAAGATCCGTGCACTTGGCCACTTTCGAGCAATTATGCAGCTCCAATTCGCATTCATTTACATCAAATGGCTTCAAACAAATAGTGTCCCGCAACATGCCCTGCGGCCGTTTGCCGTTTTCGCGGATATTTGTGAAGCCGGGAAGACATTGACAGTCCGATTTGAACTTCAAATTGACACAAGTCGTGTTCGTTGGACAGTAATCCACATCGCTGCAGTAGTCGACTTGACAGGTGTTGTTGATGCAAACATGACCCAACTCCTTGCTGCACACGGAGTTTCCGCACAGATTTGCGGGCTTCTCGCATAGAGAAAGCTGATCAAAGTCCGGCGCTACCTCCAAAGGACCATCCGCAATTCGATGCTTGTTCAACATAATTTGATGAGTGAGCTCACGCCAGATGGCGCATTTCTCGGTTGAATTGGGCTTCACAGCCAACGTGAAGTTGACAAGGACTCCTTCGTTCCAGGAACTGAAAAATTTTGGATACTTATAGATTGGGCTTTGTGAAATAGTGTAAAGTAAAATCTCTGTACAACAAATCGCAAGAGCTAATGTATATCGGTGTAAAAAGGCTTTGTTGTAATAGGTCGTCCAGAAAGTTCGTGCGTCTTTTTCAAGAACAAAAAATTCTTGTAAAGCAATGAAAAAACGAATGAACTTTCTGGACCACCTAATAAGAAGGCTAACTTTGTCTTAGAACGTACTATTACCTCCTAATGTTGTCATAGAGAGGTTTTGTTGCACAAAGCTTTTGCTATACAGTGACGGCCCTGATCCAATCGCAAAAAACGTACCATTTTGCATCACGTCAAAGAAAAATCAAAAAACATGGCAAAATACCTCCCTCTCCAACTAAAGAAACTCCGTTTTGAAGGGCGCGCCTTGTCCTCCATAAAAAAAGACGGCGCGCTTTTGAAATCTGATTTTTTTCACTTGGAGAGGGAGGTATTTTGCCACATTTTTTGATACTTCCTGGATGCAAAATGATACATTATTTTCCACTGGATCAGGTCCGCCATAGAAGCTTATATTGGGCTTGATAAAACAATTTAACGCTAAATCTCTGTATAACGAACGGCAATCGTTATAAAAGGGCTTTGTTGTATGGAGGTTAATTTTTTTATTAGAACGGTCTCTTAGCTCTTAAATTGTTTGTTATAGAGAGGTTTTGCTGTACAAAGATTTCACTATAGAACTGCAAATGTTTTGCCATGTAATTTACCTGTTGATTGTCTTGGGATGAGTAAAAAGCACCACATCCGAAGTGACCAGATTCTCTTTTAATTCGCTCACACTTCCAATCATCTTTCTTATATCCCGTCTAAACAACCCGTCCAGCTGTTTGTACCCATCACTTTCTGGGTTCCCATAGCGACTACTGTAGATCAACGCTTCTCGATTCATCCGCAAAATTCGGAAAGATCCATGGATTTTCTCGACTCTTTCGCACTTCTTATCCGCACTTTCTCTGGCTTCTGATGGCCGACATTCGCAGCTTTTTCCGCCGACGCACACCTCGTTCAGCGGGAGCGAACAGAAGCTGCGAAGCCCGCAGGGCGTCCCGTCTAGGGGCGGGAAATTGGCGAGAATTGATTCCTCCGACGACGCGTCTTCTTTGAACGCTGAAAAAATGAAAAAATTGAATGTCAAAGGGTTGTTGAAAAGTGAAAAAAAAATTGTCGAGAAACAGAAAACAATTTGTGTTTTGAGTTAAATTGAGTTCGGGAAACATGTTTTCGTTTCGAGACCGAGAAGTGATAAGGGTTGAAAAAAAATAAAACGATGACAAATGAAGGACAAAATATCGAGTTTTGTCGAATTACTTTTTTATTTTTTTAGTATAAAAATGTAAGCACATAGAGCAAACACTCTGTAGAACAAGATAGGTAGGACAAAACCTGTCTATAACTATCGAGTTCAAGAGTTTTAAGAGTCAATTTTCCCATAAAAAAAATAAAATACAGCTCCACACAATGAAACCGCTTTAAAGAAATCTGTCGGGAAAACAATGAGCACTCTTTTGTACCGAAAATCATGTCACTGAGGTCGTAAAAATGAATTGTGTCGCGGGAAAATCAATTTTTTTTTCATTTCATAGATATGATCGGCGCAGCGACAGTGTCCTCATTATTTTCCCGACAGACTGATAAAAAACGATAAAAAATTTTTGATCTTTGTTTTACAAAGTTTTGACCGGTATAGCATGTAAAAAACGACATAAAAATCACTCCCTACCCAAGCAAATTCTCCCTGGTTCATGTGGATTTGGGCTGTTATCATAGAAGCCTTCGTTGCACTGGCAAGTAAACCCTTCATCCAAGTCCACACATTGAGCGTTTTGATGGCAATTATTGGCATTTGTATGGAGGCATTCGTCGAAAATGCAGAGTCTTCCCGGCTGTCCGGGAGGGCTTTTGTCGTCAAATGGGTGTTTGCATTTACAGGTGAAGCCACCTGGAAGATCTTGACATTCCGCGTTCTTATGACAGTCGTTGAGGGCGGGGGATTCGCATTCATTGATGACTTAAAAAGGAGGTGATAAAAGCAAAGTTATTCAGGAAAAAGTCATCATTAAATATAGCTAAAAATCGGTCAACCTACTGAACTTGCAGACAGTTCCAGGAACGCTCAAATTCTCATCAAAATACCCGTCTTTGCATCTACATTCATACCCATCATTACGATCGACACAATCCGCAAACCGACTGCAATTATTGAGCAACGGGTTAGCGCACTCATTAATTTTTGGTCGGCAAATTCGCCCGGGCTTTTGGGGATCCACCGATTCATCGATCGAGTTGAAAGGACATCGACATTGGAAGCCTTCAGGTAGGTCCTCGCATAACGCTGAGGGATCACAGTCGTTCAAAGAGCGATCCAAACATTCGTTGAGCAGTTCAACGCAGTCATGTCCGGGGTTGGCCGGGGATTTGTCGATGAAACCGTCACGGCATCGACAGGAAAAGGCGTTGCCCTGAAAAAAGTTTTCCAACAATGGCTTATGAGTTACAGTGAGGGACCTGATCCAATGGCAAAAAACGTGTCATTTTGCATCCTGGAAGGGACCAAAATGACTCCAAACCCTTCCCTTCTCTAAGCTAATAAACTCCGCTTTGAAAAGCGCGCTTTTTCCTTCAAGGCGGGCTCTTCAAATCGGGGTTTTAAACCGTAGAGAAGGGAAGGGTTTGGAGACATTTTGATCTCTTCCGGGATGCAAAATGAGACGTTTTTTGCCATTGGATCCGGTCCCTCACTGTATTAGTTTCCAAAGAGGATTCGTTGCGCCTCTGTACAACAAATCATGATTATATCAGTCTGTCGGGGAAATAATGAGCAAAATGTCGCTGCGCCGGTCTTGTCGTTGAAGTAAAAAGCAATTTGATTTTGCCTCGACCCAATTCATTTCCTCAGCGACTTTTGATGCGACAGAGTGCACATAATTTTCCCGACAGACTTATCATAAAGAATTTTAGGAGTCTCGAGTTTCAGAGAGCCACTTTCAAAGATTGCCACGGCTCCGGAGCCGGCTCTTGGCTCCGACTCTGAGCCGGGAGCCAGGCTTCTCAGCGTTCAGAAAAGTAAAAATTCCATGATCCTGTTAAACCAAATTGCCGGAGCTGCAAACTTGCCCTCGGCTCCGGTTCTGGGAGCTCAGAGCCGGAGCCGGCGCCAAAATCTTAACCGTGGCAATCTCTGCTCACTTTCATGGCAAAATAAAACTCCTTGCAAGGAGACCTTTCTATAAAAATTAATTTTTTTAGATCCACTCATTCGTAGGGTCCAAAAAATTTACTTGTATCTAACGCTTTCCTACCTGCAATACCGAGCAAACCGCTTGCTGATGACAATCATTCTTTGCCGGATCCTCACAAACACTCTTTTCCGGCGCACATTTTCTTCCAGGTTGATCCGCAACACTCTCGGACACATCCACAAATCCACTCCTACATTTACAAGTGAATTCAAACGCGTTGTCCGTCGGAATACACTCGGCAGACGGATCGCAGTCATTGAGATCGGTCTCTTGACAAGGATGGGGCTTGGGGGGTAAGGGAATGTCACAGGTTCGACCGAAAGTTCCGGCGTCGGAGTTGTCGATGAATCCGGGGAGACATTCGCAGCGATAGCCTTTCGGCTCGTCGATGCAGATCGCGTTCGGAGAGCACTTGTTGAGGGTGGAGTTTTTGCATTCGTTAACTGAAAAGGTGAGTGTAAAAAACGCAGCTGTTTTTAGGGTTTATAAAACAACCTATTTATCGCAATTTTCGATTATTAGGCCGTCGGGAAAATAATGAGCAGAATATCTCTGTGTCGATCGCTGAAGTGAAAAGAATTTGATTTTGAAGCGACACAGTTGATTTTCTCGGCGGCGATTCAATTTTCGATGCGACAGAGGGCTCATAATTTTCCCAACATACTGTTAAATTTGAATTTAAAAAAACCACGTCGCAGTTTTTAAAGCTACAGTGGCGAACCTAATCCAATGACAAAAAACGTACCATTTTGGATCCGGGAAGTATCAAAAATGCAGCAAAACACCTCCCTCTTCATGTGAAAAAACTCCTATTTCAAAAGCGCGCCCGCTCTTTTTGTGAGGGACCTTCAAAACGGCGTTTTTTTACTTGGAGAGGGAAGTATTTTGCCACATTTTTGATGCTTCCCCGATGCAAAATAGTACGTTTTTTGCCACTGGATCAGGTCGCTCACTGTAATAGATTCTTGCTGACTTACCCTGCCCTTCCACACAAACTCTTCCCGGTCTCTGCAACTCATCAGCATCATTAAACCCATCCTTGCACTGACAAGTGAACGACTCCACGGTATCCATACAAATCGCATTCGGATGACAATCGTTCACTTCTTTTCGTTCGCACTCATTTACCGGCCGCCGACAAACCCTTCCGGCTTTTTGCTCCGGGTTCGGTGAGAAGTCGACAAATCCCGGCCTGCAGCGACAATCAAATCCCTCGACCATGTCAATGCATTCCGCGTCGGCTGGGCAGTCATGAGTGCCTAAGGCGCATTCGTCTTCGAGCTTTTGACAAATTCGACCGGGTCGGTTTTGGAGATCGGTTGATTGGTCAATGGAGTCGAGAGGACAGGCGCAGATAAAAGATTCATCGGTATCGGTACAACGGGCGCGAGGATCACAGTCGTGATGACCGGAAAGGCACTCGTTTTCCACTAAAAATACATTTCATATGGGTAAAAGTTCCTTATTCTGGCCACAACTTATAACTTTGCGGAAAATGATCAGAATTATCCCAAATTTAGCGTGCAAGCTGAATTCATCGTTGTCAATGCCCGCACAGTGGATTTAACTAGTGAGGTACCTTCTTTTTTACGTACCACCTTACCCTTCGAAAACGGCTGCTGCCTGCGATTTTACACTTTATACGATGAAACATGTCCGGAACTAAACTTATTGCCTCCGTATAGAACTAAATGAGTCGTCATCGCCTTCGTAGGTACCCTTAAAACTATTGAGCTAGTATAGTAATTCAGTGTCAGTTAGGTCGAAGTTTTTTTCCTAACTTTAGTTCCCAAGCTTGGGCGCAGTTCGCAGAGTACCCTCGTTGTGGCCAGAATAAGGAATTTTTTCCTTTATATGTATAATATTTATTATAGATGATTACTCGGTCTGAACATCGAAACTCACAGCAAACGTCGGTGATTGGATGTCTCTTCTGTGCACCACTGCATCGACACGTGTAGAACTGCCCATTCGGATGCAGCAAGCATTGTTGCCGCTTCCGAGGATCGCATGGCTCCGGTTCGGAGGGATCGCAAGACCCGGTGATTTGACAGCGACCAGTCCGAGGGTTCCGTTCATATCCTGTTTTACACTTTTCTTCAATGAATCGCGGAGAGGCCTGACCGTCTTTCACTGAAAGTTGTAAATGGAACGTACTAGATTTCAAAGCAATACGGAGGGACAACATATCTTAGGAGGCCAAAAAATTTATTTGTTGTAGAGAATGTTGCGTTGTACACAGTAATTAAACTCACAGCAAACTCCACTTCGTGCATCACGATGGAAACCGCTTGGACAAATGCATCGATACGTCCCGAACGGAGTTCTCGCGCATTTCTCCGGATACGGACAACTGGTTTCGATCTGTGGATTGCATTGCGGAGAACCACAAGCATGCGTGATTGGATGTCTCTCAAACGCCGGTGGGCATTCGCATCTAGTCCTGCCGGTCTGGAGAAGGACACAGATTTCATTGAGGGTTCGATCACAACCCCGTTGAGTTCCGGGATCACACGAGACATTCTGAGGCTTCATTTGTTCCATCGCTGGACAGGCGATCTTCTGGATTAGAGAGCGAAGTCGGGTGTCCAGGTCGCGGAAACGGTCAACGTAAAACCAACTGAAATTTGATAGGTGAAGCGAAATAAAAATATGTACAGTGGGGAACCTGATCCAGTGGCAAAAAACGTACCATTTTTCATCTGGGAAGTGTCAAAAATGTGGCAAAATGTTTCATTCTCCCAGTGAAAAAACTCCGTTTGGAATGGCGCGGCGCCCTTTTCCTCACAAAAAGAGCGCGCTAGCTTTTGAAATCGAAGTTTTTTTCGGTATTTTGCCACATTTTTGATACTTTCCGGATGCAAATTGGTACGCTTTTTTCCAGTGGAACTGGGCCCCACTGTATACTTCCAGACATAAATTTTTGATCACCCATAACTCAAGTGAATATAACGCAATCACCTTGAAACTTGGCACGCATCCTACTTATGATACTAGTCATGATAGGCAGAATCTGCGACGTAAAAATGTTTTTTATATCTCTGTCCTTAGGCGAGTTTGTCAATTTTCCAAAAATCGGTGGACAATCGGAAATAAATGTAATAGTAACCTCTCGCATTGAAAATCGCATCATCACTGAGAAAATGAATTGTGTAGCAGCAAAATCAAGTTGCTTTTCACTTCAGCGACGCGATCAGCGTAGCGACATTTAAAATACTCATTACAGTATTTTCCGGACAGACTGATCTTACCGACTACTAGAGCCCGCAATTGTCTCCAGCTCGGACGCCAGCACATGGTCGGTGACTCCGATGGCAAACATGTTCACTTGCAATCTCCTTGCCTCCGCAGCTGCCTGTGTCACATTGTCCTGACTTCTCCCGTCCGTGATGACAATCCCAACTCGACTAACTTGCCCCGAAGGTCGGGCTCCTCGACGTTCGGAGAAGCCTTCCTCCACCAAATGTTTGATTGCGGCGCCAGTTCTGAGCGATATTTTAGACTTTAAAATTTACGGTTGCATACCTTGTAAGTCCCGTTAAGTAGGTGACATTTGAAATTGCAGATTGCAGCGATTTTTTGTCTTCAAATTGATTCAAATCGAACTCATGTCGTATTTGATCGCTATATTGGATAAGTCCAACTCTCGTATGGTCCGGACCAATGTCAAAGAGCTCCACAAACTCGCGTAAAAATCGTAGGATTTCTTTTGTGAAGACATGAACCCCAATGGAACCACTTCCATCGACCAAAAATATTAAATCCGTAGTTTGTTTCGGACATGTCGTTTGCACCGTGCAGATGCGGCCAGGCTGTTTTCCGGCCAAGGAAGAGACATCTACATAGCCATCGTAACACTGACAAGTATAGCCGTCGGGGCGATCAACACAGTCGGCATTTTGGTCGCAAGTATTGGTCTCCGGACTGGCACATTCGTTGTTTGCTAAAACAGTTCTAATTTCGAGTACAACACGCTTGAAATGTTGTTTGTTAAAAACTTGAAATACTCTCTTACAGATCGCGCAATGACGACCGGGACTCAGCCCATATCTGGATGATGTGTCGACGTATTCACTGCGGCATTTACAAGTGTAGCCGACGGTTTCGTCGACGCATAGCGCAAAGGGATGGCAAGTGTGCTGACCAGTGGCACATTCGTTGATCACTGAAATTTTTGCGGATTATTTATTATATTAAAAAAAGTATCAGTCTGTCGGGAAAATAATGAGCAATCCGTAGCATTGAAAATCGCATCGCCACCGAGGAAATGAATTCTGTCGCGGAAAAATCAAATTGCTTTCATTTCAACGGCGCGATTGACGCAACGACGGAGCCCTCATTATTTTCCCGACAGACTGATATTTTCATAAAGTGCATGGACTTTTATGGCACAGTGTGCATTTTTTCTTCGGTGCACCATGCAGACCTCAAACGACAAACAAAGCCGTTTACACTGTTCAAATCCATGGCGCCAACGCAGCGACAAGTTAAAAGTTGCTTATATCGAAGCGATATTTTGCCGCACGGTGCATGTCAAACTGAGATGAGCTAAAACAGTCCGGTGAATGGATTTGCAATTTGCCAAAAAAAGACGCGAAAAAACGTTTTGTCGGGGAAGAAATGGGGAATTTTTAGGGCGAGAGAGTACGTTTTTGCGTGTCTTTTTTCTCTCTTTCTCTGCGAAATCAGGACGAAGTGTAAAAAACCGATAGCGAAAGGTCTATTCCGGTCACCGGACTCCTCAGTTTGCCGCACGGTGCCAAAACCAAAAAAAGGGGTTGGGGTTTTTGAGCACGGTGCGGGTTGCGACAAGTGCTCATTTTTCAATGAGACATAGTGCTCATTATTTTCCCGAAAGCCTGATATTACTTTTCTACGTGCACTCTTACTGCTGGCTCTTTGCTCAATTCATATTGTGTTTGCATTCAAAAATACAAAACTCGACCTCATAAATTCGTAATTTATGCAACTCTCATAACCTTGCAGATTCAAGTGCACCTCGTGATTGGGATTAGGAAAGGGAAACGGGACTATTTAAAAATTCATTTTGCACTTTGTGCTGACTAAAGTACTTTCGAGGTTGAATAGTCGGCATGCGATTTTCGATCAGACAGAACGCTCATTATTTTCCCGACAGACTGATAATTTCTTTACACATATAACAAATCTAATTTAGGCTATAACTTACACTCCACGCAGTTCCTCCCCGGTCTATTCGGATCCTCGGACGCGTCATGGAATCCAGGCTTACACTTGCATTGATACGAATCAAAAACATTTGTGCAAATCGCACTTTGATGACAATCTGTAACCCCTGAGCAAGCAGATTGCAGTCGGCATGTCCCGTCGCGGAATCTGAACGCATTTTCAACGCAATCACAGCCCAATGTCCCGTCCATTTGAACGCAGAGTTCATTGGGACGGCACGTGTCATTCCTCCCCAATGTGCATTGAGGTTGCGGAGATAGCGTTGTTGTAGTGAAGGTTGGAGCGGGCCGGCTGAGGGACGACGGAAGGACACAAGTTCGGCCTGGATAGTGCGTGACGTTGGTGGAGGCGTCGACAAAGCCGGGCTTGCATTTGCAGAGGTAACTGAAATGTTATGTTTTATAGCAGGAATCTGTGGCCATGCAGAAGTCAGGTAGAAATATTCATCACCAAACGGTTAAATAACTTTTTTTACAGCAATATTTTGTGATGATTTCAGATAAAACAAAGAAGATTTCAGCCAAAAAACTCGAAAAAATGACCAAATATTCAAAATCATTCCAAAAATTTACTAATTTCTAGCGATTTCAGCTCGAAAATATAAGGATGGTGACATACAAATCAAATCGAGTTTCGTGGCCAGAAACCGCCATTTCTTGTCTGTTAGGCCTCTAGACAAGATGCGCAATTCCTGTCTGAAAACAGGGCAACGACTCTCAATTCCTGTCTGGAAGTTTAGACAAAAAAATTGTCCACAAGTCAGACAAAATATCCAAACTTCGGTCTGGTTTCGGACAAACTCGCTGTCTGTCCAGACAAGCTCGCTGTCTGTCCAGACAAACTTGCTGTCTGTTCAGACAAAGAGCCTGTCTGACAGAAAAAAAGTTTGGCCTAGACAAAAAATTTGTCTGGAATTGCTGTTAAAAAGTAGTAAATATTATAGTTTGTTCATTACTACTATAAATGTAATTCCACATACAAACTGTACAGATTTATGTTTTACAAGAGAATGCAGATTGGAGAAATCCCGAGTGATGCTTGCAGAAGAATTCGTTCCTTCATCAGCATCTCATTCCTCTTCTTCGGTTTCTTTTTTGAATTTTAGCTTCCTGAACCAGTTGATGGCCGTGCCGGGGAAGGCGAACACACTGTTGACCAGAGATTGACAAGAGGCTACACCGTTACAGAACTCCGACGCTTTGAATCTCGCTTGAAGAGGTGAACGCCGACGATTGAACAATTCGAAAACCAGTGGATCCATCGGAATGACCAAAGGCTTCTTTTTCCTTCTTTCCAAATACTTCGGTTTCTAAACACATGAATAACACAATAAATAACTTACAAGGTAACAAAAAGATCGAAAAAATTTCCCAAAATATGAACTTCTGCATCCTTCAATCGGAATCCCACGGCTCTAACTGAGAACACTCCCCATCGGGAAAGAAATGGATCGGTTACAGGTCAACCCGGGTCGCAATTTTGCGCAATCAGAGCTCGGTCATTCGTTTGAGGTCTAAAACAATATAAAAGAATTCAAATCCTTGCCTGCCAAGGTGAATTCCATCAACCTTTACTTCCACTTTGGGCAAACACAGCAGAAGAACATTTACATTCCTAATCGAGCCATCCACTTCCACGATGAGCAGATTCCTTTTGAGAAACGGGTCGAAAAGCCAGTATTTGCGCAGCCAGAGCCATTCGTTTGATGTCTAAAATAACATAATGAAATTTAAGCACTTTCTTACCTAGATGAATTACACCGAAAACGCGTGAAAGCCGTCGGAACGAACGGTCAAGACTCCTGAGCAGCCATAATTTGCGTAGTGGTTTGATGCCTAAAACAATAAAAAAAATAGAATCCTTACCTACCAAAGTGAATTCCATCGATTCCAGCAAGTCGGACTGCGGGAAAATAATCAACTGAATTCCGTCGACTGACTTTGGCGACCCATTGCCGAAAAACTTGGAAAAAAGAAGAAAAAATACGTTGGCGGCCTATTTTTTCGCGTCGAGATCAGAGTCAATGTTGGCATTCCGTCCTTTTCAAGGAGATTTGAGAGAAGTCGATTTTTTGGATTGCGTGATGCAAGGTACCCTCGTTTGTGTTGTTCGTTTTTTGTCGTGTTGGTGTTCTTCATGTTGCATTAGATGAATTTTTGGTAATTTTAGGTAAAAGAAGTCCGGATTCACCGATTTTCTGCCTCGCTAGCCTTTCCCCCGCCCTGGAAGTTGGCCTTTGCCAAGACGGAGACTTTTCAGAAAAAGTCTTCGATGAATTTTAAGATTTTTTATTGTGGATTTATCGATTAGAAGGTAAATCATACAATTTTTAACAGTTTTGACCTTATTTTAGCTTGTGGACATCAGGAAGAATCCACTCTAGGACGTTCAACGCACGAGGAACAGGTTCGGCGCTGTAGTTATGGACCATGACGGACTCAACTTCCCAACAACTGAAGTGAACATGACGAAATCGAGCTGGATTCAATGTCAACTACCCTCATCACAATCTTCTGATTAAAAGCCGGATACTCGTTATTTTTTCTTTGGTTTTTGGGGGTTTCAATTTTTTTTTTGATTTTTGGGGTTCAGACATTTTTTTGTCTGTTCCTCAGACAAGAAAACTGAAGTTCTTGTCTGGGAACTGAAATTGCTAAATTATAGACAATTTTTACGTAATTCTTGTCTGACCTCAGACAAGAATCTTCGATTCCTGTCTGAAGGTCAAAAATTCCAGACAAGAAGTTGGGAATTCTTGTCTAGAGGCCTAACAGACAAGAAATGGCGGTTTCTGGCCACGAAACCTGATTTGATTTGTATGTCACCATCCTTATATTATAATTTTTGAAAAGTTTGGGAAGGCATTAAAAGGTCAATTCAAAATATATATATATATTTTTAATCTTAATCGGCTCTAGAAAAAACCAAATTTTAGGAAAATCGGCGGAGTCTCCGCGGAGAAATCCAAAGAAAACGCTTGCCCGTTCTTTACATAAAAAGCATTTTATTTGACGAGGAAAGTACTTCTATGGGGTATGGAGTTACAGGTCGAGTCATATATCAAAAAAATCACAAAAATTCTCTGATTCAGAATATGAAAAAGTTAGCTGCCTAATTTTTGGTTGCAAGGGTAAAAAAATCCTCAGAACTTTTCTCGAAACCCGCACAAATTCCCCTTTTTTATATTATTGGAGATACTAAATAAGGTGTAGTATTAATCAAATTTGATATTTTAAGGCTTTTCAAGATGCCAGGGTTCACTTTAGCTCAAAATAAGGCCTTTGATTTGGTAAAAACTTTCTCATATTCTGAATCAGAAAAATTTTACGGTTTTTTTGATATATGACTCGACCTGTAACTCCACACCCCATAGAAGTACTTTCCTTGCGAAAAAGATAACGCATGACGGGGAAAAAAGTTATTCAGAGGTTACACTGCATATATTTCCTATTGCTGTCCAAAAACACTCACCTTTCCTGCGTATCTTCGCATTCCGCATTCTCCGAGCAGTCGTTCATCCCTTCGCTTTGGCACTCGTCAATCTCCTCCACACACTTTCGTCCAGGCAATTTGCTATAAAGATGGGAGATATCGGCAAATCCTGGCCGACAATGACATGTGTAGCTGTCGTCGGAGTCCATACAAGTTGCATCCGCATCACAATCCACTCCGTATTTTGCGGGCTCAGCGCATTCGTTGACTTTGCCAACGCATTTGCGACCCGGCTTATGGGGATCGGGAGAGATGTCGACAAGATTGTCGTAGCAACGGCATTCATAACCGACGTCCTGAGAAAAAAGTATTGTGCAAAAAGAAATGATGGTTTATAGAGAAATCCCTAATTTTTTACAAATTTATTCACTTACTTTATCAATACATCGTGCATTAGGAGCGCAGTCGTGAAGCCTCGCCTGACTACACTCGTTAATGACCAAGCACCGCCCATCCGGCAGTTTGCTGTACCCTTGAGGACAGGAGCATTGATAATGGCCATCAATGAACAGGCAGACTTCACTTTTCTGCGAGTCACAACTCAACGGATCATTCACTGAGCAATCGCCGGTATTGGATAGTGGACGGACTAAAAATCGTATAAATTACAGTGGCGGCTCTTGCCATTCGTTATACAGAAACTTAGCGTTAATTTCTTATACCAAGCCCAATCTACAGTGGCCGACCTGATCCAGTGACAAAAAAATTACGCTTTTTACACTTGGGAAGTATCAAAAATGTGGCAAAATACCTCCCTCTTCAAAGGAAGAAACTCCGATTTTACAATCGCGCCCCCTTTTTTGTGAGGAAAAGGGCGCGCTCTTCAAAACGGAGTTTTTTAGTTGGAAAGGGAGGTATTTTGCTACATTTTTTGTGCTTCCCGGATGCAAAATGGAACCTTTTTTGCCACGGGATCAGGTCTAACATTGTAGAGGAAATGCAGTGGCTTTTTTGCAAATCTTCTCTTACCTTGCAAGCACTTCCTTCCAGGGTGCTCAATGCTGGGCGATAGATCAATATACCCTTGAGGGCATCGACATTCGGCCCTCCCAGGCGTCTCGCTAACACACTCCGCAGCGGGATCACATGAACGGAGATCAAAATTGTCACAGGGATCGCGGAATTCTGGAACAAGTCAAAAATTGCAAGCTTCTATGGAAAAAAATATGTAAGAAATTACATGTTGTATACTGTATACAGAAATTTCGCATTTTGTTTTTATTTTCTTGATTTTTTTAGCTTTTTACTATCATGTTGTTCTATTCCCTTTTGCTTACTCATTGCGGAACAGTGTAAACATCAAATAAAAAAGGAAATAAACTTACGCGCATTCGATTGCAGCGAGAAACTAATGAGACAGATGAATGGAACCAGCAGAGAGCCGGGCAGAATGAGGCGCTGTAAAGAATTCCGAGGCCATCGATGCCTGTTCATCTAAAAAAAACACAATAACAACAAAAATACAAAATGCACGGCCGAAAAATACGAATTACGGTGAGAAATTGTAAAAATACGGCAAGAAAAGGGATAAATTTTGAATTCATGATGTTTTTTTGAAGACAGCGTGTCAGATTGTCTTCAAATTTAGGCTATGTAGTCTGAATAGGATGAGTAAAAATTGATGAAAATTTAAGATTCTGCTTTGCAGTATACGCCAAGATATTCAACGATAATTGTAGACGAGAGATCATGAAAGATATGGAGAGACAGTCAGAAAAAAAACATCGCTTTTAGCTATATCTTTACGAAAATTGGATAAAAAATTTTATTTTTGAGACAATTCTTTACAATATATGCGAAGCAACGTGAGATTTTTAAAATTTACCGCGGTAAAATTCCAGTTTGTATATAAATATTTAGACCTAGAAATCATAATTTTTCCTTTTGCAAAGCGTAAATTAAAAATCTTCCATGCGTCATACAACAAGTCAAACTGTAATCAACACCTCTTTTCAACACCTATGATTCGTTATAGAGAGCCATGCTTCCAAGGCAAAACGAAATTTCAACTCCTTTCACTTTCATCATCAAATCAACTCTCCCTTCTTCCTCATCCCCACAGCTCCCTCAAATATCTCCCTAATTCATGTCTCCTACTAAAACTTTTTCCCCAACCGATCTAAATCATTTTTACGATTTAATTCCCCCTCCATCCTCCCAAAAAAGTGGAGAATATTGTCCATTAAAGTTGGGGGACCACTGCAAAAAATGACCAAAAAATTTTCTTCTTTTTTGCTAGGTAAGAATAAGAGAAATGGTCCACCCATTTTTGTAAGAAATTTAATCAAACTCCCCTCTACTTTTCAGTCGAAAAAAATCTTTTTTGGATCTTTTGCGACCTCCAAAGGACGGCTGAAACCGGTCGATGACATAAAAGAACGACATTTCCCTCGGAGGTTACGAGAATTATCAAAATATAAACAGATGTGCGCGAATAAATGATTGCGCAAGAGGTGTTCCGGGAGTTATGAGACGAGGGATTACAAGGATGTTATGAGTTTTATACGATGTTGGAGGGGTTATTGACTTATTATGAAGCGATTAGAGAAATTGAGGAGGGAAAATCAAGCGGAACAAATGGAAAAAAACATATTGTAGAGCTCAAAATAGCCATAATAATTCCGAAAAGTTTTTTTTAATTGCAGAAAAAATTACAGATTACAAAGATAGCAAGTAAATGAAACCACTCAAAGTGCGACGCCCAGATTTTGATAAAACTTTGCCTACTAGTCGGGACTAGACCGAATATCAATTTTGTTTTAGCCCGCGCTTCACAGCACCCGACACATTCAAAGATATTTGTCGACTAGAGACTACGCGAAATGTGGAGGGCCAGCAAGAAGAAAAAAGCGTTTTGGCCATCTCCCTGCCAATTTCATTGCGGAAAATCTTGTCGCACAGTGCACGTCGTAAAAATCACCTGACCGACTTTGGGAACGGGCGAGTAAACCTGCAAAAAAAGTGTAAAATTTTGACCAATTCTCCAAGTAAAAATCTTATAACTTTGTTTCTGCAAAACGCTAGCTCGATATAAGTCTGCCGGGAAAATAGTAGGCACTTTGTCGCATCGAAAATCGCATCGCCGCCGAGGAAATGAATTGTGTCGCGGTGAAATAAAATTGCCTTTTGCTTCAGCAACGCGATTTGCACTGCGACATTGCGCTTATTATTTTCCCGAAAGACTGATAAATTCCACGAAATTTTAGCTCGCTCTTTGCAGTGGCAGCAAAGATGCCAAACGTATTAACAAGTGCCCAGTTTTTACCAAAATTTGTACCGTACCTCAACCACCTCCCAACCAAAAAAGAGATGCCTGTATTTTACAAAAGAAAACGGCCTTCAAGACCCTGAAAAACAAACCGTTGTTAGCCTTTGAAACTCCCTTGTAACTCCCTTCTGAAGCAACCTTGTATTCGTTATTTTATGTATTTCCGCATAAATTACTTTTTACTTTATACGACTCTCCCCTCATTCGATGAGTCGCGGAAAGCGAAAGGTTTCCATATTGCGTAAGCCGGGGGGATTTATCACGATTACAGCGACAAAATCCGTTGATCAAATGAGATATAACGCAATTACGTGTGTTTCATTGGGTCGAAAAAAGAGGGAAAGTAATGAAAATTGAACTGGTTTGAGAGTGAAAACTTTAGGGGGGATTAATTAGGGAGGTAAAAGGTTGGGGTGACGTCATTGGTCAAGAAGATGTAGTGACATTTTTTCATGGAGAATGACAGTGGAACCTCTGTACAACAAAATCTGTTTATAACAAACAATCGGAATGGTTTTGTGTTTCAATTTTAGGAAAAACTGAAGCTCTTTAAAACAAAACCTTTTCATAACGAATAAAATATTTTTAGGGCCTTAGCGGTTCGTTGTATTTACAAAGGCTCCATTTTCACTCCTGATGTAAAATTTTACGCTTGGCATGATTGAAATTTGCAGTTGCGCAGAGAGTCTGTCATATAGATGATAAACTAGACTGGTGACCATTTCTTCTAGAGCGAAAACTGCTTTATTTGCAGCATTAAGGTCTGATGAAACAGGGCAAAAATTCAGACCTGGTAAGGAGAACATCAGTCTGTCGGGAAAATAGTGAGGACTCTGTCGCATCGAAGATACCATCGCTGAGAAAAGTGAATTGTGTCGCGGCAAAATCAAATTTCTTTTCAATTCAGCGACACAATTGGCGCAGCGACATTGGGCTCACTATTTTCCCGACTGACTGGCAAAAGACTTTGGGCTTGCCCTTTACAGAACCCATTGAGATTTTAGGTAAAACTAAAGCCTATTTTCAAAAGAATGCCCACATTACATGAAACATTCCAAACCTGGTTGAAACGGGAAAGCTGGACTAATTACCAGACTAATTGGTTAAATAGTTTTACCAAAAACACCTAACGACATCGAAGCGTTTATGAGGTGGCTCATAAACACATTCTGGAGGGAATTGCTTGCAATCTGGTTTCAAACACCTTTCAAGGATTGCGTAGCGGCGCCGAGGGTATGATGTCATCAAGGAGATTAAGGAAAAATGATTTTTGGAATTGACTTTTTTAGATTTCTGAATTGAAGGGAATACAAGGAAAGCGCTTCATACCCAAATTAAAGAAATTGCGCATGTTAGGCCCGCGTCCAGACTTATACCGAAAAAGATTGCAGGAAGTGCCTATTACCAGGTCTAGCAAAGCCATTGAATGGTCGGCGGACGCTGGGTGAAGGTTCGGCTGAAACTTAGCGAAGACTTGCGGCATGTGCACAGTTTCAAATTTTAGCTTTTATTGACGTTAGTTTTCTTTACCCTGATTGTTGCAAAATAGAAATTAATGTCGCTTAAAAATACATATTTCAAAAAAGAAGTCTCCGCGCCCTCTCCAGCGGAAGTTACAGCCTCCGACTTTCCTTCACGTTTTTTTGTAAGACCCTGTATTTCTACTAACTAAGCTTTCTCCAAGTCTCCCCCATGTATACGACGACGAACCGACCTTCTGTGTATAAAATTACGATGCCTCCGTAAACTGCAGCATTTGAAAGAGGGTTTTATTCGCTTACAATTCAAAGTTTTAAAAATCCTATTTTTATTTACAATAGTATGCGCATATAAAAACTGAAGAAGGCTTTATTTGCCAAAAAAAATCTAAATAATAAATATATAGAAAACAATTTATTTTGCACTCATCCCGACCTCAATATAGCCGCTTCGTTATGTACTTCTAGCTGCCTTTTCTCAGGCTCTTCTGATGTCTTTATTGGTTCGCTGTGGACTTCTTCATTGGCATTATTTAGGTCAACAGTGGAACTAAAAATTTTGATATACGAATGGTCTTACTATCTCCCTACTTTTCGACTTGTTGAGCTCTTTTCTCCGGCCACCGAATTGTCATGATAATGCCAGTCAGGAATATGTTCAGATAAATGAAAAAGATGTCATGGAGTACTGTAAACAGTCTTTGTTTGGTTTGTGTGCAACGCGCAAAGGCTGAGAATGCACCCAAGTACATGGAAAGTCGAAGCCATTCCCACACTGTGTGATTCCGCTCCGAGTAGCCTGAGATTCTGAAAAATGAGTTCATCAACTTTTTTGTAAATATTATGTGATTTGTAGCATTTTAAAAAAAGGTGACTATTTTCAGCAACTCGCATGGCCATAGAATTGTATATAACTTACCGTAATACAACGATTATCGATGCAACAACCAATGCGCTGTCGAGAATCTTTTCAATCGGGCCCACTTTCCTCAACTGGTGGTCTAGAATATGTCCTGCCGTTTTGTCACTGAAGTCTGTGTCAACTGGCAAGTTAAGCGACCTGAAATTATTCCGGATTAAATTTTATTCTTTGGCCATAACAAAACATAAATGAATAGAGGAAGTGTTAAAAGTGGGACGCTCAGATTTTGATGAAATCTGGGGCGAATTTAGGGTACTCCTATTTCTTATAAAGCAGATGATTTCTAGCGAGCACTTGGCAGAAGAAAAGAGCCTGTTAGACCGAAAACTTTTGAAATTTTGACACTTTTTAGTTTATGTTAAAAAAAATTTTAATCGTATTTCAAGATTAGATGTTTTCTACGCAAAACAAATGAACCAATTTTTCTCGCTAAATTTGCAAAGGTGCCAAAAATTTTCTATTATATTTGACCGCTTTCCGCGTGTTGGTAATCCCGGCAGACCGTGTAAACACAAAGATGTGACTAGAAATTTTTTTTCTGGTTGATCCCTCTCCGTTCTCTGTATACCCTTATCAAAAAACGTTGAGAATCCCGGCCACATCAAACAGCGCAGAAACCTAAAGCAGTTGGTATGTAGCGCTTGCCAAACTTCTATGCTAAGTTTATATCACTCTGTCGGGAAAATAATGAGCAAAATATCGTGTTCAAAATCGCATCGCCGCCGAGAAAATGAATTGTGTCGCAGAAAAATCAAATTGCTTTTCACCTCACGACGCAACCTGCGCAGCGACGTTGCGCTCATTATTTTCCCGACAGACTGATACGAAATCTCAGCATCTTACTTCAAACCCTTCCCATTAAAAAAAAATTACTCATTCAAACAACCTCACCACAAATATCCATGCATCCAAATAGGGCTAAACAGAAAATCGAATAGCTGCCAACTAACGAATGTGGCCCAAACAAATCTGTAGCCAAAAATAAGGCATCGTCGACAAGTTCGTTCGGTCTCACTCAACTCCTCCGGCTCGGTCATTCAGAGTTTTTTGACGGCAAGGATTTTTTCGACGCCGCTGCGTTAGAACCTTGACCCCGAATTTCGGTCATTTCGTTGCGCAAGAATAAAAAAAAGGGAGATTTTTTGTCTTCTTTCGTTCGGAACGAATGGTCGGGAATTGTAGGGTAATCGCGGTAGAATGATGCTGGATACTCTTCGATTTTTTAAATCAATAATCTTTGTTTGAAATTAGATGAAAGTATTTCAAGGGCTTAGCCATACATTTTATGGATTATTTTTTAAGAGAAAATTGCCTAAGGGCAACTCTCAGATTCTCTTCAAATTTTACACGCACTTTGCCTGTAGGCCATATATGAATTCCTGAAAATTTTAGCTCGCGCTATGCAGACGCAGCCGAGATATTCGACAACTTTTGCCGCCGAGAGAGCACGTGAAAAAAGGAGAGTGCTGACAGGGAAAAAACAGTTTTTGACCATATTTTTGCAGTTTCGCGGTGAAAAGCTTGATTTTTTTGTGAAGACATTGCTCTATACAGTAGAAATAAGAGGGAAACTTATCGTGCCAAAATTTGCAAAAAAAGCAGTAATTTTTTTAAAAATTTCAATCAAAAAATCTCGGTTGTTTCTGTAAGACGCAAACTGGGATTTTCGTATATCCATCAGAAAAATTTTTTCCAAATTTGTGCCAAGTTTCATTGAAATCTGAATGTCGAACTTGCAGTACCTCCACAGTAAGCTAAATCCAAAAAAAATGTTTTCTTCCCACCTGTCCCCATTTTTCATAGCTTTTTTTGTTTATCGTTTACAAAAATTATTGAATACAAATTTATTTTTAATCTTTTATTCATTATTAATACTGCAAACAACAATAAAGCCCTTGTTAACAACTTCTAAAAAAATCCTCAAAACAAATTGCACTCCGCACTACAAGAACCGCTAATTTCTTTGATATATGAGCATATGACTGACTAGTTTTTGCAAGTGTTAAGTAGACACAACAACAATAAATAACAAGCGAACTATGTATAGACCGTGTTTCCGTTGATATCACCGATTTAAATACATCCTAAAATTTACAATCTGAAAGTTTGAGTAGGTTAAAATTGCTCTTTGGTGAGACCCATGTCAACGTGAGAGAGTTGGCGTTTCCGTAGGTCCTCTCGTTTCCGCTCACGAACGTCTTTGGTCATGAACAACATCTCCACCTCGTCCAGGGAGCAGCCACGAGTCTCGGGGACAACAAAGTAGAAAATGATGAGGCCTATGAGAGTTATGGCGGCGTAGAGGAAGAAGACTCCTGAAAAATTAAGAATGACAAAAGTTCGGAGACAAAAAATGTCTTTTTAAAGTGTATGTAGTACCAACTGCCACAGCTACAGTGACGGAGATGATCCAGTGGCAAAAAACGTTCCATTTTGCATCCGGGAAGCATCAAAAATGTGGCAAAATGCTTCTCTCTCCAAGTGAAAAAACTTCGTTTTGAATGGCGCCCCTATTCCCTAAGAGCGGGCTATTCAAATCGCAGTTTTTTCCCTTGGAGAGGGAAGCATTTTGCCACATTTTTGACACTTCCCGGATGCAAAATGGTAGATTTTTTGCCACTGGATCAGGTCCCCCACTGTACCATGGTTACTCACCGAACTTGGTAACAGCCTGTCCCAGAGACAAGAAGGTCAATGAAATGAGCAGGTTGAACATCCAATTTACACATGTCGTAATTGATACGCATTGACCTCTGGCCCACAACGGGTAGAACTCGGCGTTTAGGACCCAAGGAAGAGGGGCATAGCCTTGAAAATGCGACGTAATTTTTTTTAAGTAAGAGCGCTATTTCGCACCGAAAATCGCATCACCGCCGAGAAAATAAATTGTATCGTGACAAAACCAAATTGCTTTTCACTTCAGCGACGCGATTGGCGCAGCAACATTGTGCTCATTATTTTCCCGACATACATATAGTTATACAACAGAGCCTCTATAGAAGGAAGGCTGTCTATAACGAACAATTTCAGAGGTTTCGAAGGCCAATTTTGAGGCAAAAATCAACCTTCAAACAACAAATCCTCTCTATAACGAATAAATTCTTGCTCGCTTGAAAGTATTTCTACAGAGGTCTGAGATGTCATAAGGCAAATAAAACATAAACAGAAAACGCACCAGTACTGAAACAGCACAAATACACGACCATCAAGATGATGGGCAACACCGTATACGAAGTGTGACAATAAACATCAGCCCATTCGTATGTGACCTCCTTTCCATCAATCGTTGTGTTATGAAGATTCTCAATCCCCTCCGAAGAGCATATTCCAATCGCGGAGCGGTCCTCTTTCTTCGTCTCGTGCGCCGGTAGACAATACCCTTTGGCGTTGTGATCGTCCTCTGGAGCGCAGAATCCGCAAAGCTCATCGGTCACGCAGAAGTCACAGTTGCTGAAATCGAAAAAAAATTTTTTGGCCATGCATTGACGGGCCTGATCCTGTGGCAGAAAATGTTCCATTTTGCATCCGGGAAGCATAAAAAATGCAGCAAAATACCTCCCTCTCCAACCAAAAAAAACTCCGGTTTGAAGGACGCGCAATTTCCTTCGCTAAAAAAGCGGGCGGCTCTTTGAAACATTTTTTTCACTTGGAGAGGGAGGTATTTTGCCACATTTTTTGATACTTCACGGAAGCAAAACGGAACGTTTTTTGCCACTGAATCACGTCCGCTACTGTATTCTCTCTTGCTGCTATAGCCACGATATCTCACGACGACTCCAAAGATGAGTAAACACCGTAGACTTACGATAACTTTGCACAATGCAGCGCCAAGGAGTCATTTCCGGCTCCAGTGAACTCCACCGTCCTTGCCGAGTCCGAATTGATCATGTAGAACGACCCACCCAACAAGCACAGCGAAATAATCACGCCGACAATGGAGCCGAGCAACAGAATCCGTCTTCCCAATCGCTCCACCAAGTACATTGGAATGAACGTGCAGAAGAAGTTAAAAGCCGACGTGGCATTAGACATCCAGATTGTGTTGTGATTATCTCTGATTCCGGCGGATCGAATGATCGTGCCCGTGTAATACATGATCGTGTTGACTCCGGAGAGTTGTTGGAACGCCTGGAGCGCCGACCCGATAATCAGGGCCTTCCGGACATGAGGAGTTTGCCAGATTCGTCCCAAAACCGAGCCCTCGCCGTGCTCTTCGTGCGACTTCTTTTCCTGCTCGTTGCTGGCCCGGATCTCCTCCAGCTCATACTCCACCCAAGTCGTATCTCCGTTGTAGATTTTGTTCAGGACGTCACGAGTTTCGGCCTCCGTTCTGTTCTCCCAAAGCCATCGCGGGCTCTCGGGCAGGAACAAGAATCCAATGAACTGAATTGCCGCCGGCACTGCCGCAAACCCGAACATCAATCGCCAGCCAACGTTCTCCGGATCAATGTAGGAAAAGCCTCCGGCAATTAGGTTCGCTGCCATCAAACCGAACGTGATCATCAGTTGGAAGCCCGTCAACAGACGTCCTCTGATGTGGGCGGGCGACGCTTCTCCCACGTAAATCGGCACAATCATCGAGGCGATTCCGATGGCCACACCGAGCAAAATGCGCCCCACCAAAAGGATCCACTTGTCTAGCCCGATAGCGCAAATCAACGCGCCAACAACGAAGATGACACTGGACAACACAATCATTTTCCGCCGTCCAAACACGTCCGAGGACTTTCCGGCAAAAAGCGCGCTGATCCCAGCGCAGCCGGGCGTAATGGAGACGATCAGCTCGGTCCACAGCGTGTCCATGGGCCGCAGATCGTGGTTCTTGGGAACGTAGAGCATAGCGGCCGAGACGATTCCAGTATCATAGCCAAAAAGAAAGCCGCCAATTACGGCCATTGTGGCGAGCAGGTAGATAAATCCGCCGAGTTTCGGCTCGGATTTCGGCCGAGGAATGGCGGATTCACTGTCCGCAACCTGGAAGAGACATTTGGATAATTTTAAAACTGTCTTTGATTTTTTGGATTACTGTAACAGTAATTTTGCTCGTTTGTAACTATCAGGCTGTCGAGAAAATAATGAGCACATTGTCGCTGCGCGATTTGTGTCGCTGAATTGAAAAGCAACTTGTTTTTTCCGTGCACACAAGTAACTTCCTCGGCAGCAATGCGATTTTTGATGCGACAGAATGCTTATTATTTTCCCGACAGACTGAAATAAAGAGATTTAGACGGCACTTGGACTTTCTTAAAACTATATATGGTTGGCTTGGATCCTTGTAGTTCCTTTTGTCATCATTTTATACCCTCATCTATAACCCTCTGTAACTTCGACTCACCACATTCATAGCCACCATTTTGACCGCGCTGTCCTTTAACTTTTCCCACCAATCCAATTGAACCAATATTTACCCAGTTCTAACTACAAAACTCTATGGTGTTGAGGCCTTTTATACCTAAAAATTTCCAGATTATGTAAGCATTCTCATAGATCGGAGAACAACAAAAAGGCATGGGCGTCACATGGTCGGTGCAAACAGAGGGCACGCCGGATGTGTCCGCAATTAAAAACACAGTTCCCGAATATGTATTATCAGCGCGCTTCCGCAAACGAGCAAAAGAATAAGAGTTTCCTTGTTTCAATGTTACATATATCATGTCGCCCACGTTTGGCCGTTTTGTTGGAGAATTGGAGGGTCTACTGATTGAAATTTGAAGTAAAAAAAACACATTAAATATGGTCGCTGCCGCAAAAAAGAGGATCCATAAGCATTGCCGCAACATGGCCGCCACCAAGTTCAAAATCCATGCTCAAGTTCACAAACAGATCCAGTTAAAGTTCAAAATTTTTGAACTTTTGCGAGGTACTTCCCCTGTCAGGCACGTCCTATTTTGGTTTCAATAATTGCAAATATAGCCTGCGAAAAACAGTTCCCAAAATAGTACCCACGACTCAAGATTAGATGTTTACCACCGGAAGATCCTCATGTTCTATTTACGTTATGTTTTGGATTTTGCATTTGAAATAGAGTCGGTAAATGATATATATACGGAGATTGAGTTACGAAGAAAAATAAAGACGTCGTTTTTCGGATGACAAATACGGAAAACAACTCCCGTAAAACCAAATCTGGTAGTGGCGAACAACTTCGGAGAGCTAAGGTTACAGTGAGGGACCTGAGCCAGTGGCAAAAAGCGTACCATTTTGCATCCGGGAGGTATCAAAAATGCGGCAAAATGCCTCTCTCTCCAACTAAAAAACTCCGTTTTGAACTGCGCGCTCTCACAAAAAGAGTGGCCGCGCTTTTGAAATCGGAGTTTTTTCACTTGGAGAGGGAGGTATTTTGCTGCATTTTTGATACTTCCTGCATGAAAAATGGTACGTTTTTGGCCAATGGATCAGGTCCGCCACAGTAGAAAAAAAGCGTACAACGAAGCCCTTCTACGTCTAACAAGACCGTTTGCAAAGTCGCTGAGATTATTTTGGCGATGCACTGTGACAAAACAAAAGTTCACCATGCAATTTGTCGCTTTTTGCAGCATGCAATAAGCCTTTTGGAATGTCGATTTGCGAACGGACTAGTAAAAAATTCAACATAGCCCATGAAACAACCAACACTTTCATCCAACATTTCTTGGATTATAATGTATGCAAATTATCTACTTGCGGAAGCAGGACGCCCTTCATACATAGAAAGCGCATGTCAACTCTAAAAATATTCAAAAAAATTTCGCCCGGAACATCAAAAACAAAATTCCCCTCTATAATTTGATTGTCATTTGACGGAGAAATCCCCAAAAAGCAGGCGCATAATTCTCGATGCTCATCAGTTTTTCGAGTCTCATTATCAGCGGCGAAAGAGGCGGCGAACGCGTGGTAATTAAAATTAAGAAACCAAATTATCATGGCCGTCAAATTCCCGGCAGCTCATCTGTTGGTAAAGTGCATGAAACGCGGCTGCAAGTGGGGCAAAAATTTTAGCCTTTGAGGAATTTTTTGGGCAATATAATAGGCGATCAGAGCACAGACTTTTAAAGAACAAGGTACAAAATTAGACTGGCGTTGTCTAAAAAAATACATCGAATCTTGTAGTCTGAATTTCGAAGAAATTATCAGACTTTGATTTCAATGTTTAAATAAAAAACTCTTTCCGCCCCGAATTTGCAAAGATAACACAAAAAAAGTTTTCTCTGTTAGACTCTCACCCTTTTCCATGGTCTTTCGTCTGCAAAAAATCATTTTAAACCCGCTTTGTTATACGGAAGATAAATCACTTTTACAAAATGCTGGGTAAAAAGATATCATGAACTGTTTTTGACTCAATTTCCACCGAGTACAATAAAAAGTAATACCCCTGCCTCCAGAAATCACTTTTCCCGTTTTCGTTATTCTTGTTATCAGTTGGAGAAGAGGAAGCCGGAAAGAAAGCAGCTAACAATGTGCTGACAATACTCTTGCTGATAAGTTTGCTCAAGATTAAGTTACGCTCGGGTCACTCACAAAATAGAAGGATATTAGTACGTAATATTTGCAAGAAGTATATACATGGTAATAAAAAAGCCAGCTAAAAAATTGCTTTTTTACCTATGCATTAGGCCTAGGCTACATATCAATTCCTAAAAATCTTAGCTCATGCATTGCAGGGGCAGTCGAGATAGTAAACGATCTTTGCGGACGAGAAAGCGCGTGAAACGCGGAGAACGGTCAGAGAGAAAACCACTTCTTCGCCGGCCAGTCATGCGGAAAAAAATGTCTTTTTTTGAAAAATTTCCCTTGCCGTTAGAAATGGGCATGAAACTTTTCATGCCAAAATTAGCAAAAAGTCTCTATTTTGGTCAATTTTCAATCTAAAAATCACGGGCATTTCTACAAAGTGCGACATAGCAGTCTCGCATATGTCATATAAAAAAAACTATTCTAAATCTCCGCCAAGTTTTATCAAAATCTGAGCACCGCGCTAGAAGTATATACTTCCACATTAAACCCTTGCAGGAACCACCATCTTTTTACGACAGTCCGTCTGTACATTTCGCAGTCCGCCCAAAAAATTCCTCCTACATTTTGTTATCAGAGAAAAGCATCATCTTGACATGGCCACCAACCATTATTCCGCTGATTTTCTTATCGAAAATGCATGGAATTTGCCCATTTATAAATTTTTAATCCCAAAAAAGGAATTCATTCGACGGGAGAAACAGAATATAATTCCCGATCACTAACGATAAGCTGATTGTTTGGGGAATTTGATTCCACGAGGCTCCGTTGAGGTTTATGAGCTTGTGACTTAAAAGCTGCACGAGAAAAGTCCGCAACGGAAAATTTAAACGTGAAATTTGCAAATAACGAAAAGAAAAAGCCGGAATTTTTCCGACTCAAGACGGCCAAAAATTGACCAAATTTGGGGCCAGTAAATAAAGTTTTTCCCCTGACTAACCTCGAAAGTACAAATAGCCAACACAAAGTGCAAAATGAATTTTCAAATAGTCCCGTTTCCCTTTCCTAATCCCAATCACGAGGTGCACTTGAATCTGCAAGGTTATGAGAGTTGCATAAATTACAAATTTATGAGATCGAGTTTTGTATTTTTTAATGCAAACACACACTATGAATTCATCACAAAGCCAGCAGTGAGAATGCACGTAGAACAGGCTGAAGCAATGTCAGTTTGTCGGGAAAATAATGAGCACATTGTCGCTGTGCCAATCGCTTCGGTGAAGTGAAAAGCAATTTGATTTTGCCGAGACAATATTCATTTTCTCGGTGGCGATTTTCGATGCAACAAATTGCTCATTATTTTCCCGACAAACTGAAAGTAGAGCAGCGGAAATGCAATGCTCATATTTCGATGAAAGATGGCAAAATTTTAGAGTAATTTTCCCCGCGAATTTGGTAGCAATATGATCAAAAAGTATTTGTATACTGGTTGACAAAATTTTCTTTCCGCCTCGTATCTCGGGAACCGCTGGGCCTAGAACCTCCAAATTCGGCATAGAAACATCCTAGGACAGTCTAACACCATGCCCAAAAAATCATATCATTTGATGCACTTTACATGCCCTTTTTCCAAAAAAGGCAAAAATCCGGATGACAAAATTTTCTTTCCACTTTGGAAAAAACGTTTGTAACTCATAAGCCAGAGGGTTTTAAGGCATGATTGTGGTATCGTTGTGTTCGCGAAGAAGTCCTCTCTCGATTGGTGTCACAACTTACGGGGGTTTTCGTTTCTTCGCCCTTGGGCGTCGGCTCATCGTTGCCTTGTCCATTTTCAGCCAAATTCGTGGCCAGAGGAGCTCGCATAAGGCATAAGAAGAAGAAAATGCCTTTAAAAAATCTCGCATTCATGTTTGCAACATTGTTTCCTCCGGCAGTAGAATTCGATTTAATTTAAGTGTGTTGCAAGGGAAAATGAGCGCTGCCTGGGTCCGCAAAACCGACGAATCACTTCTGTACAGAATGGAAACGTCCAAATTACATCCATTTTCGCTACATACGGCGTACTTTAGGGCTTATACGACAGCATGTGTTGAAATCAACCAGCTTATTTTACCCCTCTCTGGTCTATGTCGTCTCAAGTAACGCAGGTTGTTGCACTAGCCCTTGGCATTACTTAAGCTTGGTATACTGCGACTTTTGGCTACCAGACTACTTTAATACATTGACCTTGACAGGCCTTCAACATTTTTTCCACGACGAATAGCTTTCGTAGGAAGCTTAGAGTCGCAAATTTTGTACATGGGGCATTTGGAACCTTTCTTCTGCTCACATCTAAGCACGACATCAGTGATTAAAATCGTCACTATTTTTTAACTCTGTAGTATCATAGAAAATATATAAGCAGGAAAAGTTACTTGAATTATCTGCAGTGTTCCCATAATAGCGTAATTTTCTGGTAACGAGAACCCTGGAAGCGCGCGTTTTCCCCTGCAACGCACTTAAATTAAATCAAATTCTACTGCCGGAGGAAACAATGTTGCAAACATGAATGCGAGATTTTTTAAAGGCATTTTCATCTCCTTATGCCTTATGCGAGCTCCTCTGGCCACGAATTTGGCTGAAAATGGACAAGGCAACGATGAGCCGACGCCCAAGGGCGAAGAAACGAAAACCCCCGTAAGTTGTGACACCAATCGAGAGAGGACTTCTTCGCGAACACAACGATACCACAATCATGCCTTAAAACCCTCTGGCTTATGAGTTACAAACGTTTTTTCCAAAGTGAAAAGAAAATTTTGTCATCCGGATTTTTGCCTTTTTTGGAAAAAGGGCATGTAAAATGCATCAAATGATATGATTTTTTGGGCATGGTGTTAGACTGTCCTAGGATGTTTCTATGCCGAATTTGGAGGTTCTAGGCCCAGCGGTTCCCGAGATACGAGGCGGAAAGAAAATTTTGTCAACCAGTATACCTCTGACCGTTCCCTGCACTTCGTATTTTAAGGCAATCTTTCCATAACAAACAAACTGTTTTGGCCGTTTTGGATCACTTACTATGTATAGAAAACAATGACTATTCCATTACAAATTCCCATGTACACATAAACAGTAATAAATATTCCGGAAAACTAATAAGTTCACTAAAATCTGGGTGATGTCCTCACATCGTTCCCGAAGATCATAACGTGGGAAATACGGATAAACTATGGGTATTTTTCGTTCAATCTTTTGCGAAAATATCAAAAAACATGCAGCTTGCTAGCATTCCGTATCCCAGTGCTTGAACAATAAATAAAAACAGAGAAAGGTTAAATGCACCAATGTTTTTCACAACTTCTCCAGGAAGAAATATTTTTTTGAGAATTTGGATATGGTATAGGGGCAGATAAACATGTCCTCATAAACTTGGAGCAAGCAAGTAGGAAATTGGTAAATGCAGCTGCAGCTAAAGTCGCATAGTTTCTACATTAACAAAGGAATTACCCGTAGAAGTGATAAAATTTGACATTTTATTGCGAATTTTGACATAAAAAGTTTTATTCCTATTTCTACCACAAAGAGAAACTTTTCCACTAAAAATCAATTTTTCCGCTCTGAACTAGCAAAAATATGGCCAAAAAGTAGTTTTTCCTTTCTGACCACTTTTACTCAAAAAGGTGACACTTTCAGCCAAGACCGGAATATATTATCAACTTAACCCTTTGGCTTCAGCATGATGATTAATGAACCTCGCGTTTCTATTTTCTACCACAAATAATCAAAAATGATCTCTTGTCCCTAATTAAAAGGGTCGAAACAGCAGTAAAACAAAAGAAAGGCAAACAATGTATGCGAACACGTGTTCCGGGAATGTCAAAAACCCAATTAACTGCACGGCTTTATCACGCTTCTTTATGAGTTCATGCATGTTTTTTATGATCGTAAACGCGAGGAGAACATTTGATTGTGAGGCGGTTAATTAGGGCCGGGAAAAACCTTGTTGTGGGCAAAATAGGCCAATGTGCAAGTAATATTTTTTTGTTATGATATCAGAAACCATTGCTAGCAAGAACAGTTTAGTTTGCACTATCTCGGCTTCTCTGCCGAGATATTCAACGATCTTTCCGGACGAGAGAGTAAGGGAAAAGCGGAGAGCGGTCAGAGAGAAAAACACTTTTTGGCCGTATTTTTGCCAGTCTTGGGCGGAAGTAATTGATTTTTTGTGGAAACATTACCTTTTACGGTAGAAATAGGCATACATCTTTTTATGCCAAAATTCGACAAAAAATCGCGTACTTTCGATCTAAAAAATCTCGGCCGCTTTTGCAAAACGCAAGCTTGATATCCCGAATATTTCCCCAAAAAATAGTGCTAATTTTCATCAAAATCTGAGCATCTAGTACTAAAAAAAAAAAAAAAAAAAAAAATAAATAAATTAATGTTTTTCAAACAGAAATAAAAAAATATTTTCTCTTGTCGACTCTCATTTTCCAAACGTCCTCGTTTACAGGTCGTTGCATAATATGTTATTGCAAAAGAATGTAAAATTCGAATCAAACGTTTATGTACACGCAACAAACATAAAACTTCCATATAATGTATATTAAAAGCAATCATCGAGTTTAAACAAAGTAAACCGACTAGAAATTCCGAAAAGGCTCCTACAATCCTACAAAAAAGACAATGTAGAGATTTCTACAGCTCTGGGACAAGTCCAGTTGAAAGAACGTCGAAAAAATAGACCAAAATTCTCCTAAACTTGGTATCAAAAAGGGTCAGAACAGTGGCTAAAAGGGTTCTTGATACCTTTTGAAACAAAATTCAGACGCATCTCACTTTTTCCGTCTGTTTTTGTAAACCAGAACCAATTGGATACTTTGGGCCTAATGATCATAAATAGGGTAAGAACCCGTGTTTCTTGTGTCTTCTCCATCCTTGTACTTGGTCGTCCTCATAGTCTCAAACGATGCCTTCATATTCTCGACCATGACGGAGCGTGTTTCGGCCGCCATGAACAACTGTTCAATCTCGTCCAAGGAGCAATTCATCGTCTCGGGGACGAACTTTTTGAAGATCAGGAACGCAATCAACGCGATCACCGAGTAAAGATAGAACGTTCCGAACCGAGACAGCACATTGGTCAGAGACAAGAATGTCAACGAGATCACCAGGTTCGCGGACCAATTCACAAAAGTCGTAATCGAAACACAAGTTCCGCGCGCCCACAGCGGATAGAACTCGGCGTTCAGGACCCACGGGATTGGGGCGAATCCGGCGCTGAAGAAGAGCAAGTAGACCACCATCAACGCGAGTGGGGCCATTGTGAATTTCGTCTCACAAACTAGATCCGACCAATCGAAGGCGATCGTTGAGTTGTCTTTGATCGAGGATTTGCAGAACCCAGTGGAGGATTGGATATCCGGATGGAGCGGGTCCAAGGGCAGACAAACACCGACTTTGGCCACAGTCAGCGGTGTGCAGAATCCGCAGCGGTCGTCGGTTACGCAGAAGTCGCAATTACTAAATCGGAAATCAGTTTGGGGATTTTGGAGTATTTTTAGGTTAATTTTTGTAGGATTTTACCAGAGGATAGACAGAACTAAGCTTCCAATATACAAATGTGAGCCATAAGACAAACAAAACAACCATGACGTCAACGTACAGACGTCTCCAGAGGCAACTTTTTTCCACGATGAGTTTTATGTATGTATATCAAAAAAGGAAGACGAAGAAAAGGGCAGATAACCAAGACTTTTCACCTCTCTTAAAGCTTCCTGTAACGTAACTCCTCCCACCGCCTACCCCCCTTTTTATCTTCCACAAAATCTTACACTGATTGTGAGCCAACCACCCACTCATAAGCCTTATAATTAAATTCTAACCATCTAAATTCATCTCCTCAAGCTTAAATACCCCAAAAAATACAAGCCCTCAGTCGGCCTCCGATTTTGTCATCCTACAAAATACAGCCCAATGGTCTTCATTGTGCTACCCGACCTGCTGTTCGCGAGGGTGCAGTCCGAAAGTTTTTGCTTATCGATCGGCGTTTCGCAAAATATAAAGTATAAGATCGTGGGGCTAACAAGGGAATGGTCTGAACTTCCCCCAGCGTTAAGGAAAATGACTGGTACAGGTGGATAGAGCAGGTCGACTATGGTGAAAAAAGGCAATTTCCAGCTGCAAAATAAGCATGGCCGACGAGAAAAATCGACCGAAAGTTCCGAAAAAATTTCCTCTCTCTCTTCCCTCGGAAAAGAAGAAGAGCTTCCAGTGGTTCGGTTGGTCGAGTGGATAGAGCGTCCGCTCGATATCCTTTTGGGGGTTGGTTCGATTCCGGGGCAGCGCGAGTGGCTATGGTAAGGCTTCAGTGACAAAGATAAACTCTTGTGAACCAAAAAAAATATATACTTTGCAATTTTTTTCTAGAGATCATAAAACACATAATAATAAAGGATTTTTATGTAAATTCCTCCATTTTTTCTGTAAGATTCCAGAACGGTTCCAGTCATATTCAATAATCTAGTCATGGACTGTCTGTTTTCCGAACACTAGTGGACGTTTGTCAAAACCCCCGATGTGATCAAGATGTGCTTCAGTTTGCTCCTTATTGGAGTATGATTGGGAACGTTCTGAAATCTTCCAGAAAAAAAATTGGCTGAATTTACATGGAAATCCTTTTTTTATGTGTTTTATGATCTCTAGAAAATCTAAAAATTGAAAAATAATTTTTTTTTTTGGTTCATAAGAGTTTATCTTGGTCACTGAAGCCTTATCATAGACTCGCTCTGCCCCGGAATCGAACCAACCCCCAAAAGGATGCCGAGCGGACGCTCTATCCACTCGACCAACCGAACCACTAGAAGCTCCCCTTCTTTTCCGAGGGAAGAGAAAGAGGAAATTTTTTCGGAACTTTCGGTCGATTTTTCTCGTCGGCCGTGCTTATTTTGCAGCTGGAAATTGCCTTTTTCTACCAAAGTCGACCTGCGCTATCCACCTGTATCAGTCATTTTCCTTAACGCTGGGGGAAGTTCAGACCATTCCCTTGTAAGGAATTTTTTTAAAAACTAAAGGAATGAGAATGGTCATCAAATTGGACAGGAAAATTATTTCCACCGGAATGAGCTGATAAGATTGCGTTTTCTATGGTTGTTATGCACCAACTAACAGTGATTTCTGATGACAAATACGGAGAGATAAACTCTTTTCAAGTCATAAAAATTTGCCATTGTGGAGCCTACTCTGAGCTTGCGAGAGATGTCTAATATTCAAAACCTGACGAACTACTGATGCGCTCTAATTGTAAGTCCAAGTTTATAATGTAAAAGGGAAATTTATTATCAGTAGGTAATTGCTGAAATATATTTCAGAAGATTAGGTCGGCCAAAAAGCCTTTAACACCTTTTGCAAATGTGTAAGGTCAATTTTTTCCAGCGCCGATCTCTTTTTACCCCGCCGACTTAATTTGGACCAGACCGAAACTCGAAAACTGCAACCTCTACGTCTTCACCAGTTGATTCCATGTTCTTAATATTTCCGCTACCCTGAGGCACAAAAATTTTTTGGAGTTTTTAATTTCAGCTGCAGGAAAAGCATGAACCAAAAACTATATTCCATCAATACCTACAAGCTTATGTATCCCATTGTCGCCTCGTCGCTGTTGCGCCCCTTGCCCCTAGCTTACATAATCAGACATCAAACCATCAAAATCAGACATCAAATGAATAAAAAACAACAAAAATGAAGGGTTTTCGGAACGTTTTTTTTTTGAAATGCGCTCAGACCTCATAACTTTCACTCCGTTCGTTTTATTTTTACAACTTCGAAAAGCGAGTGGATTTAGGTAATCCCTCAACAGAGTAAATGAGCTTTCAGCTCGGAGTGAATCACCTTGAAATCGGATTTTTGTCTGTTTTGATCAGAGAGCTGCTCAACGTCTGCATTAAAATAGTGGAAGTATTCCAAGTTAGAGGTTCAGACTTTTATGAAATTTGGCGCAAATTTAGAACAATTTTTCTAAGACATGCGAGACTCCTAGCTCGCGCTTTGCAGAAACGATCGAGATTTTAAGATGACAATATGGAAAAGCGTTACAATTTTTTGCGAGTTCTATGATGAAAAGCTCATGCAAGCTATGTAGAAGTAGAGTTGTTTTTCGTGGAAGTAACTCGTTTCTATTTTTGGCCAATCACGCCTGGCCACGTTCTATATATTTATATGGCATCTTCACCTATAAGAATGACGCTCCTCAATCCCCAAAAGACCATCTAATAAAACGTCCCGCTCTAACAGACCTTACAATTGTTAGTAGTTTGAATTGAACCTTTAAATTCAAAAATTTGTCGCCTCTAACTGTTTGTTCAAACAAATTCGAAAAAATGGAACAAATAACCATAACAATCCGAGTCGAAGATTAATAAAAGCGTCGGAGGGAAAGTTTACATTACTACAGAAAATTTCACGTGTTATTTACGTACCAAAAAGGGATTTCTTGCAATTTGTAATTTAAACGTTGTACCTATAGAATGGAGAATCATAATGGAAGATTGTTTGCAAATTTACTCTGTCATGTGATGCATTGTGAATTTTGAAAGGTCGAGGATGCGTAATCGTTTAGTGTGGAAACATGAGAAATCCAAAAAAAAAGGAATAGATACTCCGATTAGCTATTGCTATTGAAAAAACAACGTTGATTCATGATCCACAGGGGAGGAAGAGATAGACGTGCGACAGAAAATTTTAAATGAAGCTCGGCATGAATTTTGGCTAATTTTTTTTCAGACAGCGAGGCAGAAAATTTTACATTTTTAGATCGCAGACAGCGACATTTCTCCTGTAAAACCTCAATGGTTTCAAGTCAGGATCAAAAATCTTTTAGTTTTTGAAAACCCGAGTTCCAATTTGCGCCAACTTTCATCAAAATCCGACGTTGAACACTTTTTCAGGTGGATGACAAAAGCCTTCGCAGAATGAGACAACTGCTAAACCGCTTTCTCTCTTTCAGTACATAGTTTGAGACAGCATGTAAGAAGGGTTCCGGGAAGATTCAAACTTTGTTTCGGTCATAATGGTGAGGCACGCCATATTGTTTTTTTTTTGTCCTTCAACGTGCAAAGCCCAACACAGGAGCCAGTACAGTGGAGCAAAAAAAGTCCATTGACGGGCAACACGACCGAAAAGCAATTTGAATTTACCCGGAACCCCCATATCAATTCAACGCCATGACAAGAAAAATGATAAGACACGGACTCTCATAATCAAAACATTGTTCCCAAAATTTTCAATCTTAAGTCTCAAACTCTCACCTTAACGCCAAACAATGTTCTGCCAGCCATTGATCTCCATCCAGCGGCACCTTGCGTCCAACAATTCTTTCCATCTCGCCGTAGCCCGTAGTAGCCATGGTATCCCGGTTCACCATTAAAAATGCGGTTCCCAGCGCCGCTAGCGCCAACGACACTGTCAATGTACTGCTCAACAGCGCCTTACGTCTTCCGATCCGCTCCACAACCAGGAATGGGATTAAATTTCCAATGAAGTTCACGAATGAGATTACACATGACACCCAGATTGTTTTGTGATTATCCTTGATTCCCGTAGACTTTACTAGCGCTCCAGTGTAGTACCTGAAACATAGCGACCGTACACGGTGAAGAAATCCAATTTACACGGTTTGTTAGGTAAAAACGTACATGATTGTGTTGATTCCGGCCAACTGTTGGAACAGTTGTAGTGAACATCCAATTAACAATGCTTTTCGAAGATGAGTTGTGCGGATAATTTTCGAGAAAACGCTTTGATCGGGCTCTGTATGACTAACAGCGTTAATGGCGGCAATCTCTTGGAGTTCGTAATTTACCCACTCATCATCGCCGTAGACTTTCATCCACACCTAGAACATTACAAAAGTCTCTTCGATTCGACTACCGTTGGCGCTATACAGCCAATTTTACTAGCAAATTACGCCACACGATGACTATTTTTCGAGCTTTAGACGACCGTCCTTCGACATAGCTATGAATCAATTTCACTTACTGCTCGACTCTCCTTTTCTCCAACATGATTGTACAGCCATCTTGGACTCTCGGGTAGAAAGAAGAATCCAACGAACTGAATGACTGCCGGCACCGCCGCGAATCCGAACATCAACCGCCATCCCCAATTGTCATCATCAATATACGAGAAGCCCGCGGCGACAATATTAGACGCCATTTGGCCGAAGCAGACCATCATATTGAAACCGGTCAACAGTTTGCCTCGCACATGGGCCGGAGAGCATTCTCCAACATATACGGGGACAATCATCGAGGCAACTCCTGGAATATTTGGCAAGTCATTACTACTCCGCTTCATAAAGTAGCTGGAGTGATTTTTAGTGTCTGCGCTGTGCAGCAAACCCCAGGTGCGCGCGACGGGCCGAAAAAGCCTATCGCGGTGCAAAAAAATTTTTTTTTTTTTTTTCACATGCCGCAGAATGCACTGCAGCAATTTTGCTAACGGACTAGAATAGTCGCGACAGAGTGTATGAACAGCTTACCAATAGCGATGCCAAGGAGTATTCGCCCAAATACCAATATAATCTTATTAACAGCAGCACCACACACAAGAGCACCAATCATGAAGATAAACGAGCTTATGATAATCAGCTTTTTGCGGCCATACCTGTCGCCACAGGTGCCGGCGAACAGAGATCCAAGAGCGGCGGCTCCTAAAACACAAAAATGGAGATTGGGAACGCAAAACTGCAGCCATAAAAAACCCATTTATATGAAAATCCCTTACCCGGCGTGATCGCAACAATAAGTTCTTGCCAGAAATGCGTCATCGGCCTCATCCCCTGGTTATTTCCAACAAACAACATGGCCGATGAAACAATCCCAGTGTCATAGCCGAAGAGAAAGCCGCCGATTACGGCCATCGACGCCAATAAATACACAAATCCACTAATTTCGGGTTGTACACTCGGTTTCGTCAGGATGGGATATGATTTTGAGATCGGAGTAACCCCAACCATAATGGGCTAAAAACATGAACAGTGCTTTCGCAATGCAGAAAGTGCAACAATCAGCGAAAAATTCGACAAATTCTATACGTTTACAAAGGATTGCGGACAAAAAATTGTTGATAGAAAAGTTTAGAAGAATAAAATTAAACTGCACCCCGATTTAACACTCAATTTGACTCATAAGGAAAGGAATCTTATCAATAAATCTTTTTTTAAAATAAACTTCTACTGTTTTTCGAACGTACGGAACAGCAAAAGTTTAGAAACTGTCTGAAATATTGAATGCAATGTTTCATCACAAAAAGCCTTCTTTTTCGAATAAGCGGAGATCAGCCTCAAAACATTTGCGAAATTATGCAAATCAACGATAAATAAAAAAATAGCTACCCAATTTTGGGTCGTCATATTTAGCAGAGTGTTCGAGATGCCTTACCATTCTACCTTCCTATCTAGCATACATCCAGATTTCGGCAAATTTTTCGCTGACTTTGCAACCAAGCAGCTAGATGTTACCTGCCCGCTAGGGACTACCAGGCAGTCATAGAAATAACGTCTCTTTATCAAATCTTTGTCAATTTTATGCGAGAAATTTTCCGTTACGGACATGTGGTAATGGCGAAGCATGTCCCGTGTTTTTTGAGCCTGGTCCGGTTTTCTTCGAAGTCCCGGATTCGGAAAAAATGATAAAAATTGACCTTTTCTGCTCAATTTTTGCTTTTTCTTTACGAACAATGCTGGAAGCATCTGCAGGTAGGCTTATTTTTCGGTACTCAAGACGGCCAAATTATTCGCAATTCGACTTCGAAAACGCGGATTTTTCAAAATTGGCTCTTCACAGTTCTAAAAATTTTTTGGACTGGCAAGACTTTCAAAATCTTCAAGACCCGGACCGGGCTCGGAAATCGAAGTCCAGGACGGGCCAATCCGATGTGCAGCCACACTTAGTAATGACCAAAAAAACCCAACTTCATACCCTAAACAGCCCAATTTTCTTTTTTACTAGTTGCAATACAAATTTCTGATAATCTTTCAACATCATGCGACAATTACAAATAATAAAATGTGATTAGGAATCGCCCAGAAAAGATTGCTACCAAAAGTGCTGATAGCCTTCTCTTATCTTCGGGAATTTAAAAAATTACTGACAGCCACAAATAAACAGTACAAAAGAGCGAAAATTAGAACAAACGAAAGAATCGTTATTAATTTTAGCCATTAAAAAAATTAAAATTGTGCTTGTACCAAATCCTAAGGCAGTAAATTTCTCAAAACAACAGGATCCTTTTGGAAAACAAATCTTAGCGAGAACGAGACGACCATCTGAACAACATCGACATTGTGTAATAAACCCCGGAACATGTTTGTGAATAGGATTTAATGAGCGGCCAAAAAAATCAATTGTTTCTGATGGAAGACGAAAACGCTGATTGTGATTAATCGTGGTTAGCCGGCCATAGAAGTACGCAAATCGACCGCTTAATCAAACCTGATGCTTTTTCACAGTCTCTTGAATGATCTCTGAGCATTTCGACGAATCCGAGATCACAATACAAAACGTACGGAACCAACACAAGACTCGTAACAACGACAGCACAGTAAAATCTAGCCTCGCGCCCCGTGATTTCAAAGCATCCGGACTATATAAACCCTTCTACCTTAAGAAATCCATTGTTTCTTGTTCAAATATGTTAAAAATTTCTTCACTTCTATTATTCTTCAATTTCAGTACAACTCCAAGAAACACGATCAACCAGAACTGATCAAACACCCAACGAAAAAATACATTCCAGTACATTTCGGAGCATACTGTAGTAAACTCAACGCCCCCGGAAATGAGTAACAGTCCAAACTCGAGTCATTCAAAAATTACCCCCACACATTCACAAACAAAGCACTATTATCCTCGGCATAAGATCTCAACATTTTTTTTCAAAGGATGATTTGTGTTCCCCACAGTTTGCACTCAAACCCTAGCGCCGCCCATGGATTTTTCCCTGTTTAAAACTTGGAATAATCTGGAAATATTAAAAATCACAACTTCATTTTTTATTAGCTCTCACATGAGCGAACACCTCCATTCTTGCTAGATGGAGGGAGCGGGTGAACGGGAAAAGTGCGGAAAACGAACCCGCGGCTCTTTTTTGCGGGTATAATCGAGACGGCGACGGTTCTACGGTCAGGATCACAAACAAGGGGATCAAACATGTGAAGAACATAATCCACATGTGAATCAGCGAAAACGGAGGGGAGAATGAGCTTAAAACAGTCATCTCAATAGAGAAACTCGTCAAGGGCGTGCTGTGCCACTGCCAACAAAACTACGAAGACAACCCTGCATGCCATCAAACTAATCTTTTATATGGCTGTTAGGATTTTCGACATGATCGAGTCATTAAAAAGGTAAAAAAAAGTGATCAAAGATTGCTTTCGCTTCTTATCGAAAATACGTAAAAGATGCACAAAGATCCCTTAAGACAGGTAGAGAACTGATGGATTTGCGTGTTTTCTGAGTTTCAAAATATATATCCGGTAAAAAAAAGCGTTCCGGCTGTTCTCTCCATAAAACAAGTGCTCTTTCTATATGCCCATTGGATTTTTCGAAACCAAATGAGATCTAAATTTGATAACTCACTTCTTGGTGACTAGATCACGTCTATCACAGCAGAAGCGACTTCGATAAAAACTTGGACAACAACTAGTCTTTGTTCACATATAACATCAAGAGCGCTTTTGCCAAAGACAATGAAAACTGGTCAAAAAAATCAGACACCACATTAACAATCAAAGAGTGTCATAAAAATGAATTTGATACGAACTTTTAAAACTAGGTGTAATTCGCCCCTTTTTTATGCCGTTTTATTGTGGAGTAAGCTTACTGCGCCTTGTTCGAGTAGGGACCGTGAAGTTCATGAGATCATGAAACATCTCATAAATCACAATGCATTCATAGTGATGGCCATTAACATACACAAACCTGGCTGCATGGTCATTAAATTCGGTTAGCCATAAAAACCAAAATATACATTTTACAACGACTCATCAGTTACGCAATTTTGTCAAACTTTACAAAGTTTTTTCGAAAAATAATTTCCCTTCTGTTCGTAGTTTTGTCGGGGAATTTTCCAGAATAAATTCAAAGCCGTTTACAATATTCCCATCAATAGAAGATAAAAACTGCTACTTCAAACTTAATCTTCTTCCGGAAAATTCGACGAATTTTCTGGATATCTATTAGGTTGTCCCACAAATAATGTCGTTTTCGAGAGGGGCAGTTTCCAAAGTCTGTAAAAAAGGTAAACGACAATAAAATTTCGCAATATTGCATCGTTTTGTAGTCGAGAAGTCAAGCTTTCGTTCGATATATCGTTTGTCAAATTTGGATCAAATTAAACTTCTTTAGCCCTTATCCAAAATTATGAAAAAAAAGCCGATTCGTGTCGCCGTGTTGTACCTGCAAAAACAGGGTATGAAAGTTACAGGAGTTACACAAAATATCAACGGCGTGTTCGGCGAGTCTGATGTGAGTATGAACACGGTGAAACGATGGTTCAAAAAATTTCGATCTGACGGTGAGGGACCCAAAGATAAAGTCCAGCATCTGAACTTTATGAATTTACCCTGGGGCCATTAGTTGTCAGATATCCTAGAATCAACATCCAACGCGTCTCTGACATCGTATGGGTGTTGAAATAATCGGCGGCCAACCGTTGGAAGTCGATGGAATTCCAAAAAATGCTCGGCAGCTTTTTCCCATATTAATGGACCGAACCACAGAATCGACGTGTCACGTTTGTTGCTTTTGCAATCCGAAGAGCCGGGTTTTCTAGATCGGATCGTGACCCGTGATGAAGAGCAGATCCTGTACGACAATCAGGTGTGCCCAATGGAGTCCACCGAGGGTACCAACACGGCACTTGGCAAAGCGACCCCCCATAAACAGGGTGATGGGCACTGTTGGATGGTGCAGCATGGGTATCTCACAATGCAGCTCGTTGAAAGTTGGCCAAAATGTAAATGCTGGGTCATGCTGCATTCAGATAGGCAGCTTATGGCAGAATAAGCCTTTAAAAACACGCCGCGGAATTCCAAAAGTTCAAGACGACGATGCGCAACCCCACGTTGTAAAGACGACGCTCCAAAAGTTGAGTTAATGGGGATACGGGACTCTCCTTCGTCCGGAGTACTCGCTAGGCATGTCTCAAACAGATTGCTACCTTTCCAAGAATCAAATGGGTTTCATCCGTGGTAGGGAATTTATCAATCAAGACCCTGTTGAGTGGGCCTTCAAAAGTTTCATCGGCTCCAGAAGCCGGGGTTTCAAAGCCGCTGACAAAAAAATGCTTTCAACGCGTTGCATTAGCGTGGTATAACACATGGTGATTATCTTGATCAAAAATATTCTCGTTATTACGGTAAATTTCTTTGTACAAAAAACTTTTTGAAGAGCGACATTATTTGTGGGACAACCTAATATTTTTTATCAACCTTTTATAATCGCAAACCTCAAATTTAAAAGACCCAAAGCAACTTTTTCCCAAGTAACCGAATGCTAATATTTGCTACTTGGTTTTTAGAAGTTACTGAGCTTGCAACATGGCGAACTATGTATTGAATTTCATAAACCCCGAAAAATTTTTAGATCTGAATTTACATTAGGAAAAATGGGCGTAATATCCATTAATCAAATTTTTCGGTCAATTCGTCTTATTGATCTCATTGTCCTTTGCACTTCCTATCTACTTTAATTTCTTCGTAGAATTAGTTGTTTTTTTAGGTGTTTTATTCTTCACAGAACGAAAAAACTTTTTTCTAACAAGAAACAGGATACAAATTGTATTCGCTTTAAAACAAAAAGCAACACAAACAAAAAATACGTTTCCTTTTATATGATAAGAAATCATAGCTGATTTATCAGCCAAAATTGGTAGCGCTTGAATAGAATTTAGGCAAATTTTTTTGCCCTCCAGATAATGTCAATAACACATTTTAAAAATAATAACATTGCTTGCCAAATAAAATTATGCCGTCAGATCTCCTTTACATGCTTTAATTCGCTTTGAAATATTCATAGTGTATCATTAATACTCATAAGGTTACAGTTCTGAAAATAAACAACATCTCTTACTTTTTGCAAAAATAAACTGAAACAGAAACAGAAAGTATGCTAAACGCTAAAAAGACTACACTAACGAAGATATTGATGAAAGGTTTCAGTAATCGATAGGACATTGCTTCAGTTGACGCCCTTTCAGGATCTCGGCACGAAGACGAGTGGTGACATTTTTGCGAATATGTTGAAGTTGAGCTCTAGAAACGCGCAATATAATAGAAAAACGTCTCATCTTTCATGATACTCCTATTAAACTGTTCGAATAGACAAAATCTATCTATTCCGCCGCGTAAAGCATAAATTGTTGTATCGTCTATGACGCGTCATGACGTCAGACCTAAACGTCAAAAAAAAAACAACAAAACAACATACCGGACAGCCTCGCGGGTTTCAATGGACAATTCGAGATATGGAATATTGCTCAACCCCTTCTTAACATCAACGTGCTTGGCTTCCAATATTTTTAAATCCTCCGATAATTTCTGACCTAAGATAATAAAAAATAAAAAGTTTTCTTAACTCACATTCTGCATGGAGAGTTCGTATCCACTCATTTAAAACCTCGGTTCGACTCTCCAAATTCAGGATTCCCTAAAAAATGAAATAAATTTCCAGTTCAACATAATTTCATAACTAGAACAAGGAAAATATATCATAATCTTACGTCAGCTGGCAAGTCTAATCCTCCGAACTCCCCCAGCATCCGCAGCTTACTATTCTCAACCTCATCTCGAGCCAATTCGTCTTCAGAAACCTTCACAACGTTTTCAAAATTGTTTTGCAACTCGTTCAAAACTCTAAAAAAGACCAATATAGAATTAATCTCATCTTACGCTTGATTTTGACCGTCCATGCTCTGCAAATGAGCCTCAAGGGCGTTAGATTGCTGTTGGTTGTAATGCTGGCGTTGTTTTTCGCCTTGAACACCTAGGAAAACTGAAATCAAGAAATTAGAAAGTGAAACGTGCAAAAACTTTCGATTACAGCAAATTTTTGTGCCGATGCTGCAAAAATAAGAATATCAGAGTCGGAACAGACTACTCAGCAAAAAAAACGTCGAAACGTGCTTTTGCCAAATTCGCGAATTTGGCAAAAGCAACCAAAAAATGTGTTTTCCATGATCAACAACAACCAAGAAAAAAATCAAACCCGCCTTGAAGAATTTGCTGTTTTGTTGCCTGAAATTCCATTTCCGCCTTCTGGAGCTCTCGTTGCATCAATTGGCACTCTGAAGCCGGAAAAATATTATTCATGGAGAATATAGCGGGACCTACCGTCCTGCAGCTTCTTCGCAAAGCTTGAGTCTTCCATTCTTAAGGAGAACGTGAACGGATTACTTACAAAAATTCTATAAGAGATGGATCGACCCAAAAACTTCGTCAAGAAATTTACAAGGCCTAAACGGAGTAGAACAGTTGACACATTTGCGCGAAAACGGGTCAACTATCGCCTCGGTCAAAGCATTGTTTTGGATGATCTCTCGGTCGAATGACCTTTCTTATTCAAATTTATGAGTGGTATAAAACCCACGCAACCATGCAGACGATCGTGTTAATCATTTCCGATCGTGGTCCAAGCCGGCTGTTCATTGAATTGAGGACACGAAAAGGATTCTCGCGGAATGGCGAACGAACAGAAAGGCCCAGTCGATCCGTCGATCGTCAACGAGCAGTATTATCACGGTAAGTACGTCAGAATTTTTTGGAGACTGAAATTTTAGGTCTGCTTCCTCGTGAGGACATCAAAGTAATGTTGCGTCAGAACGGGGAGTTTCTGTTGCGAACCACGGAGCCCACCAAAGAGGCGACGCGTTCCTACGTGCTCTCCGTCATGGTATATCAGGAGAAGGAGGAGAACGGTGTAAAGATCTTTCTCACAAAAGTTTTTACCTTGCATCTTGTGCAATGTTTGCTTTTTGCTATTTTTAGATCAAGCACTATGTTATCCAGAATCATCATGGTCGCTGGTCCATCGAGAAGTTCGGTTTTGACAGCATCAAGGCCATGATCGATTACCACATGAGCAAGGGCGATTCCATCTCCAAAGTTTTGAACAATGTTATTCTGAAGACCCCGATTTTGAGACAGAGCTGGGAGTTGGCTCACGAAGACATTCAGTGTGTCAAAAAGCTGGGCGAGGGAGCATTTGGTGAGGTGCACAAAGGGACCTTGAAGAAGTATGGCAACGTTATTGATGTGGCGATCAAATTAGCAAAGTTGGAGGCCTTGACCAAGGAGCAGATCAAGGAGATTATGAGAGAGGTAGGAGTGGGTGGATTTTGATGAAACTTGGAATAGCGGAAGATTGAAGTCTGATAGGGATATGGGAAAGATTTCACAACGTGTTTCGCCGAAGCAATTAAGATATTATTGATTTACTCGAAACAGATATTGCTTTAGATAATTTTTGTAAAATAGTTATAGTTTTGAATCTCTAATCTGACGAACAGCTTATTTATCACTATTAAAAACTCTTTCTATGCCTCTAGTATTATTCCATGACTTGCAGGCCCGCCTGATGCGCAACTTTGACCACGCAAATGTCGTCCGGTTCTTTGGAGTGGCTGCCGGTCAAGAACCGCTGATGGTCGTGATGGAGTTAGCCGACTGTGGTTCCCTCGACTCATTCCTCCAGAAAAATGAGCAACCCGTTGAGAAGAAGAATGAAATGTGTGTTCAAGCCGCATATGGAGTGGAGTACCTTCATAAAGAAAATGTGATCCATCGTGATTTGGCGGCCAGAAATTGTCTCTACGGAAACGGACAGGTCAAGATTAGTGACTTTGGGTTGACTCGAGAGGGAACGGTCTATCAGATGGATCCACACACGAGAGTGCCGATTAGATGGTAAGAGATTTTTTGGAGGTGTCATGGATAATATACGCAATGGTTTTAGGAGCTGAGATAAGGATGTGTCATGGTTCGTAGATGTGTTTTAAAATTTTTTATGACGTTTCTTGCCATTGTACAAACTTAGGAACATGTATTGTACAAAATATGAAAGTTGCGATATTACATTAGGTTCTAGTTAGGTATGCAAAATACTAATGTCAAATTCATTCAACTTCTTTCAGGCTGGCTCCAGAGACCCTTCGTATCTTCATCTACACTCAGAAGACGGATGTTTGGGCTTTTGGTATCATGTGTTGGGAGATCTACTCCAATGGTCAAGAACCTTATCCTGGAATGAGCCCTGGAGAGACTTTTGTCAAGGTGAATTTTTTTTTTTTTTTTTGAATTTTAGGAAAGGTTATGAGACAGGCTGACATCGACGTATACTGTAATTTTCAGGTCAAAGATGAGCAGTATCGCATGACTTTACCGCCTTGCACTCCACCTGAAATGGTCAACTTCATCACCAAGAAATGTTGGGCCGAAAACCCGAACGATCGCGCTTCTATGCAGGAGTTGGCCCATAAGTTGGAATTGTGGTGGAAAGTCCCTCGTGCACCCGCGCCCAGCAAGATCTCCGAAGTTTTCACCCAGAGGCCTTTGAAGAAGAAGAAGAACAAAAAGGGATAAGCTGAAGAAAATATGAGAATGGTGGAATAAATTTTATAGCTAGTTATTGTTTTTTGAACACTTTTGTCAACTTTTGATGCAATATTATTATCGGGCGGACGTAAGACGTAAGCATTAAATTGGGAAAAGTGTAACCAGTTTTTAAGCTTGACTATAAAGGTTGGACACGACAGTTGACCTGTCAAAGAGTTTCGTGAAAATCTTTCGGCCGAATTCCGCAATTTTCTCACATCTTTCATGCTTTATTCAAATTTATGAGGAGTAGGGGTATAAAACCCACGCAACCATGCCGACGATCGTGTTAATCATTTCCGATCGTGGTCCAAGCCGGCTGTTCATTGAATTGAGGACACGAAAAGGATTCTCGCGGAATGGCGAACGAACAGAAAGGCCCGGTCGATCCGTCGATCGTCAACGAGCAGTATTATCACGGTACGTCGGAATTTTTTGGAGTATTTCAAATTTTAGGTCTGCTTCCTCGTGAGGACATCAAAGTAATGTTGCGTCAGAACGGGGAATTTCTGTTGCGAACCACGGAGCCCACCAAAGAGGCGACGCGTTCCTACGTGCTCTCCGTCATGGTATACCAGGAGAAGGAGGAGAACGGTGTAAAGATCATTTTCACAAAACTTTTTACCTTGCATCATGTGCAATGTTGTTTTTTGCTATTTTCAGATCAAGCACTACGTTATTCAGAATCATCATGGTCGCTGGTCCATCGAGAAGTTCGGTTTTGACAGCATCAAGGCCATGATCGATTACCACATGAGCAAGGGCGATTCCATCTCCAAAGTTTTGAACAATGTTATTCTGAAGACCCCGATTTTGAGACAGAGCTGGGAGTTGGCTCACGAAGACATTCAGTGTGTCAAAAAACTGGGTGAGGGAGCATTTGGTGAGGTTCACAAAGGGACCTTGAAGAAGTATGGCAACGTTATTGATGTGGCGATCAAATTAGCAAAGTTGGAGGCCTTGACCAAGGAGCAGATCAAGGAGATTATGAGAGAGGTAGGAGTGGGTGGATTTTGATGAAACTTGGAATAGCGGAAGATTGAAGTCTAATAGGGATATGGGAAAAATTCAGAACGTGTTTCGCAGAGGCGTTTGAGGTATTAGCGATTTACCTCAAACAACTATTACTTTAGACAATTTTTATAAAATATTTATAGTTTTGAACCTCTCATCTGGAGAACAGTGTGTAAATTGCGCTAAAAACTCTTATGCTTTTACTATGATCTTCAGGCCCGCCTGATGCGCAACTTTGACCATGCAAATGTCGTCCGGTTCTTTGGAGTGGCCGCCGGTCAGGAACCGCTGATGGTCGTGATGGAACTGGCCGACTGTGGTTCCCTCGACTCGTTCCTCCAGAAAAATGAGCAACCCGTTGAGAAGAAGAATGAAATGTGTGTCCAGGCCGCATTTGGAGTGGAGTACCTTCATGAAAAAAATGTGATCCATCGTGATTTGGCGGCTAGAAATTGTCTCTACGGAAATGGACAGGTCAAGATAAGTGACTTTGGGTTGACTCGAGAGGGAACGGTCTATCAGATGGATCCACATACGAGAGTGCCGATTAGATGGTAAGGGATTTTTTGGAGGTGTCATGGATTATATACGCAGTTAAGTATACAAAATACTAATGTCAAGTTTTTCTTTCAGGCTGGCTCCAGAGACCCTTCGTGTCTTCATCTACACTCAGAAGACGGATGTTTGGGCTTTTGGTATCATGTGTTGGGAGATCTACTCCAATGCACAGCATTCCGAGGTTTTTTGCCGCCACCGATCGGTGCCGATTTTCGCTCAAAATGACAACAGGGCTGCGCGCCTCGGCTGATAACTAGCTAGCCCAAGAATGAAAAAGAGTAAAAATTGATTTCCAAATAGAGTGAAAAAAGACCTATCCAATGATATAAATAGGTCCTATTGACTTTCTCCCCACAACGATCTTTTTCGCCTACAAAATTACAAATTTTTTTTGTTTATTCATGGATAAATGCACTTTATGAGGGCATAATTTTAAAAAAATGGTACCACTCGATAGCAAATAGCCTCTTCTATGACATATCCAAAAATAAGGGAAATTCTGGCCCTTAGGGCACTACAAAATCCAAAAAAATAGCGTATTTTACGTGTTTTTGCATATTTTCCGGGATTTTTTGCACCGGATGCACAAAAATGAAAAATCGGCTGTTATAGCGTTGTAGTGCACACTCGACTACATATACCTGCCAAATTTCACATTTTCATCTTTACTCCACTTTGTGTTCTGAGCCGGTTTAGGTGTTAAGGCAACATCGCTGCATAGGGCAATGCCGGATGCCGATTTTAAATTTTTTTTTTTTCATTTTTGAGACATATTGCGTTCATATCAATATTAGATACTGATTTTTGCTCCAGATGACAAAATGCCCTTTCATAAATTGACGTAATGACACCAACGTGTTTGAGTTCAACATGACGAAAATAAGGGAATTTTTGTTTCAGGACTAGCATTTAGGTGACAGCAGACCTGCCAGAATATGCTCCGACGTTTATTTGGCTAGAAACAGGTATGGAATCCGGATGCAGCGACGTCCCGTAACACGTTGCACATATGCGATTTCACTTAAATTTACGTTATATACATGACGTTCAAAGTCAATACGACTGAAAAGACAGAAAATTTTTTTAAAATCGGCATCCGGCATTGCCCTATGCAGCGATGTTGCCTTAACACCTAAACCGGCTCAGAACACAAAGTGGAGTAAAGATGAAAATGTGAAATTTGGCAGGTATATGTAGTCGAGTGTGCACTACAACGCTATAACAGCCGATTTTTTATTTTTGTGCGTCCGGTGCAAAAAATCCCGAAAAATATGCAAAAACACGTACAATACGCTATTTTTTTGGATTTTGTAGTGCCCTAAGGGCCAGAATTTCCCTTATTTTTGGATATGTCATAGAAGAGGCTATTTGCTATCGAGTGGTACCATTTTTTTAAAATTATGCCCTCATAAAGTGCATTTATCCATGAATAAACAAAAAAAATTTGTAATTTTGTAGGCGAAAAAGATCGTTGTGGGGAGAAAGTCAATAGGACCTATTTATATCATTGGATAGGTCTTTTTTCACTCTATTTGGAAATCAATTTTTACTCTTTTTCATTCTTGGGCTAGCTAGTTATCAGCCGAGGCGCGCAGCCCTGTTGTCATTTTGAGCGAAAATCGGCACCGATCGGTGGCGGCAAAAAACCTCGGAATGCTGTGCAATGGCCAAGAGCCTTATCCTGGAATGAGCCCTGGCGAGACTTTTGTCAAGGTGAATTTAATTTTTTTTTTGGACTTTTAGGAAAGATTATAAGACAGATTGACATCGACGTATACTGTAATTTTCAGGTCAAAGATGAGCAGTATCGCATGACTTTACCGCCTTGCACTCCACCTGAAATGGTCAACTTCATTACGCAGAAATGTTGGGCCGAAAACCCGAATGATCGCTATTCTATGCAGGAGTTGGCCCATAAGTTGGAATTGTGGTGGAAAGTCCCTCGTGCACCCGCGCCCAGCAAGATCTCCGAAGTTTTCACCCAGAGGCCTTTGAAGAAGAAGAAGAACAAAAAGGGATAAGCTGAAGAAAATATGAGAACGGTGGAATAAATTTTTATAGCTAGTTATTGTTTTTTGAACACCTTTTGTCAACTTTTGATGCAAGCATGGGTGTAATCCGGGTCGGCCAGGGGCCTAAATTTCTAAGCCCTGGCCTGGAAAAAATTAACGAGACCTACCGTCCTGCAGATTCTTCGCAAAACTTGAATCTTCCAACGGGGCACGCGCGTGAACGGATTACTTACAAACAATTCTATAGGGTGGGCCACTCGAAACTCCCAACCACTTTTCAGGTATTTCTCCGTCAATAATGCACCAATTTCTATAAAATTTATATTAAGTTAAAGCTGAGACACCCCATTTCTTGTCCACCAAAAAAAAATATCCTGTCTAAGTTTATGGAGGTACCCGTACTGACCTTTCACATTTTTTTCTTGACATTTTCATTCCAAATTTTGGAAGAAGAGGAAAGAAGATTCATCTCAGCAGACTTCCAAAAACTATCCGAATTATTCCAGACCGAGCTGTATGGCATATTGCTAAATCTTTAAAAATGTATGTATGTGTATCCACTTAAAATATTGAATAATAAACGGTAAGCTTACGGTAAGTCCCATATTCGTATAACTGTCGGTGCCCAATTCTAATTACCTCGGGCGCAACTCGCAAAACCTCGCGAACCACTTTTTTGACCAACACAAATTGGCTTGCGACTAATCTTTCGACCGAATTCCGCAATTTTCTCACACCTTTCATGCTTTATTCAAATTTCTGAGGAGTAAAAACCACGCAACTATGCAAACGATGGTGTTCATCATTTCCGATCGTGGTCCAAGCCGGCTGCTCATTGAATTGAGAACACGAAAAGGATTCTCGCGGAATGGCGAACGAACAAAAAGGCCCGTTCGATCCGTCGATCGTCAACGAGCAGTATTATCACGGTAAGTATGTCGGAATTTTTTGGAGTATTTCAAATTTTAGGTCTGCTTCCTCGTGAGGACATCAAAATAATGTTGCGTCGCAACGGGGAGTTTCTGTTGCGAACCACGGAGCCCACCAAAGAGGCGACGCGTTCCTACGTGCTCTCCGTCATGGTATACCAGGAGAAGGAGGAGAACGGCGTAAGGATCTTTCTCACAAAAGTTTTTACCTTGCATCATGTGCATTGTCTTTTCTTTGCTATTTTCAGATCAAGCACTACGTTATTCAGAATCATCATGGTCGCTGGTCCATCGAGAAGTTCGGTTTTGACAGCATCAAGGCCATGATCGATTACCACATGAGCAAGGGCGATTCCATCTCCAAAGTTTTGAACAATGTTATTCTGAAGACCCCGATTTTGAGACAGAGCTGGGAGTTGGCTCACGAAGACATTCAATGTGTCAAAAGGCTGGGTGAGGGAGCATTTGGTGAGGTTCACAAAGGGACTTTAAAGAAGGGTGGCAATGTTATTGATGTGGCGATCAAATTGGCAAAGTTGGAGGCCTTGACCAAGGAGCAGATCAAGGAGATTATGAGAGAGGTAGGAGTGGGTGGATTTTGATACAGATATTACTTTATAGGGTGTTCAGAGAATTGTGGAAAAAACTATTCATTAATGACTTTGCGCTGGGTTGTCCTGTCCGAAAAAATTTTATTTTGCATTTTACAGAAAAGCCTTGGAGTTTTTAGAATCTAAATTTTTTTTCTTTTATCGGCGGAGACTTCCGTAATCCGCCTTGAAGTCGGCGGAATGTTTTTTTTTACAAATGCGGCTGCAAATCGTTGTGTGAAAAGAAAATGGGCGGAAAAAGATCCCCAAGATATAACATGACATTTACTCCAAATTTTTATGATTTGGTAGAGACATTTTTTAACTTCGGCGGACAATTTTTTTTCTTCGACTTTGGAAGGTCAAACCTGGCTAAACCCAAAACCTATGGCATCCCTAGTGGCATGGCGCCTAAATACGACTTATTACATCTTCGGCCAACTGGCGGATGAAAAACGGCAATTCGGCGGAGAAAAAATGGACCCATTTAAGAAATTATGATGAGAAAACTACAATTGTCGGTCTTATACGGCATTTATCAACCAAAATTCTTCTTATCGGCGGATGCTAATTTTCATAATTTCTTAAATGGGTTAATTTTTTTCGCCGAATTGCCTTTTCTCAATCGGCCGAACATGTAATAAGTCGTGCTTAGGTGCCATGCCACTAGGGATACCATATGTTTTGGGTTTAGCCAGGTTTGACCTTCCGAAGTCGAAGAAAAATCGTCCGCCGAGGTTAAAAAATGTCTCTACCAAATCATAAAAATTTGGAATAAGTGTCATATTATATCTTGGGGATCTTTTTCCGCCCATTTTCTTTTCACACAACGATTTACAGCCGCATTTGTAAAAAAAAACAACTCCGCCGAATTCAAGGCGGATTACGGAAGTCTCCGCCGATAAAAGAAAAAAATTTTAGATTCTGAAAACTCCAAGGCTTTTCTGTAAAATGCAAAATAAAAATTTTTTCGGACTGGACCACCCAGCGCAAAGTTTTTGATGAATAGTTTTTTCCACAATTCTCTGAACACCCTTTAGACAATTTTTTTAAAAATAATGGTAAATAGTTTTGAACCTCTAATCTGACGAACAGCTTATATATCACTCTCTATGCCTCTAATATTATTCCATGACTTCCAGGCCCGCCTAATGCGCAACTTTCATCACGCAAATGTGGTCCGGTTCTTTGGCGTAGCTGCCGGTCAAGAACCGCTGATGGTCGTGATGGAACTGGCCGACTGTGGTTCCCTCGACTCATTCCTCCAGAAAAATGAGCAACCCGTTGAGAAGAAGAATGAAATGTGTGTCCAGGCCGCATATGGAGTGGAGTACCTTCATGAAAAAAATGTGATCCATCGTGATTTGGCGGCTAGAAATTGTCTCTACGGAAATGGACAGGTCAAGATAAGTGACTTTGGGTTGACTCGAGAGGGAACGGTCTATCAGATGGATCCACACACGAGAGTGCCGATTAGATGGTAAGGGATTTTTTGGAGGTGTCATGGATAATATACGCAATGGTTGTAGGGGCTGAGATAAGGATGTGTCATGGTTCGTAGATGTGTTTTAACAATTTTTATGACGTTTCTTGCCATTTTACAAACTTAGGAACATGTATTTTGCAAAATGTGAAAGTTGCGATATTAATTTAGGTTCTAGTTAGGTATACAAAATACTAATGTCAAGTTTTTCATTCAATTTCTTTCAGGCTGGCTCCAGAGACCCTGCGTGTCTTCATCTACACTCAGAAGACGGATGTTTGGGCTTTTGGTATCATGTGTTGGGAGATCTACTCCAATGGCCAAGAGCCTTATCCTGGAATGAGCCCTGGCGAGACTTTTGTCAAGGTAAATTTAATTTTTTTTGCTTTTAGGAAAGGTTGTAAGCAGTGATTGCCACGGTCAAAATTTCGGCTACGGCTCTTAGCTCCAAGAGCCGGAGCCGAGGCCAAATTTGCAGCTCCGGCGCCCGGCTCCCACGAAAAATTTAAAAAGGTCTCCGGCTCCGAAGCGCGGCTCCCGCGCAAAATTTTTTTTAAAAATAGAAGTTATTAGTGCCAGAGATCATACACCCAACGTTTTTGCAGCCCAGTCGTATGCAACACATTCTTCCCAGTATTTTCCAAGCAATTTGGTGTAATAAGACCATGAAATTTTTACTTTTCTGAACGCTGAGAAGCCTGGCTCCGACTTTGGGCTCGGGAGCCGGAGCCAAGAGCCGGCTCTGGAGCCGTGGCAATCTCTGGTTGTAAGTCAGACTGACATCGATGTATACTGTAATTTTCAGGTAAAGGATGAGCAGTATCGCATGACTTTACCGCCTTGCACGCCACCTGAAATGGTCAACTTCATTACGCAGAAATGTTGGGCCGAAAACCCGAACGATCGCTATTCTATGCAGGAGTTGGCCCATAAGTTGGAAATGTGGTGGAGAGTCCCTCGTCAACCGTATCAAGGGACACCGGTCGATAATTTCGCCCGTAGGGTTAAGAAAAATAAGAAGAGCTTCCAAAAGGGATAAGTTGAAAAAATATGAGGATTGTGGAATAAATTTTGTAGCTAGTTATGGATATGATGTTTTTATCAGTCCTTTGTCAACTTTAAACACATTTGTATTGTCAGTGGGACGTTTTATCCGATGAAAGCTGTATGGGTTTTTGGAAACGCGGTAGTGCGCGTTGATCGGCCTGCTTGTTAAGGTTTGGGTGGTATTTAATGACAGTCAGGGTAAGGATTATATTTTAGCAACTTTAACGAGTTGCTGGCGCGATTGCTGTATTGCCCGTGATAAAATTTATGATTTTTCTCTATGTTGAGAGATTTTTGTTCGCCCACGGTTATTGTTTTCTTCAATATGTCGCTGACATTCTTTGAGGAGTCGAATTTTTGCCGAGCGACGTTTCATACGATCAAGTTATATGAATTATTTTGGAGGCTTCTTATTTTTTCGGATTTGATTGAAACCATAGGTTTATTGCTAACAGTAAGTCTATTTCCAAGTCTCGAACAGGACCTCGAAATGCGCATTCTGATCCTCCTTCTCTTGCACGTAGGGATTGGTTTTGAAGAAGACCGAGTTCGGGTTCCGCTTCCCCAATTTGACGATATAGATGCTGGTGGCCATGGAATAGCAACTCACAATGAAGTAGTCGACCTGAAAAAAAACAAATTAATATTTTTTTATAGGACGCTTTAAAAATTTTGTTGTACTCGCTCTTGTTTACAATGTTGAAAATTCCAGAATTTATTTTAAGTATTGTATAATATTGCGTGTTCAGCCGTTATGTGGATGTTCACAGTACTGGTCGGACTTGTTGTTCGCAGTGTAACTTCTAAGATGGTCGACTGTTAAGACTAAACGAAGCCAGAAGTGGTCAACGTAGTTTGAAACATAGAAAAATGTTTTTTTAATTTCAAACTTATATGTACAAAAAATATTTTTAGTCCGTTCCCCGAAGCTAAGACTACACTTATCGGTGACTGCTACGATAAAGACCAAAATTTGTAGTCATTACAAGTCATTTCAACTTTTTTTTTTGTTTTTTTTGTTCTACAATTTTTTCTGAAGGCAAAATAATCTTAAGCTTTCCAGTCTTGATTACAGAATGCCTGAGTAGAAAATAACATTTACAGTAATTTCCAAATATTTTTAGTTTTTCTTTTTAATTCGGTTCTTTGTAATTAGGTTTTTACCCCCTAAACTTTCAAACTCTCTGGTCAAAATAAAGTACAAATTTTTTCACCTGCTGCTTATTTGAAATTTTATTAAGAGTAAAGGATCAACTAAAAACGGGGGTTTAAATTGGATTACGAGCTATAAAAATAGTCTTCAGCGGTACTTTGAGGTGACAATCGGGCCGGGCCTGGGGAGATTTGAAAAGCCCGGGTCCGCGTCAATCCAAAATAGAAGAAAAAATTTCCCGCCCCTTTTTGGTGATTCGTTCAAAACAAAATGTCACTATCCTGTAATAAGCATTTTCTTATCTTTCTTCTTCCTTTTCGAGTAAAAGCAATTACTTCGGGCGAGAAAAAGTGCCGATAATTTCGCGACATTTCGTCTCTCTTTTAAATCAAAGAAAACAATACGAAGTTTCGAAACGGTTCAGGAAATGCGCTGGATCGACGTGCTTACCCGCTTCTTAAAAGATGTCCTTGATATTTTATCACAGGAACCTTTTACTAACAAGAGAAGTAAAGTGCGAATCTCGGATTTTCTTTAATTTTTGCGCACAAGCTGGGCATAGGCCACACATAAATTTATGAAAATTTTAGCTTGTGCTTTTTAGGGCAGCCGAGATATTCTACAATCTTTGCGGCCGACAAAGTTCTCGAAAGGAGTGCGGCTTGAGATATTTAAAACCTCTTTTTGGGCTTATCTTTGTCAGTTTCGCATGGAAAAAATATTTTTTTTTGTGGAAACATTACTCTCTACAGTAGAAATAGGTATAAAACTCTTCATGCCAAGGTTCGCCAAAACGCTTCTCATTTTTGCCAACTTTTGACTTAAAAATCTGCTATTTTTACGAAAATCTGAGCATCGCACTTGGAGCACTTCCCCTGTAAGTTTTGCATGAATTTGATTGACAGACTTGATAGTTGACTGTTTCTATGCACTCTACTCACCTGACAACAAGTCTGATAAACCGCCTCGGTGACCACTTCATTGTCCGGATAGAAGTGCAGGAATACCGGATACACACATATCGTTGCGAACGCTGCGACTAACGTGATGGCATAGCCTGTCAACATTGGGCTCATTAGTTTGGTTATTGCAGCTGTCTGTCGGATTTCGAAATTCTCACTCAAAGTTTGTCCCTTGTAGCATAGTTTAGGGGCTTGGAATTGAAGGAGACAGAGTTCCTGAAAGTAATACATGTTTTACGAATGTTGTTAAGATAGCAAGGTGATGTCATGGAAAAAATATCTACTAAAAAATATCGCTTGAGAAAGTGCAAGAACTTACGGCAATTCCAGTAGTGGAAGAAAGAAAGGTCAGAAAAAACGAGACCGCGAAGTACTCCTTGGACTCATGAACGGTAAAAATTTTGAGCAACTTCTGATCCATACTCTTGTCGGTTCCAAAGTTGAGGAAAATGATCGCTTTGATGACGATAATTCCAATGAGCAGGGAGATCTGAAAGAAGAAGTGTAAAAATTAATTCGTTGGCTTTATAGTGGCTTCTTTGGTACCGGTGGACATGGCTCCTGGGCCGAGCCGTTTAATTTTCTCCTTGTTAGGCGTGTAGTCTAGTACATGCAATACAGTGGGGGACCTGATCCAGTGGCAAAAAAGGTACCACTTTGCATCCGGGAAGAATCAAAAATGTGGCAAAATGCTTCCCTCTCCAAATGAAAAAAAACTTCGTTTTGAAGGCGGGTCATTTCCCTCACAAAAAGAGCGGGCGCGCTTTTGAAATCGGGGTTTTTTCATTTGGAGAGGGAAGCATTTTGACTCTTTCCGGGTGCAAAATGGTACTTTTTTTGCCCCTGGATCAGATCTCCTACTGTAATAGTTAGTAGTGCATGTCAGAAACTCCAAAAAGGACAAAATAGCTTCTAAGAAAACCCATCTTTAATTTGACCTTTGTTTGGCACGTTTACAAAACATTTCCCCTAATTTTTTCCATGTCAGTACTACAATCGTTTCCTTTTCTTAGTAAGCTCCGCGGCTTGACCTATCTGAAGACCATTGGCAAGAAAAAAATAGCTCAAGATTTTCTCCGAAATGCTATTTGTAACGAAACGCTACCTTGATAAAATCTTGACCAGGAAAAATCTTTAACCACGCTGAATTAACGTTGTTTTTTCTCTATGCTATGTGTAAGCAAGCCTTTAAAATCACCCTTACCGTCACTACAATTAGTCGCACCGCCAAGTCGTATCCTCTTTGTTCGTAAGACGACCGATCCTTGAACGCCACCCATCTCTCATAGCCCAGAACCAAGAATTTGACATGCGCAAAGGCGATTGTAATGTGGATGATAAAGTGCAAGAAGTACAAAACAAACGCTTCCCAGTACTTTTTATTGTCGAATGGCGTTTTGTCGAAGGGAATGATATGCACTAGCGGGTGGACTGTTGCCAATAAACTGGTCATAAAATTGGTTGCCACTAATAAGACCCGAAAATTAATATGCCATCGGGAAGCGCGGATAAATCGATGGCAAAATATCACATTGACGACGTAACAGAGGGCACCTGAAATTTATGTTTTATAGATTAAACGCAGACTTTGATGAAAATTGGTCAATATAAAGCATAACATATACCAAGGCATAAATTTGGCCGAAAACCCTTTCTTTGGCCTTGATTTTGTCATGGCTTTAAAGAAAAAGCAGCTTGCAGTTTTAGGGATACCATTTGAGACCTGAAAAACGCCTCAAAACTATTAAAAACAACCCCTTCTTTCAAGGTCAATATTTTTGTCCTAGTGATACTTTTTGATACCAAATTTGCTAAACCTTGTTAAACTAACATTTTGACTTACCTTGAACAATCTCCCCATACACAGCAAACGTATGAATTTTGTCGGCAATCATCATAACTGCACGATCTTTATCCGAAGCGAGTGAATCGTTAGGCAACAAGACTCCAAGCATTGCCGGCCCACCTCGTTTCGAGCAAACGACCCGCAGCCACGGAACTACGTGCCGACTACAATTTGAAGACCAAAAACTACCAGGGACTTCAAATCTACACTTTGTATTGTAACTTCAAATATAGACAATTGAACCGTGTGTGGTATGTTCAAGGGTTGGAATGTAGGTGGAATACGAGACTCAATGGTTCATCTGAAAGTGGACCAGACTTTAAAATGTTGTAAACACAAATGTATATTATTATCGAAACAGCTCGCACCACTAATTTTGCGTGTAAATGACAAGAAATTTGAGGATAAGTTGTTATTAGAGACATTTCTTTAGCGCGTCCTTTTGCAAGGGTGTTTACTGTGAGAGAGAAAATGATGTTATAACATGGATCATTGGGGTTGCTTTTCCAATTTATAAATGTTTCAAATCATAGTGAAAAAATGAAAAGATATTGTAAGGCCTGACATACGAACTGACTCAACATTAAAACCCTAATGTAAATATGAACCGGGATGCTGAGTGAACATGAAATTTGGCAAATTTTGGCCGTATTTCAATGAAATTGGAAAAACAAGGATGTATGAGATTACATAACATTTCACAATATGTGTACAAAATAAGGAAGTATAGGATTACGCAGGAGTGTGCTACATCCTAGACACCAAAAAGAAACTATTAACGCCTAAAGGCCAAATTTTCAACCCATATTATACCGTTTGTTTTTCTTGGCTAGCCGAAACAAAACTTGCTTCTTCAGAAAATAATAATTTTTAAAGTCAACGTTTTTTCTCCATAGAACTCTTGCTGATAAATTTTGACATCTGTCGTCTTTTGATCAATAGATGGTGTGTGGACCAGACAGGACCACACGTAGTAAATATAAATACTGCATTCGTTACGACATGTAACATATTTGTTGCAGAATGTTAATCATTCGAGGCAGGGGCGGGGCCCGCTGTTGGCTCGACCCGGGATCGTTTCCAACTCGTTCGGCAATGCCCCAGAGCCATGAGCAGTACGGACGAAACGTCTAAACGGCTCACAACGTCTAAACTGCGCATTGTCAGGAAATGCGCTGGATTGATATGGATTCTGTATTCTGCCCCGACATTGTCTATGAGCCGAGTTTTTCCTCGAAAAAGTCCATACATCACGGTTACCGTATTAGTATACTAATGGTGATAATATATTTATATCCACTTTCAGTAGGTCAAAAATAAAGACATAAAGTGAAGATTGTAGCCACTTAGAACTTCCTCAATAAAAACAGCCGTAAGCATGAGTTTTAGCCCTTTTCCGACTTGGCTACAGCGGCAAGGCACGATATTTTTGAGAAACAATGATCTATTCCCAGAACTGCATAATCTAAACTACCCATAAGCACGCTTTTAGGGACGTTTCAAGACAATAATAAGTATAAAAAAAGTTGAGAGTGAGTAATTCAAATTGCACCTTCCGACAGGTTTTGGATATGGTCCGCCTCATGGTATGACGCCGTTTATTTTCAGACCAAAAATGTGACTTGCCATAAGGAATGAGTTGAACGGAACATAAACTAATTATTTATTTCCGGAGGGTGAGTAAAAAGGGTGGTTACAACCTGGAGCTGAGACGGTAACCAGCGGCTCAAAAAAATGAAAAAAGTGAAGGATCTGATGCCTATCAGTCTGTCGGGAAAACAATGTGGATTCGTCGCGATTTTTACTAGTCTCGGTCCTGGGATTTTTTTGCGAGTCTACGCTGTGCATGAACCTGAAAAGTGCGTCCGTAGAATTTTTTTCGCCGGCGTCGCGGGTGCAATCCCCGAAAAGTGCATGTCGCTAGTGCAAAAACGGGCAATCGCCGCGGTGCGTGCGAAAAAAAGGGTTGAATGCACTGTGCAAATTCTACGGACTTTATGTCGCGACTAGTATTATCATCGGTTTGCGACGGCAACGGGAAGTTTGATGCGCGGCTGCGACGGGGAGGCATTTTGCTGTGGAAAATCCACGTTATTTTTTCGACAGGTTGGTATACTATAATAAGGTTTTAAGTGAGATTTGCGATAAACATTTTGTCGCATTCGGGTAAAACGATTCTTGCTAAAAATCTTGGCCTTAAAGGACCAGTCCGCTTACTATTAAATCGCCCTTTTACGGCTTGGGAAGCCAACCGTCACAAAAAAACGTTTTTGGTATTTTGCCGCGGAAAAAAATTAGCAAAATTGCAAGGGTACAAGAAGTACTGGTAAGTATCTATAGAATATAAAGTTGAAATGTTACCGGTACAATAGACAAAGGAATCTTCTGTACACTTGGTTTCCCAGGCTGTACAAAGCGCCATTCAAAAGTAGCCCTTTGAGACGTTGATAGCCATAGATACCAATGCAATTTATTGTAAAAATTTACAACACCAAAGAGTTAGAATTAGAAAAAGTTACAGCACTGTAGCCTCGTCAACGCCAGCAAACTTTTTTCGTCTCAATCTAACAGCAATACGTACACTCACATTTCTGAAATTGCTGACAAATACCATTCATTTGCATGCAAATTGCATCAAAAAAAAACTTTTCTGCTAAAGTCAAATAGTGGAAAAATTAATGTCGTCACAAACGCCGAAACTGTTTTCAATGTAAAAATGCACTTTGTAAACCTACATAGATCTTTTTATACGAAATTTCCAGGAATTTTACTAATTGGGAAAGTATAGCGCTCAGAGAACAACTCGCAGTTTTCCATGATATTTGCATGTGCATTCCGTCTAGGCCACACAGCAACTGTTTAGAACTTTACTTTAGGTTTTAAAGAGGCAACACATTAAAATGATCTTTGTCGATCAGAGAGTACGCAAAATGCGGAGCGCTCAGAGAAGAAACGTTTTTTTCTAATTGTCAGTGGAAGGTGGGTCATTAATAAGCAAATATTGTATGTACTGTGATGGACCTAATCCTGTCGCCAAGGGAAGGCAGAAATTTTACGGAAATTTTACTCCCTCCTGGAGACAAAATCGCACATTTTTGGCGGCTCTATCAAGTCCCAAACTGCAGATACTACCGGCAAAAATGGAGTGACCTAGCTTTCGCTGATGCCCTTTTAAGAAAAGGATAACCTCAAATAATGCATTACTTGTAACCAGAGATTGCCACGGCCAAAATTTTGACTCCGGCTCCGGTTCTTAGCAGCGCCGTAGGCGAGGGCAAATTAATAATATTTTTCCAAAAATAAAAGTTGTTAGTGCCAGACATGACCTACCCAACGTTTTTGAGCCAAATCGTAAGTACGCGACGCATCCTTCCCAGTATTTTTTCAAGCAATTGGTTTAACAAGATCACGAAGTTCACTTTCTGAAACTACTTTCTGAACGCTGCCGAGAGCCGTGGCAATCTCTGTTTGTAACTTATAATTTTGTTTCAAAATTTGATGACAAAGCCATTTCCTCTATCTTACCGTATCCCTATGTCATTTACTATATCAGTTTTTAACTAACTTTTTTAAACGACATCAATGGCATGACATAAAATTAGTTTGGCGAAAACAGCTATGTAATAAAACATGTTTATCGAGACAGGAGGGCAAGAAAAACTTTTTTTTGGATATTGAGTTACCATTTATAATTCGTTCTGGGTTTAGTCTACACAAGGTTTTAATAATTAAAATTCTTCTTACGAATAGGAAACAAAGAACGTCGTGGAAAATTTATTGTTAAAAACGTAAAGCGGAAGACCAAATTTTGAGCAAAAAGTGAACAATGCCGGTTTATTGGACAGTAGAAAGAAACAACAGAAGATGAACCGTAATTGAGTTTGAGTCCGAAACAAAGAAATTCCAGGGGGAAACATGTTGGAAGTTGCGAATAAAGCATGTTATTGCAAGAAGTTTAGTCAATATCTATTTGAGTCGCATCGCGATCAGTCTGTCGGGAAAGTAATGAGCACTCCGTCGCATCGACAACCGCATCGCCGCCGAGAAAATGAATTATGTCGCGGCAAAATCAAATTGCTTTCCCCTAAGCGGCGCCATTGGCACAGCGACATTGTGCTTGTTATTTTCCCGACAGACTGATATTAGTCATTCAAATTTAAAAAAATTGTTAAAAACTTGGCTAGTGCTGTAGGTCACAGAGATTTTTTAAATAAAGTACTACATAATTGTAAGCACACATGTGACCGCAAATTTTATGGGGTTTTTTGATACATTATCTCACAACAAATGGCCGATTTTCACCAGCTTTCGCTCCAAAAAAATCACGCATATTTCTGCAAACATACGGCTGGAAATTTCACAATGTTTTACTGCTAGAAGTGACAAAAAATTGTGCGAAATTCAATTAAAAGACGAGCGTCACACAATGGGCACTTCCTTTTCCAGCTATTTTATCACTAATCCTCAAAAAAAAAGTTAATGTAAACACATGTTTTCCGCAACAAGGAACCTCATAACAGCAGCTAAATTAACTTACCCATTAGTGTGAGGAATGATATCTTATAAACACCGAGTTGCTTTCGACACGGCACGAACACTAGTTATATATATCACATCATTCGTACGCAAGGTTTCAGAAATCTGCGACACCCACTTCGTTTACAAAAACGTTATCGTATATTCCGTTCAGCGAAAGTTTGAGACAAACTCTTCAAAAATTCCGAGGAATTCTGTTGTTCAGGTTGCATTATAAAATTGGATTTGAATTTTATGGAATGTATAATAATTCTCAGCGATTTCATTCTTCACTGAAAGAAAAAACATCAAATTCAAATTCATCAAAATAAAACATCACGCATTTATGATGTCCACGACATCAAAAGCTGGAGATTTTGATGTTTTCATCAAAAAAACTTTTTTGATGTTTGGGTTTATCAAATTCCAATTTGCCAATTGAACTCAAAGGGAAGGACACACATGTGCGTTTGCACAACAGAGAAAAAGGAAATCAGTCGAATTTCACTCTGTCGAATTTTTATAAAGTTGGTTGTTACACGATAAGATGCCTCATAAATTGTCGATTTCTTGTAAAAGGTCGTGATTGTCAGGGTTGTAGATCAGGTAAGCGAGTTTTGTTGTTGTTTTCTTTAATTTTTAGATCACTTATTTGGGCGACAATGATAAGCAGATGCTATAAATCGCAACGAAGATTGAGGTAAGCTTGTTCTCTGAATTATGTAATTCTTTAGAATTCAGATTAATTTTTTTATTGCTGGACATGTTATGCTTATCCGCCTTCGCTGGTTTGGACCTGAGCTTTGTGTATGTTGGACGAAGAGCATACCGCCTTCCCGTACGTTTATCCAGTCCGCAAATGCGTTTTTGACGACAAAATAGTCATACCGGAGGAACCAAGCGTTAATCGGACCTAAATTGTGAGTTTTTTTTATATTGTACTAGGTGTTTGGGCATACGTGATGGAAAATTTTGAAAATTCGGAAAATTTTCTGAAATTTTGTCCAAAAAGTTTTTAAATACGGTCTATGGAGCTCCCTGATCCAGTTTTCGACTGGTGATGGTGAGAAAATGTTTACAAAAGCGTCCAATTTGGAGTCTAAAATGTAAATTTAGCTCCCGGTGTCTCATGTTTCGCGAAGAAAAGCAGGTGGATGTCGACTTTCCCGCCAAATACCTGCTTTCACCCCGTGACGATCTTCATCATCAGTACTAACAGCCAATAGTCGAAGAGTTCGAATCATGTTTTTTCGGTAAGGTGAGCTGCGCTTGGTGATTGTCAAAATAATATTGTTTATTTGTAGAGCTGGGCCGTCAAGAAGCTGGATCACCAATGGAAAGACAGTATTTGACCGACCAGAAGCCGGAATTCATCAAACGGGTGAGTTATTTATATTGTAGTAGGTTTGATTTTTAGGCCATGCGATGCAGATGCCCGACGGTAATGATGGTGGTAATGACTTGTTCCGCTTCGACGCAATCAACCCGACCCTTTCTTCCAATCGTCGACTTGGATCAGCGCAAGAAACGGCCGTTCTATGGAGTTAAAAGCGACGTGGTCAAGGTTTGCTATGACTGCAATTTGACTTAAATTGTGTTTTTACAAACGGTTTATTCGAATAAATTTTGTAAATAGCAGTATTTGTTTGAGTTTTTGATAAATTATCCATCAGAAATATTTGATTTACCTAACATCAAAAATTTTTGATGTGCCCCACATCAAAAAAAAATATCGTATTTTTTTTCTTTTTGATGAAACGAAACATCAAAAAAACTTTTTTTGATGTTTTCATCAAACTCTAATAGACTGATGAAAAACATCAAAAATATATGATGTTTTTTATTTCAGTGTTGAATGTATTGGATATACGATGAAGCAGGGAAGTATGATAAATCATCGATTTTTATATTAGAAAAATGTGTTGCATGTGATTTGTTTTTCGACGTTTCGGGTCAACACGAAATTGATCGATACAACGAAGCCTAGGACAGGCGGAGACCCAGAAATCAATAATAGGAAATGCCTATGAGGCATCGAAAAGACGTTGGATGCTCGGCGGACGGTCGGCAAAGGCTCGGCGGAGACTTGGAAAAGACGGCGATTCAACTTTTCGGGTCAGCGAACAGTTCCGATTTCGATACTACGGATATCGTTGGTTTGTCGTTTTATGCATGGGGGAGGCTAGGAGATGGCTTATTGTTAGTTATCAGAAAAAATAGGATTGATCGAAATCTAGGATAGCTTATCAGCTATTAACTACATTCAGTCACGTTAAAAATAAATGATTTTTTATATGTTACAACAACTCACAGTAAGGGAAACTAACGTTAGTAATAACTAAAATTAGATAAAGTGGAAATATTGCAAGCCCACGCCAATTCTCTGCCAAGCCCTCATCGAGCGTCCGCCGACCATCAACCGCTTTTCAGGCCTCGTAGGCACTTCCTACAACCTTTTTTGGCAACTTGTCCTACACCCCGTATCGATCTCTTCTATCAGTCTGTCGGAAAAATAACGACGGATCGTCGCATCAAGATGTCTAGCCTCGCCGCTGTCGCGCACCAAATCCCAAGCCGCGGCTTGCAGTTGCAAAGCGATGATGGGCGATTCCGAGGCGCGACGATCCGCCGTTTTTTTCCCGACAGACCGATATATTGACCCGAGCTGCCGTTGACCCAAAAAGTCCTAGCGCCATTTATTTATTGCTTTCCAAATGATTGCAAAATATCTATCGATTTTAAATCAAAGTTTTCCACTTTGATTTTCAAGTCTATCCGATCTAAACTTTGATTTGCAATCATTCCCTTTCGATTCTTCGTCCTTGATTTTGTAATTTTAGCCAATTTTCCTGACAAACATTAGAAAACTTTAGAGTTTTCTCTTCCATCGATGAAAGTCGGAGGTGTAAAGTCATAAAACCTCCCTCTGCTTTCTTTTTTCTTTGTTTTCGACAAACCAAAAACAAAACATTTGACGATTTGAGTCAAAAAATTGTTCGTCGAACTTCCATCGACCAAAAAAAGGTCGTTGTTTTTCGTCGTAAAAAGTGGTGGTGAGTTCAAAGTTGAAGCGATAAGACAACAAATTAGTATTTTTCTCCGAATTTTTTTGAGAATGATGAAATTCGATTAAATCTTGCGTAATTTGATCAGTTTACTGTACCGCAGTAAGAATCGATTCGATTGGCTAGTCGATTTCTCTGAGATAAAAACTACTTCCTTGAGCAATAAATCGCTTAGAAATAGTTCGTCCCCGGTACTTTGGAGGGCTGGAATTTCAAGGGAATCGAAGCAAAATGGAAATGGAAAGTTAAAATGACAAATTAATCTTCTGTAAACTGTATGACGGATGAGTTCCCAAGGAATTCGATGTGTTTACAGTCGATAAAGCAAATTTTCAATCCATCAATTTGTTGAGAAAATTTGGACAAACTGTGAGTCAGTAATGAATAAAATGCTTTTTGATGACTAATCAGAAAAGTCATTGAATTTAGTTTAGGTGGCCACATAGTGACCCCAGAAAATTTTAGCCCAAAATTTGCAGCTATAGCCGAGCTATCCAACAATCTTTGTTGACAAGAGAGCGCGGAAGACGAGGAGGGATGAGAAGACGTGTTTCGACCAGAAATTTGTCAATTTTGCGAGGAAGTTTTTGTTGAAATAGTGCTCAATACAATATAGCATGAAGGCAGTTTTCCTTCATGTCAATGATATCGAAATTTCGACAATATTTTGACATGAGTTTTGCAAGCGCTTTGCTGTAAAAAACGGCCGAGATTATTAGGCCCAAGTTTTGCAAATTTTTGGCATTTCTTTTCAAGGGAAAGTTTGGAAAGTTAACATTCCTAACCGTCTGTTAAACAGTAATCATTCACTGAGCCAAGGTTTCCGCTAGGAAACGGAGATAAAACATTTTTCTTTCTGACAGCTCTCCCGATTATTTGTACCCTCTCTCTCTTGTAAAAATTGTTGGATATTTGGGCTATCTATGCCAAGTGCAGGCGCAGTATTCCATGGAAAACAAGATTTCTAGGCCACTTTTCGGCTTGAACCGTCTTTTCTTTGTTTTTTAATTGTCAGTACAACAATGTCCCATATACAATGAGGCCTGTCCATAACGAACAAATTTAACGGCCTTACAGATCAATTAAAAAAAAGCTTAAACGATTATATGTGTATGCAGATGTTCCTTTCGTTGCACGGAGAACCTTGCAATTCCTGAGCGTTTGAAGCCACTGCCAAACCAAGACTCTCCAAAGTTTTGTCACCGCCAAACGCCTTGCTCCCCTGAAGTTTCGAGCCATTCCTTCCGCAGGCCTTGATCGATCACTCGACCCTGTTTTTCCCACGTCTTACCCATCAGACTCCCACCCGATGAAATTTGTTATTTCATCGACAAAGATGTGGAACATTGACGAATTTCCATCAATCAGCGGTCAGAGTTGAGAAAGAAGGCAAACGGAAAGGGGAATCGTTCAGGGCGAAAAGTTTATGGCTTCAAGATAAAAATGGTAACAATAATATGTGCTGCGTAGTGTAATGTTGCTGTTTTTAGGCTTGATCATATGAGGGTTTATGTGATGGAGAGGTTCTTGTGATATCGTAGAATGTGCTTTAGTGGTTTTATGACAAAACTTGTGGTTTTTATCAACAAATTTCGACGTTTTTGGGTGTTATGGCCGCACTGTGGCATTCAGGTCTTGATGAAGCCTGGAAAAAATTTGGAGTCAATTTTTCCAAGGCACGAGGGATTGCTCTAGCTCTTGCTTCCACGGAATCGACCAGAAATTTCTAACTCTCTAAACTCTCATCTAAGAAATGGAGAAAACGATGAGAACTCAAAAAACGCCCAATTTTCGCTCCATTCTACCTAAACCATTCAATTTTCACTGCAAGGCGGAAGCTAGAGATCTCGCATATACCCTAAAAACTATTAGTTTTAATTTGGACCGAGCTGCTTCAAATTCTGGCCATCTCATTTTGAGGGTTTCCTAACAGAATCGCAAAAGTTTCCAACGCCGAAAAGAATACATAAATAATACCGTATGAATCCTGAAGAATCTATATGAAAGACTAAGCCTAAGCCTGAGCTAGGCCTCCGCGCTTGGTCACCGTACCCATTTTTAGCACTTTCCCTGCAACGCTAAAAAGTTTAATTTCGAAAAAATTTTGTTGAAATCCCAAAACACACCGCAAGTTGAAAATAAAAACAAAAAACATCCTCCACATTCACATGATTCCCATCACCATACGGTAACAAACACCTTCACGACTTTCTAGATGCTACTAATTGAAGAAGTTTCCCCAAGAATCGGAGAGAATTAAACTCCATCCGATCGACTGTCGATCACAGCCGCCGGGCAAGGTCGAGAAGGGTGTTCCAAGCGATAAAAACGTCGACTGTTGACGAGTTCATCGACGCAGATCAAAGTGGAAAGACAAATGGGGAAATTTTGGGAAACGTTCCGACGCTGAGCGGGCGTTACGGAAGGGTGGTGAGGAATACAGTTATTAGTGGTTTTGAGACGGTTCGGGCAGGTTGACGGCTGTTGTGATATGTATTTTATATTGGGGGAGGCTGATGGTTGTTTAGATTCGTTTACTTTTTGGGTTGATTTGTGGGTTTGATTGAATCGTTTGGCTTGGCCTTTATGGTAGTTTGGCTATATTTTTGTAGGTTTAATGACCTTGAACATAAAATTAGGAGCGTCCAGAGCACGATGCTCCGGTAGTAACTGCCTCTGTAAACAAAATTCTAAAGAAATTCAGCAGAGACGGTGAGAAAAGCGGACTGTAATATCTCCCTATGATTTCCTGGGGCAACAAAAATCGAAGAACATCTTGATTGCGTCTACAAAGCATGAGCTAAAACTTGAAGTAACTGGTACTTGACCTATGTACAATGCGTGGGAAAAATAAAAGAAATATCTAGGATTCGTACAGGTGAGCATAAGCGATCTCTGTTTGCCTCAAAGATATATCCGTATGTTACGCTCCCTGCAAATCCCGAGCCAAAATTTTCGAAAGTCCGTTGCTATCTAGGCGCAATTCATCTACAAAATTTGTCAAAAATATGTCTCTAACAGCCCTTTCTAAGACCTGTCTGTTCAATACCGATTGTCTGCAGAGTTGTGGAGGATCTATATTTATCTTCTTCAGACGTTTATCCATGACCACGTGTGTTCTCATGTTTTACGATCGGATGTCCTTTCATGGAAGACACAAAGAGTCTATTTGTCTCTAATCCTTAGGTATACATGGTTATTTGCGTCTACAAGATTCCAAAGGACTATTTAAAAGCAGTCACTTTTGCTTTCTTGCTAGTTAACCGTAAGATTCACATTGCAAAATTTCTGTTTTTTTGAAATTTGGCGCTCTTGTGAGTTGTCGATGACATTGGAAACATTTGTGTAATATTGTTATCAACAAAAAGTTAGAATTTTAACTACAAGTCGATTGGCAAAGTCGCTGGATTTCGCCGGCATGCACTGTGCAAATTGAAAAAGTTTGGTTTGCACCGTGCCATAGGTTTTTTGGGCTGTCGCTTGAGGGCTTTTCGTTGTCTGGTTTTCACTTTGCAAACAACAGAAATCACCCCACAGACTTTCCGGACTAACAATATTCTATTATTCCACTATCACTCTGGAAACTAACGTCGATTTGTCGCAGCAAGATATCTTGACTTACTGCATTAGTCCTCTCTTGTGGCTGAACATAGGCTTTTTTGGGCTATCTCTCTGACTTTTTCTACACAGTCCAAACGCCAAAAATTACTCCAGCGACGTTACGATCGGACTCGTATTTCTTTTAAGACTACAGAAACTCTTGGACGTCTTGATTCGTTTTTCTTATGAATTCTCACGGTAAAAATAAAAAAAAATTACAATTTCACATCTTACCTTCCGAAGTGTAACGGGCTGTTCTTTCCAATAAATCTCTCATTTTTTACATTCTACTGTATAATTGTTGAGCAATGTTTACAACAGTTTTTCCTTGATTAAACTAATTTCCCGGCAATCGAACAAAACTCTTTTTTTTTTGGTCGCTCAAGGAGGTGATTAAAGCTGGCAAGGTCAGATTTAAAACCCTAAAGTTGAGAGTTGAAAAACGAAAGTTCGGGTTGTCCTTTGCGGTTAATTTGTTTTTTCCCGCGTCCTGTAAATAATTCTCTACTGTAAATGGAGGAGAAAAGGATGGGTCATGGGTCTCGACTTTGTGGTTTAGAAGGTTTTTGTGATGAGATAGGGCAGGGCAAATAACGAGCGGGCTGAGTAATGGGTCCAGGGTAATTTATGGGGAACGGTCAGGTTGCAAATTCACAGATCAAACATGAAAAACTTCGTGTGTTACGGAAATTGTAAGCAGTTTGCTTTAGGAAAACTTTTATCGCCATATTTGCAAAAAAATCAATGCTACACGGCTTAGTACGAATTTGTGGTGAAAAATAAAAAAAAGGTCAAAGTAAGCCAGGATTTTAGTGTCAAAGAGTATCAATGGCAATGAGACACATATCTGTAAATACCTGTTTTTAAAATAGAAGATCGCTGGGATGTTTTTCGCAGCCTTTCGCGGGCCAAACAGAACCTGATACAGAAAATGTAGCCTTCTTATGGCTTTACTGTGTATATTTTCTGTAGAACTAGATCAGTTTGATTTAGGAGAAGTTTTGCCAATTTTACTCATTAGAAAAATTCGAGGTTGTACGGCTTGAATTAATGGCAACGAGACCTGTTTTTAAAGTAAAAAGTTGTCGGGATACTTTTTGGAGCCTTCTGCGGATCCTAAAAAAAACTGATAAAGGAAATGTAGCTTTCTTTCGGCTTCACTGTGCTTTCTTCGTGGCTCCGATATGATTCGAGCGGCTTGATGATACGTTGTGACATGAAATGTTAGCTGATCACAACCTTAGTCTCGACTGCAAGAAATTCAGAGCTCGCTTTACAGAGGTAACCCGTCAAGCGGCCTTTGCTTCCAGAAGAGTACATCAACACAAACCTAAGTTTATGTATGCGTCTAACAATAAGAAAAGATTTTGAGCATTTCTCCCATCATCTTTGAGTAGCTTTCTAGCCTCAAACCCGCAGAAATTTCCTCACTTTTCCTTTTGCATGCAAAAATGCGGGTTGATCTTTTAAAATCAACGAGACTTTCCGCAGAGACTTTGCGTAGACGCCGCGCCAAAGATTTGCGTTTTTAAGGCAGAACGCAACTTGAATTTATGAGTTTACGATAGCTAAAGGGACGTGGATGATCTCTTAGAACCATTGACCTTTTATATTCGATGAATTTTCTACGGAAAAATTTGCTTATATCCAAATGAAATTTGCAAACTGTTTTTTTCTGAATTTGGAAATTTCAAACGTTGTTATTTTTAATCACTTTTATTAGGATGACTCTAGTTTTGATGTTTATGATTCATTTGGCCGCTTTTAAAGTGTCTCTCATAACTGGCCTTGGGCAGTGTTTTGAGGCCATATTAAGCGTCATTGGTTGAGGCCTCTTCATGAGGATTACTCAGTTAGATTTTTTTGGTTCTTTAATAGCGATTGTTAAATCTAGATGCTCCATATTTCATCAAAGACTGTTCACGTTGATATTAATCAAATCGATGTTGTGTTCGCACAGTGACGCCCATGATACGTTTTAATTTTTCACGTGAATTTCCCATAGGGCAGATATAAATTGTTCAAAATTTTAGCTAGTATTATGGAAGGAGAGGCAAGGCATAAATCTGGAAAATAGTGATATTCAGCAATCTTTGACGATGAGAGAATAGGCGATTCAGGAGTCGGAGAAAGAGCTGTCGGAGAAAACAAAGTTTTTGGGCCATATCTTCGCAAACACCGCCAACTTTTGTACAATAACTGAAATTCCTCCTGCAAAATGCGGGTTAGAGGTGTTGCAAATGTCATATACTAGTTTAATGTACATACATCTACACCTAAGTCAGTGAAACTCGAAGTGTTTTATCTCCAGAATACTACCAGTTCGCTCCAAATTTACCAGCTCTCCTCGTTTCGCAGTGTCAGGCCCACAATGATTTCTGAATGTATTGGCTGTGATTGAGAAGCGAAAGCTAAAAATTATGCGCCGATTAACGTTTTTAAAAATGCGATGACATTTTTTGAGTCTACCCTTACCAACCCATTGATCTCAAATCAGTTCAAAAATTTGTTATTTGCCATTATATGTACATTTCTCTCATCTCTCTTTGATACACAGCCGCCGCGACGTCCACCGCCGATCAATTGCCGCCAATGTGAAACTTATCTTTTTTAATTTTCGACTTTATTTGTACATCTTTAACCCAAAAAGCAACGTTCTTCTTCAAGTCGCAAATTCAAGGTAAGGGCTTTACACAAACGGCTGGGAACGACGTCTTCCGGGCGCTACCGTACCGCCATTCTCCTTGGTCTTTCGACGACCTTAAGACGTTCGATGGGAGGGAGGGCGGTAGTTCAAAGTGTAGAGACTCTCGATTGAAACGTTTAGTTGTTGGGTTGGGACTTGGGTTGGGCTGTGCGTTCTTGGGAGTTGGACTTAAGGGTAAGGGAATGGACTTGACGGCATAGGAGGCGGTCAAAATTTGATGGTGATTATAAAGTGGAAAGAGATCTATGTTTTGCGCAGTGACTCCTACACAAAGGTCGTTGAATTTCTCAACTGCCCTTGCAAAGTGCGAGCTAAAATTTTTAAGTGCTGGTCATCACTCAAACTTGATGAAGCTAGCTAAATTTTAAACTACGTAGTCTTGAATTTTTACTTTAAACAATTTGATTTAAGAAGAAACCTTTATACACTCTACACATTCTATGTAGGCAACTTTCCATTCTTCCTTGTACCTGTTCCTACCATATCAACACTTTTGGCTTCCGTTCTCGCGTTCTTTGATTCGTTAATCCCCTAAATCCGCTCTTTTATCGCTTCTCATCCCCCCATTATAACATGTTTCTGTTCCAGGTTTCTTCAACTCTTCAACTCGCCCTGAGAACCGACAAAAAATCTCGGAAGGATTCGCCAACGCCCCTTTTCGGAAATATGTCGCCAAATAAGGTGGCGGACATTGTGAAAGAGCCCAAATACGACACATTCGCCAGCGTTCCCACCGACTCTTCAGGACCGCCGAGCGAGGACGACAACTACGCCGCCCAATGCTACACGGACATGATTGAGGACACGATGCGAGCGCCCATGAATCAGGAGCAGTACGACAAGATCTACGGGTATCGGAAGCCGGACCATCCGCATCCGGTGATGGTGCGCAAGCTCCTGAAGTTCTCCAAACGCTACACCAGGCCGTTCCAGTCGCCCATGGCGTTCCTGGACATGATTTTGAGTTTCGTGCCGTTCATCAAATGGTTCCCGCGTTATCCGTGGTCCCAGAATCTGGCTGCCGATATCATCGGTGGCTGCACAATGTCCGTGGTCCAGATCCCGCAGGGCATCGCATACGCGGTTTTGGCCGGCCTGGATCCAGTGGTTGGGCTGTACATCTCATTCTTTCCGCCGCTATTCTACATGTTTTTCGGAACCTCGAGACATAACTCGGTTGGTGCCTTCGCTGTGGTCGCGCTAATGTCTAGGGTGGCGATCAATCAGTACTCAACGTTGAATCCGGCTAGTCATGGGCTGAATGGGACGATGGCTGATGATGGAACGTTCTATTATCCGCCTGCGGTTGTGGGATCAACTTTGGCGTTCACTGTGGGACTTGTTCACGTAAGTGCTGAATAAAAAGGGATGCAATTCTCAGGGGGTGTATCTCAAGGGCTAACGGAGATATACTCTTTATATCTGCCATGCTTGTTGTCACTAGAGCACATCATAATTTCTGAAGGTCTTAGCTTGCGCTTTGCAAAAAGAGCTGAGATAATGAACAATCGTTGCTGATGGAAGGTTGTAGAAATTGAGGAAAAAGTCATTTTTCGACCTAAAAATGTTGATGCATTCCGCATATCACAAGTTAAAAATCTTGTATAATCTCAGAAAAGCTCCAAAATGTGTGCCAAACTTTACCAGTTTATTCATAAAGGCACTGGAGTAATTTTTGGCATTTGCATTTTGCAGAAACAGTTAGGGTCCCAGCGGCAGCAACAGAAGAATCCTATCGTAAGTGCAATGTAAAGTTTTGCTTTCGCGCAGTGCAGGTCGCAGAAATCAGTTCAGCGACTTTGTCAACTCACTGGCATCAAAATAAAACATAAATATAAGCTTTCCTATCTGACTACTTCCACCTAAACATCCTTTCCAAATCTTTACAACACTGTTCTCCGATCCACCTTCAATTTTTATCATTTTCAGTTGGCTATGGCGGTTCTTCGTCTCGAGTTCATTTGCACCTACTTCTCGGACGCGGTGGTTAGCGGGTTCTCGACTGGCGCCGCCACGCACGTCTTCATCACTCAGCTGAACGCGTTCTTTGGGTTAAAAGGGCTGCCGGAACGGAATGGAGCCGGAAATCTTTTGTGGGTAAGGTTTTTCGTGATGTTCTTTTCAATTTATAATAACTTTTGATGTAAAAAATATTATTTCTGCATAACGCGAAGCAAAAATGTAAAAAAAATTCAAAAATCCGAGAAGTTTGTAAAAAAAATGTAATTTTCTCTTGTTCAGAAGCTCAATGACATTATCCACGCACTCCCAGTGAAGATCAACTACGTTACAACAGTTGTGTCGGTAATTGCAGTCGTATTTTTGGTGGCTGGAAAGAACTATATCAACCCGTATGTGGTCAAGAGATTCCGCTTGCCCGTCCCAATTCCATTCGAATTGCTGTTGATCATCTTCGTCACAGCGGCTTCATTGGTGCTGAGATTGAACCCGGACTACAAGGTTGCCATTGTTGGAAGCTTGCCAAAGGGGTAAGTTTGTTTACAAGGGAAATACCCCAAGTGCGATGCTCAGATTTTGATGAAATTTGGCTCAAATTTAGAACGGGTTTTTCTGAGATATTATATGCGAGAATCCTAGTTTGCACATTGCAGAGACAACCGAGATCTTTAGATCAAAAGTTATCGAAAATTTGAGACTTTTTGCTGAATTCCAGCACGAAAAATTTCATGTCTATTTCTACCGTAGAGGGTAATTTTGCCACAAAAAATAAAAAATTTTCGCGCGGAGCTGGCAAAGATATGGCCAAAAAGGGGTTTTCTCTGTGACCTCTCTCCGTTTTCCGTACTCTCTCGGCCGCAAGTACTGTTCAATATCTCGGCGGTCCTTGCAAACTGCGAGCTAAAATTTTCAGGAATTGATATGTTCTCCATGTCTAAACTGTGTGCAAAATCATAAAAAAATCTGAGCGTCCACTTGGGGTACTTCTGTAGACAGTAGCCTTCCTTAATGTTGTTAAAATACGACTTTGTATTTAAGTACGACCCCTTTTTGTGCTCTATTTCTAACAATTCCCTTTCCAGAATGCCAGACGCCCATTTGCCGGCTTGGGAACTAATCCCAAAGCTTCTTCCCTACGCTATCTCCATCTCCATTGTCGTGGCTGCCATTCACATTTCCCTAGCCAAAATGTACTCCAAGAAATTCGGATACAAAACCGACTCCGGCCAAGAATTCTACGCCCTCGGATTCACGGCGTTCCTCTCTTCGCTCTTCCCATTATATCCGATTTGCTGTTCGTTGGGGCGAACGGTCGTCAACGTGGATGCGGGCACGAAGACGCAGTTCAGTTCGGTGTTTTCGAGCGCCATTATTGCAATGCTTATCTTCTTCATTGGGCCCGCGCTGAGGACGCTCCCGATGTGCATTTTGGGCGTGATTATTATGGTGGCGCTGACTGGGATGTTCCGAAAAGCGGCCGAATTGAAGACGCTATGGCCGATCAGCAAGTATGACTTTGTAAGTGGGGAAATTTGGATCGAATTGAGGGTTAAAAATGGCGTTTTAAAACGAAAATTTCGAAATTTTGGAAAAATTTGAGATTTAAAAAAAATCGATTTTTTTCGGTGAATTTTTGATTTTTTGAAAAAAAAATATTTTTTTCAGAATTTTTACAAAAAAATCAATCTTTTGAAATTCGAATTTTTTGATTTTTTTTAAAATTTTTCGCAACAAAAACAATAAAAAATATTTTCCAGTTCACCTGGGTTGTCAGTTATGTGGCTACCGTTTTCTGGGACGTGACTCCAGGCCTTGGAATCGCCCTTTCGTTTGCTTTGATGACCACGGTATTCCGAACTCAATGGCCCAAATGGTTCCAGTTGATGCAATTGCAAGGAACTGATGAGTTCAATGCGAGATACGAAAAGATTAGTGACAATAATGTGAGTTTTGGGGGTTTTTGATTTGATTTGAAACAGGAGTGCCAAAATTTTGATTATGGATACTTTTTGATATTAAATTTTGTGATTATTGATGATTTTTGACACCAAATTTTTGAGCATTGATACTTTTTGATACCAAAATTTTAATTACGGATACTTTTTGATACCAAAGTTTTTATTATGGATACTTTTTAATACCATTTTTTGAATACTTTTTGATACTAAATTTTGTCCTTTCTTCGCTATATGAAAATTTTGGCCTCCAAAATTTCAATTCTCCCCATTTTTGTCATCAATTCAACCTTCAATTTCAGGGAGTCTGCATTTTCCGTTTCGACGCGCCAATCCTTTTCACCAACGTTGAGCGTTTCAAGAACTGCGTTGAGAAGGCCCTGAACCACTGGAAAGAAGAGAAACCCCGCTTGATCGGGCCAGAAGACCTCCAAGTCAAGGTGGTGGACAAAAACAAGACAATCGAGCAACTGAACGAAGTAATTCGCGGCAAAACTCCGGAGGAGGATTGGTTCAAGAACATCGGCTATCGGCACTTCATCATCGACTGCTCCGGCTTCACTTTCATCGATTACATGGGCGTGAACGCGTTGAAGGAGATTTACAGCGACCTGCACAAGCAGCACTGCTTGGTGTACTTTGCGGCCGCCAAAGCCCGCGTCCTGGACATGTTCGAGGAGTGCGGATTTTATAAATACGTCCCGAAAAGCAACTTCTACCCCACGTTGAGGGATGCGGTGCAAATTGCGAAGAAGAGGAGGACACAAGGTACCTTCTATTTGTTGGACCAAATCGGCGCTAAATACGACCCGGTGGAGGAGCAGTTCAATATCCATACAGTGACCTAGAATCTCAAGTTTTGATAGATTTATTTTTAGCAGTATTGTAAGAAATTTTGCATGTACCTCTTTGCAATTGCATATTATACTCTGAATTTTCATTTTTTTGTATTTTTATTTTTTAGATTTTACGTTTTTTCCAATTTTTATTTTTGCAAACCATTGCCTTCAAACCAAAATCTCATCATATCAGCTTTGCTAATTTGTATCTTAGTTATTTCCATGTATTTTAGGAAACTTACCGCATAATATTGCATTGTAAACTGCATTTCAACCCGATGGGGAAATAAATCGATATGAAAATTAAATTCGTTGTAATTTTTCAATTAAAAAAGAAAGATTTTCACGGTTAAAACAGTATTCTGCAAAATTTTGGGGTTCATTATGCATCGAAAAATGTAAAAGAACGGGCTCAGAAGGATAGCAGCGGTTATCGTCACAGACATTCAGCGGTAGTGACAAGTTTGTTCTTCACAGCCGGCAGCAGCATTCGAACTCGCGCCCTTCCGAATGAAAACGCGGAGCACAACCACTGAACTAACAAAACAAGTGGGAAAAGGGTCTTCCTTTTCTCCTTGGAAAGAGTGGGAAAGGATCGGAGAGAAAGATGGCTGTTTTTGGGGGTTTTCTGATTTTTTGTTCGTGAAGTTTGGCGCAAATGGAAGAGAAAAAAATTGGGGAAAAATCCTTATGCTTCAGATTTCCTGGTATAAATTTTTTGCTGATTTTTTTGGAAATTGGATTAAAATTATGGGAAATTTAAAAAAATTCATGAAAAACCGAGGTTTACCTTCTGTTTCCTCACGAAATGTGCTTTCAAAGAGAAAATAAAAAAAAAGAAAACCTGGTCCACATTGATCATCTTCGGTCAGGAAATAACTTCAACTACGCTGAATTGACATGAATGTCCCTTTTTGGAAAGAAATTCAAGCAAGATTAACTGTAAGGTCTTCACAAGGGGAAGGAGGCCATGACAAATATGATAAATTAATTCTGTGGTTGATCTGAAAGCCAGCGGTAGTAAATGTACTTTTGATAATCTTTCTTTTTTATTTTTTCTTGCAAAATCGGACAACGATAGTATATGCTTCTTTGATAACTTTTTTGTTTTATTTTCTTGCAAAACCGCTACAATTTTAGGGAAAATTTAAAACAAAGATTCATCAAAAAATTAACCTTTTTTTCTTGCCCCTCAAGAGCTGTGCTTCAAATGTTTTTTCCTAAAAGCCTTTCCTTATACGATATAAATCATCTAAAAGCCGTCTCTCCGCAAAAAACTCCTCTGACTGGCACGCAAATTACTCACCGAGCGTTCGTCCGCAATTTCCAAAATTTTCAGAAACGCTAATGAGCCAGTTCGAAGATCGACCTTGACCGCCGAGATTGACCAATTGGGAAATGTTGTTGGAGTCAGAAAAAACGGTTGGGGCAATTAGTGATTTTTTTGCTAAGTCTCTTAGTTGTAATAATTTTTTTTGATACTTTTTGATACTTTTAGGGCACTTTTTGATACCAAATTTGGTTCATTTTGATAATTTGGATCTTATGATTACTCCTATATGCTATTTGACATTTTGTGTGAGCGAAGCCGGGTTGAGTTAAAAAATTTGAATTTTGGATACCTTTTGGATACCTTTTGATACCAAATTCAACCATATTCGATTTTTTTCGGCCCTTTATCCACTTTACTCCTCTTCCCTTTACCTTTTGCAATATCAATTCGTATACTTATCCGTATATATGTAATGGTCAGTGTTTTCTTTTTTCCCCCTCGATTTTCGGACAATACCCGTCTTGAGTGTTATATAAAGACCGCAGGAGGGAGGGAACAACGGTGGACAAAAGACCTGCGACCGGGGGTTCGTATTACAGACGGCTTCTTTATCGAAGCCAATAGAAGGACAAAAAAACTTTAATCAAAAGTAGGATTTATAATAGAAGTTTTTTGTCATTGTATAAAATTATTTTTTACTGTAAAAATTTTAAAAAAATTACAAAAAAATAATATTTTTATTTATTTTTATTTCTCCTCTTCTCCCTAAACGTCTCCTCTATACATAAATGTTATTCCAAAAATGTTTCTGAAGTGTGTTGTTGCGTAAAACCGGTAGCCCATCCGTCTTCGTATTTCCGCCGCCTCAAGTGGTTATCCATTTCAGTTTCTTCCCCAAAAATAATTACTCCTCCGATCCGTCGCCGTTACGCATTCCGTATTACTATTATTCTAATGAACTGATCTCTTGACCTGAGGGGTTTTTTACAAAAAAAATTCTGGATTTTTGGGAGAGACTTATATATGTTTTGGGCGGGATATTTTTGGGGTATAGTTTTGAGGGCGATTTTAGCTGTTTGTCATCATGATTTATCCCTGAAAATGCTAGCTGGCGTTTTCCAGACGCTGCATCTAAAGCGCATTTCCTGAACCGTTTAGATGTTTCACACGCACTATCGATTGGCCAAAAGAAAGCTTCTACTTTTTGACGGGAGATATGTCACAAAATCCGAAAAATTGCGCTGATCAAGGATATGTAAAAATTAGCTGATTTAGGTTGTTAGGGGTAAAAAATCAATCGGAATTTGACTTAAACTTCAATGGTATAAACCTCTTTTGGCTTAATTTTCACATGTTTAGAAAACTTATTTTAGCTAAAAATGATGTTTCTTGAGTTTTTGAGGCGTAATAAACAAGACTTGGCACAAGAATTTATTTTTCTGACCTTCTATTACTTCACTACTTCAAAAAACGTTGATTTGGCCCTAGAGGGGAATCGAACCCGTGCGGCGAAAAAAAGTTTAGAACGGTATTTTGTGACCAGAAAGCAAGCTTTTGTCCCAGCTAGCCAAGAAAAATCAGTCTTGTGACGAAACGCCACATAAATTAAAGCTATTTCTTAACTTTTTCATGAAATAGCTTGATTACGCTGGATTGACGAGCATTGGCAAGATAGTCAGGCTATTTTGAAGCTAACAAGGGAATGGACTTTATGTGTAAATCGATTTTGGCCTGGGACCTAGTCCGATCGAAAGGTGTGTGGTAGTCGATTATTCACTTGGAGGGAAATCTCTGCGCGGGGCTTCAAAGCCAAGAAAATCGGCTTCAAAGTTTGGACGAAAATCAAAGGATAGGGATCCCGGAAAAGGAGCAATAAAAAGTGTGAAGCAGTGGCCGAGTGGTCAGTGTGCTCGCTTTTTGCGCAAAAGGTCGCAAGTTCGAATCTGCTTCCATTAATAACTTTTTTAGACAAAAACTTCTATTAATTTTTTCCCGCTGAACTCGATTACCGATGCAAGAAGTATATTTTAAACGGAACTTTTCCATTTTCAACGGCTTCGCACCTTCCTTTTACAGTTTTAGAGCGCAGGGCACACCATCAACCTGATGTATTCAAAAACAACTTTCCATTATGTTAAATTTTTTTTATCTATACCCCTTTTTTAAACGTACAGGTGGATAAGCACGAAGAAAGCAAAAGTAAAAACGATAAATGGTGATTTGGGCATGGAAAGACTCGAACCTGCAACCTTTTGCGCAAAAGGCGAGCGCACTGACCACTCGGCCACTGCTTCACACTTTTTATGGCTCTTTTTCCGGTATGCCTATCCTTTGATTTTCGTCCAAACTTTGAAGCCGATTTTCTCGGCTTTGAAGCCCCGCGCAGAGATTTCCCTCCAAGTGAATAATCGACTACCATACACCTTTCGATCTGACCAGGTCCCAAGCCAAAATCGATTTACACATAAAGTCCATTCCCTTGTAAGAGAGTGCGTAAAATGCGGAGAGGCGCCAGAAAAAGAACTGTGTATTATCTTCTACGTAGCTTTTTGCCTTCTAAGATTGTTGAACATTCCTGTCTTTGCTTACAAAACTGAAATTAAAATTTTCAAAGACATATGATAACTCGATTATAAATTATCCTTAGAGAATTCAAACAAATTACCACATAGGACTTTCAAAATAAATTATTCATGTTTATGACGTGAATAAACGTCATAAACATGAAGTTGGATCCTGCAGTTTCCCTCACAAATTTCGCGTTCAAAATCACCGCCTCACGGTTATAAACCGATAATCGCCGCCACAGACCGGCCGGGTTTTAGCATAAGCGCAAAATTCGAGCTAAGCCGTTGGGAAAACAATAAACATCTTCAACGTGGGCAATAATATATGCGTTGCATAGTAAATGGTTTCCTTCTTTTTGGACCTTTCCTTTTTTCTCTTCTTTACGACTTTTCTGTACGTTGGGAAACGACGGAAAAGGGGGAGATGAGGTGAATATCGGGTTTGGAATCTTTACGATGATCAAGGTTGTAGGTGGCGGAGCGTATGGGACATTTTTGTACGTTAGAAATTTTTCCCAGGCAATTTAGTAGGGGTTTGTCCATAGTCAGGACTGTCACCACAGAAAGAAATTTGTTAATCGATTACCTGCTGTTTTTGATTGATAGTCAGCGGTGCTTTGAGGCTGTCAGTCGCCGGAATATGAACATAACCTCAGTTGAATCCCATGGAGCCTTAAATTAGCCTATTCGGGGTGTTACAAACGTCGGCTTGGCCTTCACAGGTTCGGCCGAGCCATTTCGAGAATCTCAAAAAAAATTTTTTTTCGCCGGCGGAGGGCCCATTTCTCGGCGTAGAAAATTAGGGCCTTTTTTAAAAATCACATCGTATTACATGGCGGAAACGCCGTTGCAACGACTGAAATCAAGTTTACGTTACACCTCCGTCGATTTTACGGTATGCATTTTTTTGTTTTCGATTTTACGCGCACCGCGGAGGCGCGGCGGAGACTTCAGATTTCGGCGGACGTTGTTTTGGCCCTTCGGCTGTTGCAATTCATGTTGTAAAAGAGGTTGGGGTGATTTTTTGTTGTCATCCGATGCACAGATGGCAAAAATTTCGTGCTTTTTTTCCCCGGCGGAGGATTCGGCGGAGGCTTTTTCAAAGGGTCAAAGCAGTCTTACGAGTCCGGGAAAAATCTCAGCTACAAGAAACGATCAGAGCAGCATTG